TCAAAACTACAACACTTGTATATGAGGTGCAGATCACACAAAAAGCGATGAATTATTTGAAAAGTTATTTTGCAAACTGTTGTTAATCTTTCGTATAACTTGCTCTAATCTATTTGTTTCGCAATCCTCAGGGTCCATTAATATTAAGGTTCCCTTTCGAATGCGCAACTTGTTCTCGCTGTGCTGCTGGCATTTCGCCTATACCCGGCGTGTTAGTTTGAAACTCATTCCGATCCGACGAGAGCAGAGTGCCAATTCTGATCATCTCTCCCGTGTGCTTTGGATAGTGATTTGTTTTGCCTGCGATCGCCCTGAGGATTGCCTCGGTTGTCCCTTTCGCCAATCAGCAGCCACGTTAAATCCGAATAATTCCTCTGAGGAGCGGCCCCATTCCAAAAGTTTGTATATAGTTTGTTGCACGCGGTCGAACAGCAACCACCACATAAATTCTAATCAAAGCAGTAGCTCATTTCCATGCGGGACTCACTCTCGCACGCTACCGCTTATTTTTCATTCATACCTCAGGCGTTGAGTAGCTTTTCTTGTTCCATTAAGAAACTGAAAGCTAATTTCCTTGCCTTGTTTTTTTCGTTTTGCTAATTCTCGTTCGCGTGTCGTTTAATTTTTTCCCTGTCGCCTTAATGACAACAAACCATCGGCACGAGAGAACGCAATTAGACTTGGTGGCAAAACGGAACGTGTGACGCGTGTTTTATGCCGAATAAGTCCAATATTCAATTTCATCACAAATGAGATTTTTTCACCATCTAGCCTGGCCAACCGCGCATTCAACTAACGATACTGCGACTAGAACAATCCAGTAATGATGATGATTGTGGAAAGTTCTTTTAATGAGTTGGAAAAAATTCAGAGATATTATTGAGCTCTGTGTTTTGAATTTTATCAAGAGACGGACTTCCTCCCTCTCTACGTCTCATTAAATTCGACAACTTTACTGTTCCATCGGTGAATTTATTTGACATTAATTATTTTGTTCTCAGATAAAAAGTTTTGAAAGGCGAAAATGATATCAAATGCTGGCGGGGAAATCTGAGTGAGCAAAAAAAATCATTGGTGAAGTTAAAAGTAGAAGCGGCGAGGGTTAAGTTGGAAGCTGCGTCAAATAACCAGAGAGGACGCAGCTTTTTTGCCAGCGGCTCTCTCGCTGCAACTTCAATACACGCACGTTGCGCGACACAGGAAGGACTGAATGATGAGAGGTCTTTACGTGAGCTGTCAATTTAGCTGGGACTGTCACACCTGTCCCCTTTTTATCCGCAATGATCAATATATATGAAAAAGAGGAAGCTGGGCCTCGAATTACCTCCTTGCTAACAGATTTATTCCGCCCCTTAAAAATATAGGAATAATGGCTCAGAAAATCTGAATAAGAAATTGGTTCTACCTGGAAAGTTTATAACGGTTATATCCATAGATAGAATAAATAAAGTAACACAGTAAAATACATTATAAATTCAAGATATTTTCTTTTTTCGTGATGAGCTAAAACTAAGAAGCACTGACATTTCATTTCTTATTTTAAATTTAAAATTATGGAGGCTCTTACAAAAACTCATGCTCTGAAGTTTCCTTTGCTTAGAGAAAAATAAAATACCTATTATGAACAGCAAATATTTTACATCGGCCGAGCGTTAACTTATTTAATCACATCGACCGACTGTAAACTTAATTCTTCACATCAGCCGAAAGTAAACTTATTTCCTTACATTAATCGAGCGTAAACTTATTTCTTTACATCGGCCGAGTGCAAACTTACAATTATGAAGTAACATTGAACGACTATATACATATTTCCCAACGATTATCTATTTTTATAATACCATTTTTATCAATACATAATTTTTTGCAGATAGAATATTTTTAAGGTGAATAAAAAACATCAAATCTATGATTTAAAAGTACTTGCAACAACCACAATTTAATAATTTTTGTTCTCATTACTGAATTGTGTTTTTTTCACTCCCTTTGATTTTATTAACAGTGGTGTAAAAGGCTAAAAGCGCAACTTCTAATTTTCTCTTCCTAAGAAAACGGTATTACCATAAAGCTTTTCCAGAAATCCCCTAAGAACTTTTTACGAGCTAATAAACAGCCGCAGAAGGCGGACAGCCTAATTTCACACAGGTTCCTTTCAGCTTTGGCGCCGTGTATAATAAATTCAATTTTGCAACGTCTCCGAACCACACCGGGCACGCAACAGTTTTAATTAAAAGAAAGTACTGGCGTAAAAACAGACTTGAGAGCAGCTACTTGCGCCGTACCATTACCATTTACGCACTCTCCAACTCTTTGTTTTTTCCAGCCGACTAGCATCATGCGAGCCGACCGTAACAGCACCTATTTATTCGGAATGCTCCGTGTGTGTCGCCGGAATCGACTATTCCGGTGATGCACTTAGCTGGCCGAGAGCAGTTTTGTGTTTAAAACTCAGCCAATAATTGCCGTCTGCCGCGGTCATTAACGTCCTCAAACCGAGGCAAAAAGAGAGAAAAACGGCCGTTTGGCGTCCGACTAAATAAACGGGGGCGGTGAATTAACGGCAGGGCCACGAAATAAACGCGACACAATAGCAATTTTTCCACACTGCCAATTCTTTTCAGGGTGTGTGATGTGCATGCCAAAATTGTCACTTCCGAACTGACAAATTTTGGCAGCGGATTGCGAAAGCCTCGATGTGTAACCCGTGGCAATGAAAAAGTGAGAAGCCAAAAAGCGCACCTATTGCGGGGTAATTTGGTCTAAAAAAATATTAGGTATTTGTAAAGCAGCGTGCAATCAGTTTGATCAATAAGCGCGGCTGATCAAATTAATACCGAGGAGTAATTGCGCCATTAATCAATTAGATTGCAACGGTCGAACCGACAATGAGCCGGGCAGTAATTGCGACACATTTCCCCTCGGGGGCGACCGCGCTGTGCGCCGCTGATGCTCGGCCGAGTATCACCTTTTCCGCCCAACTTCTATAATTAATGAGAGAGCAGCAGAATTGCACGTCTCTAGCTGCGCAAGAGAGTGACGGGGCGCTTGAGCGTTTTATTTAATTTGCACCGCTGGCGAAATAAAATCCATATTCTCGGCGGTGCTTCGCGCCCAATTACCAACCCGAAAATCCACTCGCGCCGACGCGGCAAAAAGAAGGAAAAGTGACGTTTCTACACCCGCGCCGTTGAGAGTAAAGAAGAAAAAGCATGGTCTCTCATTTCCAGCAGCCGCGGTTTTAATTTCCCACTCCCGCATCCTGTAGTCTCTGTCTCGCATTTTGTTCTGTTTTCGGAGATTACTTTTGCAGTCACCTCATTTCAACTTTTCCATTCGCAGAGCCGCACTGCCTGCAAGGCGCGCAGTAATCGCGTGCTCGCTCTCCCATGCAATCGCAATATATTCCGGCCCTGCAACAGAAACGCTCTCAAGACAAGATTCAATGGCAATATCACAGCGGGAAATTAATAATGGGCGTTAAGAGTTACAAGTTACTTCGAAATTAAAATTGGCCAAGAAAAAATTGAAAGAACTGGAAATTCACCGAAAAGAAAGAAAGCGTGTAACAAAATGATAATAATTAAAGTGTATAATAAAAATTAATAATACAGTCTATAAAAAAGTTTAATTAATTTTTGAATAAGAAATGAGTATTTCAATTTCCTATTCTTGATTTTGGTTTTGAAGTTCCTGAAATATCCATTTAAATATTGTATCTTATAAATACTGTAACAATATTTCATTATATGAAAAAAAAATACTTTGAACTTGGAAGCGCAAACATTATTATTTTATATGTGGAAAATGCATTTAATCAATATTAAATGTTTATTTTTGTTGTTGTTGTTGTTTGTTTGTCCAAATTTTTATAGACAATCACATTGTTAAATAGCACTGAAGCACCCAAAGGACTAGAATTAGAATTAGAATAGATTTTTTTATTCCGTTAAATTATCAACGCATTGACAATTCTTTTGAAATTTGTCACTTAGGACAATTTTTCACTTAATATTACATAAGTCATTCAGACTCATCGCAAAGTGCGAATAGATCCAACAAAACACAAAACTATTCAGCATCTCCGCCAAATTAGACCAGCTAGTTTGTGTCATCATTATCTGCGCAAACTTCACTGAGTGCGCCTCCAGTAATTACGTAATTACTTGCTCAAGCAATCCTTCCACCTTGAAGCTGGGAGGCCATTTAAATTTATTTCACTCCTCTTCTGGCTGCCAGGCAGGTAGCAGATTATTCCACCTGCGAGCGGCGGAAAAATAATGTGCGCCGCGCGTATTGAATAATTTACGCGGCGCAAATGGCTCAGGTCTGAAAATTCGCAAAGTGCTGCGCTTGCCTTTTTTCCAACAGCGCCCCGTCGCGTTGCCTCCCTTTATTTATACAATTTTCCACTCTCCTTCATTAAGATGTGTTTGGCTGATAATTTTATCTCGCGTCCCTTTTTCCTTCCGAAATTTTCATATGGCTCGCCGAGAAAAAGCACATAATCGGAACTCTCACAAAAAAAGCAACACGCTGCTCTTTTTAATTTATCGACGACCGGCGGCAGCTTTAGATTAAGCTTTTCTTTATTTTGGAGAGGCCGAGATTTTGGCCAAAAAAGCAGCAGTGCCTGTAAAAGCAGGCACGCCGACTTTAATGAGTCTTTTTTTACAATGTGCTAAAGCAGTCGGCAAAAAGGGCTGTTGAGAGGGGATAACCCTTTAGTGCCCTACAAAACCCGATTGATTAGGCTCGTTCGGTGCACACGCGTTTCGCAGATTGGGCTGTTAATATTTTATTCGCCAGCGCAAATATGGCCTTTCCGGTTTGATTGAACTTTTCTCAACGTACACAGGCCAATCAAATTTATGAGCATGCGCGGATCAGATTTCTTCTGAGCTATAACTTCTTACTTAGAACACGTCTGTTTTCCTCGTGTTTATTTTTTTTTATCCATCCCTTTGCTTGTTTATAACTCTGGACATGTTTGTTTTTCGCAGGTTTCCTCAAAACTGGTCCTGGTGTGGAGGGGTCGGGTCTGCTGCCTGTCAAGGACATTGAGGCCGCTGTCCGATGGGTCAAGGAAAACATTGGCGAGTTTGGAGGCGACCCGAAAAGAATTCTTATTGTAGGGCACCACACGGGAGCCACCCTTGTCAACCTTTTTCTACTAGCACCAGACTCAAAAGGTACAAATGCGATAACTTTATATTGTGTTTAGGAAATATCATGTCTGTGCTTTTTGCAATGCATTGTTCTTTTTATTTATCTCAATTTAATTTTTTTCAAAGCATGTTCTAAGGCTTTCAATTTATTTTGTTATATTATGCAAAAAATACTCCACAAGCAAAACAATTGAATAGAATCTAATTTTTTTTTTTATTAATTAGCAGAATCGTTCACTTTTTGATCAAATTGATAGGCTTAGCGACTTTAATTTTAAAGCGAATGGTGTTAATGCCTAATGAGCTTTTACCGAATGCATTGCTTAATTCCAGGCTTAGTTTCTGGTGCTGCCCTGTTGAGCGGCACTGCGTTGAGCCCATGGGCCGTTCAACTAGACGCCGACCGGGCTGCGTCTTCAGTGGCTCGCCAGGTGGGCTGCGAGCTTAGAAGAGATTTCGTAGGTTGTTTGCAGCGTGTTCCTCTGGCCAAATTGATGTCTGTTACTCTGCCAACACCTGCCTACCTGCCTAGAATAGGGCCACCCCTTCCAGCCGCCGACCCAGAGCGGTCCATGAGGGAAAAGACTGGTGAGAAATCGAATTTGTCTATCGCATCGAACTTCTCTCTTTTCGTTGAAAAGCTGCGTCTGACTGCGCGGCTGTCTCAAACTAGATCATCTCAAACCTAACTTTTAACCCCTGCTTTTGTGACTTAGTCCGGGAGGAAAATAATTTAGTACATAACCTAATGTTTTTACTTCACAATTTGCGTTTTTCTTTTTTGTGAGGTACATAAATCTGAAAACTTTATGGGAAAATTGCCAGAAAAGGGGGCACAGCTTTAAGACGAACAGATTTAAAGTCTTAATTAAAAAGGACACCGGAACAGCTGCGTTGGATGGAAATGCGCGCGTTGCATACAAATGAAATTAATTCAATTAAAAGGAATCGTCTCTCGTCATTCTGATTTTGTGATTGTAGCGGGCGCGTTCATGGCAGTGCCCTTGATGATTGGCTTTACAACCACAGAGAGCGTCCACGAAATAAACGCCTATGAGCTGCAATGGGGTATGGAAGAGGACAGACAATCACAGGTAAAAAAAAATATTTTATAAATCTTTGTTGTTAATTAAAAATTGTGTTACTAGGAACATTGATAATAAATTACTTCATTCAATGTTTAATTTAAAATACTATTTTTTTTTTTTTTTTGTAAAAGTTGTTATCACTTGTTATTTACTAATATGTTTATTTTCTTCAATTTATTTTGAATAACCAATAAAATTAAATCAACTGAATACACATTTAAACTAACTTAATTTACTTTTAATTATAATATAAAATTTAATATTTATTATTTAAAGATGTTTTTTTTTTTGCTTAATTGTTAAAACATACGAAAACTATTGTATATGATTAGATTTGTTTACTTTTAAAAGAAAATTAATATCATTAAGTTAACTATTTCTAGCTGCAAAATTTTTAAGATAATAATCGCTTATTTTCATGCAAAATATTTTGCAAACTTCAAATTCTGTGATGGGAATCGTTGCAGGTGTTACGAACATTCATCAGGAACGCATTCACATGGCACGTCATTGAAATTCTCGCTGCTGTGTTGAATGAATACACAGACTGGACCAAGATCGTGCAGCACCCTATTAGCTTGAGAGACAACACTTTGGAGGCCTTAACTGACGGGCACACGGTCGCCCCGCTCCTCCAAGTAGCCAACTTTCATGCGCGACGCGGAGCAGCAACTTTTGCTTACCACTTTGCGTACCAGGCTAAGGACTCTGATTTTCCCCAGGTATGGAAAATAATAAAAAAAAAATCTGATTTATTAACTATAATAAAATTTTAAAAATATAAATACGCAGCTTTGGCACTTTTATTGGTTTTGCTGTAAATTTTTGGCATTTTCAGTCCTCGGTGAAATTAGCATGATGAATGGCAAGTGTCTGGTGCGTCAGACAGGCCAGGTCGTAACGAATTCCAATTTTATTACAACCCGCAGATGTCGCAAATTAAAAATCAATGAGCGGGTCATTCAATATATTTGGGCACAGGTGCGATTACTTTTTACAACGCCGATCGCGCGCGGTATAAATCAGGGTGTCATAAATAAAGCGCAAAAAACAATAATTCATAATCAAAAACACCTCGCTCTTGCAAAACAAATAATATTTCTCGTGCGGCGCCACCACCAATCCAAATAACACTCGCACTGACGGAAATTGATTATTCCCCTCGTTTAGCACGCATACATATTGCATTCAAATCCGCTCGGAATGAACGGCCACCGACACGAACCGACACAAGTCCATATTGAAATTCCTCTCGCATCGCGGCGCTGTGCAATTTGCATGCGCACACACTATTCCGTCACTTATATTACACTCTAATTAAACTGTGATAATGATATAGCCCTGTAACGAGACCTGTGGGCGTGGAATGTGCGCCGTAATTGCTTCCTATGCAAATATCATGAGAGGCCAACGGAATGCGCCGCTTCTCACTGTGATGCTTTGTAATCAGATATCCGTCAGCGCCGGGTCAATTCTTCCCAGCCTCATCATCCAGGCTACAAAATCCCATTAAAATTTAAATACCAAGTACTTTCCATTTGAATAAAAATATTTTAATATTCTAATTCCACTGGAATCTAATAATATTTTTTTTTTATCTGCTTTTTATTATTAATATTGAAGATATTTTAAAACTGAGAGTAAAAACCATGTCCAATGCTAAAAAAATGACAACTTACAATTTCCTGCTCTCTCCTTGTGCAAGATTTATCATGTAAATGCGCTGGAAATTAGGAACCATCCAATCATGTTTTATTCATGCCGCACACATCCAAGTGCTATGGACGCAAGACACGCTTTCACCGACAGATAGTGAATTTTGAAAAGGTTTTGCAGCATTGAACAAAACTGAAAAAAAGCTTCTGTTTGTATTTCACTTTTTCAAGCCCACTGCTTTTTCCTGTGTGCGCAAATTAATATTCATTAGCGCCGCGTGGGCTAGAGTGCCTCGCGTTCGTTTCGCATTTGAGGAAAACTCGTTGAAAATTGCTGCCGACGTGAAACGAATGTATTTTGGCAAATGGCAGCGCGGCCGTTTATTACATTTAAGATAATGGGCAAGTAAATTGCCACTTCCGCTGTTCAGCCGGGCCAATGTTCATCACATCTATTCAAGAGAGCGTCTTTTTTATTGTGTGGCGAATTCACGCACACGGCGAAAACTGGATTAGCCGGCGATAAAAGCGGGATTTAAATGATTAACTGCGCGCCGCCGGGATAAACGCCCCCACACAAAACACACACACACGTTCGCTCTGAGCCAGCTACAAAGTGCGTCTGTCTGCAAATAATAGAGAAATAAAATTTGCATTTAAATTGGCAGCGCGCTGGAAGTGAAAACAGTGAATGCTACTCCACGCGTTATACTGCGTGCGGCGCGTATTATGCATGAGATGTGTGCTGTTTACTGTTCGGCCGCGCCACCACCGAGATTCATGTCGTGATTCATCATTCGAGGAGCGCGAGAGTTTGTTGCAATCCTTCTGCGAATCGCTTTGGCAGCGTTTCGCCTCAAAATTTTATTCATGCGGGTGTGTTTGTCAATGGCTGCCGGCATCTTGAGCCTAAGTAAGAGCGGGTCGTAATTCAGGGTTCGCAGTGGCTCGATCAATAAATTTTTCATTCGCCAGATATTAAGACAGAAGTTATATTCACGAGAACATTTGGATTAAACTTAAATAGAACTTTGATAATTTTATATCTCTATCACTATTGAAATTTAAATTATCTAGTCGAAATTTTGAGGCAAACGAGTAATAGCAAAATTATAATCCTTATTTTTAGCTGCTCAAAAAAATTATTAAGAGCATTTTTTTTTCTAAGCAGTATGAATTTTCTGAGAAATTTAGTAGTTATTAATTTTTTATATGGAAATATATGAATAACGAAGCCCTAGGGTTGAAAGAATATAACACAGGAGACTCAGTAAACAAAATTGTTGATGCAATATTATTCTCGGCGCTTCCTTGCCCTCTTAAAGTTCAAAGAGCAGCTCTTTTTCGACTGCCACCCTCCGCTTGTTTCGGATGGCGGCGGTGGAAATTCTTCCCGCTCTGAAAAATTCACGAGTCAAGATAAATTCGGGCGTTAGTACGTCATGCAAGTCACTGCCTACCTCATGATAAATTTATGCAACATGTTGCTCGCGCCAGCCGTGCAGGTTGCATAATGCAGATTTCACAGGCGTTTGCTTCACTGCCGTACGGTTCAGGGTCGGAGTAAAAATAAAAAATCGACTAAAGTTGACTCGATTTGGCAATTTTGCTTTCACATAATTTCATTTGCGGCGCATCGCAAACTCAATAAAGCGTCGCTCGTCGTTCGCCGCTCGTATACGTACGCGATATTAGATTGGCAATATGCTGCTGTTACACACCATAGTTTGGCCTCTGCGCTAACAAAATTGGCGTGACGTGAGCGATGTGCGTGTGTCGGCGGCGGTGGCTCGATTTAAATCGCAAGTAAACTTCACCTTCACACGTCGTGCGAGCACCTTGTGAGTAGATGCAAATTACTCACTCGTCGCGTGAATGAACGTCTGTTCAAGTTTGTATTCTGGCTGATTGGATTATCTTGTTTGCTAATTCATGACGAGGGGTGTGCAATGCTTAAGGAATATGCTCGATGAAAGTTTGATTGCCTAGTTAATTATACGTTTGTAGCAAAACAACTTGTCACTTTTAACTCGCTAAGACTAATTACGTCTTTCGTGAAATGTGATGGAAATTTAAAAGTTTTATAAAGTTTCAAATTTTTATGACGGTAATATTTTATAATCAATCTAGCAAAGTATTTCACTGAACTTTAGACGGGAAATGGCGACGATTTACATATTATAGCCAAAGTTTTAGCCAAAGCTGTTTATATCCACTTAAGTCTCGGACGGAAAGGGTCGCAAACCGCACCTTTCCATTTAAGTATGTTGTGTGTTTTGAGCGAGTACACTCAAGTAGGAGCGAGTGAGTTTTCACACTTGTGGTTTCTGCTGGTGACATTTTCCAGAGGATTGGAAGTGCCAGAGGGGACGATGTTGGCTACATCTTCGGAGCACCTCTCGCTGCCAGTGGAAACACAATCATCTTCCCGCACAATTTCACGCGCCAGGATCAGGCAGTGTCTCACACAATGCTAACCTTGCTCGCGAACTTCGCTAAATCTGGGTAAGTCAGTCAATTATATAGGCACACACACACGTGCCGTCGCCAGCAGAAGAGGGAGATTTATATATAAAGAAAGGGGCGCCGCTCTGAATAAGAAAGAGCGGAGAGAAAGATGAATTCTGTGCCGTTTTAAACGCGCCAAATGGAGCATGAACCCATTGACTCTTTTGATATGAATTCGAAATGTAATTTTTCCGACTCTCTGATTTGCTTCTACCTCGGTCGCCGCCGCTTTTCTGCTGGCCCTAGTGTGGAAATTCTCGGCAATTTCATGCGAACGTGCTTCGTTTGCCGTCTTTTCTTGCAGCAACCCAAACGAACCCCAGAAGCCGCAGCCGCTGGAGGACTTTTCTTCGTCCGACAAGGACAAAAGCAAATACCGGGCGGTGACCTGGGAGCCCTTCGACTCCAACAGCCAAGCCTACCTCAGCATCGGTAAAATATATTAACACATATACAAAATTTAACGCGGACCAATTTTGCACTGGGCTGCGAATTTGCTTTGAAGCAGTTTTTGGCACAATTGAATTTAATTTCGCAAAGTTGCTCAAGCTCGGCACCGCTTTCCGTCAGCGTGAACGTGCTCGGGAAAGGTTAAACTGAAGCAAAATCACGCTTGACCGATCAAAGTTCAGCACGCTACTTTTCAAAAGAGATGCGGACGCGGGTCTCGAAACTCAATTATGCATCGTTCGCAGGGCCAAAGCTGCGTATGAAGAACCATTACAGGGCGCACCACATGGCCACGTGGTTACACCTGGTGCCTCAATTACACCAGCCGACGGGCGACGAGGTCAATCCACGGCACCACCACTTCAAAGACATGGGCTTGCCGCTCTATGCAGGTGAGACTGTCACCGCTTTTCAAGCGAAAAATCGATCTTCAGAACCGCAAAAAAAAAATGCTTTTCCTTTCAAAGGGCACGTCAACCCCAAATTGATAATTTCCTATAGCACAAAAGAGCCTTGGGATGGTTGCTGACGTATTTTTTCTCATAATTAACAGGCGAGGTGCGGCAGGAGCCGTTCGTACACAGGTCGCTGGGCGACGACGACGGCGAATCCGACTACAGCATGATCGAGTGCGTCTACGTAAACACAAGCGCCGCTTTTTCCTCCGTCTCCACCATGAGTCTTGACCCCGTTGACCCTATCGAGGGCGTCGACGAAACCAGCCAACTACTAGACAGAACTACGTAAGTACATGAAGCGCCAGTTTTTCACATAAACATGCGATACTATCAATCAAATCTGTTAAGCCCGTGTGAAACAACCTTACTTTCAAACTTCACAAAAAGATTAGATTTTTTCTTGAAAATATTATAACAAAAGTCCGGTTATGTGTTTAATTTATGATAAATATTTGCTTATTAATAATTCAATTGCAAAAAATTGATTAAAAATTAAATTATATTTCTTGTCAATTTTTTTAATTGATTGATAATTAGGTATTATTACACATTATTATAAGTACTATTAAACTTCTTAATTATTCATTTTGCATAATAAATTAAAACTGGTGACTTGAATTTTATGGTGACTTTATTTTTTAAAAAAATTACAACATAATTCTGCAGACATTTTTTAATGGAAGAGAAACCACTTATTCCATCCTTCAATCATTGTTTCTTGTTTTATCATGTGCAAAAGAAAATTCACATTCTAGATACGTTGTACTTCAAACTTTAAACGTCGCGGGAGGCTGTGTGCTAATAATTTTTTATCGCGGGGTTGGAAGTTTCAAGAGCGCGTCCATTGTCGAAACTTTGCTGATGCGTCGAGCGCGCGCTAAAACTTTTCCACTTTTGCCGAGTTCAGCGTGAAAAGACTGATGCTTTAATTTTTGTACACAAGCCAGGAGAGCATTAATACAAACACGCGCCGGTGATTCTCCTGGGCGAGATGGCAGCAATTCTTTATCTTTTTGCTCTCAAGCGCGTGTCATCTAAAAGGTGCGACGCCAGCACGACGGGTCTTTTTGCTTCTGCCCCGCAGCTGGCTGATCTTTTTTTGAACCCAGCATTATATATTTACCAAATAACAAACAAAAAATCTATATAAACGCTTCTTTTGAAAGAAAATTTATTCTCGTGCCGCGTTTAAATTGTAAACCTCTTTAATGGCGGGCTTTATCTTTATCTCCACAGAGCAACTTTTGTTGAGCGAAAAAGTGAGAGCCTTTGCGAGAAAAGCTTTATATTATATTGTAATCAGAGCGAACCGAAGGATAAAAGTTGGTGCCGTAAATTCAGCCCCGTATCAATACGCCGAGCGAGAGCGCACAATCGCACTGGGAAAAACACTAGTAATTGGGCAATGAAAAATGTAGCCGCCGCCCGTTCAAATAATAAAGAGGCTCTTGCGCCGGCTTTCTCAATTGCGTGCTCATGAACCCCAGACTTCTGCGTCACCGCTGCTCGAGCTAGTCGTCGATGTGATATCCGCCATTGAGTGGTGCCACCGGCAATGCTGAAATTACTTGCCAACGATCAAACAGAGACGGCAAGACGTCTTTTTGCATTCTGAGAAATGTTGAAAGCACCCATTCGCCGGGCTAAATAGTTTCAAGACGTGATTTCTGTCTGCGCCTTGGCAGAAAACTTTTTGTAAAAAGAGCTTGAAGTTTATTTAGCTTGGCATTGGTCGCTGCTTTGTAAAGCATTTCATCCCGACTGAAGGAGTAAAGAAACTCTGTTTTGATGAGAAATGTTGTGATTAATTATTTAATTTGTGGTGCATTTGAAAACATCTTAAACTCCACTCTTGAGATTTTTAAGTATAAATAAAAATAAAAGCAGGTTTATTGTTTTTCGTTCTATAATTTTTTACTCTATAAGTGCTAATGGCGATGAAAATTGAACTTTTAACAATTTTATCCTCTATCCCATAAATCAGCAGTCTAACAATAAGAAAGATTTTCCCCAAAATCTTCTCATTCCCAAGTGTGTTCCGTCAAGAAAGTTAAGTAAGAACGTTACTCACGGTATAAGGCAGCCGAAACTCTAATCAAATAAATGTAAAGAAAGTGAAATAGCCTCTCCTTCTCTCATCCAAACTGCTGACTCGATGCTCGGAAACTTTCGCACAAAGACCGTGTCGGCGGAATATTAAAAGAAAGAAAGGGAAAAGGCGAGGGAGATTGTTTTTATTATTTTTTCTGCTATTGAGCCAGCAGAAGATTTAATTGAAATAAGAAAGTTTCCAACTTGAACGCGAATCGGGCTCAAATAATCGCTTCGCTGAAACGACGCGGGTTGGATCTATTACCATAAAAAGTAAGCTTTTGCCATGGAAATGAGATACAATTAAACGAAAATTCATTAAGTCCCTCTCATCGCCGAAATGCAAATTGAGTTTGCAGTGCCGAAAAGAAAGAAAAGCGCTTGATCACTTTTCTCGTGACGTCCGTTCTTGGCAATTTCGCCAAAACGCACCTCCCATTCCAGTGCGCCGGACCAACTTTACGAAATTAATTTGAGTGAAAAGTTTTTTAGTACTCTCTCGTCTAATGCACACATTCCGTCACGCGAATTGTTTCAGCAAAAACACAAAGTCGTCGTACCCGAGCTTCACCACAGCGCTGGCTGCTACAATTGGTGCTGGTTGCCTACTTTTATTGCTCAACATCCTCATTTTCGCCGCTATCTTGTACCACAGAGAGCGGAGAAAAGCTGCAGATGAATCCAAGTGAGTACACAGACGGCATTCAGGTCTTTAGTAGGAAAGTCTCGTCGCCAGCCAGCTCATTTTCTTTGCATTTTGTGTAATCATGGAAACGACTGTTTGCGCTTCTTTGAAATTCAATTTTTGCCAAGAGCAGTTATAAACGAAAACGAGAGTCAAGATTCTCTTTTCTTGGTTAAATACTTGCACTAATGAGAAAGCGGATCTTCAAACAATTTTAAACTGGTAAAATGCAAATTATTTGTGCAAGTCTTGTTTTAGATTTTGTTATTACTATTTATTTTCACTATAAAAACACTAAATAAATATAATTTTAGGCTTCAATTCATCCTGCTAATGAGATTGAGTTGCATATTTTTTTTTTTTAAATCAAATTTACATTTTTATTATTGCGACTCTAGTAACTTTCATGGTTTCAAGCTTTTTCATTTTAGAAACGAGGAAAAGCTGAAAGTATTTTTATAAAAAAAAATTTACACCAATATATTAATTTAAAAAAATTAAGAAGCATTATATTAGAAAAAATATGCAATTTAAAAAATGTTATTACATTTAATTTATTCTAATGTTTCAAACTATTTTGTTCTAGAAAAGAGGAAGCTGCTTCTGAATCGGCGGTGGCCGAGGGCACAAGCAGAGGAGGCACCTCGGAGGAGTCAATCGAAATGACCTCGGTGTGCGCCAGCATGACCACAGTTCTTCCAAGTGCGTCCGCCTCACCGGCGCACGCGGGCATCAAAAGGGGCGGCCTGCACCACCACCACCATCACCACGCAAGAATTCCTGCTCCGCTCAGCCCATCCATCCCTGAGCCACCTCCGCCGCCTGCCTCCATGCACCCTAAATACGCCACCCTGCCGGCCAAGAAAAGGGTGCAAATTCAAGAAATCTCGGTATAGCACCTGTGGGGCTCTTTTGTGCGCTGCGTGTTTTGTACATAGAAAAATGTTTCAAAGTTAGTCGAATTAATGAGATGAACTGCAGACAATGCTGACATTGAGAGTGCATGAGGATGGATTGCTATACACTGCTGTTTTTACTGTTTTTAAAGGTGTGAACTAAAAATGGAAATATGTAAAATTGGGAAAATGAAGATGTTATAAAGAAATAATTTTGGGTATTTTAACATAATTATTTAGGTTGTATGTTGGTTTTTAAATTTTTTTAGAAACATAATACAATTTATTTAAACTTTGAATTTATTGTTAAAGACAAAACTTTTCATGCTGATTAAAATCAATTTTTTTGTTTTAAAATCCAGAATTATTTTAATTTATAAGATAATTAATGAATTAACTACAATTGATAATTTATGGATTTGGACTTTCAGCCTATGGCGTGAATATTAAAACAAGTTATATAAAACATATCTGAAGAGGTGTTGCTGTAAAATAAACTATAAAAGACGATTGAAATCTACGTTCCGTTACGGGGAGATGTTATAATTAAATCCAAAATCAATTGCAAGTTGAGTCTCAAAAAATGTAAATTATTAATACATTGAAAATATTAATAAGTGTTGAATACTAATAATTTGTTAAAGAAATAAACAAAATTTTACCTCACATTATGTCTATGAAAATTGAACATGCAGTGCAATGATTTATTGTGTGAATTTCTAAGAGGGCAAAACTAAAAATTTTCATATTCCAAAAAATATAATTCAAGCAAGAAGGGAAGTGGAAAAATTATTTCTGAACAATTTGAGTTTGTAGATTATTGGGGTGTATTAAAGTGTTTCAATTGCGCTGTTTGTACATTAATAACTGTAAGGAGAAAACCATTGTGATGTTTTTTGTATGCCAAATGCAATCAAAACAATAAAATATATAATTTTCAATACAATGTAGCTTTAATTTATTTTGAAACATCTGATTTTAAAAATTAACTAAAAGTATTTATTCTTAATTATTTAAAAAAATTATAAAGACATTAAAAGACATTAAGATTATAAAAGGCTAAATTATTAATTCTTTTTATACTAGTTTTTTTCATTACACTGTTTTTGAGAAAAACGAACAATATTAGTCTGCCATTTCTTCAAAAACCTTATTCTATATTTTAATTTTTTTTTTTTTTTCGTTAAAATTCCACTTTCAAGAATTTGAAAATGAAAAATGAAAAATCAATGAAAATCTTTTGAAAATAACGCACACATCAGTGCTCGTGAAAGAAAAAAACGTAGTTGCCCTATTGGCCGACGGTGTCGCTACCGAAAAGAGCCAGCTGGCGTTGACATGTGTGTGCGGATGGAGGGAGGAATGCTGCTTGTGGCGCCGGCGGATGGAGGGGACCGGTCTGGCTGGAGGGGAGGCAACGGATGTCGGCGACGTCGGCTTTACAGAACTCGCCGTTTGTTGTTGTCAGACTCCGAGTTTTCGGTCGATTTTGAGTCGGAATTCGAGTTTGTCGGGGTGACTGAGCAGCCGGGGCATGTCTTCAATTCAGCTGCCCAAAGTGCTGCAGAATCGCAAGACCAGCCTCGAATTGGAGCGCGAGAACTTTGAGAAATTCCAGGTTTGTTTTGACCCGTCCGCCCACTCTAAGCACTTTTGGTTTCTGTTCAATTTTGGTCTCTGAATCAGCAAAGGGTGACTTTTTCGGACACCCACTCTACATTTTGAAACGGATTTTTTCCATTCAGATAAATTTTAGCGACCCGGAACGTGGGCGTTTTTCCAAGAACGATGAATCATAAAAAAGAACGCCCGAGGGTTGCATAATTGCCAATTAATCAATCACAACCACCTCTTGCACTCGTTGTTTGCGACCTTTTGTGACGTTCCTCGTGTTTGTCATCAATGTTTATGGTTTTTGCATAATGTATAATTATTAACTTTTGCATTCAGGCACTCTGACTAACTGAAAATAATGGCGGATAAACCTCGACAGGTATAAAAACTCATCAATAAAATTATCGTGTATATTTTATTGGTCATTTTTCTGCTCTGCTATTCTCTGTGGTTGTTCTGATTACTCAGTATTTTTCTACGTACGTTTTTATTGCTTTGTATCAAGTTGCCGCATTTTCAAATCATTTTTGTAGATAATTAAAAAATATTGAATGCTTTTTAATCAAATTCTTCACAATTTTTTTTCTCAATAAAATCTCAAGAACAAGTTGTATTTTTTTTTTTTTTTAAATATGTGCACTTATTTTATAGAAACATTTCATGAAAATATTTTATACATTTATCAATCTAATACAATTTGATTTTAATTTATATTGCAATAATTTTTACCAAATAAAAATACAACTTTATTTTATCATTTTAAATCAGAAAATTTTCTTTCGGAGACAGCTACATTTTTTTCACTCTAAAATTCATCCAAAATTCTTAATAATTTTATCGATTTTTTAACAAATTAATTTTTTTATTTCACTAATTATAATGTATGAAAAATAAACTTATTTGAGCGATGATATTAGTCCGTTCATGATGCAGCACATTTCCATTAGCAGATCATTGCGGTGAAATGAAAGGAACATCAGTCAATTTCGGCCTGTTGCCTTTCCAGATACTATTCTTTTTATCCATTGGCGCACGTATTTTCCCAGCGAGCACGGTTTGGCTACGATTCACGATCGATAAACATTAGTGTCACTGGCGGCACAAGTGACAAAAAAAAATACGCGGCCGTAGATAACTATGTCAATAATTCCGCGACGAGAAAGAAAAGTAGGCGACCGAGTAAAAAACAAAGGAAATAAATGATGGTTTCAAACTGCCTGATGTTCCAAAGCTATATATTTTTGCCAAAAAAACAAAAAAAATGAAATTCTGCAATCACTTTCTAGCAAATGGAATAGTGGATGATTTATATTTATTTGTTTATTTATTCTCCATTGTAAAAGAGTAAACATTTAAAAAATATATTAAAAAATATTTGTAATAAAATTCAGGAGAAAATAAATTAATTTCAATTTAAATTATTGTTTTTAACTGAAAGCCAGTGACATTTGTAGATATTAGTTAATTGAGTTATTTCTGTTTAATCTAACGTAGAGATAAATATTTTACAAAAAAAAGGTATTGCTTGTTATTTTCCAATTTTTTAAAATTTTTATTGTTGATTTAATATATAAAATTTTTAATAAACTTTTAAGAGAAAATAAGAGATGAGCTACTTTTTGCCTCTAAATATTCTACAGAAAAAGAAAAATAACTATGTTTACTTCTTAGAACCGTAGATTAAATAAGCGTTTATCACTTTTTAAGGTATTTCTAAACCCTTTTACCAGCTTTCCGAACTTTCCCGGAAAAATGAATAATTCATTCACCTGTTTTTCGCAATGAAAGGCCCTTCTGGCCTCTCAATGGCCCTGCAATCGACTGTCCCAGACGCGTCCACTCTCTCTTTCACTCCACCCCTTTCGGCAATTAGCGGCCGATAGATAATCGCATTATCTAAGGTCACGTGGCCTTATCACTCACCTGGAGCACCACGAGCCAATACGGCTTCTCGCTCCTTGTCTGCAATTCGCCAGCTGGGTTGGGTGCCGCCGCCAGTTGCAAAACAACTTGCTTTTCGCACAGAGTCGCTCGGCACTTTTTCCTGCAGCGATGGCTTCTGGTGTCGACCTTTATCAGCAGCAGGTATAATTTTTTGATCTAAATAAATCTGTGATTTTACAATTTTGCTGATTCATTTTTTTAAAAGCAAATTTCTACAATTGCTTCGATCAGTTTAAATTGAGGGCGTGGAAAGAAGACAATAACAATGTTTCAATTATTTTGTAATTTTTAATTCATTAATATTTAATTAAAGTTTTCGTCTGTTATGTTGTTGATGATAAGACTCATACAGACTCATCTGTACAGTTTTTGATGACAAATCAGATTTTAATTAAAAATTTCCGATTTTGAAAGATTTACTAAATTAAAATAAGCCAGTAAGGAATTATACTTGTATATTTTTTACTACTTTTTGGGTTAGCGCATTTTTTACTGTGTCTTTTAAAAGTCGGTTTGCTAGGAATAGGCTAGGAATAGGAACCTTGCTTCCTGCTGTAAACACACAAGCTTCGATAACTAACAGACTCATTCTCTGTTATGCATCACTTTGCAAACAAATTTTACGTAGGATTCCTTACAACCACAATCAAATAATGAAACTTCAAAAATCATAAATAATGTATTATTTTTTAACTCTGCCGAGTTCTTCACTCGACGTATCTATATATTTTTACAATCATTTTCATTATCTTCGACACATATTGAAACTTTAAGCTTGGAGATGCTTTTTAAACAATTTGTTGATAAAACTAAAACACAACTTTCTTATTGGGTATACACAAGTATAAACAGTTCAAATTTAAATCCAAGTTAATATTTACCAAATATTTGTATGAGTTATTCTGGATATTTCTTCTCCAATTTTTATCTGCCCCTTCAAGACTTTACATTAACTCTTAAATTTTTTTTTAATCATTGTTTTCCTTAATATTTTTGTTTAAAATTAAATGAAACATTAATCATTATTGTTTGATTAAATATGTAGCTAGATTACAGTTTGCATTTTTGTAAATGTTGAATGCAATTCTATTTACGTTTTTATCTAAAATCATAAATTTAATTTTATGCAGCAATCTTATGCACATTGTCATCACAAATAATGTTTTTATCAGTTGTCGCCCGTACAATTTGTACGCAATATGTATGAAATTTTATATTTTTTCTTCCGCTCTGTCATTAAGGCGGTCACCGAAGGCTGTAATTATGACGCTCGCTTTTTTAATTTGGAATGGGTGGCTACCGCTGCTTGCAGAGAGTAAATATGCGGGAACACTTCCGGCCTCGCTACGTCAATCTTAACACTCGGGTCTTTGTTCTTTGCTGATATTAACCGGCATTTCGCTTTTTTTGCAGGCGTTGAGCATCAGCAAAGCTGTCAACCAAACCGAACAACCCATCAAGGAGAAGCATGTGCGCAGTATCCTTTCAAATCTGGAATAATTGATTTTTTCTGCATTCACTTAATCCTGAAAAATTAATTGCGTTTAATTTCAAGAAAGTTTAGTCTCAAAGTTTAAAACCAAATTCAAGATGCGTAACTATTATTTTTTTTAATTCATATATATTATTTAGTTTAAAGCTTTTTTTAATTTTTTTAATTAATAAATTGGAAAAAAGTGATCTTTTACTATCTTTTATTTTAGACAAGCAGATTTTGATAATAATCCAAGGATTTCGTAATGCACTTGAACGTATAATATTGGATCAAAGGCCCCTACGCTTGGGAGGCTTCTCTTTGTGCGCGAGTAATTAATTTCCTTGACCTTGGTAAGGCACCATCATTGGAACATTCCACGAGAAGGGGGCTGGCTACTTTTGGAACGTGGGTCTTCGTATGCCAGTCCAGGATAATCCTATTGTTGCCTGGAAGTTCTGCCACCTGCTGCACAAAGTTTTGAGAGAGGGTCATCCCAATGTGCTTGTCCAATCTCAGAAACACAAAGGAAAACTTGCCGACTTTGGCAAACTATGGGTATGCATTGAATTATACTACCAACTCTAACAATGGAGTTATATTAATTAAATTTACATCTAGGGTCACCTAAAAGAAGGCTATGGCATCCTTATCGCTCGCTACTGTCACCTGCTGATCACCAAACTCAAATTCCACCAGCAAAATCCAAAGTTCCCAGGAAATTTATTGGTCACTCCAGACGAGCTTATGAATATTGGAGAAAATGACATAAACAATTAGTGAGACATTCCGTTAAAACACATTTTAAATTTTTTTTATATTTTCTTTTAAGTTTTCAAATGGCCGTTGAAATGTTTGAGTATCTGGATGACATAGTTAGCCTCCAGAATTCAAGTGAGTGAAATTAATTTAGTGTTTCGATCAATTTTAAATATGAATTTTTACCAGTTTTTGGCTCTCTGGATATGTCACGATCCAATTCGATGACAAGTTCTGGCCAATGTCGACTGGCTCCTCTCATCCCTTGTATTCAGGACAGTTCTCAGTTGTATGACTACTGCGTCAAAATGTTGTTCAAGCTGCACGGCAGCCTCCCACCAGATGTTGTCAGTGGTCATCGAGAGCGCTTTTTGAAAATCTTCAAAGACTTGAAGCAATTTTATATCAACGCTTCGAACCTGCAGTACTTCAAAAACCTGATCCAGATCCCCCTTCTACCTGACGTAATGATTAAATCAAAAAATTTTCATTCACGAGAATTAATTCACCATTGAAACAGAGTCCCCCAAATTTTCTGCTTCAATCTGACTTGCGATCTTATGTGACGCCAGTTGTTGTGATGCCGGAAGATGATCATGACTCTCTAGAGACTGCTAGCTTTACTGAAGCCGCAGATCTTGTGGACTTGACACCAATTCAGCCTCTGCCACCAGTGCCTCCTCAGAACGGGAGGACTCGTTCGCCCTCCCCGCCTGCTATTCCTCCACTCCCAGACATAGTGGCGCAGAGGTAAATTTCTTATTTATATATATTTTGTTTTTAGTTTTAATTATTTGATATCTTAACCAGGGATTTACTTATTCAACAACTGCAAGCAGAAATTTTAAGGCTGAAAGGAGAAATCCAGAAACTACTGGCTCAGTACGAGGAAATGTACTCCCAGTTGCAAGACCAGATCATTGACTTAGAAACCAAGCTCGCTCAAAAGGTAACTTGTTAATTTCTACAGATTAGTTGAGTCAACTGTATTTTTCAGGAGAGCGAATTGGCTCAAGAACGTCAAACTAAGGAGGAGCTTTTGGTCAAAGCTGAAGCGGCTGCCACTGCCGAGGAAATAGAAAGTATGTAGAATTGTAGTAGGTTTTATGCAAGTATTAATTTTAAAATTATTATTTTTTTTTCTAGAAAAAGCCAAAGAAAAAGAGGAAAAGTTCCAAAAGCTGAAAGACGTCTATGGGAATTTACGCAAAGAACACATCAATCTGCTCAGGCAAAAAGCTGAAGTTGAAAAACAGCTCAACGTAACTAGGCAAAAAGCAGAAACTTTCCAAAAAGGTCAAACTGTTGCTGAGGAAAAACTGCAAGCTGTCTTGAGTGAACGGAGCACTTTGGAGGAAGGACTGCAGCAAACTGCCACGGAAAAAGATTCTGCAATCGCCGAGTTGGAAAGAGCAAAGGAAACGGCTGTCAACGAAACTGCTGTAAGAATTCTTCCCGTATTTCGTATTAAAAATTTATCATCAATATTCCCTAGGCTGTTCAATCAAAGCTAGAAAGAGCGCTAAATGAAAAGAGCACTCTTGAGGCTGAGCTGCACGATTTGCTTGCGCAAAAATTAGAGGCAGAAGAAAAGCTCGAGGAGTCTGAACAGACCTCGAAATTGATGCAAAGCAACTTGAAAGCAGAATCTGATCAGAAGATTTTTGCTCTTTTGGGTAGTTCTTGAAACTTTTCAAATATGATTTTCATTTAATAAACAAATATCTATATATTTCAGAGGGCATAGTCAAGCAAGCTGAAAAAATGCTGCAGAACGCTGTAAACGAAATGGACAACCCTGCGTTGGCTGCTGTCACTTGCTCTTCGGATTATTTCAAATGTCTATGTGGCCCTACTGACAAAATCCTAGAACAACTAGGACCAATGCTTGACAAATTCAGAGCTGATCAGGAAGGAATAGACGATTTGGCCAATTCCATCACTCAGTCTGCACACAATTTAAGTTGGCTTCTTTTGCACGGAAAAGCTCTGTCGCAAACCGCCACTGATATAGAAATTGGCGATAGTAAGTTTTGTTTACAGAATGCATTGAAATCTATAAATTTCTTACTTAATACTGTTTCTAAACTCAATATGTATATTTATAAAAAATGGAACCACATAATTGTATTTTCCAGGTATGTTGGAGCAATGCAGATTTATTGGTACAGGATCAATTCAGCTAATGTCTCTATTGAAAAACAAAGAGAGCTGGGGTGGAGTTAGTGAGGCCTTGTCTGCACTGCGTTCACAGGTGCAGTCTCTTGGGACTCTGTCTGAGAGATTAGAGGGAAGAGGCACACCGCTTGACACTGTTGGTGATTTACTGGAGAGCGAATTGCTTTCAATGGAGAAGGCCATTGACGAGGCTGCCTCTAAGATTGAAGTAAGTTCAGTGCGATATTTAAAATTTACGGGTTGTATTAAAGCAACAAAAAATAACTCTTACAGGACATGTTGACCAAATCAAAAGCTGCTGACTCTGGCATAAAACTGGAAGTAAACAGCAAAATTTTGGATGCCTGCACCTCTCTGATGGCCGCCATCAGGGAGCTAGTGATAAAATCAAGAGTTCTTCAAGAGGAAATTGTTGCTCAGAGTAAAGGATCTGCCTCGGTGAAGGAATTCTACAAACGCAACAGCCAGTGGACAGAGGGTCTCATTTCTGCAGCAAAAACTGTTGCTATCGGTGCACACTTCCTAGTGTAAGTTTATAGTTGTTCAACTTGTAACAATGTAAATTTATTTTGAAATTTTAGTGAAGCAGCCAACGAGGCTGTCACTAAGGGTGGCAAGCTTGAGCTTCTAGTTGTTGCCTCTCAACAAATTGCCGCTGGCACTGCCCAGCTGGTTGTAGCAAGCCGAGTAAAGGCAGACAGAAAAAGTGGAAATTTGGAAAAGCTTTCGACAGCTTCTCGAGGTGTTTCAACTGCAACAGGAGCAGTTGTTGCGGCTGCCAAAGCTTGTCGAAACATGGTCGAGACAGCAGGTATTATAATACAAATTTTAAAATTAGTCGTCACAATTTTAAGGCATTTATTTAATTAAAAAAGTACTGATTTTTTCTAGATGTCTTGGACGTGTCGGGAATAACACTTCACGCTGCCAAAAGGCTGGAGATGGATTCGCAAGTCCGAGTCTTGGAGTTGGAATCTTCTCTTCAGCAAGAGCGCCTTCGTCTTGCCGCCTTAAGGAGACACCACTACCAACTAGCAGGGGAATCTGAGGGTTGGGAGAAAAAGGTAAGCTCTCTTTGCAAATTAGATTTTTCATGGGCACAGTGTGGTTAATATTCTTTATTGCCTACCTGGAGGTACCTAATCTAAACAATGATTGGTTTCAGACCATGGTTAGTACGGCAATTATTTTGACTTTTCTGTAAGCTTGCATTATTCTGCTTCAAAATGCTCAATGAAGCGGCTCTTTTCAGGCCTGTAAAACTTGCTAAACTTTTATTATTTTCATGTTTAATAATTTTAGGAAGTTTTGATTTGAGAAAATAAAGTATTAAAGCTACTTTTTAATTGCAATTAGGACGGAAGTTATTTTTTTGATTTTTTTGTACAGGACATCCCAGAGTAGAGACGACATTTAACTTCAGTGGAAATTCACCAGAATTATCAATCTTCGGCAACTATTAGGACATCAATCTCGGATATTTAGTGTTAGCCTTATTAGGTTTACAAACACTAACAGCCAATTCAAGATAATGCAGTTTCCATTATTAAAACCAAAATGCAAGGTATTAAGCGTATGTACGTAACTTTTTATCTATAGATGAAAGTTTACACTGGAATATCACTAACCAATTATTATTATCATTGAAGCTTAAATAAGTGCCATGAAACTAAAAATGTATGGAGAAAAGTGATCATGTATTAGAAAATTGACTGATATGGGGCTTTTTAGATTTTATTTGCTCTCTTTTGTATTGGGTTTTGTAAATTCATGTAGCTTAGTTGAAGACTCCTTTGGGGTTTTTTATATCTTATTTTTTCCAAGCTGGATAATATTATTGAACTTGAAATAATAATGAACTTATTATTCTGTTACATTAGCTCTTTGCTGTTCTGTTGAAGCATTTATAAGCAAAGCTTTTTAAATTTTATTGCTGAACCAAAGGATTATGAATGAATTCCTCTTTTTTATTAATTTCTCATTTATTGTACCAGTTGTAAGTGATAATTTGACAGGTTTTCTGTAATTTAAATATTATTTCATTGAAAATCTTTAAACGCAGGTTTAGTTTTAAAATTTATTCCTCAATTATGTAGCAAAATACTATTTTCAAGTTAACATAATATTGTTTTATTGTGCTTTAATAGGCCGATTATTTGGAATCACTTAACATGTTTTATTAGGGTAAAAATGTAATTTTGTTCTGGCAAATTCATCATTCAATTTTTTTTTCAATTTTTGGCATGTCAAATTGTGAAAAAAAATATGATTTCATATTAAACGATAGAGTTCATGAAGAGCATAAATCACTCTGAAGAAATTTTTGTATAAAGCATTGTCAAGTAATATCGACTAATAAAGTTCATAATAAATGGATTTTCTTTCATTTTTTTTTCTTTGTATGCCTTTTTTCTCTTCATAATTCATAATCTACAATTTATTTAAATTTTGCTTACTCAACATAGTTATTTTAAAAAGATAAATTTTTTTGACACCAGATAAAAATAATTTCATGTAACGCAAACTCCATAATAATATTTTATTTTTAGAGATTTTGTTGGATTTTTTTTTATTTCTGCATAATATTGAAATTTGTAATCTTTATTATTGGCGATTATCGGTGATTTTTATTTCTTTTAATTCATTATCAGTATTTTATAAATTGATAATATATTAATTAAAAAAATTGGAGCCGCCTCTTAATGTAAACTCAATGAAGGGCTACGTCTTAATCTTGACTGGCGGTCCTGCGTATAATAATGTACTATCAAAGCCTCTCTAAATAATTACAAAAGCATCAAGAACAAAAATTAAAATTATCTATTTGAGTATAATATTACTTTTAACATAATATTATAAATCTGTTGGAGTTCAGCACACGTTTAGGAATTAAAAGGCTATTTTTCTGGCCAATTTCTTGCCTTCCCGCTGCCAAGTTTTCGCATCCTCCCCTCCAAACCCAAACCATGTGTTGTTTGTTTATGTTTTGGTACCATCACTTCTTGGTTCCCTTGCTGCTATCATACAATCACAATCCAACGCTGGACGATTTATGGTGTAATTACGGATATTACTAGAAAAATTGTAACAATGGTTTTAATTGACCAATGGTTGCAAATTAAATCAAAGGATTTACAAGGCTTCAGTTTTAAATACAGCATAGATGAAAAACATCTTTTTTTCGTCACAGACTTGAAGTGTGTTTACTCAACCGCTGTTCGAAAAGGAATTCTATCCTCAACTTGTGCTGTAGGTTTTATAAAATTTTATTCAGATTGGGCTTTTATAATAAAATTGAAATAATATTGTCATGAATGAATTGAAAAGTTAAAAATTCTTGAAAAATTTTAGGGGCTGGAAGGATGCGATGACTCAATTTTGGAAACCATTTTTGACAAGATAGCGGATCCAAACGCCAAAGCAAGTTTCAAGTCGCCTAGTTCTGGACAATTCATCCTTGAAATTTCTAGTCGCATCAGGGGCAGTGTGGAAATCATCACTTTCCGACTGGAGCATTTTAACAATCTGGGTGTTGAAGGGGTTAGTTGGAAAATGTTGTTGTACATAAATTTGAAAATTATGTATTCAATTATCTTAGATTTTTGGCAAATTTCAAATTTAAATCTTTTACAGATTCACTACCACTTAGTCGCTCCCTTGATACACATGCAAGCTGTAGCTGCTGCTAGAGAGGAAAGACTGATGGAAATGATTGCTGAAAAGGATTTAGCGATTGCAGAATTCAAAGCTTCCGGTGCCTCAATACTTGCATCTATAAACACGAAACCTTTCAACGAAGAGCAGCTGCAGTCAACGAGAGTTCCTAATATCACCTTAAATGAGGCGCTGGAACAATCTGGTCCATTGTACAGTAAATCGCTGAAGAGACAATTTGTGAAATTGGAAAATTCTACTGTCAACTCTGAACCTGAAGGGGATACACGACGCACTCGTAAGAGATACGACGAGGCTGCTGCTCAAAAGCAAGAACAGATTATGACTTCAGTTGCAGAAAGCAGTTCTAAAGTTTTACCGAAGCGGAAGCAGAGAGTCAGGATTTAATAAAAAAAAATATTTGAGTTGGATTAAAAGGTTTTATTTGCTACAAGAGTATGGCGTGCTAAACAAGAAAGAATTTGTCGAACAGTTAGCTCTTCATATTTTGTTTCAGCAATAATTTGAAAAGCCTACTTGGATGTTCAAAGGTCAAGAATTGCGAGTAAGCTAATTATTCTACCAAAACGAGGCTTAAAATAAACATTTTGCTTACATTTTACACAAACTCCTCGTGTCATGTTACTATTTGTGTCTAAAATATAAGCTAAGTTGCATTTAATTCGACTTCTGTGAGCCATTGTTATTTAAGAGAAGCCGAGATTTTTTTGGGTCGTGCAACCAGGGATGTTAATGCTTGAGAAGGTAGATTGACAGATAGACTACCCATGCGCTTCTTTTTTTTTCCTCCCATCAGGCTTTCTGTTGTCTCCGGCGAGGCATTTAGTTAATCCTGGGTGGAGGTAAGGTCTGCAGCAGCGATCAAAACGAAATTGGATCCCATCTTCTTTCCAATGCGTTTGGAGTTCAAGTTCCGCCCTCCCGCTGCTGCTTCTGTTGCTCTAAGAGTCGTTCCAGTGCTGAAGATCCAGGCCACAGCGACTGAAGGAAATAATGCAAAATGTCAAATTTTGAACACAAATTTGAGAGCACTTCCATCTTTTTTAACTATAGAAAATTAAAAAGTTTCAATCTACCTGCAATGGAGGCTGATGAAGGACAGGTTCTGGTGCCTTCCAGTTCATTTGCGCCGCAGCAGATTGATTCTTCTGACCACTGGTGATGCACCAGGCAGGAGTCGAGCTGAACAAAGAGTATCCTCCAATCTCTTGTGGGACCTTTCAGATTACCGTTAATTAATTTTCATTACACTTTTTTTTTAGAAAATTATAAAGTACCTCTTTGCAGACTTGTTGATGTCCAAATTCATTTTGCAAACCAGGAGAAGAAAAGCTCTTTGTTGGTGTATTTCCCCAGATGGACTGCTCTACCGGCTTTGGATCCCACATGTTAAATTCCTGAGCGTTCTGCTGAAAACAAGGTCCACTGTCCATTCCGTTTCCGAAGAGCGAGTTGTTCTCGGGGGAGTTGAAGCCGATGGGTGATTTCCACCCATCATAATGACCATTGCCGTTGGTCAGTGGCTGCTTCTCCTGTTCCTTCACCCTGAAAATGGCCTGCAAGGCCACGTTCTGGTTCATTCGGCCAGGCAATGGGCGTCTGTGCTCCTCGATGTTCTCCTTCTCCAGCAAACGTGGACGCCACAAATCCTCCTCCGGCTTTACACTTGGCATGTCAATGATACCCTATTGAAATATAACATTGTAAGTTAATTTACACAATAAATACAGTAAAAACCTTACATGAATACTTCCACTGCCTCCTGAGCTATCAGGTGTAGATTTCCCAGTTTCCCAAGAGCTGCCGTCCGAGGGAACAGGAGAGGTAGCCGAGGATCCATGATTCATTGATAGGGCGTCTGGAATTTCAATCAAGATTTAAGAAGCTTCATTCAGGAAAAAATTTACCTGGCTGAGCTTCCTGAGCAACATTAAGCTCTTCTAGTTTTTTAATTATGTCAGAGGGCTCCAGCTGAGGTTGTCCAAAAGCGATAAAAGTTCCGGTGTCGTCAAGTGCCAAGAAATTTTCTCCCGTGCTGGTATTGGCCAAAGCCTTTCCAAGTTTCAACAAACGCACTGCCCTGATTATGTTGAAGTTGATTTCTTCGCCCGAGACACTGTTAAATCTGAAAAATTTATAACGCGTTATATGTATCTGCAGCAAATTTTTTCCAGCTGTCATACTTCAAAGATGACAAGAAAGGTTGCAGTGGTAGAAATCCTTGGACATCTCTGTCTTCAGGAAGAGGTAGATCAGGGTCTGTGTTAAAAACAACATATATGAGCAAAATAATTAATTAATTATGACCACGTTACCATTGCTTACTGCAACGCTTTTCTCCTCTCCATCCTTTATTTTGACAATGCTGTTCAGCAGGTTGCACAGACTGGGCCAAATCTGCTTCTTCTCGACCAAACCCTGGCTATTCAAAAGCAACGGATTCAAAGCAATCCACTCCAGTGTCAACTTAACTGCAAATTCATAAACACCAATTAGTTCATAGAAATCAAAAATGACCTTGTATATTTACCAGATGGTAAAGCTACGTAGCCAAGCAACGAGTCTTCTTTGGTCAAAGTGTACACAGGCAACAAACAAGCACATAGAAATGTGACAACAAGGTCCAGAATAACCTCTTTTTGCTGCTCATGGGCCTCTTGATGCATATGGATGTTGATAAGAAGCATCTGAGCATGCAAATATGAATTTTAAGAATTTCTGCATTATTTAGCTAAAAATTACTTGAACCAGTTTCCAACCACTGAAGTTCTGAGTGGCAACCAGTGCTGTTAAAGTTTGTCCCAAGGTTGACACTAGTGGCTTGGCCTGGTCAATATTTCCGTGACACTTCAACAAGCCGTGGAACTTTAGGAAAAGCATGACAAATTCAGGTCCAGTCAAGCAATGCTTTCCCTCCACATGAACTCTAGAATAAATTTGAAATATAACCACAGATTTTTCAATAATGTTTTTACGAATTTTGTGATATTTAAATTTTGAGATACATACCTTGCTGTAGAGCAGCGCAAAAGTGTCTTGTCAAGATTTATCCCAGCTGCAGTAAATGGGTGTCGAACAGCAACTGAGCGTACGTAGTGGAAAACTGTGCAAAGCTGATCACCTTTGCTGGCAGCCAGAAGGGCTAGTTGGTTGTAGGGTTGGCCACTTGTTGGTGAAAGCGTCACTGCATGCCTAATTAATTTTGGAAAAAAAATGTTAAGGGAGTAAAGAATGAAATTGAAATTTAATTACTTGTAGTAAGTCTCTGCCTGCTTCAGGTGGACACGGTATCTGGCAATGTCGCCAAGGTGGACAAGGCAGTGTTGGCAAAAGTAAAGGCAAGAGCTTTTCTGTGGCTCGACAGGAGGATATTTCTTTTCCGGCCACGACAATCCAAATGTTGAATCTTTCCTGATTTTCAATAAATTATGTGAGACAAACAGGAGCCATAAAAATTAATTAAAATAAAATTTTTTTGTATTTTATTTTGACTTGTTATGTAGAGAATAAAACAAATTGAAATTGAAATTGAGCCTTTTAGCTTCTCCATTTACCTTCTGAATGGAAGGTCTAGGTTGAACTGTGAACAAATTTCTCCTAGCATGGACAAGTAAAATCCGCTGGCCGAGTCCAGGAACCAATTAAGCATGCTCTGGGCTTCACTCCGTTTTGGATTCTGAGTAAAATATTAAGCATATTAAGTCACAACAAAATTGGACACTGGAAACAAAATTATTACATCTTTGTTTTTTGCCTGAGCTTGCAGCGATGATATGAAATTCTTATGGCCATAATTCCACAGGTCTTGCTCAGCTTTCTGGTCTAACGCAAACTCCAGGTCCAGTAGTAGAACTTGCTGATACAGCTCAGCAATTTTTTGCTGAGCATCCCACACTGTACCATCCACCAGCAAGTCTCCGACATCCTGCAACTGCTTTTTTAGCTGCTCTGCACGCCTACACAATCCGATTTAGTAAGAAAATCTGTTTCTTTTATCAAATTTAAAATTCTCACTTCAGTGCATGGTTGACAGCCTCAAGTACCATCAATGTTTGAGAGATTGCTGAAATTGACAATAAATAAATTAAAACAAACAACAATTTTTTTTTTAATTTGATTATAAATTCAAATATTTTTAAATGTTTGCTGGCCAAATTAAAAAATATGAAATGCGTGGATTATTTTTTAATAATAATTTCACCAAAAAAATGCAAATGTTTCGCAGATGTATTTTGATTTTTAAAATTGTGTCATCGATTGGAGATGCAATCGCAGCAAAATTAACACCACCTGTGCGAACAACGTGGGATTTGACTTCTTATTATGTAAGAATTCAAGCTTTCCTTCATCCCGAGGTCACTACGATAAGCAGAGTCACGAAATTACACAAGTTGCTTCAACGCTCATATTTGCAGCCGCGGCTAAAATTTCTCCTGTGCCACCGACTTTGATGCCTGAAGTCCACTACGTGATGAAACTCACCCTCTTTTCATGCGAAGTTGCATAAAATCGGGCCACATCCAAAATCAGCGTCTTATCAAAGATTTCATGTCCCCCAGCTGGTGTTGATCCTGTTTTCTTTTTCCGCACTCCGCAGATTGGCGCAGACAGCGCGAATGCAACGCAAGAGGTCAGAACCCATGGGCAATATTGCCAACCTTTTAAAATTAAGCGATTGTTTTATTACTCTTTTTTAATGTAATTTTAGGCAAATTATCCGTGCTTCAACCTAATTAATGGTATAAAATATATTTTATTGTTAACTTTTAACCAAAAAATATTCTTCTTCTGATTAAAATTAGCCAGTTTTTATAACTGTTAAGTTCTGTCAAGTTTGCAAATCTCATTATTGTGCTCCTTCACGCACGCCCACCTTCCAATTTCAGCTTTTATGTCCATAATTATTAATTTGGATTATTTGTGTGAATTGTGTGGCCCACACGATAATACATAGATATATTTTAAGTTAAAGCCCTGTATAAAAAATTTCAAGATTATTGAACTTAAAAAAATCTAATACCAGCCTCAAGATTTGGCTTTACATACCATGAATCAAGCAGACGTGACAAAATTGGTATCTGCACTCAGAATCAACGTGCTGCCCAAACACCGGCGACTAAGTAACCCAGGTGAGCATTTGTATTAATTGTAATACAAATTAATTTAAATTTATTACTTTTCTTTCCATACTAAAAATTATATGTACCTCTACAGATGGACCAAAAGGGAGAGTTTTAAAAATACAGAAAACAGTCACCGCGCTCTTCAAACACGAAAGGATTGAAGTGAACCGAAACAGAGCAGATGAAGCTCGTGGTTATGCTGAAAGGGTGAGAAATTTTCCAGCAATAATTTCGGAACCCTTTTTTAGTCAAATTTGTTTTTCTAGTTAATTTCCGAAGCGATAAGGCACGGTGACCGGCACAATGCAACCATGGAGATGGCAGACTTTTGGTTGCTTGAAAAGCAGCTGGTCCATAAGTTGTTCAAAGTGCTCGTCCCCAGATTTGAAAGTTACAACATTTCATACACAAGATGCGTGCCACTCGCCTCCAGCTACCCTTCCAAAGGCTTTGATCAATTTGAAAAGTCCTTGCTTGAGTTGAGAGGTTTGTTATTTTTGTCTTCGTCTGGTCCGAACAAGATTTAATTTCAATCACTTGTTTAGGAAATCCTTACCCACCACTGATGCCCAAAGATTCGCAAAACCACCATCTTCTCCATAACATTCTACTTGAGGAAGCAAGAAAGGAGATGCGACAAACACAATATTTAGAAACGGCAAAAAATATTGGAAAAGAGGACGCATCCGCTTGGGTTGTTAAAGACAAAGAATCATCGGGAACAGAACCCAAAGAATAATCCTTTGTTCATAGCCAGAATTTATAATAGTTTAAATAGAAAAATAAATTACTTCATACAAAACACTGACAGATTAAAATTTAATCGAAAAAATCAGCGATTCAAATTTATTTTGTTTCACAAGGGTAAAAAATGCAAATTTATTAATTGAAAGCTCTGATTTTAATTTTCAATAAGATTATCAACGTGTCTCATTTATTGAGTTCCAATCATAATTTGCTCATTGGTCTCTTCTAAATATTCTTCTTCGCCTGCAACTTCGGTTGTCACTTCTTCTGCAGTGATCACTTTTTGCTTAGGGTAAATTCTCTTCACATTTAACACTTTGCAACTTTTCCCTTCGTAATTGGCCCAAACCTCGGGGATTGCTTGCAAGTCTTTGTCAATCTCCTCATATTCATGTTCAGGATCAAACAGAGCAGTCTTGAAGAACAAATTAGTCCCTGGAGAATTTTCCACTTTCCCAGCATAAAACTGCGGTCCTATTTGAATGATGGGCTCATTTTTCTCTAAGCCGATAATTTTGAATGGTGGAGGAGGTTCGCTGTTGATGACTTCATCGATGCCGACACCAGAAAACTGCACCAGCAATAAGAGGTCGTCCTCTGCGTCACTCTGAGGGGCCTCCTCCATTATATTTTTCTCCACCTTTGCTTATTCAGATACTGAATTATTCGTATTATTTATTTTCCCTGGAAAAATAGTAAAAAACAAAATTAGGGGTGTGACACATAATAATATAATCAAAACTTATTATTGTCGATTCATTTCCTGTCTTATTTGCTGTTAAAATAAATATTAATAGCTTGAGTTTACACATACACACCTTTTTCAGTCTTAATCGAATGCACAAATTCTAAATTATGTATTATTTGTTTCCTTTTGCTCAAGTATTGTATTTTGCTAGGATTTTTGGTGGTGCCTACATTGTTTTGATTCCTTCATTCTCTCCGTCGACAACAGATGGCTTTTTGGTTTGTTACTTTGCCGTCTCGCGGAAAACTCCACGCGCGAGTTTTCTAAAATAGTAAATTCGGTAAATTCCTTTTGGCTGCAAAGCGTGAAAATTGCAAGCGTTTTAAGTCTAAATATTTAACCATTTTTCAAAGAAATCCACTAAAAATTGAAATTTTTTGACAATTAAAAAGGTAAGAAATAAAGATTTCAAAAAACTTTATAAAGAGTGATAAAGAGGTATGAATGTTGTATTGCATAAATATCATATTATTATTTTTTTTTAATTTCTTTAAAACTCCAAATTATTATCCAAAATTATTAAATTACTTATTATTATTAAAATTTAATAATATTTTTAATAAACAGATATCATACGAAAAATGGATAGAAAAAGTTCGGCCGCAAGTTCTGTGCCTTATGATACCAACGCTGGGGTAGAATACTTGTTATGTTTAGAAATGGAGAAAATTTCCGAGAAGCTCAAGCTTTTGGACTACGACAAAGATTTCATCTTGGCGTCAAAAATACGGCCTTTACACAAGTGAGAGCAAAGTTTATATTGAAACTTTTTCTTAACTTATGTTCCGCAGGCATTATTTTGCAATAGTTGCAAATCCTGGAGAACAGTTTTTTGTTTTCACTTCTTTGTGCGCCTGGCTGATTCGCAAGTGCGGAGGAAAATTTGACCCTCCGCAAGAATTCGACGATCCAAACGCATCAATTGCAAAAATACTTGACTTTCTAAGATCAATTGTGAGATATTATAATAAAAAAAAATGCAAATGACAACACACAAAATTACTGACTCCAATTTTTAAATTTCAGAACGTTATTATTGATTTTCCACCAAGCAAGCTGAAACAAGGAGTTGGAGAACAAGCTACGTACGTTTTAAATAACCTGTGCGACCAAGCCATAAAAGTCTCAAGATTTGAATACAAAAAGTAAAGCTATTTCTTGAAAAATATTTTCACTAATTTTTATTACAATAATAAGGCCATACGTTGTGGAGGACGATGTTGTGGAAGAGGAAGTACACGAAGGCGACATTGAGCTTATTTTGGAAAAGGTTGAGAATGAAATGATAGCTGATTACTTGAGTGACGACGAAAATGACGAGGAGCTCATCAAAGTTGACGATTTGAGCAGACAATTAAACGTAGCATTTATTTCGCATTTTTTTAAATATTTACTAACAAGAAGAAAAATCTAAAAAATATAGACCAAAGGCGTTGGAAGCTTTTACAGCCACGAAAATGCTATAAAACCAAATTTCACAACAGAAAGCTGGAAATTGGAGTTGGAAAGGGTTTTGTCTCAGCTCAAAGTAGTCGTCAAAACTGGTGAGTGAATAAGTAGAAAAAATCATGGTGAAAAATGATGTCATTAACAGATTCTCGGGAGTGGCGATCGCACGTAGAGCAAATGAAACAGTTCAAAAACACAATTTCAAGTGCCTCGACAGCTATTCAAGGGCAGCTGGAATCTTTTCACAAACACGTAGGTCAAAACATGGAAAAGATCAACGCCAGGGAGAAATTTCTCAACACCCAATTAGAACCTCATTTAGCTGAATGCAGAAAAGCCATGGTTTGAATTTTTGCCTTAATTTTTTAGCTTAAACTAAAAAAGTGTAAAAAATATAGAATGCTTTAGACACGACCAAGGTAAAATTCAAGATGCTCAACGAAGGCGTTACCGAAAAAACGAGGATTTTAAATCATTTGTCCGACGAATTGGATACTTTGAAACATCAAATGCAAGAGAGAGGCGCTAGCATGACGGATGGAAGTTCGTATAAAATTTCCCACTTCTTGTTTCAACAAAAAATTTAAATTAATCTTTTACAGCACCTTTGGTTGCGCTGAAAAAAAATTTGGCAAAAATGAAGTCGGAAATTGCAATCATGAACATCGCGATCGCCGAGTACGACAACAGCATCATCAACAACAAAGTTCGCGACAAGACGCTGATGATGCAGCTGGAGTTTGGCGCCGATATCGCAATAACTTGATCAAATTTGCATAAAAGCAACCAAATCGTCATTCATATCATTTTTATGTGCCGGTCAATTTGAATAAATAAAAGATGCAAGTAAGAAAAGCCGAGTGTCAAGTTGCACCTGTGCGCGCAAACGGTTCAATAAAAGTAATTGCCCGAGAGGGTGCACTTCTGCTGTAGCGCGTTGGGATTGGCGAGTTAGTACAGTCTCTGGTGAGTCGCAGATGGGACCTCCGAGAGTCCCCCGAGGCCGCTGCTGAAAATCGATCCTCGCTTGATATAAATTGGTAAAATGCAACATGCCCTCACTTCGCGTAAAGGTTTTTTTCTCTAAAAATTAAAGTAAAAAAATTAGAGAAAATTAAATTTGTAAGAATGTTTTTGATAAGATCAAAAAGTTCAAATCAATTAAATTTCTTTTTAATAATATTTGAATATTCTTTAAATTAATTTCTCTAAGAATTAAATAGAAAAAACTGAAAATTTCATTTTTCATACACAAGATTTTTTTTATAAATATTGCTATCTGACATTTTTAGTGTATAATATTTGTGCGGCGCCAAATTATAGAAATAATGGGCCCTAAGTATTGATTTGATGCAACCCTTTGAGATGCACGCAGTCATGCACTTTTAATTGGCACTCGGGTCAGGTGCATAATCCCCGCCGGCAGATGTGTATTGAGATTAACAGGATTAAGTGGAGCCTCACTTGTGTTTGCGCGGCCGCCTTCTGTCCCTCCCTCACGATCACTCCCTTCGCAGTCCCTCCCCAACACCCAGTTGCTATTATTCGGATCGCCGCCTCTGTTACGAGGGTTTAAATCTCGATCTGGTTCTGGTAATAATTTATCTATGGGTAAATAATGTGACACGCGCTTTATGGAATTTTTAAGCCGAGTCATTTTAACAATAAGTCAGATTTATGTGTTTGTTTTTTCCTTGTTACAATAAGAAGAAAAAAGTTTGGTTAAACAACAAATGTTGGAATTAAGTTTATTTTCTCAGTGTCGTCGCTAAGAGTGGAATGAACAGCGAATTCCAAGTATTTACACAATCAGGACTTAAGGGTTTAAAGGAAAAACACTACATTCTATCACAATGCCGATGTTCCTTTTGTGAGATCACTTGCCACGAAAACACAAGAGTTAGTGCGCGAGAGAGTTCAGAATTTAAGCTTCGAGGACGTGGTTCAAGTAGGCGATGTAGCAAATGGCAAGCCGGAGGATCTCGATTTTGGACAGCTTCTTGTCCGGCGGAAGCGTGGGCAGCAGTTTTCGCAGCTCGGTGAACGCGACGTTGAACGCTTCCACGCGAATGCGTTCGCGCGTCGCGTGCGCCATTCGGTATTTCTGCGTGGCCCGCCGCCGACGCCGCCGCTCCTCCCGACTTAGCGTCGTCGTTTCTCTGTTTCCAAGCATTCAAGATATTTTCGTTACTTAAAACTTACTTAAAATTGGAAGAAAATTGTGCCCACAAAATTCTAGTGCTCCCAAACATGTAAAAATTAAAACGAATTAAAACACGTAAGCACACGCCACAAAAGAATAGATTTTCAGCAAAATAAGTATTATTAAAAATAGCATAGTACCAAATTGACTGATAATAAAGGAGCTTGATAGAGCATAATGGAGATTAGTATGAGTAAAATTCAGAAAATTCGTAAATTTTTCGGTTGCAAATTTATATTTGAAAAAGGGGAATGCAAATGAAGGAGTTGCTTTACTTTTATTACATAAAAAACTTTCATATTTTTAGGTCTTCAATTTCAAAAGGGTTAACGAAAAATTTTTGTATTTTAACTTAATTCATGCATTGTATTTCTTGCGGATGTATCAATTAAAAAATAATGTAAATCACCGTGGAAGCATAAAAAAATACATTTATTTTTTGCAGCTTCAAATAGTAAACAAATGTCCAAAAAAAGTTTCAAACAAATTTTGATTTTAAATAATGAATGTCTGATAAAAATTATTAAATTTAAAAAAATTTGTAGGCAAACAAAATCGAAATGTCAAGTTAAAAAACATAAGAAAATCATTTAAATCAAATATAAATATATAGAATGTTTAAATTATGTTCATAAAAATCGAAGCCTGACCTTTTCCTGGTGATCGTGCACTCAATCATTGTGTTTGGGTCGTTTTCCCTGCCAGAAAACAGACCGTGCGAAGACATTTTCTGCAACAGAAAATCAAAGGAAATTAGCGAGTCTCTTTATTGGTAATATTTTCCGCGGCATATTTCTCTACATGGGAGCTGGCCTTTTGGCACGAAAACATCAATAAAAATAATCTGATATCCAAATAATGCATCTGGCCACCGCACACAAATATAAGCCAATTATTGTAATCAAATTGCAGGAAAAAGCTGTTGTCACTTGCTGCCGCCAGCATGATTAATTGATTAGCCAAGTGGTGATTGTAAGAGGAGTCGCTTGCACGTGTCTCGTCGGGGGCGCGGCAGAGGCCCCCAGGGCCCCGCTAATCGGGGGGCCATCTATCAATGCGGCTAACGAGATATTGGCTGCTCCATTTCCAGTATTTACATGACGCTTTCCGAATGCTCGCGGGAAATGCGACCGGGGACAGAATGCCAGCGCAGAGAGCACATAAAATTACCCTGCTTTGCCCCCCGCACGACTTGCAGGGGAGCCGAGCATGAAAAATGCACTCGGCGCCGGCAAATTTCATGGCTTTTAAAAATTGGACTTGCATCGTAAATTCGCCACAAAACACACCTCGCGGGCAATACTTCGATTGCTTGATGTATGTGCATGTTAAGGCGTGTGTGCTTTTTATGGAGCGCTTTTGCAATTTTATTACAATGAGATGCTCCTCCTGACCAATCTGGCCGTTTTATTCTCTTCTTCTTCTACACTTTCCGTGTCCATCAAATATTAAGAAATTGGGTGAGATAGCTTTGGCTTTTTTGAACACAAATTCTTAATTTTATTTAAATCACATTGAAAATAAGATCATCTCAACCAAAGAGAACAAAATTACGAAAAAAAATAAAACCCCAATTAAATTTAAAAAATTGACACTCTTCTTTTCTTGCTTTTAAATAAGTTGGAAAGGATCAAATCATAAGATTGAAAAAATAGAGACACTATGATTTTTTTATACTAAATAAAATCGTACAAAAATGCGAATATGAGAGAAGTATCAAGTTTCAATAAAGGCTTCTGTCTGAGGAAATTTTCCCAAAGATTTTTTTACAAGCGAAGCTTCCAGTAATAATATAGCTGTAAAAATGAGTAAATTTTAATACGCATTGCTGAATACATCATTGGTTTAAATTCGTTCAATATTACGAATATTACTTTGATTTAACTTAGATTATGTGATTTGAATCTACAGATGTTCCAAACGAAAACGGGAAAGAAATAATAGAAAGCTTCAATCAGTTCAACGCATAACGCCTGCAAAACCGTGGTTAGGCAAAACGCTCCACATACGAATTGCGCGTGTTGCATAAATAGTGATCAAATTTAGGGAGTTAAAAATGTTTAATTTTAAATTTACCAAATTTTTTATTTTAATTTAATCTTACCAAAATTTTATTAAATTTGGTGCTTTCATGCGAATAAAAAATTATTGTTGGAGGGGGGGGGGGCAGTAATCCAACCATTATATTACCAAATAAAATTAATGGGAACTAAGAAAAAAAATGCTACGGACCGCTTGAACCAATGATATTCCAAGCCTGAAAATTAAATTGTCTAGCTCGCAACCAGATCAGATTAACTAAAACAATAACTATCAGAAACTTTTTGAATGATATTTGAATAAAGCTATTTTTTCAATGATTGCAGATTACAAAAAAAAAAAAAACGCTCAAAATGAAACTAAGCACAAAATTACTCACAACTTAAGATTTGCACGGTGTGTTCAGTCAAACAAGCCGCGGAGCGAAATGAATCTGTCTGACGAAGAGCTGAAGTTGCATCCCTGTACCATTTGAGCCACACCCCTGACCAATTGGAGGCGCACGGAGCGAGAGATTTTGCCACTGCTCTGGAATTGACTCCTCCTGCGGTGCAAAGTTTCCCAATCATTGTTTGGGGAATTTTGCGTTGCATGCCCAAAAAACAACCAGAAACACGGCGTTTGCTGAAATTTAATGATTTTCTGACAGCGCCATTATTATAAATGTAAGCGTTGAAAACTCGCAGCGGAGTGCGCAAAAATAACATAAAATACAGGAGAAATTGACTTATTATATTATCGTTGTTTATTTGTTATAATTGTCAGACAAAAATTGCAATTAAAAAGAGCAGCATTGATTTGTTAGCCAAAAGGAAAATCAGCAAAGATGTTGCTCAAACTTGCAAGATAACAAATGTACCCCATTATGGTCCGAGTTACTATTTTAAAGAAAAGCAACAGAAATTTAATAAAATGACACATAAGTCGCGACTGATATATCAAAATATAAGTATACGTCATCCTATTTTTTTTAAAGTTTTTTTCTGAAGCAAATTTTTTTTTGGAACATTAAACGCAATCAAGCTTCAGTTGTTCACTATATTATTAAAGCATACATTGTTGTGAAGAAAACGTAAGAAGCAAATCACGTTTCAATGCTCTGAAAAACTATCCGATTCCAATATCCTTGAAGGAGAAAACATGCATGTGCGTGATTTGCAGCGACCCTTCGCCGGCAATCGCCTTGGAAACCGCGCTTCTTGTTTATTTAATGTCTAGAGCCTAATCTGCCGACAGATTTTCAGTTGCTCATTTTAGTTGCTTATTATTGTTGATTGGTTGCATTGTTGTTGCTGTATCCTATTGTTGGATACTTTTTGTTTTGTTAGCATGTCAAATTTCCGTTTCTACACTTCTTCTCTGGTCAGACGACAAAATTCACGGGAGCTTCATGGCGTGCAACTTTAATTCTAACCAGGTATTCTATTGATTGTGCGAATCGGAATTTTAATTCCATTGGATTCTCGATAAGTTTGTGCGTGAAGGAATTGCAGTTGTGTAGTCTTTGAAAATTTATTAAAAAAACAACACTAAATATTCTTACCAAAATTAAAGTCTCGGTGATCTAAAAGATTCATTCAAATTTTATGAAATGAATATGTTTATCGCTATATTTAGTTGTATTTTGAAAATCAGACTTGATTATCTGGATAATTATTCCTGCATTTACCGCCTGGGAAAAAAGAAATAAATTTTAAGCCTTTCTATTCTTAAAATTAATTGTATTAAAATTCTTAAAGCCCTCAATCTCAATTACAATTTCACGCGTGGGAAACTCGCAGGCCGCAAATTGTAATCAGGGACTTTTGACAAATTAAAATATTGATTACTCCCTTCTGACGTGAAGATCGCACCCAATGAGCACATGCAAGTAATCAAACCACCCCTCCGACCGCGTTCGCGCCCCCACCGCGCTTTATATGCAAAATAATTGTCTCTCATCCGCTAAGCTTTTGACACCTGCAAGCATAAACAACTAGATACAAGCGGCGGATCTTTCAATGGGGGAGAAAAAATTTGGCGTTCTATTTGTAATGCCCCACAGCAGCAATCCCTCCCTTCTTGTTCCACGACTATGACAAAATCATTTTTCATGCTCATCCCATTTAATACGTTAAATATGGTAGTGAATTAGTCATGGTAAAAGTTTATTCACTGAAACTTTAAATTCAAAAATTGAGTTTTGGAGAATACAAGGTTTTAATCTAAGTTTGTTTATTTTCTATTTTTTCCTCTTTTCTTTAAAAGATTTTATTTATTTTTATATTTCATTACAAGTGCATCCAATTTCCAAAGATATAATCGCCATTATTGGCTGGCGTTCTCGTCAGATCAATTGCTTCAAGTTAGAAGCTCTTAGCGCTGAAAAACTTTTTGTATTGCATTTTTTTCACACCTTTTGATTTTGTTTAAATAAAAATTATTTCAATTTACTTTTAACCTTGAAATTTGCAGTTTGAACGGGCCTACAACCCAAAAGCCCTTGGAAATTGGCAAGTGCCGGTACGAAAATCGGAGAGGCCAAAGACTCGAACTGGACGCACCGAATTCATTGCCGACCACAGGGGTCACCTGCTGCCCGAGGTGGCGTGCAGCAAACGCACTGCCAGACCCTGGAACTGCGGCCCGTTCACGGCCTGGGACTATCCCAAGAAGATCACGAGATCCTACGGTAATAATAAAAAATCTCATAGTTTCAGCTTTGGATTATTTTTTTCTATTCTTTGCAGCAAAACAAATGGAGACGGCCGCCAACAAAAGATTCTCGGCGTGGCTCAAACGCTCGGCCCACATTCCCCTGCCGCAGCAAGAGGCGCCTCCGACCCCTTTGCCTCCAGCTCATTCGCGCGTGGACAGCGTCCCGAAAAGCAGCAGATCGTCGTCGGTGGGACAACTGAGTGAAGTCCGTTCCGTTCAAAGCAGCACTCGCACTTCCAACCGGCCTCGCACGGCGTCCGTCGCGTCCCAACGAAGCGCCTCTGTGGGCTCAACCAAAACCTCTTCCTCCACCAAACTACCCCCTCCAGCTAATTCGCTCAACAGTTCGCAGGTGAATTGACACAAAATTTGATTCTGCACACAATTATGGCACTTCAATAAAATGCACCTGCACGTAACAATTTGAATAAATTTTTTTTCTTAGAAGTTTTAATAATTTGGTTGAAATCTGATTTGAGATTAAATTTTTAATAGTTTTTGCATATTTTTCCTTCATTTCAATTTGGTTTAAAAAAACTGAATTTTAATAGGTAAGGCACGGTAAATTATAGTTACAAATTTATGTTGAATAAATCTTGATCAAAGGGTTAATTCTTTTTTAGAGTCCACCTCCATTAGCAAAAGCCTATTCAACTATGCAAGCGGCGAAAATTCTGGCCAGCGAGAGCCATACGCACCAGCCGTTGGCCGACGCAGTAGTCGACCCTGTGCTCCACACCCCAATTATCAATAAAAAACATCAACTCACAACAAAAGAGCAAGGAACATCACCTCGTACCCTGAGCACCCCTAAAAAGCGCCCCAGCACTTGCCACCCGCTTCAAAAAGTGACCGAAATTGACCTTGCGATTCGGTGGGACCTGCCCGGCGGAGAAAAACTGTTGAGTCAACACCCCTCAAAATTTGCCCCCGCAGTGTTCAATTTAGTTGCCCCCGTCGAGGAGATTCCGCCCTTGGCCTTGGAAAGCGCCTTCCAAAAAACTTCGTCCCCAGCCCCAGTGAAAGCAAAAAACCCGGGGTTGGCAAAGCACAGGTCGAAGAGCGCCTCGAATTTGGCGGCAAAGCCGTCCAAGTCTGAAATGAAACGTTTTCCCGACGGGGAAAAATGCGAAAACAAACGGCCACACACTGCCGCTCCGGGCAAAGTTCAAAACGCAGTTCCCAAGCCTAAAATGCCCTTCAGCAAACGGAGCTACTCGATTGGCACTTTAGCGCCGCCATTCTCTCTTTGGCCGGACGGAACTAAAAGACAGGACTACCCTGACCACTGGAGGCTCGCCTCTGTCTATCAGCACTCTTACAAGCCAGTCCACTTAAGGAAGAAGACCCTTCTTGCTAGTATTTTCCAATAAGGCTCTACTCTTGTGCACATAAACTAGGGTAAATTTAAGAACCTCTGTAAATTCCACTGTTTTACCTTTGAAAGATTGAATTGAATAATATTTTAAACTGTTGATGCCAATGGAGTAACAACTCCAGTTCAATTTCTAACGATTTCTTCAAGACATTTAAGCAAAATAAGTACTCTTAAATGAGCCAAGGAGGTTGATTTTCAGTTGCCAATGTGTAGTTTAAAAAAAAAATTACTTGTTAACTACCTTCTTCTGTAGTTAAACTTCATTGGATTTAACTTGTTATAAATAATATGAATTTTTATATTATAATGCTAACGAATCAGTTAATAATTACCTGCTTAAAAATTTACATGGTGTTCCCGTTTTGTTGTTAATAATTTATACGTGGATGTGTTAATTTAAACTCAGCAGGAATCTCTATTTAATGAGATTTTGAATTTAATCAGTCATAGCTAACCAATTAATTAGTAATTTACGATGTCTGTACTGTGATTTGTGAATTGATTAAGAAATCAATAAAATATAAACATAGAAGTTAAAAACTTAGCCAAAAAAAGTTATGTTTTCGTCATAATAAATTCAATGCTAATAAGCATGCCAGAGAATATTTGATTGTAGCAAAAAGAGAAATATTGCACTTACCATTCAAGTCAGCAATCGGCTGTACTCCATGAACAAATTGCCCTTTTTTATGTTTTCCATAACTTTACAGGCATGGTGATACCTAGCAAATGAAAATTAATACAAAACAACAAACAAAAAATAAAATTTCTCCTCACCAGTGCCTTTCAGAGATGGGGAGTGCAGTGATATTTTGCTTTGGCGTCGACTGAATTTGCTGACGTAGGGATGTTATCAGGTTTTCGTAACTAACATGTCCACAAAAATTTAATTCTGAAAAATAAAATACTAGAGACAAATGAATTGCAAGTACAGAACATCACACCTTTGTTGGTGTAAAACGGCAGCAAAAACACAGAGCTTTGTCTCTCCTCCGGCAATGTTGCTTTTCCATAATTGTAGCAACACCTGCTATCAATCTTCAATTTCGACCCTTGGAAACATCTCTGGACAAGTTTTTCCATTTTTGCTCGAGACTCTTTCTTGAAGTCATCAGCAGCAGCATTGTTTTTCACGATGACCAAAGTAGGAAAATATTCCGTGACAACATCGTTAATGAACATTGACGAGGTTGATAATTTTAACATTTCTGCATCTCGAATGTACCTAGAGAGGTTGGATAAAATAATTTGTTGTGCAAAAATTAGCAATTAATTTACCTGATAACGTCTAGGTTGAGGAACCAATCATCAACATAGATCACAACATGACAAACAGATAGCAAAAATGCTATCAAATGCAGGTCACTGATTTCTGCACTGTTTTCGGCAACTGATGCGTCAGTTGAAAATTTCTTTTCATTCACACCTGCCATGCATTCCATGAGAGATGCGGAAAAAAGTGGCTGGGTGTCGAGGAAAATTACTCTGGCTGGAGTCACATACATGTCTACACCAACTGAGCAGTGTGCGCCAGCAGCTCGTATTTCTGGTGCCTCAGAACGAAATATTCCTGGGCTGATTACAAAGAATTGTTGAAAATTATTTATCAATTACTTTTTCAAACGCAAACCTTGCTGCCAGCTCCGATAAAATAAAAGACTTCCCACAGCCCTGCGGTCCGATAACTCCAACAACTAAGAAGTCATTTTGGTCCATCAAGTATTCGAGAGGCCCGTCGCAGACTTGCAAACATTCATCGAGAAGCTTTACAGGTGAAAGCATTAAAGGCGGAGACTGAAGTTGACTGGGAGCTGGATTAGAAATGGTAATTAAAATTTAATTATTGATAGTGAAAAATTCACCTTCATTACTGGTGGTGGTTGGAAGGGGTGGTTTTGCAGCAAGTTGATAGATGGGTTGAGTCGAACATGCAGATGAACTGTTTGGTTTACTGCTCACATCTTTTATCCTGGTAAAAATGAATAAAATAATTAGCTATCCAGATGTTTAAAAAATTCAAAATAACTTGTGGGGAAGAATTGATTATTATTTTACTGAACTGGTTAACAACTGGAGACACTGCTCTAATTTCCTGCACATCTCTCGACTTAACGATTATGGTTGTTGTTTTATTGCTCGCCGAAGTTGACTGCTGCTGCGGTGTTGCTTCTGAAGATTCGGCTGCATGTTCACGGACCAGAATTGTAGGTTGTTTCATTTCAACATCTTTATTTTGCTGTTGTTTCTGCAAAATGTGGTGATTTTTTTTTTACTAAATTTTTAATTTAAGTTCCAAGTTAAGAAAAATTCTACAAACAAAAGTAGACAAACCTTAAAATAGCTTTTCTTAAATTTTTTCTCTCGATACTTTTCACTGTCCATAGTTAAAATATAATTATTAAAACGAGCTCCTCAGCCGGCAAAAGTCGTAAATTTTAAAATCAAAACAACATGATAAAATTTTACACGTGAATCGTGTCTGTATTGGATAAACACAATAGGGTGGCGTCGCGTAGCGGCAACAACTACAACATAACATAGGGTTGGGTTCATGGGCTGTGGTTGGTTGATGGTTGATACCAGCGCCTCTGCCGGATTTTCGGTGCGTTCAATTAATGAACCAGCCAATCGCTGCGAGTCACAAGACAATTTAGCGCATTAACCCTTTCCTTTTTTGCAAGGATCGAGTATTATAGAAGATCACATTGGTGAACAGATAGATCTGGGATACACGCTTGGATACAGTGAGCGTACGTGAAAGGACAGTTCGTGGTAAGCAAAACTGCCCATTACGTATTTTTACTCTGACAAAAAACACTTTCCGAATCCGAAGCTATCAAAAATTTAAGCCAATCGAGCAGGGTTTTTTCCTGAAAAACGAAGATTATTGTGTACACTGCATATTATTACAACCAGGAAAATTTTGCAGATTTACTGATCCATTCAGAGTAAAATGGCGGAGCTGAAGAACGGCGGCACTGATGAGGCGACGCCCCAGTCGCCCGAGCAGGAAAAACTGCTGCTCGAGGGTGAGACCAAGACCTGCAAGGCGACCATCTACAAGCCGAGCGCCGAGTCTTGCACGAACGGCGATGCGAAAATCGAGCTTGGCACTGCCGCCCTGGCCGGAGGTCTGAAGAAGGAGGAGCTGCTGAAATTCGCCAACGATCCGTTTTGGGTGCGCCTCCGATGGATTCTCTTCATCCTTTTCTGGCTGACCTGGCTGGCTATGCTGGCCGGGGCAATCTTCATCGTCGTGGTGGCACCCAAGTGCCCTGCCCCAGAGCCCCGTCTCTGGTGGGAAAAAGGGCAAATTGCCGTGGTCGATGTTGCCAAGGCTGACGGAGGAATCTCAGGTTTAAAACGAGAATTTTAATTTCCTATCAGAAGTTAATTTAATTTATTTGACAGGACTCAATGGGAAGCTTAATGATCTAAAGGGCTCGACTGCAGGACTGCTGGTGAGGAACTTGCTCAAGTCTGATGCAAGCGGTGTCATTGATTACCAGGCCATTAACCCAACCTATGGCACTTTTGACGAATACAAAACTTTCTCTGCTAAAGCAGCAAGTCTCGGTATTTATTTTTTCAAAGTATAATTGCAATTGAATTCTAAAGTTTTATTTTTCCAGGCATCAAAGTTGTTCTTGGCATTAACATCAATCACGTCAGCATCAAGCATCCTTGGTTCATCAAGTCGAAAAACCAAACTGGTGATTTTGCCGACTACTTTGTCTGGAAGGACGGTCTCGAAGGAAAGTCCAAACCACCCAACAACTGGGTAAGTTCTGTTTTTTCACAGCTGTCTTTGGTGCTTAATTATGTTTCCCAACAGCTTGCGGTTAATTCGAGTGTGTCCGCTTGGGAGTATGACAATACTCGCAAACAGTTCTATTACCACCAGTTTGGTGTTAATCAGCCTGATTTGAACCTGGGAAATGTTAAGCTGCAGAAAGAGCTCAAGGTATGAAAGTGTCATATGATCAGCCGATATTTATCTTTTAATCTGGAGTTATAATTATGCTAATTTTTTTGTGTCACTTATACTGAAACTAAAAACAATTGTATTATTTCATAAAATTTACAATTTCCAGAGTATTCTTCGCTTTTGGAGGGGCAACGGCATTGCCGGATTTCTGTTCCAAGAGGCATCGTACCTGGTTGAAGATCCAAGCTTTACCAACGAGATTGATGGTAGACAACCGTCGGAAGCAACCTTCAAGGATTACAACTTCTACGACCATGCTCGCACCAAGAATTTGCCTGAGAATGTTGAAATCTTAAAAATTTTCAAGGATGAGCTTTTGACTGAGATGGATGAGCCAAACAACAAAATGTACTAAATATATACAGAGCTTTGAAAAATAAAATCAATTAATTTTTGTATATAGCATTTTCGCAGCCGAAGTTGACGGACCTCCTCAAGAATTGGCCAAGTTCTACGGCGATGTGAAGCCGCCAGTTGTGGAGCTGCCCCTAAACCGTCTGGCTGCCCCAGTTTTCCAAACGGCAGAGAGCTTCCGTTCAGCAATCTCGCAGCTCATCAACAGCAGCAGTGGCTACTGGCCTAATTGGCTTCTGACCAGCGACAGTGCAAATCCAGGACTGGCCGCAACCTTGGCTTTACTACCTGGCTCTTTCATTTATCAACCAGATGACACACAAAACTTCAATTCTTGTAAATTAAATTTTTTTAATATATCATTTATTCTGAGTTTATTTTCTGCAGCTATTTTTGATGCCATGAAAAAGATCCAGTCCGAAAGGGAGGCGCCTTCCATTATGTATGGCGGGCTCAATGCAAGTGTTGTCGATGGAAGTGTTTTAGCCTACACAAGGTAATATTTCATTCTTCATAATGGTTTTGGGAAAAAAAATTGCCAGATAATATTAATGTATGCAAATTTGATATTGTGGCTTGCTAGGATGAGCAAGTAAGTTGTGTGATTTTAAAACAAATCCGTTCCATATTGATTTATTTTTATTTTATACCATTAATTTATTATCATTTTATAATACACATAATTTACATGTCCGCTTGACCTTAAAGGTTTTTTGAGTGATTTACAGTTTCTAAGAATTTACAATATCCTGCTATACATTTCGGCTGCATGAAAAATTCCAAGATCTGTGAATCATTATAGCACATATTATTTGGTGTACGTTGCATACGTTAATTGTTCCACGATGAACTGTTCCATGGCTGATCGGCTAAAAATTCCAAGCACCACACATGACTCGATAGGATATGCATATTTGCGGTGTACTAAAATGCTCAATATTTATATTAAAACAAAATGGCTATATTATTTAAAAAAATTGCCCACATCAGAGGACCATCAACCCACCTCCTTGAGACGCCTGCCTGCAGCCACTATCGCCTGCTTCATGTCTTGCCCCATGGCTAATAATAAAATGCTAAAAAAAAACAATTGCCGTCCCCATTACCTGCAATATTTTGCCTTTTGCGGCACATGGTATTTCATGTTATGTTTGGAATAGTTAAAAGTTTAAATAGATAGCTGGTCAGACGTCAAATATTTCGTTGTGGAACAATTTACTGACAGTAATTTATTCTGTTTCTCTTGTTTTAATTTTGTTGCTTCATTATTTATTTTTCAATTCCTGAAAATTGAAATTTTAGTTGAATTTGTTTTAATTTTATTTTTTTTTTCATTTAGGACAAAAACTGGTAACCCAGGTTTTATTGTGCTCTTCAATCCTGGAGCCGAGGCAAAGAATGTGAGCGTCAAGGACTTCGAAGGAATACCAAGCACGCTTTCAGTTGTGTTTATCACATCTGAGCATCCTGAATTAGCGCCCAAGTATTTAGCAAAACTATTTCATTGTTCTCGTAAATTAACACAAAGTTTATCCAGGAGCAAAGTTGATTCAGCCAACATCCCAGTGCCAGTGAAGGAAGCCATTGTGCTGACCTTTGTGCCTCAGAAATAAAAGATCCGTTGAGAGGCTACTGCATTGTAGTTGACTTCCGAGTCTAGCTCTCTAATAAACAGATCAATAATCCTTGCAACACTAGTCGTTTATTTTGTTAATAATGCCTATTTAGGTGAATATTTCTCAAAATGAATAAGGAAATTCTGCAACAAAACTATAAATAATAAAACATATATACATAATACATTTTAGCGCAGCTATATTAACTAAACTGTAACAAAACTGCAGTACAACTTGTGGGAAGCAGGTGGGATAACATGTGTAATTGGCATAGTTTTTTTAATTGTTAACGTTATCTTACATATAATTAAGGCAATATGATATTTTAGTACATGAATTGGAGAAGGAGTAGAAAGATATAGTATATTTATGCAAAAGTTAAGAGTTAGTTTCCGCTGATTTTTACACTACACAATCCCTATTTTTACTCTATGCGTTTCTCATGCAACCAAAGTGGCCTGTCCCACCTCTTCTCTCTTCCAAAAGCTAGTGTGAGTCTATACGGAGAAAGCTTAAGTCAGCTGCGGGCACGTAAACAAACAGGTTAACGAATCAACAGAGGCATCTATTAATTAGCGGCCAGCGGGCTTCAATGACAAACCCCCGCTAGGGGTTTTGTATCAAAACTATTTAAAATGGTCGAGAGAATTAAGTGAAGTCTGTGTTTAATTCTTTATGCATAGAGAGAGAGAGACTCATTTTCTGATGATTACGAAAGAATGACGCAACAAATTTATAAATTACACTAAATATAAACTACCTTCTGCCCAGAGCAAAAATAAAAAACACTTGCCTGGGGGCGGACACTCAGCACTCATGAAAAACTTCGAAACATATAAAAAGCAAAAATATCTCAACCGGCCGGAAAACAACACTGGAAACGAGCATGCACTGCAATTATTTGTGTGTAACAGTTCAGCTGGATTTTGTGCTGAAGAATTAATAGAGTACAAAACCTGGATCATTTTGCTTGCAGAGTTCGTGGATGAGCGACGGGTGGTAGGATAACGACGCGACGCAAGGGGCAGCGCATGGGCGACCAGCACACCCCTGAGAGTCTCACAGAAACTTTCTTTCACTGCCCATGTGGGCTTGTTCAGGTGGTAATTTGGAGCACTGCGCGCCACCAGGCGGCGGCTGCTACAGGGGCCTTCCCCAGACACTGGAGGTGTCAAAGTGGGGGTTGAAGGTGACCTGCGATGGTGATGAGTTTGATGGATGGTTCGGTCGTTGGCAGCTTGCACGATGAGGAGTCGTCACAGCGAGTTACTGCTGTCGGCAAACAAGGTGTCCTTGGGCATCTAGGAGGCAGAAGCAAGGGACGGTCCTTGCGGCGTGTGAGGGAGCCAGCGGTGCAAGATTTCCAAGTCTGGAACTTGTTGATGGAAGTGGTGACGCACAGCAAGTCGGACTGTGGTCACTGGGCAAGTCGGTCTTGCGGAGTTGAGGTGAGAGAGTGATGTCTTCAGGTAGCGCTGAGTTGCTGGACCTGAAGGGGCGCAATGGCTGCGCTGGACACGGCGCAGTGGGTTGGCCGGTGCTGGACAAGTCGTTCTTGTCGATGAAGTTCAAGATGTTGCCTTCAGGCAGCTGATGCTGGACCTGGAGGTGGCGCAAAGTCTGCGCTGGGCACGGCACAGTGGTCGGCCGGTGCTGAGGACGTCAGTCGTCCTGGTGGAGGAGGGTGAGTGCGAGAGTGATGATCGAGAAGGGTGCGTCGGTGCACTGGCAGCAGAGGTGGCCTTTGAAAAGTAAAACTTGTGATTAAGGAAGTTACTGCAAGTGACTGTATAGTTGAAACAGAGTGTCCTACCTGTGGCATCCAGGTTGCAGGCAGGGACACTTCTGCTCGGCTACAAGTCGCCAAAATCAGAGGTGCTGGCCGGAGCGATTCTGACAGCGCAGCACTCCGAGTGAGGTTGGTTTGCGTTGCAGGTGTGTGAAGGGTTGAGGAGTTGTTCAGCCTTGGTTGTGGGTGTTGCTGTTGGTTGCAGAAGGGAAAAGCTGGGCATCCAAGTCAGTCTGGCATTGTCGATGTGGATGTTCGAGATGGTCGGTTGCCGGTTCCTGCAGGAGTTGTCGTCCTCGGACCAAGCTTTGTAGACACATGCAGCCCTTCAGGCAAATCCTACAAAACACACATCACAATTATTTTCTCAAAAAATTAAATTACTTTTGATTATAACAACAATTTTGTTGGATACTACTGGAAATAACCTTGTTCTTTATACAAATATTGTAACACTTTGATTATAAAAATTGATAATTTCTGCTTGTATACAGTAGGAATTTTTTAATCTGATCCTTTAAATTGGCCAGACTTCAAAACTTAATTTTCATTGTACCAGAAGTCAATAATACCCACAGGTAGCAAAATGAAATCAGTTGAGCGCTTAATCATAAAATGTAGTCTTATGGTTGGAGCAAGATTTTGCCTTTCAAATAATATCTCAAATGATGGTAAAAGAAGTATAGGAAGTAAGATTTATAAGATATATTATACGGCAAAATCTTGCTCCAACCAGAAGACTACATTTTATGAATAGGCGCTCAACTGATTTTATTTTGCTACCTGTAGGTATTATTGACTTTTGGTACGATGAAAATTAAATTTTTGAAGTCCGGCCAATTTAGAGGAGTTTAAAAATTTCTGCTATAAACAACATTTTTGACTTTCAAATAACATCTTAAATGATGGTAAGAAGTATAAATTGGAAGTAAGATTTAAGATATTATTTGAAAGGCAAAATCTTGCTCCGTCCAGAAGAAAAAAACTATTTGACTAATTCCAGTATCCAGTTGAGATAAAATGTTCTCAAAGAGTTCTGGAATGTGGAGACAATATTGTTTGTAAAAAAAAAAATCATGACCACAGCATCCCTAAATTCTAGAGGTGCAGCAAACTGACAATATAAATGTATAAATAATAGATCATCCTTGGCAGCAGATAGGGGGTTCTTGCATTATTATCAAAACACATTCAACTCTGTTTGAAGAAATTAGCACTCAAGGAGATGCGATCTTGGAAGTGAAGAAAAACGGCTCTACCTCAATATGAAAATTGTAATTATTAAAAAAAAAACGGCTCTACCAGTTTTGGTCAGAAAACTTTTGCTCTCTTAGATCATGAAATAGGGTTGCAAACCGTGACCGAAACTGGTAGAGCCATTTCGGTTTTTTTTTTAATAAAAACAAATTTTACAAGGAAACGATTGTTTTTCTTCACTTCCATATTTAGTCTCTCTTTATATACAAATAAAGGGAAGTTTGATTTATACCTCTTCTACTGCTCCTGGTCCCATCCCCTCAGCAGATACTGGTGGTGCTCTTGGAAGTGGTGCGGGATGTCAACATTGTCCACTTTTAAGATATAACCCGTAGTCTTGCACAGAGGACATACACTCGATTTGCAGGAAATGGTGTCCAGGTTGTGTTCGACAAGCAACCTCTCCACTACATGGGTGTAGTAGGCTCGGCTGAAAAAAAATTTAAATCACTTTAAATTTTTTTAACTGCATTGAAAAATTTTTACCTGTCACAGAAAACTCTCCGGCACTGCCGCATCAGAGGGCACGATGCATATTTGAGCCCATGATGACTACGCCCCATATGTGATTTAAGGCTGGCCACATTATAGTACACCATTCCACATATTGGGCAGATGCCCTGTGAGAAAAATAATTACTTAATTAAGGTTTGGTAAAATGAATAAGGGCCATGCATACAAAAAATTTACTTGCTCAAATTTACAATTTGAAAAAAAAGACAATTTAAAAGCTGGTTTGGATTGCTTCGGTCAAAGACGAAGATTGCATTCGTGCTCAGAAATCATATGAACCGAGTGCCTCCCACTCAACTTAATTGAGAGTACCACTGTGGCGGCAACAAAGGTGTTGAGGGCGGGGGTTTCCATTCCACGGCCCCCGCAGGACCTGACTATATGTCAAACAATTTTTTTAGCAAAAAATTTTTCTCTCTTTTTCACTTTTTTCTATGAAATACAAAATTTTTCATACAACATTTTAAATGATTCAGGTTTTTACAGTTCATGTCCATTTAAGGGACGACATGAACATAAATTAGTGAACTTTTCAATTCACTAATTTTTGACAGTTCACAGCCGTATAATAATTCTTATTTAAAAAATTGAATTTTTAAAATCATTTTGTTTAAGACAAAAATAATAAATAATAAACATAATAAAAAAAAAATTATATTCGACATGGAGGGGGGGGGGGCTATAGGAGCCTTTGGATATAATTCACAAATTCAAACACAGGTCCCGAACAACAAAGTGCCGCCAGCAGTACCACTATTGCAATAAATAAAAACTATAATACCTTGTCCTCTGCATCAACTTGTTGGACCTTGGTTTGCTCATCCATCACCTGTTCAATGTTGCGCTGCTGGATTTGATCCTGGCCAAACTTCCGCAGTGCAGCCCTAGTGATTATAAGGTCGGGGAGAGGGACGACCTTATCAATGTGGTGTTCAGAGAGTCGTGCAGCCGACACCTGTTGCGCATAATAAATTAAATGATTAATTTAAAAAATGTTGTAAATTGATAGTGTGGAGAACAAGATAAATGTTAAAAAATTGTTTCTGTTCTTTCGAAAAATTAAAAAAGGAACAAATCTGACACATTGTTTTGCAACAAAAACCTAGGACGAAAATTTAAAAGATTTTGTTAATCAGGAACGCTTTAAATTAATTATTTAGAAGTAAATTGAAGAGCTCTCCAAATGCAGTTGAGTCAAATACCATTCCTTTTTTTCCAAAATGATTAAAGTTATCAAACGATTTTTTTTATGCAGGAGACATTGCTTCCCCTGGATCATAATAAATCAAAGTGTTAACTGCGCTTTTTAGGGAAAAATAAACAATGATAGAGGACAGAAAGGGGCAATAATTGAAAAACTAAGCGTTCATATCCCGCGATTTCAAAGAACTGTTATTTAAAGTTGTAATGATGCAATTTGATCATAGGAAGAAATCAAAATAAATAATTATGACGGGAGCGTTAATTAAAAATTCAGAATTTCGCGTAGAGAATTGCAAGCAAAATAGAAATTTTCTTGAAGGTAAAATTAAACATGTGTACCAAAAAGTAATGGACTGAATGATCTCTCAGAGGAGTGACATCAATTTAGAAAAAAATACTCACATCCACTCCCTGCCTGCGACATAAAGATGGCTCGCTTGAGTGTAGCTGCAATTTTAAGACAAAAAATTTCATTCATGAGTCATTAAATTTTTAAGCTGATCTAGCAGATACTGTGAAATGAAAGCACTTGCTTCCTGAGTTAATATCAAAACATTTGTATTATCAAGAAAAATTGACCCATACTTGTGAAGGTTCCCACTGCGACAAATCCCAGGGCTGGCTAAAGAACGGATCCTAAAACAAGAAAAAAATTTAATAAAATAAAAATAAGAAAAAAATCATCTAAAAATTTATCATAAACTTTCTTTAGGGTTGCATGTGTGGCGATCTCTGCCGACTCCACAACACAACACATACATACACTACCATTCAGTCTAACCCATGGCCACCGGCGTAGCCCGCTCAGCTAGTGCGAAGTACAAGAGCATAGCCTCCTCCACATAGAAGACCAAGCTACGTCGGATCGAGCCAGTGTGCGGCCACACACTTTTCCCACACATGCATTAATTTGTATTAATACGCGACTCAACACTGTGAAATTTTAATTGTGACTGAAAGTGTTAGTAATCAGTCGCCAGGCGCCGGTAAAATTTTAAATCTGTTTATTTTCCAATTTTCAAATCCATAAAAAAATAAAAATTTTTGGACAAAAAATTCAGACTTTATTCAATTTTTGCTTTTACTTTTTTACGATTCGTAAATTAAATTTCTATTTTTTACCTGCTTTTCACATTTTTTAACCTTTTAGACTCACTTAAATGGCCAATTGATGGTTTGAGCTATCTCAAAAATTAGATTCAATTTTTGATTTGTAAATTTGTGTGTGAATTTCTTTGAGCTTTAAAGCAATTTTTTGGAGATTACAGGGTCTGATTTTGATGAGAGTTTGTTTGCAACTTGCAATACCCATTAGAGACTCTGGATATTAATAATTTATATAAAAAAAACTATTAAAATGTAGGTAAAAAAGCGTCCTTAGTGTAAATATGTTGTCTATACCTTTAACTTTCCAATGTAGGTCAAATTGTATGACTATTATAAGGTAAAAATTTTAGAAAATTTAAACAAAAAGCATTGGCCGCTCAGAAGCACCCAAGGGAGGTAAAAGTTGCACACCAATTTTCAATAAAATCGTGATGTCTTATCTCGAGCATATGGCTTGTTAACAAAGACAAAAATATTTCTTCCTCCTTTTTGAGCAGACTGCAGAGCGCATGGATAATAAATCAATGACAGAGCGTGATCAATAGAGAAATTCATGACCAGACGCAAAATTTTATTATTATATTCACTAAAAAAGATGAGACGCAGGTATTTTAAAAGGAAAAGACTAAAAATAAAACGATTTGTTAAATGATAATTACGAACAAAGTACTTTGCCGATAAAATTTACTCAAAAAGTGTTTGTTATCAAAATTTGTATATTTACTTTTGTTTTGCATTTATATTGAGAAATGCCCGGAAATACCATCTCAATAGAGTATTTTTCAGTGCTGGTGCGCGAAAGATTACTATTGGATTATAATTGCTTCTTGATGAGTGAAAATTTGAAGAACTTCAAAATCAAAGTGGGATTCTTGCATAACTCGGTGAGTTTCATAAGAATTATTTTGCTGGTGTTAAGCTACAGAAGTTGAGAAGGGGATCCCCCACAGCCGGATCATTAAGAGAAAGATACTGATTTATCTGCAACTAAACATAGGCGCACAAAAACAACAGAGGTTTATATAGCTCATCGAGGAGCAGCCGAGAGTTTTGATTCAGCGCAAACAAAATTCAGTCATTATGTTATAAAATTACAATAAACCAAAGTGATTTAACGTTTTACAACAAATTTTTGGGAATCTTCTATCTTTTTAATTTCCAAAATTCCGATCGTGCAAGACTAAAAATGATAATTGCAGTTTTCTGGGCTTTTTAATTTAATCCAATTGCTACATAATAAATTCTATTCTATCTCGCGAACATTTCCACTGCACGCACCAATTGCCAACGTTTTTGAAGCAATCGTTTTTTCAAGGCGCAAATTTTAATCTGTCATTCATGTAATGCCTTTTTAATGACTTATGATAGTATTGCATTAGCCCTGTAAATATCATGAGATACGCGCAAAATGCAAAAGAATCGGCAAGAAATTGGCTTCAGGGAGAGCAAATTAAATTTCAATTTATCTGCCGCCGCGACCGTTAGCAAAACGCTGCTTGGCCAGCCAGCCGGCGCGCTTAATGCCGCTGCCGAGACGTATACAAAATACACATTTAAAACAGCAACGTCAAAAGATTTAGACTCGCACAAACCATGAGCTTCCTAAAATTCATCAAAATTTCAATAGCTTTTTATGAAAATTAAATTTCCATTTTTTTCTAGTAAAAACTTGGGCTATTTTTCAAGGTGTGATCCCAATTAAAACTAATAAAACTTGTACAGGGTTTGCAAATAAACTAAAATATTTAAATTTCCAGGAATGAGCAAATCAACAAAACTAATTCATAATCATGATTCCACATTCAGCTTTCTGAATTTTAGAAAAAATAACAGAAACCTTCAAGGATTGATTATCAATAAAACATATGTGTTCAGCAAATTACGAATTAAATCATAATCCAACATTGTGGAAAAGATGTCATAGGTATCAAATTAATTCATTGTAATATCCCATTACCTATTTATCTTAAATATAAATACTATTAAAACCCCTGAGATCAACAAGTTGATCAACCTAAAATAAATTAATCGTTTATGCTACTTTGATATACAATGAAATAATATTAAGTTAATAATGAAGAGCAACCCAGGATTGTGCACTGATAAACAAGCTTATAAATCGAGCAAAAAAAAATAATAAAATTCATATGGACCGCCTTGACTGCGGGGAAAAGAGAAATAAAAATTGAACAGCTTCGGTGCTGCGTGCTGAACGAGCAACTTCACAGTCACTTTTTGTTTGATTAGTGAATTGAACTCTCTGTGATTGAACACTTGGTGCGAACTATTGTCTTGGGCAGATTTTGTGAGGTTTTCCTGTCCGAGAAGCACAACTGCGGGAGGCACGCGTTTTCGGTCTACACCCGAGAGCGCATATCAAGCAATAATGCATTTGACACCAACCACTTTGTTGCCAACTTTGGGCCGCAACCGCGTCCCCGTCTGAACTGCAGCAGAGCAGAAGCTCAACCTGCAGTGAAGCAATAAGAGACGATACAACTTACCCACAGCGCTGCTGCTCCCACAAATTCTGATGATTGTCGACTTGTTGATGGTGGTGTCCTCTCAAGTGAGAAAGGCAAGCGGCGCTGGGTTTGCATCTGTCGTCCAAAGGGTGGCCAAGAGGTTGAAAGGACTGTCGCTCTGCGTTGTGGGATCTCAAGCGGGGACGAAAGCTTCGAGTCCTTGCCTTGGTCACGCTGTTGCAGGTTTCTGATTGGTGCTATCGGCGACTAAATTACACACACAAAAAGGAAAATAAAAATTAAGTTTCACGTTATGACATTCAACTTAATTTCGATCTTTTCAAACATTAATCGCTTGCATTTTAGTAAACATTTAACACAGTTTCTTTATAGAAAGGCTTATTTTAAATACTCTGTAATAGTTCTTTTTATGAATTTGTGAAGAAAAATATTTCAATAAAAATAAACTCACCAGCTGTTCCCAGAAAGCTTGGTTGCTGGCCTAAAACAAAAACAAAATATTGTGATTCTGTAAGACTTTTCAAGAAAACACATATATGATTTGGGTTCAATTAGATACGATAATAATGTCTGAGAAGAGATGGAAAAATTGGAAAAATTCACGAAAAACATTAGTAAAGGTGTTAATTATTGTCTAGAGAATAACTCGATAAAAATATCACAAAAATGATTGATACCGCGATTAATATCTTGTGAATATTGCAAAATTTTGCAGATGGTGAAGGTCTGTGCACAAAACCGCTCAAGCGCTCGCGGGCGGAAATGGGCCCATAGCTCTTAAGAATAACATTGTGCCTGCGGCCAGCTATCGCCAGCTACTGAGTGAGAGCCTCGTTGTGGATCAAGCCTTTACGACAACATTTTTTTTTCTCTTTGGATATTAGGCCGACTCTGCTAGGTATAATTAAACACACTATGTCTTTTCATTCTAAAATAAATTATAATAATAATAACAACAATAATAAAAGAAGTTGTTCCAAATTTAAAAATAAAGGTGTTTGTTAATGCAACTTTTTTATTACCCTTGGGTGATATGTACCAAAATTTGCCCGATATATAAAATGTATAAAATATATCCATTGAAACACAAATGAAATAAATTTTTTGTAAAAAAATTTAAAATCTAAATAACACAACAGTGTAAAATACGTAACAGAAGCCGTCCTCTGTGCAAACATTTTGCAAAACTGGAAAAGAGAATTCAGGCTGTTGGGGGTAAAATCGGATATCGGATCCGGGATTTCATACTTGGCCTCGGAGCCGGTGGAATAAAACTGACAGACCTCAAAACACAGCGAATTACTTTTAGATGAGAGACTTCTATATATTTTTTTCATCAACTCAACAAATGATTCTCTAAATAAAGAAAAATTACATAAAAAAATTAAAATGAATAAATAGTAATGATAACTTAATCTTTTGAAATCATAAATCTTTTTAAATAATGCAAAATAAAAAATGGGACATACCAGATCATTCGTGCGGGTTGGGCGAACAGCCGTTGATGTCTGACAATGAGGAAAAGAATAAAAGATAATTATCAACATGAATGCTGAAAAATAAAATTTGGTAAGGCAAGGCTCATTTACAATGCACTTTTACAGACTCTGGCGATCTAGACTGTTTGAAATATATTCCATACTGTGTGATATTATATTTAATTAATGAATACCTGGCATTGCCCGAATGCACATACAGATGGAGTGGACGGAATCTCCATTGTGGTCGGAACTGAGGCAACAGAGTCAAGAGGTGTTTGCGCCTAAAAACAATCAATTAATAATTATTAATGAATATCCATATTAATGAATCATCCAACAATTATAAAAGAACATAATTTATTCAAACTGTACTTTGAAACAATCAAGGTTTTTTCAACAATTGAATATAAACAATGTGATGTAACAATTTGTACAAATAAACAACAAAGATTTAACTTTAAATTTATTTAGAACTTAAAAGGAAATCTGTGTAATGCATCAAATTCAATCCCCCTCATCAAGTTACATTAGGAGTGGACTGACGGTTAATTTGAGTTGGAGGATATTTATATTGCTTTGGATTCAAATCTTAATAGCACTGGGCAACTTTTAATATCTATAAGTGTGCTTTTACCTCTTCAGATCGGATGACCAGTGGGCACATGTCATTAAGGAAAGATTCCATTGCTGAATAAACAAAGCTATATAACCCAATGTCTCTAAGTGCACCGCGGTCCTCCAAAACTTGCATAAGCATTTCAGTCAAATCTATAGATTCTTCCCCGAGTTTGCTCTTAGCAGCAACCATGCAGTCATCCAGTATCACTCCGTTGCTCTGTGAAATTAATTTAAACATTTTTATAGCATAAAGATTTTGTTGTTTTTTTGAAATTCTCTGTCACGTTACTTAATCAATGCTTTATGTGTGTGTGTGTGTGTGAGTGTAAATTAAAGTAAATAATGTATTTTAAATATGATGAGCAAAAAAGGATTATTAAAAATATTATTTTAGGCAGTTGGTGAGTGGTGGGTATAATATTTTCATTCGTATATTTGTCATTGAATAAAAAGTTTTAACAAACAACAAAATACCTCGTATGATATGTTAAAATGGAACGAACGTAATGAGCCGTTGTTTGGTATCCTAATGGGGGAGCCCAAATGCTCTCACAGGATGTAGGAAAGTCTTCAATAACCGGTATGACTGGTCCATCTACTGGAGTGAACCCTACATAATTGAAAATAATAAATTTTCACAACTCACACAAAATCATTAATTTCAAACCTGAATGTCCTGACCAATTTCGGAATTTTTGATTATGCGCTCGTATTAAACGGCGCTTTATTTTTGGTCGGTAAATTCTTTTCATGAAATTCTCGATTTCGTCAGACCGGGGTGGACTCATCGTTCGGAGCAAAATCTCAATCCATAATAGAATGTGGCAACCACAATCAACTCCCTGCTGCAAGAAGTTGTCGGTCGGGAAAAATATTTTCCATTCCTCTGGGTTGGTTTGAGGACGCTTTTCTGTGGCTAATGCACAGTTCATCAACTGCAGGAGGTGAGCAGTCAATCGGTATGAGCGAGGGAGCTCTCCATCTATCTGTGCTTTTAGGACCAATTAATTGGGTGTGCAGCTTGAGTGAATCCAGGCAAGAAATGGCTTTTCGCTGCCAATCAATGAAATAAACAATCCAATGGTTGTTTTCCGGTATGTGGCACGGCAGGATCCATGTGTTGAACTTCAAAGCACCGGTTTTTTTTAACATGTCTGGGCTGAATTGATTTGTGGTCAGCATGCTTGAGAGGACATTGGGGCAGAAAAGGAACACTGTGTTGTGTTTGGCTGCTACAGACATGTGGATCATCAAAAGTGAGTAGGAGAAGATAATTATGCTGTCTAGTAACATCTCATTGTCCAGTGAAGACAGCTCAACAGCGTTGATGTCCACATCACACACTCTGATCATGCCATTGGTGTTGAGATTTTCCTTAAATCATAAGACATAAAATTTACTTCAATTTATTTTGATACAGTTCAAAACAAAGTTTGATTTTAAATGGTAATTGAGCAGTTCACACAGACTGTATTTGTTGATGACCGGACTCACGGACTTATTTTGATAATAGAGGGCTCACATTTTTTTAATTAATTTTAAATGACATTGCAATGAAATCCTATACGCATATTAATTGCAAATACTTTGACCACTCTGTGGTGATAGAATCATCTTCGCTCAGCTTTATACAGAACAAGAAGCATATCATTTTTTTAAGAGCTGGCAAGCTATATGCCGCATAGCAATGAAAAATAATCAGACTATGTCAAATAAGTAGCACATATGTATACTTCGGAAAGCTAATAAAATGATCAGAGCATACAACCAAATACAAGGTATTTTTTTTATGTTTTGAAAAAAAAACATTTCTGTTCTATTGTAATAAACAGATAGTATTATTTTGGCTGCGTATGAATAATAAAAATAATGAATCGCATCATATTCCTGCTTCAAACTCACTTTTCAGTAAACGCTACAAGTCAGAGCAACTACAATTAAAATTTTGAATGTTTTCTATGAAAATGGATCTTTTTTAAACTTAGACTCCAGTGTATTTACAAATGGCGATTAGAAGAGAATTAATTCTAAAATACAATTGATGAATTTTTTCTTTAAAAAGCTCTAGCTTCCATAAAAAAATTATTTCCACAATGCTCTTACAATTAGTTTGGTTTTCTTTCTGATTGAGTCTCTTATGAACAGAGGCCACATCAAAAATCTAAATGATTGTGAAGCAAAAATAAAATATTTTGAGATCTAAGGGTAAAACTTATGGATCTCAAATGCAGTATTTTGTAATAACATGATTGCAATCGATTTAAGTTAATCAGTTATTTTTTTGGAGTGGTGTACCCACTTTTTTTGATGAATTTAGTAACTGAAAATTTCTAGGGGTACTTCAGGATAGCAAGTAATTATTTTCATTTTCTTCTTTCCATTTTTGCCCCAGTACAACCTATGCAATTTAATTTATATTGGAAAGTTGAAAGTAGGCAACATTTTAACACGCAGGACACTTATTTTGTTGCCTACATTTTCATATATATTTTTTTTTTAAGTAAATTAGCATTCCAGTTGAAAGTGGGCCAAAATTTATAGCCCTACCATCTCAAGGGTAGTGAAAGTTGCATACCAACTTCTTCAAAATCGTGGTGCCCCATCTAAAAATCGTAACTTTTAAAAATCCTTACTTTGGGTTGCACTCTAGGCGCATGCTGCTGGATAAATTTGGTCCAAACTTTCTTCATCCACTCTTTGTCCTTGGGTGTAATTCGACGATTCAGTCTCCGTAAAGCAGTATCACATTGATTTGTGAAATCAATGACTTCACACGCCATTGAGTTGTTGCTGAAAAGAAATAATGATGTATTTTTAAAAATACAGGATCACCCCAGAATGACAAATTTCATCAAAAAATTCCCAGCCGTTGAGAAATAGCAGATAAAAGTTCAATGACACATCTTTTGTGTTTTCAAAAACACAACTCGTCCGAGTATTTCAATTGCAATTTCTTGGTTCTTTTATTAGAAATTTTTATAATTGTTTTCAGTTATATAAATCTAAATGTGCAAACATTAGTTTGTCGTCTTGTCAACTATAGAGAACAAGAACTTGTGTCTAGCTAGTGAACAAATTATTGGAGTGCAAAAATGCCACTCCAATCTAGCGCCAAGAAAGAATTAAAACTTATTTGAGATTTTTTTTTTTAAAAATTGTGAAGCAAAATAAAAAAAATTATTTTATACGCGTTTTTGCAGTGCCAGCTAGTGCTTGTAAACTGGATTTAATCCAGAGCATTTTTGCCTAAACGCCTTTCAAATTGGGCCTTTTACAAGATCAGCGGCCGAAGTTTTGCACATTTCTTATTCAAATTTTGTTTCAATTGATCATAGAAAATGGACACATTTAAGTGCCTTTCTGGCAGGTATTGTGTTTTATTTTTTGTTATAGAAATAAATATATCTTCAAAGTGGCCCAAAACCAATTGCTAAGAATCGCACGCAGAAAACGTGTGTTCCATAAACCAATTCTTCATGGGTGCGTGTTTTTACCTTAAAACGAACTTGCAAGAATAAAAAGAAAACAGTTCTTCAATGATAGAAGAAGAAGAGTCGGGTTGAAGTTTTAGAAATTAGTGAGAGAAAAAAAAACGGAATTTTTTTTTTATAATATGGAAACAAAAGTGGTGGAGCTGGCGGCCGTTTATTACGCACTACGCAACAGTTGAGAAAGTTTAGAGCCCAAAAACGTTTCGGTCGAGTGAACAATGTTTTTTCTGGCCAGTGGTGCTGCCTTTCATTCACATTTTGCTTCCTTTTTTTATTATTTTACTCTACCATCTTGATTTGCAAACAATTCTCAGGCAAATGTTAAATTTTCAGATGTTTTTTTTTCTATAAAGTAAATATAGTGTAGAACGAGCTTATTTAGTGCTGTCACAGCACTAATTGTAAAATTTTTTCCTTCGTTGAAGGTCACATGAATAAGTTTTGGGAATATTTAGTGTGTTGACACTCTTAATAAATCTGAATGCATTTTCTCTGCTTGCCTTTTTCAATTCATAAACATTCATGCCAAAGTTTAAAACTGTGTTAATATCAGTATTTCAAAAGATAATTGATGAGCCAGCTAAAATAATTTAGTCTCTAGGTTTATTATTCTATTTTATTCTTTTTTGGTCGGGAGTCGGGACAAAATTTTAAAAATTGAAGAGAGAGAGAGAAGATATACGGTTCAAAAGAAGTCAAACCTCATATTGAGGGTTTTAAAGGTATGTATGTAGCAGATTTCTGTTAACACGCCCAGCAACAGAAAACCGCGGTGATTCCATGCTAAATTTTCTTTTTAGTTTTTTGAAGATTTCTCGATTTAAACAAATATTTAAAGTAAAATAATACACCGTTTCCACTTTGTCTATTGAACATTTAACTTTTAATAAATTCAGCAATTATATTCAAATAATTTATTGATTAATTGAATTATTCAATTGATTGCCAATTTAATTTAATATTAAATATATAATGTCAAATGTTATTTTTTTTTACTCGCCTAAAACAAATAAAACTAATTATTTATTTATTTATTTATTTATTCTCCATTCAGATACATGAAATACACAACATCTTACATCAAGTCAATACACAAAAAATTAAATATAAAATACTGAAAATACATAAGTTAAGAATGTTGGTTAGAGGGGTGAATGGAGAAATGGCTCTTCGCTAGCAAACAACTTGCTAAAGCACGGCGCACTCTCCTTCGAAGAAGAGCACACCGGCCGCTAGAGCCATTGGTCAGGGGGACTTACACGAATTAGGTTTTTGCCACAGATACGCCTTGCACAGCGCTGGAAACTGTGCCGCCGTACAGTCTTTCAAGGCGGGTGGCGTGTCATTCCACGGTTTGACGACGCGGTAAGAAAACGCCTCACGTCCGAATTTTGTTTTCGCGTCTGGCTGCAGAGCACGGGGATAATTGCTGTCGTCACTTCGCAACTTTGGCCCCGTAGTTAGGCGCGCGCTCGCGTCAAAGTCCGTCACGCAGTGGTCACTTTTTTTAAAAAATAAAAGGTCGGTGTACACGAGCTGCATTTCTACGGGCATGATTTTTTTGCTCCTTCACCGGTGGAAGGTGTTTGCCGTAATTGAAAATATTATAAGAGAGGTCGGCTAAAAGACCTAATCTGATATATCAGAGACACAGGCTGAACTGTCGCGGTGATTGCACGGCTTGATGATAATACCAATGTGCAAAAAGACTAATAAATTAGTTTTAATTTTTTTAAACTTCAATGATAATTTAAAAAATTCCAATATGTACTAAAACATTAAAAAATTATGTTAAAAATTTAATTAATTAATATATTGGAGAATATCGATACATTTTTAAAGTTAAACATCTTTTTAATGACAACAGCTATAGTTATAAATATTTTTTTTTTAAATAAAACCGCATCATTATTTTTGTTTTCCTGGTTTACAAAGAAAAAAATTTAACTGTCCAATTTATATGGAAGTAAATTAGTTTTTTGTCCCTCCTGTAAAATTCATCCATTATTTTTCAGCGCGTGGTTGATTGCGTATACCAAAATGTACTTACGCGCTCTGGTCGCTGTCGCTACCAAGGCGAATTTGAATTTGAAATTTAATTTAATGATTTTTTAATGTGTCAAAAGGGACAAAATAAAAAAAATATTTTTTCTGCGCTTTAGTCAATATGAAAATTTGATTTACAAAAACTCTAACTGTGTTCTATGAAATAATTAAGATTTTTTTGCTCATGGGACACGCGAGCTATTGGGTTGGTCTCTTGCCAAAGTCGAGCACCCTTAGCACATTTGTGCTTCCCAACCAACCTGGGCAACCTGACCCCTGGTTGGGGGCTTCTAGCAGATTTGGTGGTGCTCGCATGGGCCGTCTTGAGACCTTGCCCCGCCCTGCAAGAACTGAGTCGTGAAAAACACGAGTTAAACTTGTTTTTTAAAAACCAGATAACTAGTTTTTTTACCACCAGTTTAGCACAGGTTCCATGATTGGTAAAAAACTGGTTTTTTTACAAGTTACCAGAAATATCCCAGTTTATAACAAGCTTATTTATGGAAATAAAGCCAAAAAATGTAGAAAATTACGCAAAAAGAAAAATTATTTTGATCTTTTCACGGAATTTGTAGGTTTTGTTTGCACTTTGGAGGTGGGGGGGGGACTTGTAGATACAAGCGAAAAGTCTGCCTGATACTGGACTGGAATTTGGGAAATTGTGCATCTGAAACAAAGCTTTTACCATTAGACCATGAGATATAGATTTGTAAGATATTGTTGCATAATAAATCTGATTTTTTTTCGTCGCCATTCGAGATGCTAATACGAAAGAACGTTTGAGGGGTTTAAGAATTTATTCGAGTGATGCAGTGATGTAGTAAAAGTATGTAATGCAATTTAAAATTTATTTACAAAAAAAAATGCCACTTGTGTGACTTCAATGAAAAATAAAAAATAAATACCGTTTTATTAAAATAAATATCGAATAAAAATTCGACAAAAAAAATTCCGTGTAATAAAATTTATTTAAAAAATAATAAATTTATAGTTAAAAGTTAAATATCAAATTCCAAAATTTTACATGTAAAAAATTTAAGTAGATGAATTATTTAATGAAAAATATAATATATGATTGTTAAAAATTAATAGAAAAATGAAAATTTTGGGAGTTCCCAATTCTTTCTGTTTACACATACCTGATACTTCACCCCAAATTGAAGATATCAATATGAGATTAGATTCGCTCCAGTAAAGTGCTCTAAATTTTTATCAAAAAATTTTCAAAATTTTTCCAACTGCGCGAGCGCTCATAACGCGCTCCAATCTTAAAAAGTTTTATGATAATTAAAAAGATGCAGATCTTTTTTTATAAAAAACTATTTAATTATATTTGCAGACACTTATGGCATATTTTACAATACCGGGCCAGTGGCAGAGTGGTTAGTGTGCTTGCATTCTGATCACTCTGAGTTCGGCTGGCGTGTGTTCGAGCCTTGCAATTTGTTTGCATTGATAGCAAAAAGATGTGTGTGAGCCGGACACTCGCCAGCTGAAATCCAGTGGAATTCGGGAGATGCAGAGCAATCTGCATTGACTCGCTGCCGGCTGGTTTCCACCTTTCCAGCCGGGCATATTAATTGGTATGTGGCGAATGCACAGCATTTCAATTGCGAGTCCTCGGTGGTGAGGCAAAACACACTGACCGTCTTGCAAATGGGTGCATCTCGATCGGGTGGCAACTCGCGATTCGCGGTGACACTCCATAAGCTCAAGACTCAAATATTCAAAAAAAAAAAAATAATATAAATTATAAAATATAATTATTAATTTTACTATTATTTATAGTAAAATTTCACGATCAAGGGTTGATTTGAATTTAAGGTCGTCCTTTCCTCGGTGGGTTTTGTGAGTTGTTTAATTATTGATGTTTAAGAAAAAACAATGTTTCGGCTGCGGGCTGCAGCCATAATTCACAGCTGTGAAATTATTGAGACGAAAAAATTTATTAATATATTTATTGATTTTATTAAAACTCAATCATCAAATAATCAATTTTCACAAAAATTCTTATCAATTGAAAAATTTACACCGAATTTTTTTTTAAATGGACAATTATTATTAGAAATATTTTTACAAATTTAATTAAATAATAATTTTGGTCAAAATAGAAAAACATGCGAAACCTGATAAACCAAACAAAAAATAATTAAAGCTTTCTCGACCTTCACTGAGAAAGGTACGCTCAAAACACATGTTTCTCTATTCTGACTAAAATTATTATTATAATTAAATTTGTAAAAATATTTCCAAAAATAATTGCCAAATTTTTGTAAAGAAATTGTGGCAATATTGAAAAAAAAAATTTAAAAAAAAATGATAATTTTATGAAACAATTTTATATAATTAATTTATGGCTAATTTGTTGAAAAAAAATTTCGAACAATAATCGTCTAATTTTTATAAAATAAAAATATTTAGTGAAAAAATTTAACTTCAAAAGAATTTTTGAGATGAATAATTTTTACACTCATTTTTGTCAAAATAATTCCACCTCTCATGAATTATGGCTGCAGCCCGCAGCCGAAACATGAAAAGCAGGACATTGAATTTTACCTAAACAATAAACAACTTCCAAAACCCATCAAAGAAAAGCAAGCTATAAATTCAAATCATTTATCTTTTCAACATTAAAAAAATCTTTCTTTTACCGATGTAATTTTTTTTAACTTGTAAAAATTTACCTGTTAATAACTTGTTTAAAACTGGTATTTCTTTGACGAATGCGAATTTTCCAAAGCTCGTCTCAAAAATACCAGTTTTTCTCATGATAAAAACTTGTTACAAACTCGGTCAACTGGTTTCATTTCTTGCAGGCGCGGCCTTGCCACAAAAAGGACAGAATGAAATGCAGGCATTCCCCACACAAGCCGAGTTCCAGCTCGTGGCTCGGTGGAAACGTGGCAAACCGAGTGCGAGTGAGTGCGAGTCGGTGCAGCTTTTGCTAACCTCCCTAATTCCTGACGTGTCACATATCCAAAAATAAATTTTATGAATGATTCGCATACCAGAGGGCTGTAAACCTCAACTATACCTAATTAAACGCATCTGGAATTTTTATCCGCGCAGGTTCGGATAATAAAAAACTGCGCGCCTTTTTGAGAAATTTGCATTCGATAGTTAAAATTCGATTCCTTCATTCAGTTCGGGGGCGCACAAAGTGCACCTTGCCGACGAAGAGGCTCTAGCACTCCCATGCATGTTTTGCAACTCGCTTCGCGAATGCTTTACTCGATTATGATTATAGAGACATCTTATGCTCTTGTATATTGCGACTCTTACATGGTGGCTCAAACCCTGTTCTCTTAAAATGTTAAAATATATAGAATGGTAAATTTTTGAAGTCAATATTTCATTTGAAGTGAGATACTCAATAATTTACTCAATTTTCTGTACGAAAGATGGTCCAAATTTGGTTTCTGCCTTCAGAAAAAAATAATTTGAAAATTAGCACGTTAAATGAAAAACTTCCCTGGGGTAACACATTTCAAATGCCCCTGTATAAATATCAATCTCATAATCTCGGCAACAACCTTTAATAGAAATGCATAATTGTGATACTTAATCATATTTAAATTATTATTATTTATTATTTTAAAATATATGACAATTATATTGACATTCATTAAAAAATTTGATCCAATAATGAATGAATAATTTTTGATTATTTTAACTAAAAACTTACAAAGCAAGACCAGATTGAATTTATAGTTTGTTGCTTGGGTGGAGTTGTTTGCGGCCCAGGCCCTTTTTCAATGAATCAATTTAGTTAACATAATACATAATAATGGTCTCTTCTTCTAGGTGCTTATAGGGAGATTTTGATGTGCTTGGGCTCGCAATCACAGGGGAATTCTAATTTAAATTTCTTAAATTAATAATTAAATTTTAAAAAACATTGCTCAATAAACTTCGTTTTCTGGTGCTCCTGCTTTGCTCTTTTTAACTTGCCACTTGAAAAAAATTAAGCTTTTTGTCGCCAATTTTGATAGCTTTAGGCTTACAGCATCAATCCCAATTATGCTGCACATGTGCGAGATTTAATAACGCATTTTTATTTAGGAATAATAATTAAATTTACGCTCAAATATATGTAAGATGCCACAAATCCCGCGCTTGCAGCAAAAGTATGCTTGTCATCGTCGCGAGCGTTCATTGTTGTAAAAATGTTTGAACAAAAAAAATAATGTTCAAGGTTCAATTATTGGAGAAAAAATTTAACTGCGGAAAATTTACGATAAAATAATATAATTAAAAAAAAAACACGTCGATAAAATCAAATTGTTCATATCATTACTTTTTTAACAATAAATAGTCTTACCTTCTTCTTGACGATCAAAACGACCATGTCTTCCTTCTTTGAGTAACACCGCTCCAATGGCTCCGGCTCCAATGCGCCACGCCACTTTCATGCTCGTCTGCACTTTGCACTTTGCACTCAAGGTGACCTCGGTGTAAAGCAATGCGCGGTTTGGAGGATCATTAAGAAAATTCTTTTGTACATTCGCATTTCGGAGCCGCATTTCTGATAAATTCTATTTTTGCTAATGTGTCTGCTCCTCTTGCTGCACTTTGCACTCAAGGTGGCCTTGGTGTAAAGCAATGCGTGATGATCAGAAATAAAAGACGCGTTGAGAGCATTGATTTAAAATTGATTTGAATTATTAGGTCCATGGTTGAGAGGCTACTGCATTGTAGTTGAATTTCGAGTCTAGCTTTCTAATAAACAGATAAATAATCATTGCAACACAACACTAGTCGCTTTTGTTAATGCCTTTTTCGGGTATATCTCAAAATGAAAAAGGATCCGAAATTCTGCAACAAAACTTTAATAATTTTAGTAGATAAATACATTTTAGCGCAGCTACTTGCTATTTTATCCATTTTTAATTTAACTAAACGCTAAAAACACTGCAGCACTATAGTTATGGGAACATGTATGTAATTGGCATTTGTGAATTTTAAACGTTACCTCACATAATTCAGACAATACAAGAATGTGGTAATTTTACAAATAATCAATAATGTCATAAAGATTACAATAAGTTCAAATAAATCCGAACGTGAAAAGATACAAACAAAATACCACTAAAAGGGAGAATCAAAAAGTTACAAACACATCAGGAAAGTAAAATAATCGTCCAATTGGGTTTCTTTTAAATGCAGTGCAACTCCCTTAAATATTTCTTCGCTCCTGTGTAGTAGTACGTTCTATATATATTTTCATCAAAATGCACATACACAGCATAAAAATTGCAGACAAGTGCGAATCGAAATTATTATTGTGGCTCTCAATCAATATTTTATCAGCCTTTATTGGCAAGAGAGAAATTTAGGCATTTTTTTTTATTCATGTCACGGCCTGCTCTTGCTAGTTTCATAAATAGAACATTAATAAATATTATGTATATATATGAACATACACATTTTTTTTATAGTATAATTAATATCCTTGGGAATAGGCCCAAAATTTTTTCCTACTTGCTGACAATGACAGCCTACTGCAATTAATCTCAACTAGTCCAGCTATTTCAATGCAAAAGTTTATCATCGATTGAATTGTGTGACACGTGACCAAATCAACGGCATTATGGTATGAAGCGTTTGTAATGAAATTTTAATATCCCGAACATTGTAATTGTATTTTTTAATATATATAATGAAAACTGCAAAGCACATCAGTAGTGTAAAGAATGCTCAATAGAATTTTAAGATGTGCGACAAAATTATCACAAACTTGAAAAACCATCAAATTAAGTTAGTATTTTGTGCTATTAGGGGATGCGCGCTTGCAATCAAATAACAAGACTGCAAAGCGTCCTTTGCACATTTTCATAAAGGGATCATTGCCAGAAATTCAAAATTCAATCTTCAAAAAATTTTAAAAAAAATTGTGACCGTTGCGCTTTGAGTGTGGATTAAGAAGTAAGAAGTTTTGTAAACTTTCAGAAAAGAATTTGCTAGATGTCAGCATCACATATTTCATAATATATACTTTATAACATTAGAATATATATTGTTAAAACAGCAATAAATAAGGCCTTACTTAGTTAAGAAGGACGCATGATTAACACTTTTCTTGTACATTTTGTTTCTGCCCACAAAAAGAACAGGACCAGACTGAAACTAAGTAATTTCTAAACATGAAAAAGCACAATATTTAAGCAACTGAACATGATCTTGACACAATATACATTATTGATCACAAAAAACTGATTGCTAAATGGGCGATTTGTCATTTTTTTTGCTTGGTATTCAATATTTTTGTGATTTCGTTATTTGTAAGCATATAATAATAGCATTATATGTTTGCAACAAAATACACAAACACCAATTTCTACTTGATCAAAATGCTGCCCAGCACTGCCATCAAATGCTGCCAAATGTTCAGCTCATGTATGGCGAACAATTTATATCATCAGTCTGGACCTGTTCGCCTATCCTATTGCGCCACATATTGTTTAATATTTCATGAGCCAGGGGATTTTATTTGTATTCAACTTGTCATCTAGTGTCAAAATTGAGCCAATCCCTACGAGCTTTAACGGAACAATAATACAACAACGGCTGCCCTGGTCCAGACAATAGAGTAATCTTACAAAAAAACGTTTTGCACCCCTTTTACAGATTTTGGTTAAAATTTGTTATGACAAACTACGATTGAAAGCTGCTACAGATTTCTATAACTTATTCACTGGTTTTACGCTTCACCGCCAAAATAGCACACACTTAATTGTGTCGTCAGTATAATATTTGCTCTAAAATTTCATTGTCTAATTTGGACGTTATCCTGTTCATTTCAGTTAAAACCGTTAGGCAGAGCATTTAAGCTTGCTTTCTCTCTCTCTAAATACATATAATGGCATTTGTAATAATTAATTACATCATATTTATCATCACGGCACAAAAAAGTATTAACAAATTGGTTAAAAAGGGATTTATAAATAGGGAATATAAGTTAGAAATGTCATTTAGGACACCACTTCACAGAAGGTCAAAACAAAATAAGCAAATTTTTGAAGATTTCTTTGAAACCTTTCATTTGAATAGCCAAATTAAATTTGTTTAAATTATAATACAAGTCTGAACAAATGAAGTTAAATAAGTTGTATACAAGCATATAATATCTATGGCCACAAGGATGAACAGATAGAAACCACCACTTGATACAAACTAGCTGTTTTTTTTTATCATTAAGCATATTGGCACCTTTTATAATTGTTTAATTCCTTACATCACATTCCAAAAATGTCATTTTGGTGACCCACATTAACTCTCCCTGATGATTGAAAATGCCCAAAACTGTTTTTAATTAGAAATAATGCACGCAGTTATCAATGAGCTCTGTTAAACAAAATTCAAGTGGAATAGTAAAATATGGCAAATACAGCAGTCTGTGAGTTGTTCAACAATCAGTAAAAATATTGGCTGAAACTATCACTTATTAAAGCAAAGACGTATGTAATAAAAAATCAATATGGCTTGACCAACTGGTCCGTCAAAAAGCAAATGAACTTCATTTCAGGCATTTCATTACCAGGGATGAAAGAGCGACCTCGCAGCATTGTAGTCTTGCCATACAGCAACCTTCCTAAGTGCCATGGATATTACATGAAGTGCGCAATTGTAGTAACACAATTAATCTGCCTCAACCTCCCGATAAACATTTTGTTCTTTCTCGCCCCTCTATCATTTCAATCAACCAGGTGAAAGCAACAATTGCAGCTGTCAAGCAAATCTTGGCTTGGCATAAATAAATAACCTAAGCAATGCTGTCGTCGTTAATTGAATCTTTGTGACTAGGCTCCAGCTGACTGTTTGTTGAGGTAGAGGCGCCACTGACAAGGTCAGCGCCAACACCGATCTCCGTGCTCTCGGCGGCTGAAGGTATTGTGGCCAAGTGGCGCACCAAGAGACCCCTCGAGGACCCGCCGGTCTCGTCGCACAGTTCTGAATGTGAAACGGCGCTTTGCCTTGTGAGTCGAGGCTTCGTCTTGGCTGGCACGACCACTGGCTCGGCGCCGCTCGACGGTGGCAGCAGCGGCTGCAGTGGGGACGGATGGGCAGCTGCTGGGACTGACGCGCGAGCTTTTGGCACAACATACGACTCGCTGCCTGAGGCAGAGGAGCGGGACATGCGCCACGTTGAGGTTGATGCTGATGTGGCTGAATCATTTCGAGAGCTGGACAGGTTCGACTCCTGAAGGAAAACATTTTGTTTTGTTTTTTAGCTTTGTTAAGAATTTTTAGGAGCAATTAAACAAAAATATTACTCATATTGAAATGAAAATTTTTAAATTATTAGTTGCATTATTAAATTTTAAGTTTTAGTTTTACTTGTGATGTTTTTCTTGTGACAGCCCATGATGATCTGCGCTTTGGATCTAGAAGTCGCAAGGGAATGCCGCATCTGTGGTGTGCGTTTCTCCAAGAGTCAGACCTTGACGAGCTGAAGTTCTCGCTTGAGACAGAGGACGCACGCTTGTGTTGCTTCTGTTGAATTTCTGCTATCTGGTATGCATATTGGTCGTTCCGTTCCAAAGGAGCATCTTTGTGGCAAAGCAGCCAAGACACCTGAAAATCAAACAAAGGAAAAATTTAATAAAAAAATAATTAAAAAAAAAATAATAATAATAAAACACTTATTTTATTTCACATAAAATGTTGGACGTTAAAATATTTTCCCACCTTGTCCATGATCCATATCCTAGTTGGCGAGTTTCTGTTCGGTGAGGCCAGTTCAATGCGCTGCATTCGTGGATTTTGTGCAAGCAGCTTGACCGTAGGTGATGCAATGTTCATGGCAGAGCAGGCGCAAGGAGCATGTTCTCGAGAAGAGCGATCAACAAGGCTGTTGGTGTTGGCTGGAGTCTGCCTGTTGCTGAAGTTGGAGCTGTGGCGGCAGCGGCCAATGCCCCTGGTCACACGAGATTCTTCAATGGCCTTGCAGATGAGGACGCAGTCCTTCTTGAATTGCTTTGTTAGAATGGCATAGAGGAAGGGATTGCAGCAGGAGTTCAGCGGAAGGATGAACACGGTGAAGACTTTGGCCTGCTCGAGAGAGATGAGTTGAAGACCAAAAGCTGCTGTCAGTGAAAAGAATGCAATGGGTGACCAGCAAATGAAGTCAGTGAAGACGAGAAGGGCCATTCTTTTTGCAATGCGTGAGTCATTAGAGTTCCAAGCCTGAAAGGAAATAATAAATTGTTAATGAGAATAATTTTATTATTATTTTTTTATTCCAACCTGAGAGCCACGGATGGCACAGTACATCTTCAGGTAGCAGCCCATCAGGATGAGAAAAGCAACTCCGTTGATGAACATCAAAAATACGACATAGGCCAAGGAAGCAGTTCCAGTGGTCTCGAAGGGAAGACACACTGCAAATTTGCGGTAATCGGAGATGCCACCGACAAGAGGAAGAATGGCCATGGAGAGGGAAAAGGTCCAGCCGGCCAGCATTATGTAGCCAGCGTGCTTCAACGAAAGCCTTTTGTTGAGGTGCATGGCATGGGTGATGGCGTAGTTCCGTTCGAGAGTTATCACCGCTAGCGTGTAAACTGACAGCTCACAGCTGAGCACGCCAAGGAAGCCGGCCAGTTGGCACCCAAAAGACATTTGCCACGGAATTGCGTACTTGCGAAATTCGCCTAGGGTCGAAGCATCTACCACTGCTAAAAAGCCTGGTGAAGAGAAGAGGTTGATTACATTTTCAGCGTCAAATTTCAGTCCGTCTCACCAAGATAAAGGCCCATGAAAAAGTCAGCCATGGCCAGGTTGCAGACCAGAAATCTTGGCACGTCCATTTTGCTTCGGGAGAATGTGAGCACAAAAACTACAGTGCCGTTGCCAAGCATTGCGAGCAAAAAGACTATCCACACACCGCATCTCAGCGTCCACCAGTCGAATAAATCATGGCAGGGCAAAAACGGCCCTAAAGGGAGAATTCAATTACAAATGTCTGATGCTTCATTCCTTGCAGATTTACCTGGTAATGGAAGACAATGAACTCGACCGTGTTTCTTGGCACCAACATGCTCTTCATAGTATTCTTCCATATAAGCTGGAAGGTTGCTCGGGTATGTTACATCGGGGCCAAATGACTCGAGTATTTTGGCAATATCAGGACCGAATTTGTCGGTGAGATTTTCTAAATTGAAGTTCAATGATTAATTATCTACAAATTTTTAGGAAAGGAAAAAGCTCACTGAGTTTGGGCCAGAGCTCGGAGTCACTAGAATTCCACAGGCCAAAGTCAAAATTGGATCCGGAACCAGGGAAGATGACTGTGTCATCGAAAACAACTTTGTTTTGGTCCAGAGAGTCGAGGTCCTCTTCGTCAGGGGGTTGAAATGCACAGCAGTGGTAAGCGTACGAGAGCACCAAGGTTAAGATGCGTGGGAAATGCTGGGGACCTGGGAACTCCCTGAGATTCGGGTTGTTGAAGGTTTTCAGGTGCAGAAGGTTGCTGAGTCCTTGCTCGGGCAGATGTGCAAATTTGTTGATGCCCAAGTTCCTAATATTTTTCATGAATAAAATACTTTAAAATTTATAATTAAAAAAAGCTCACAGATCCTCCAAATTGGATAATGGAATGAATGTTTCGGGATGAATGCTCTCGATGCCGTTTCCTTCAAGGTCTCTGTGCAAATATTAACATTATTATGGGCGACTGAAACAATGCGGAATCAACACTCACAAAACTTGCAGTTTTGATAGTCCTTTAAATGCATCCTGGGGCAAAAATTTGATCTTGTTGTGAGCCAAGAGTAAATCGTGCAGTTGCACAAGAGCAGAAAATGGGTGAGATTCCACGCTTTCAATCTGATTCTTAGAGAGCTCTCTGAAAATTTTGCCAGAAATATAATGAGAATAAAAAATTTTATTGCAATGTTTAATTATCCTTACAAAATTCTGAGCTCTTTGCACTCACTGAGTTGAGGAATTTGGGTCAAATCATTTGTACTCAGATCCCTGTGAAGTAAAAACTTAATTTGGTTCGGTCAGATTTAAAATAACACTCACAAAGCTTTCAACTTAGGAGCGAGGGTACAAAGGTTAGAAGGTACGTCTAGCAGAGATGCTCTCTCGATGGTCAGTGTTTCTAAACTGCTGGTTCCGTTCAAGTTTGGAAAAGTGGTCAGATTTCGTGCATCAGACAGTATTCTAAAATAAAATAAAACTGGTTTCAAACTATGTGCAAACAGGCATACAACAACCTACAGTTTTTTCATGAACATAAGTCCAGAAAATGCATCAGGGTGAAGATAGTTCATGGGATTGCCTCTGAGCTCAAGCACTAGAAGTCGAGGTATTTTTTGTAGTGTGCCGAGCTGGATTACTTTTATCTTATTGTTAGACAGGGATCTGCAAAGTATATTTGTGCGTAAGCTAAAGTTTTTTTTTTTAATGCAGAACTTACAAATGCTTTAACACTGGAAGCTCCACCACGGCTTGAGGAATTTCCGTCAAATAATTATCATCTAGATCTCTAAAATTTATTTAAGAAAAATTTATAATTAATAATAACAAATATTTATTTATTCCGACAAAAAGCGCAAACTCACAAAATTTTCAAGTTCTCCAATCCAACAAAAGCACCCACTTCAATTCCCCATAAGTGGTTTTTGCGGAGATTCCTGGAAATTGCATTAACACGTAAGTACACAGCACTTGATAACACTCAGCCGGGATTAATTAACTTACAATTCTTCCAAGGTAGCCAGGCCGTCCATGTCCCCCTTGGCCACGAAGGTGACGTTGTTCCCAGTCAAGTCCCTGCAACATTTGCATGTCGCGTGTCAATTTACACAAACTCGAATAAGATTAAACATTGTAATTTACTCAAGTGAGAATTTAGCGCATGCAAAATGATGTCTTGACCCGAATACTTTGTGATAAGAGTCAAACTTGAGGAAAAGAATGGCGTTATTTATTTTTCTATTTTATTAAGACTGCACACGACGTGACCTTTTGGCTCGTAAATTAGGCGCAAAGTAGCCGACTATTTTTTTTTACTGGGTTAATTTTGTTGGAACATTTTTATGACTGACGTCACGGAAATGATGAGTTTTTAATACATAAATGATAAGGTATTATACAGAGTTTTATCTCTAAGGTTAGAGGTGCCATAAACGAATGAGAAATGGGTCGCTGCGAAATGTTGTGACCGCATATTAATTAGATTTGACGTCAGAGCTCAATCCGGATTTGATCATATTTTAAATTTGTTTGGGAAAATTTTATATTTGTATCAAACTTTCTTTGTAACATAAATCAAAAGTTTGATTTGAAAGTCACAATATTTCTGATTCGGAACTCAATTATACCATAGAGGGGGCCATAAAGATTATTATCATTTATTACTGTGTCAATAATTGAGCATCCTGATTTTCAAACATTATAAAACGACAGAATAAAACCATTTATTTATAAGCTGCTCAATTTAATTAATTTTGATTCAATTCAAATTTAATTTTGTACAAAATATCTATAATGTACTTAACAACACTTAACAACTTTGAAATAAATTATCAAATTATAACTCTAGAAAATTTTTTCTTAAATTTTGTTGATATTTTATGTGTTTTTATACTTTTTATCAAATAGGGTCGCAAAAATAATCGGAAAGTTAAAAAAAAATATACAAAAATTTCAACAAAGACAAAGCACGTTTTTCATCACTTCTTGATAATGACGAGTAATATTATTGATCCAAATTTTTAATTCTACTGCGTAATTACGACATTACAGTTGATTACATCGTCTGGTGTTCTGGTTAATTTAAGCTCGAGCGTGCAATAAAAAACTTAGTTCAACGAGATTATTTATTATCATAGCGCGATAAATATCAAAAAATTAAAATGACAGGTTATAAACCACGTTTAAGCAGATTATAAAGTTTCATTACGACGCGAATCGCAAGTAAAATTAATATGGGTTTTGAGCGCGGCATTAGGTCAAGTGAATCATAATATATTATTTACTACTTGTAGCTAAATGTCACCAGCACGTCAATCGCACAATAAGCGAGTTGCACGCGTGAGTCACATTTTCAGCGTGAAAATTTCACTTGGAAATCAAGTGAAATCATAACAATAAATTGTTATCTTCGGCAATTTTTTTCTGGATAAAAAATTTAAAATATATTATATGGGATTTTAATTAATAGTTTTATCTTTCATAAAAAAATTCTGTAAAGTACATTAAAAGATTCAAACTGAAAAACGCAATTTAATTATAAAAAAAAAGAAATATATTTTTCCAAAAGAGAAAAAAAATTAATTTATTTTGCTACAAATCTAATCTAATTTTGTAATTTCTTGTTTTATTGTGAAAATTTGTAACAAACTTATAATTGCTTATTATTTTTATTTCAATTTGGAAAAAAAAAATTAAAGTTGACAGGTTCGTTATAGAGGTTGCGTCCGAACTTTCGTAAAAACCGTAAAAATTTGGTATCATTGACACTTCTGTTGATGCGATATACCAAAATAGCTGCGGAAAATTTAGAGCGAACGTCTCTGGAGCGAGAGGAAAAAAATAAATCAAATCGAGTGCGTTGGACACGGCTATATATCCGTGACTTTTGAGGCATGCAATCTGCGCAGCCGAATAAAAAACTCGGATGTCACGTATATAAAAAAGAGCAGCGGAGGGGCGCCCTTTAACAGCAGCAATGTGTGCGTGTGCTCGAGCAGCAGGCCCTCGTTTGTGGCACAACAAAACAAAGCATGCAAGACAGATGCACCCGTGCAACGAAATCAATGGGCAGACGGACAGACACGACGGAGCCTCTCGACGGTGCGAAAAAAAATCGCAGCCCCCGCGCCCCCACTCCTCCTCTCGCCGTGTCATTCATGAAATTGGCAAACTCACAGCTTTCGGACGGCTGGCACGCGGCTGGTGACCGAAGGCACCCTGTCGAGGCCGGCCATGCGGCACGTGACCTGCTTGGTGTCCGGTCGGCACCTGCAGAGGCCGTCGCACGGCTGCGACGAGTCGAGGGGGCGGTCGGTGGCGGCGGCGGCGGCAGCGGAGGCGGCCACCGCCAGCACGAGCAGCACAGCAGTCGGCCATTTGGCCGCCATCCCGTGAGTGGCCCGAGTGAGGGTCTATTCGGCCATGCAGTCGGCGGCGTCCAGCAGCTCCGAGTCGGCGCTGCTCATCGGAGGAGGCTCTGCTGCCAATAATGGGTCATGGCTGTCTTCTGTCTTCTCGCTCCTTCTCCTACTCCCAGCCCACTATCGCGGTGTATCGCCCGGAGCCAAAGTGAGAGACCGAGCGCGAGTGAGTGGCACCGCGCTGCAAGTGGTCGCGCCCTCGCACCAGCCGTCTCTGCACTTTCTTTCCCAAGTCTGCTCTGCTCTGCGCTCGCTGTTATTTTATTACATCACATTATTTTCGCGAGCACAGCGCTCTGCCCGCTGCTGCCTCGAGTACACCTCCGAGTGAGCCTGCAAGAAAATTTATTCTGTATAAGGGTCAATCTCGAGGCGACTGTTGCGCGTCTATTGATTTTGTCACCTTTTTTCGACAATGACGAAGCTGTGCTCAGTTTTATTTTATTTCGCAAGATGTTTTTATAAAAAGAATAATAATAAATGAATACTTTACCTTTTTTAAACGATGATTTCCTGTTATCGAAAAACTGCAGCTCGACTCCACGACTCTTGGCTTTCCTGCTGCACCTTAATTTTTCCTGATAAATATAAATGTTAAATTTTTTCTGGTTTTTAAAAATTCTCCAAAACGAAGATCTGGATTTCACTGAATTTATCAAAAAAATTAATTTATGCCACACTTCTTGCCATATATTTAGTTAGATTTAACTATGATGGAATAATTATATTTTGCAATTATATTGTTAAACCTTGCTCTTTGAGAAAAAAATCAAAACCCTTCAATATCTTTCAGATCATTTTATACACTGACCTCGAGCAGTCTCTTGCATCGCGCTCGGTTTCTCCGTGCAGGTGCTTTTGAAGTCTTGAATTGAACTGCACCGAGAGTGCACTCGCCATAACCAGGATCTTGAACTTGGCGGGGGCGCTCCCCAGGCAGTGCCCTTTTTAATCAACGGCTCAATTTTCTAACGTGGTCGTATGTTGAACTATATACCGTGTATTCATTATTAAAATTTTACAAGTTATATAATATTAAATCAATACAATTAAATTTCCTTTTCTTTGGTGCAAGCAAAAATTTAAATTTCAGAGTGATAGATTTTTCACAGTAAATTATTTTAAACAACCGCTAAATAAAATTTTTCTCAGATATACCAGGAAATATTCACCTTGGATTTTTAAATTGTAAAAAATCTACTTAATTTTTTAACTCTGCGTATGAGAGGTAAGACTATTTTGTCTTAAAAAACGTGAAAAATAAAAACCGACAAAAATTTGAGGGTTTTGTAAATATATTTTACTTGGTCTTCAGTTGTAACAGTCATTTGTGTTGTCGCGTCTTCTCAATTTCTCTGTTTGTAGCGAAATTTATGTTTTATTTTTACTTGCAAAGAAGAATTCTTATTGCGTGGGTTCACCGCAGCGGCGCAGAGGCTATTTTTACGTCAGACGTCATATCAGAATCTGGCTGCATTACTTGTTATACCCTTTCTTCTTTAATCTCAATTTTTTACCGCCAAAAAAAACAATTAAATAAATTATTTTCAGACATCTACAATAAAAATATATGTCTGTGACCTTCAAATCTGTAAACATTTGAAAAAAGTAATACATTTTGTAAACAATGAAATTGTATGACCAGCAGATCGCATCAGATCAATAACTCCTCATCCAAGAAAACTGCACAACTGACCTTTTCGAGATTAATTTCCGGAAGAATATATCACAAGTTTCCGTAAACAAATAATCATACAGCATTACCGTTAATGAACTTCTTAGATTTTTATTTTCGTAGCTTTAATTTATTCAAGGAATTAGTCTGCATAATAAAAACATTACAATGGACAGTTAAAATATAAAGCTCTTTATTTATTGTTTGTGATTTTGAAAGAAACTTGTTATTATCCTCTTTATTTCCAAATTGTTGTACTCTCTGACAAAGTTGCACATTGTAAATTATTTTTATAAAAAATTGTGTACACAATTATTTTTTCTAATGCTGAATTTTCTTCATGGCTCTGCACAGGAATTTTGACCCACTTAGGTTTCCTTTTAAAACTTCTTTCTGCATCCTCCTGGAAGTTTATCAGTTTCTCCAGGAGCACAATTTGATCGTTGTGGGGCGTCACCTAGAGAGTCACCAGTCAAACCAATAATTGGAAGTGAAGAATCGGTAGAAGTGGTAAAACCCTGGTTGTTGTTATTTGACTCAGGGAATTGCTGTCCAAACGAATCGCCATAATATCCATTATTTGCCAAATGTGAATCAGATCTTTCATTCAGTTGGTTTTCACGATAAAACTTTTTTCCAGATGGTTCCATTGAAAAAGCACCATCATTTTCAACACTGTAGCAATGAATAAATTTTTGACAGATTTCCTCAGATGCTGAAACCGAAAAGAAATAAAATTTTAAAATTAAGTTATTAAATTTTTGACAAAAATGACATTATTTAAAATCAATTATTTTTTTGTTTATCAAAATTTGTATAAAAAGTAGCAGGCGATTAATTCTATTAAAAATATTAAATTATTCAAATTATTGATATATCTCACAAAGGAATTTGTGAGATACATCGATCATAATTTCAAAGTTATTACATTTTATTCTCATTAAGAGAGAAAAAAAATCTTTACAATACAAATTTACTGATTATCTTCCATGGAAATGTATAATTAATCACATTTAACTTTCAAGTAACGACAATAAATAGAAGAATCATACTATACTCACGTCCCAAACCATGAATGGACTGGAACTGTGTGAAGCTCACAATGCTCAGGAAGAGCGCAGTAGTAAAAAGAAGCATCTTCATGTTTCAGCCGTTTTGAGTAAACTGACTTGGCCACCGAAGAAATCTCACTGAGGATAATTTTTCAGTGATGCTTTTATATGCGCAGCTTTAATTTCTTACATACGTTATAAATAAAAATAAAGGCCCTAACAGATATTGTTTTTTTGCAAATGTCAAGGTAATGAAAAGATTATGTATCGAAAATACATATAAGCATCATAATTAAACGGCAATAAGGAAGAAGAAATGCGAGTGTCGCAGGGTTCTATCCTTGAACATCTACTTTTTGTAATGGACATTGATGATCTTACTTAAAGAGTGTACGCATGAAAATTTTTGCGGATGACGCAATGCTCTTAGTCTCGGCGGACACTTACAAAGAAGCTGCCGCAATTATATAAAAAGCGCCAAAAATTTTGTCGGCTTGGCTGAAAATAAAGCTGGTTTCAATTAAATATTGACAAGTCGAAATTCATGGTTATTGCGAAGTCTATAGATAACCACAATCAAGCCAATTAGTGAAAATAATGCAATTGAAGTACAGAGTCGTGTACTTTAACAGGTGGAAATGGTTCAAATACTTGGTACTTGGTGTAATGATTGTTACTGTATGAAATTTTATGAGCACGGTTTCATTTGTGATTAAAGAAAAAAATTGCAGTTAAAGAAGCTGCAGGAAAGAAAAAAAAATGTTTCCTGGGAGACTAAGAAACAAAGTGTCAAGGAGCACAAAGTAGCTGTCGTATAATTGTTTCGTTGCTCCTCATTTTCATTATAGAACATAGAACAAAAATTTTAATTGAACGTTATTGTTATGGCAAAGAAAATTATAAAAGGGGACCTCCCTAATTATTTGATGGAAAATGTGGAAAACACGAGAAATAGAGAAGATCGATCTATATTAAGCAAACACAGTCGGTGCGTTTGGTGTAAAATCGCTTTTCCATAGTGTTTAAAGATGATCAGTGTTTAAATTTGAGGAGAAAAGGATAAAGATTGTACATTATATTTTCTTTTCAATGTTACAAAGTTACAATGCTGAAGTAAAATAAAGGTATTTTTTAATTGTAACTGAGCTCTTCAGTTTTCTTTACTATTATGATAACCAAATTGATTTTAAATTTACTTTAGATTTGTTTAAATTTTAAATAATAATAAAATTTTTAATTTGATCATTACAAAATAAAATCCAATTTTTCCCTTGTCTCTTTTTATGATTTACAAGCAGTTATTTGTTTATATATAAATGGAAATATCAATATTTAGCAAATTGCAACATTGCAAGTTGAATAAGGAAGACGTAATTTATTGTCTGCGAAATTAATCCCTATAAAAAAGGACATAACGATCGCCGTGGTCGTCAACGCTTTTGCAGCATAATCGCTTGTCGGTCGTCCCCCTTGATGGTGCCTGCTGTGCAAACATAGCTGTGTCGTAGTGGTACCCAAATAATAGGCCCGGATCGATCTAATTTGCATGCCACGGGTAATCGCTCCACCACTCTATTCACCGTCAAACAAATCTTATCTGTGGGCCGCTTCTGCTTTTCTTTGCTTGATAAAAGGTCGCGCCGAGCGGCACGGAATTCGCTCTGCGTTTTGGAAAATTAGTCTTCTGCGATTCTACTTTCTCGCAGCAAGGGGGTGCGTGCGTCCCGAAAAAGAAGCGGAGAACAAAGTGTATATCGAGTCGTCGTCGATTGCATGGTCAAGCCAGAGAGAGAGAGAGCGTGCCCTCTGCTATTTTCGTGTAGTCAATATGCATACAATTAAGGCGTGAACCTGCTGCTCGAGTTCTCAGCGCGCAAAGTTCCGTGTGCTGACCCTCGCTGCACACTCGCCCTTAGTCGCTGCCGTTGACCGGAGACCAAAACACAAGTAAGTTTCAAGATGTTCCTCTTGGCAGTCTAAAAATTCGCTTTCACTTTAAAACGAAATTTTGATATTTTTTATTTATTTATTACATATTGTTGTTCACATTTTTGTGTTACCATTTTTATTAATCTGAGTCGATAAAAAATTGGATACTTTTTTTTAATCAATCAATTTTTTAATCTTTTAGTAAGAACGTGCAAAAAATCTACCTTGCAATGTAATTGCATTAACTTTTTTTAAAAGTGTCATATTAAAAAAATGTGAAAGGTTTTGGAAAATTCAAAAGAAAAAATCAGCATGAACTCCCTCCAAAATTTAATAAATATGCTTTTTATTAAATCTTTAATTAAATATATATAAACAGAATCTTTTAGCTCAATATATTCATGTTTGATCAAAAAAGAAACAGTAAATGATTTTTAAAATTTGCCATAATATTTTTGTTTTTTCCATTCTGGAAATTTAAATTTAAAAAAAAAAAAATGAAAATGCAATTATTTTATCATTTTGTACCAATTTGCTAATAAAATTTATACCATTCGGATATTTCACAAAGAAAAAGTTTTGAACTTGGAGCCCAAGGGCCATTTCTTATTCACATGTTTTGGCCGAAAGTTCATCAACCCCTGTCGCCCGGCTGTGTGAGAGCAAAGCTCTGCCGCTTTCGTGTGAGGAGCGCGTGTGTGCATGAATGAAAAACACAAAGTAACCCTTCTTTTCTTGCACGCGGGGCTGCTGTTCCATCTCTCTCGCCGCGGCATGAAATGTGCACTTGAGTGACACATATAGTTTGCAATTGCAGCGAGAGTATGTGCAGTTGAGCGAGAAAAGTGCTCGGATCGGGAAAAGCGCAGGGTGATAAAATTACGGCCGGGATCGAGAGTGGCGCGGGCTGCTTTCCCAGAGCAGCGTTTCGCTTTCTGGAGGCGACGCGCGTCCTTGGGGTGTCTAGCGATATATACGCCCGACGCTAGCTTTTTCATTAGCATAAATCAATACCATAGAGAGAGAGAAAGAGCGCTCTGGCTCGCGCGCGCCTCCACCAAAAACACTTCTACTTCCTGCTTCTGCTGTTTTTTAGGTGAAATATTTACGAGAGTTTTTCCCTCGACAACGTCATGTTTATTCAGACCTGCTCATGAATATGGAAAAGTGTTGTTATTTTTATTCTCTTGACGCGCAAAACGGAGTAAGTTTTTTATTAAGTTTTGTGCAAATTGAGCAGTAATGTAAGTTATTTATGCGATATTTAAATTTCCTTTAAAAAAATATATTTTATTCAAGGCAATGGAAATAATTTAAGGCTATTGCCGCTATTGGTGAGTATAATTGGTATAAATAATGAGCAAAAACTTCTGAAACTTTATTTTTAGATAAAATCGGTGCAGTATGTAAAAAATTAACTATAAAAAAATGCCAATAAGTTGTATAAAATCATATTAATAATCTAAGTTAATTTAGTTTATATCAGGTTACATTATAATATAAAAAATAAATTTTAAATAATTTCAGAGGTGCGCTTAATCTTAATTTCTTTTGCAAAACAATGAAACAAAAAGTGGATAAGTACACAGATAAAAATAGTATATATCAATAATGAGTATTCAGAATTTTATCACTGCTTTAAAGATAAAATAATGCAAATTAATAAGAAAGTCCTTGAACGCGGTTGAAATCAGTTGAGATTACTTTTGCAGACAAGTGTTTGCTGACAGCTGCCCAGATGCGGTGCTCTCCCGTCACTAGTCTCATTTTCAATCAAATTTCAACATTCCGAGAGCGATTTTCTGTTTATATTATGTGGTGATATTTTTTTGAAAAAATCAATTGTCATCATGGGTGCTCCAAAAAATCATTGCACGAGTTCTTTATTTTCTGCATGGTACAGTCAAGGTATTTTATTTTCACATAAATCTTTAAACTATCGCCTTTTGAGCGATTTTTTTTTAATAATGTCCCTGATATATTTTTTTTTCCAAATTTACTTTCTGCTTCTTTTATCGAAAAAGTCATTTCGCCAAAAATTGCCGTTCTTTCATTATTCAACGCGGCGTTTCGTTTGTTTAACAAGCCGCCCGTCGGCGTGCTCCAGAATAAATGAGACCCAGGAGGCTTAATTAAGCTCTCGGTGGCTGCAATTAAACTAAAGGCCCTGTCCGACCGTAATTAATACCCCGTCTTACCCACGCATTATAATAGATGCTGCTCGGTGGTGCGTGTGGGTGGGTGGCAAATATTTGCATGTCGATGCTGTCATCATTTCCCTCTCGATATTAATTTGTTGGTCCCGCCGCCGCCGCCTCTGTTGGGCAAATCTCTCGAGGAGCGAACAAAGGAGGATGCAATTCTCTGGGCTCTTTCCTGCAGATATCAGAGGTTTGCGAGGGCGAATGCGCCTAGAGCTTACTTAGAATTGACGATTATTGGTTTGATAATATCTCGGGGACGAAATGTCCTTGGGTTTAAGGTCGGAAACTGTAGCAGTGCTGCTGATCTCCGTGGATCTTAACGGCTTGCAGATTGTTATTTTGAATGTGCAACTGTTCAAAGTTGGTTCTCAAGGAGAACTTTCTTTTTGCACAAGAAAACTTGGTTATATTTTAACCAGATTTTTTTTTTATTTATGGTTTTAAAAAAAGGCATAGTCTTTTAATTTAAAGCTAATTTATTGAGGACCAAATGGGAAAATAGATTGCGCCGTGTTTTAGTTTAAATGAAGGATCATGCATTGATTTATTGGGTTTATTTTAAGAGCCGGGTGTTTTAATTTGAGAACAACAATACCCAAGAGCTGCGACAGTTTTTTTTAACACAATCCTGCTGCAGCTCCTTTATTTAATTTCCTAGCGTGGGGAGAGAATGAGGGCGATCTAAATCTGTGAGTTTATTTGCGGGGCTCTCTGTCGCACTACTCAACAAGCAAACAAATCTGAACAATCAGAATCAATACCATATTATTTAAAACCCATTGAATTGCAATTATCCGCTATGGTAATGACAATAAGGTCGAATCTAAATTAGAAATAATTCATTAATGTCAAATTTTAAGTGCCTTTTAAATTTAATTTAGAATATTTCAATAGCATTTGATAAATTATTTAAATCCTTAGTAAATTGTAAAATCCAGTCACTTTTTGCCCTGAAAACCTAAATCAAATCTAGACCTGTGCAATTTATAAAGCTATTTTTTTGCTTGAAGCCAAAGCTAACAAATCTCGAAAATAAATCTCTGCAACACACATTTCAGGCCAAAGGGTAATAAAAAAGTACTGCGCAGTTTGAAAGTTGAAAGCGCGTGTCGTGAGTGCAAAAAATCCCCGCTGGAATTTTGAAATAATTAATTCATGGGGTGGCTTGTTATATTGTCGTGCATAAATTTCTGTTGGGGGCGGTGATGCATAAGGAAAAAGTTATCGCGTCACACATGCATATATGCTCGCGCGCGTGATTCTGGTTGAAACGCAACTTTGTGTGTGTGTGCATAGCGTGCGGAGGGCTCATTAGTTGGAACGCACGCGGCCTCGATTTTTCCGAAAGTCCATGCAGCGCGAACACGAAGCGTTTTGCCCCCTGAAATATTAATTTTTTCTCACCCCCAACAAAATAAAACCCCCTTACAATATGCATTATACTCTCAGCGGGAGGGGGACGCCACTTTTTATCTCTTCTGACAAATTGAGTAGGCCAGTCGTTATACATTCAACAAACGGAATAGCTGCTGAAAAAAAAACGATAAAAAGCAAACAGGTTATCGGAAACGCAGTGCAACCCCTGCGGTGGAGGAGTTATAATAACGGTTGTTGCGGAAAATAAGTTTGCACTAGTTGTCGCTCGTTAGCCATTAGGTGAAGAGCTTATTGACTGAAAAGAGACTTTTAACAATTATTTAGTTTCCAAATATTGTTTTTGCAGAAATGCAGAGAGTTTTCTCCAAATGCCACACAGATCGAGTGTGGCTGCGTGAGTTTCTCGCCGAGTTCATCGGAACATTCATCCTTGTTGTAAGTTAAATTTTAATGTTAATTTACTTTTGTAATAAAATTTTAATTTTCAATATTTATGGTAAATGTATAACAGTGAAACCTGGGAACCGGTAATTCCTGTTTATTTTAATTAAATATATTTATTTTAATTTTGGAATTTCATTCAAAGAGAGAAAATTTTTAATACATATTTAATTATTTAACAATTAGCCTTATTCAGCCTTTTCAAATGAATTTAAACTTCATTTTGGGTGAACCGCAATTAAGTATTAATTTTCAAACCCCTGTTGTTTCAGTTCATCGGAAACAATTCTGTAGCACAGGCAGTTTTGAGCAACCAAAGCCATGGCCAGTTCATCACCATTAACTTCGGGTATGGTTTTGCGGTGATGATGGCCGTGCTTGTGGCCGGAGGTGCCTCAGGAGGCCACCTCAACCCCGCAGTCACCCTCTCGTTAGCTCTCGTCGGAAAGTTTCCCTTTGCCAAAATCATACACTATATGCTGGCGCAGTACTTAGGCGCTTTTCTCGCCGCCGCCTGCACATACGTGGTTTATATTGGTAAGTGCTATGAGACTTAAATATTTAATATTATTTAATTGATTTTAATTTATAAAACTATTTTTGAAATCATAAACTCCTCTTGTTAAAAAAAAATGTAAAGAAACCCCTGCGAAGTGAAGGGTAGGCAATTTCCTTACACGCGTGACGCATTTGCTGCATAACTTCAACAATCCTGATAGATATTTGCGGAGCAACTTTACTGTTCTTATTATTTCAGCTCAGCAAATTTTCATCTCTTGCTATGTATCTTAATCACGGAATAATAAAATATAAAATTAAAGTTTTAATCTACAGCTATTTTAACCTTTTTTATCAGACGCTTTGTTCAACTTCGATGGCGGCATACGGCAAATAATTGGTCCGCAAGGCACTGCTGGAATCTTTGCGACCTACCCTCAGGAATTTGTTTCACTTGAAGTTGGATTTGCAGACCAGGTGAGAGAAATTATTTCAACAATTTATTCATCTAATTTTTTAAATTAATTGTAAATAAATTGTATATTGTAAAAGGTGATTGGAACCGCAATTCTGCTTATGGTAGTTTGTGGAATAACAGACCCAAAAAACTGTGGCGTCTCTCGTGGCCTAATACCGTTGTTTGTCGGATTGACTGTGGTGACGATTGGAATGTCCATGGGCTTTAACTGCGGATATGCGCTCAACCCTGCCAGAGATTTGTCGCCGAGGTTCTTCACAGCTATTTCCGGATGGACATTTGACGTATTTTAGTACGTTAATTTTTACCCACTTCTTTTATTTTCAAATATATTTTTAAGTGTATTATCTTTAAATATGTGTTAGTTTTGTTATGAAAACGGTAAGTTTTTGTATTGTGGTACACAATTTTTATTGTTCTACATGATGGCTAGTGTCATAGACTTCAGATGGACATGATGGCGATGATCATCATGATGAACCTGACACAATTTTGTTTTTTAATTTATGAATTAGGTTTTTATAAATATAGTATGACACCGAATCGCACCAATTTACAGAGAGAGCAATTTGATTATTCTATATGACTATATTTATTGATTAATGCCAAGTGAAATTGATTAGCGTAGTATGTTTAAAACCGACAGACATCAATTTTTTGCAGCATTGAGCAGTGGTGTTGGGTACCAATTCTTGGGCCCCATTTGGGAGGACTTCTGGGCGCCCTCATTTACACGCTATTTATTGAGGCACACTGGCCTGACGATGGACTTCCTGAAGTAATAGAAGATGGTAAAAAATCTTATCTCTAAATCAGTTATTATGTGTTGTGCTTGCATTTATTTTTCAAGTGCGACGAAAAAATAATCTAAAAGCACGACAATAATTATTATTCAGGCCAGATCTCATCAGTTTTTTGCGTTGTGTTCTTTTCCAGACACCAAGGAATAGGAAGCGCATGTATAAATTCGAGTCTAAAAAGTCAACACCACTCAACACTACAATCTAGGACTTCAGCATGTCCATTATGCAAAAGCAAAATTTTCTTAAAACTGTTTAAGATCACCATGCGTTTTGTTTTAAAATTTTGATATTTTACGTACAAATAATAAATTATTTACTTCTTCATAAAAAACGAAGTGCCTTTGGTTTCCAATTCATTTTCTTAGCACTAAGCTTAAAAATTGTTGCGCTCTTTAGAAAAGATATGAATTGCTTGCAGCAAGTCGCTGAGAAATAAATGAGGTCTCGACGGTCGCAACGTCCAAAGGATTTTGCCATCGAAAACCACATGCTACAGACCTCACGTGAGATTTTATTATGTCCACAAATTTTACAGACAATATTTGTCAAAAAGATGTCAAAATCCCTTGAGTATTAGGATCCCAAGTTAGCAATACTATGTCAGATGTAAGATATAGTATGGTACTGATAGTATTAAAAGTTTCGTAGCTTTTTAAAATTGTTTTTGAGAGCTGATATGGCAACAAAAGTAGTTTTGATGTTGTGTTTTGGTGATCAGTTTCGTTTGTCAACCATGATGGCAATATTTCACAATACAACAAACGCACTCTAGTATTTTTACAGTTTTAGAGATCAGACTCTCCATAAAGGGCTGTAGAGAAGGACATGTAGTCAAGGGCCCCGGGAACACCATTGGGTCCCTTGAAAGGTGGCATACGCTGAATACAGTACTCAGCCTGGTCAGGTGGCAGTTCTCTCCTCAACTCCTCGGGCATGATGAATGGCTGCAACACAAAATTTAGATGATGACACAATTTAAAAAAGCAGTTGTTTGAAAATTCACCTTGTCGGCGGCCAAAATTCTGAAGGAGTCGATGACTTGTTCGGCAGTGTCGACGTCAGTAGATTCGCGGGTCATGAAGTCAAGGAAGGCGTCAAAGTGCACAAAGCCAGTCGAGTTAGGATCGACAGTAGCCAAAATACGCTGGAAGTCAATTTCACCCTGGGGAGCAGATATAAAAATTAATTTCAACAGTGTAGGGGTAGTTTGCGATGAAGTACCTGTCTATCCTTGCCGATGCTGTATCCAAGGCTGACCAGACAAGACTTGAACTCGTCAGGAGCCAATCTGCCAATCCTGTTCTTGTCAAAGTGGTTAAAGCTGCCTCGGAACTCATTGAGTTGTTCCTAAATTGAATTGGTTTTATTTAGAAAAATAATTTTACTCTGCCAAAATTTAATTTACCTGGGTGATACCCTTTGAATCTCTGGTAAGGATCTGGTTTTCAACCTCGTTGACGTTGCGGTTGATAGAAGTGAGCAGCTGTTCCCAGCCAACTCGCAAAGAGTCCATCGTGAATTGAGTGTACCTTAATTTTAATAAATGAGATATTCAGTTTCTTGCAGCATAATTAATCAAACCTATTCTCAAAGATCATGCTCTCCTGGACAGCTTGGTGGATCTTCTCAAGCTCCTCGATGTTAGGTTTGTAGGCAAAGACAGCCTGTTCGTACTCCCTGAGGCGCAGAAGCTGATCCTCAAGTGAGCCCTGGATGCCCATGCCGATGGCAGTGACGGCATCCATCTGCCGCTCAATCCATGGGCCAACGTTGTTAGCCTTCTCAGCAAATTGACGACGCAGCATCTCGTTGTCTAAATAAAAAATCGGTTACCAATATGAAAAAAAAAATCACAATGATTCCACTCACTCTGCTGTTTACGAAGTTCGGCCTGCAGAGTGCCATCACGCTGAGGAACAAGCTGTCGCACCTCGGTCCACTTGCGAGTAAGCTCCTTTTAATTCAAAAATTAATAAATAAGAGATTAAAAGAAAGAAATCAAATTGAGCTCACTTGAGAAGTGAGAGTGGTGTATGGGTTCTCAACACCTCCGGGAATCTGGTATTTGGAGGTCAGGCTGACGACCTCTTGCACAAGAGCAATGATGGAGTTGTGCTCCTTGTCAGCTTCTCCAAGGGTAGCCTTGAACTGGCCGTGAGCGTCCAGAAGACCTTGGATCTCATCCATGGTGTGAACAATAAACATGTCGACCAAGTCCTCTCGGGTTCCGTCCAACCAGTTGTTGAAAGGCTGTGCATTTTTTCAGTAAATAACTATGTTTAACTATTATAAATATTGCAAACTTACAGCGGCCCTCTTGGCGAACTCGAGATGAAGGGTGTCAATCTTCTCCAGGATTTGCTCAGTTTCGTCCAGAGCCTGGCGACGGCGCTGAGTGAGGCTGCCGAGGCGGTCCCACTGGTCGCAGATTCTTTGGCAACGAGCGTTCACAGAGGCGCTGTCGTGGTACTCAAGAGTGCTTTGGGAAAAATAATAAATTCTTGTTTTTGGATAATTTTTAAGGTGCTTACTTGAGCTCCTGGGCAATGGCAGCGATCTGTTCGACACGGTCTTGGTGGGCGGCCAAGTCACTCTCGAAGGCTTCGTGCTTCCTCTTAAGCGCCTTAAGATCGTTAAGCTTGCAGTTTCTGAAGTCACCACTCTGGAGCATCTCCTCCTTGCCCTTGGTCCAGTCCTCGTGGATGTCGGCCTTGTGCTTGAACTTCTGGGCCAGATGCTCCAGACGCTCAAGCCTCATCATCTCGGACAGAAGCCAGTCCTCAAAGGCTTTCTCGTTGACTTCCAGATTTTTCCAGGCGTTGGCAATATCCTACGATAGTTAATATTAATGACTGAACCGAGAAAATCAGATAAATAAAATTTATTATAATATTGAAAAATATTTTCAATGTTATTTTAATGAAAGTATTATACTTACAGAAACCATTTTGCCCTCAGTTGGCATGTAGGCAGGACGGTTGGACAAACGCAGCTTGGTCTGCAGGGTGTTGAAGTTGGTCTCGAGCTTGGCCTTCTGCTCAACACGTGGGGGCTTGTGCTTGCGCCTGTACGTGCGGTACTCCTCCAGTTTCTTCTGCACTCCGGCCAGGCTGTTGTCGGTCTGGCGGCTCTGCAGCCACGGCATTGTGCGGTGGATCCATTCCAGCAGCTGATTTTAATAAGATTAAAACTCGAGAAACTCATGAATTAATTTTCGAGTGGCTTACGTCGCTGGCAAGGCGCTCATATTCCTCCATAAGGCGCTCGTTCTCCTGGTTCACCTTCAGAACTTTGCAAATACGATTTGCAGCGGTTTCAGCCTGAAATGCAACGCTGCCGTGATTAAGAGGAAAATGTTACAAGAAAAGAGCGACAGTACCTTTTTCGCTCCACAAAAAGTATGGTAGTAAGACGAAACATAGGTCATGATGGCTCGTTCGTCAGGCATTGCAGTGTTAACCAGATCTGTGACAAGTGGCACAACCATGCATTTCTCAGTTAGCACGCAAGGACAAAATGTTATAACAACAGGAAAATAAAAATAAATCAAATCAATAGAACAATTCACAATTCAAGACCTTCTGATCTATCTCTCAAGGGTTTTAATTTTTTTTTTGTAACTTTCAAATGTTAGTTTTTGGCTCAGCACTAAAACCATGCAAGCGTTTTAGGTTAGTCGATAAGCTTTTCGTTCAGAGTGAAATCGCTTGCTTGTAAGCGTGAAAATCACCAAAGTACCTGCTGAGCACCCTGGAAAGCATGATAGTAGCAAGAAACGTAGGTCATAATGGCGCGCTCGTCAGGTTTGGGCGTGTTGATCAGATCTGCAAGGGGATAATTTGAGTGACCCAATCTAGGGAGAATTGAGCACAGCCCGTGAGCGACTTTGAAAGCTGAATGAAATTTTCAAACGCAATGCTAAATGCAAATTTGGCCTAAAATTCAATATTTTCATTTGTGTGCTGGTGCAGTTTTTTTTTTAAGTTAAAAAATATACAAAAAGCGCTTACCATCAGGGTCCAACATGCGTGGGATATCGAGATACTTCTCAGCCACGTCGAAAGCGGTGTTCAAGTTCTCCAGAGGGTTGTCCTAGAAAAGAAATTAAAAGTAGTAAAAAAAAAATTTTCATTTAAAATTTTTCTCAATTCTACCTTTGACAACTTGTGGTAATCGATAAGATCTGGTCGGTGACGGTGGATGAGGGCGCAGAAGGCAAGACCGTCCTTGAAGCTGCAGTCAAATAATAAATCAAATACAATTTTTTTTCAAAGTTATTTTTGAACCAACCTGAGATGGAAGTTCTGCACATTGACGTTCTTGTAAGGAGCAGTCTTCCTCTGGCACCAGAGGAGCAAACCCTCCTTGGCAGTCATTTCCTCGACGGAAATGTCCTGAATGGCGAAACGAAGGATGATGGTCCAGATCATACCAAGGGTCATCTTGAGGTTGCCATCAACAATTTCTACAGAACAATTACATGTTCAATAAATTTTACAAGCAGAATTAAAAAATCTCCACTGACCCTCAGCACCGATGGACACAAGTTTGACACCCTTGCTGGCGATGAAGTCGAGAGCTTTGTTGACGTTGGCGATCTTGTGGAAGCGCATCTTGCCGCGGTCAGGCTTCTGCAGGGTCTCTCCAGATATGACTTCGAGCAGGAGCATGAGCTTGAGGCCGTTACGGAAGTCATCTTCGATCGACTCGATTCCAGTGCCTGCCTTGCGGAGATGCGAGTTACACCACGCGGTGAAGGTCTGCAACATACAAAATCAAAGTTTAATTCTTTAAAATTATAATTTCTGATGGGATTTCAGAAGAGAAGAAATGAACGCAGATGAATGTAGGTATTAAAAATAAATTTAATGGCTTTGCTGCCAAAATTAATATTAAAAATGAATTAAGGAAGTTTTAAACTCAATTTTAATTATATTTTTTTTAATAAAATACAAATTAATTAAAAAAATCTGATTTACTTGACTTCCAATTTTCCTCCACTTGTAAATTATTTTTGCATTTTTATATTTTCCACAGCTGGCTCTAAAAAATCAATGAAAAACACTGATTTTCGGTATAGAGTTTTCAAATACAAATTTAAGCAGCGTCTATATAGTTTTAAATCTTTGTGGGTGGGTCTATTGGATCAGATTAACGATGTCAAGCGTGCCAAACGAAACAGGCAGTGCCAGGCTCTGCGAGCAGAGAAATTTGGTTTCTTCTGTCACGACCGAGCGCATCGAATTAGACAATGGCCCGCATCACACGAGCATACAAATCGGCCCGATCTTCAAAAGCAATTTTCGCAAAATTTATCTCCAAATTTTCAATTATGGGACACTAAATAGTCGGTTCGACAGCTCGTTCACGGCGCGTTTTTGTGCCAGGGAGTGATCGGCGAGTGAGTGCCAGAAAAAGAGCACTTTGACCCATTTACCGAATGGTTTTCCCTCAGTCAGATCAGTCGGTCGGTCGGACGCAGCGCTTTGCTTTTCGGCCGCAATACGATCTCGGGAAAGAAAATTCATGTGGGTGGCTCTCTTGGTGGCAGTGCGGCCGTCCGTTATTATTAGGCGTTGACAAAGTTAGACCATGGCCGGTAGGTGGATGGATGGTCAGCATGAATATTGAGTGCTCCCTCCGGCCGCTGCTTCGTTTTCAAATCGCGCTATTTCTGATTCTCCGGACGATAATTGCGTACAGCCGCGGCGGCCACGCGCACGTCCACCTACTTCACGCCACCGCCGAAAACTATACGTTCACCTCTGTTTGTAGCCTAATCTCTTCATTTAGTCCACTGAACTTGAAAAGTAACCATTTTTAAATAGAACTGAAAAGAGGCTAACAAAATATCTTTCCTTTCTCAACGGCTAGAAAACTAATTTCAACGAGCAACTGATTTTTATTTAAATGATGTTCTATTTATAAATTTCATCAGACCCATTTTTTTAAATACCAGTTACTTTTGACACAAAAATTAATTAGATTTCTCGCCTGGTCACGCCATTTACCAATTTATTCCGCTTTGCATGGAGATAACATTCATAATCGTGACATCCCTTGATTTTTATGATAACTGAAGTGAACGTGTATAATATATATCGAGGCCATTGTCTCTCTGGAATCATTATGCGCTAGTCGTGAAATTGCGTCTGCCTCAATTACAAAAGTGGCTGGCGGCTAATTAGAAGAATTCTCATCTTTGAGCAATCTCGTCGACGATGCCTCAGTTTTCCAATGGGTCGCAGGATCTGTTATTTAAAAGCGGTGCGTGTTCGGTTGTTTGTTTCACACACACCAATCACGTATAGTATAGGTTAGCCGTCTGGAAATAGAAGCGAGAACCGCTGGAGAGCAAAATCAAGCAAGCTGCCTAGACAAGGAAAAAATTCGGCAGGAAATCGTTTAACTCTAGATTTTTACATAATTAAAAAAAAACATTCAGTAAAAAAAAAAAAAATAAAAAAGAAGAACTTGGAAGAAACTATATTTCTATCTTAGATAGATTGACATATAGATTTAAAGTTAGAATTAATAATTTCATAAAAAAAATTAAAAACTGAACTGAATTAAAACTGATATTATACAAAAATTCCTCAATGCAGCTATCAAGAATAGACTTAAAATTTGTTATTTTAAAAAGAAAAAAAAATTAAGAATTTTATTTACAATTTTGCTTTTGTTTTAATTAGTGTGGAGTTTGCAGGTGAAACAAGCCCTTGGAAATCTTTAAATTCTTTTATCGGAAAATGTTTTAAACTAATTTGCTGGGAATGTGTTGGCGCTGCGAGTGGGGTTACGACCCATATATTTCAGGTGGGCTTGGCAAGTCGAATTAGCCTCGAAATGTATCCCCTCGTTCGCCGGCACCCCGAGCGCCCTGTCGCCGAAATCGCGGCTCGGTGCTCGACCCCCGGTGGCCCGGAAGCGGAATTTCGGCCTCGGTGGAGCGGCAAGCACGCTTTTTCGGCATTCCGCCTTGAAAATGTTGTGGCTAAGTATGGTTATACTATCAATTGCTTGTAGCTCCCAGAGTTATTTTTGACTATGCATTTTTTCTGCCGTCTATTTCGAGAGCGAGGGGAGTGCTGGTGAATTATAGGAGGGGGTTGCTCGCTTCGAACGAGAGCAGCCAGCGAGCGAGTGGGCCGTCCGGCCGGCCGGCTCTCCGTCCGTCCGATCGGCCGCAACCGCCACCGCCGGCCGCCCCAACACACACTTAACTGACAATCAGATGAATTTCGAGCCGATTTTCTTCCCTGCCCACTTTGCGCAATTACGACCGAAATTAATGAGACGCATCCAGCGTGAGTCACGCGCGCGCCACCACCTCTGAACAAACAATCATCTCACGTTTCAAAGCGAAAAGTTCCGCAAAAATGAAAAATAGAACGTGCAGAAGTTGTTTTGTCTGTTCCATTTCAAGAGGTGCTCGAGAAGAAAACGCTTAATTTTGAGGTCCCTTCAGTGCAAAAATGAATGATCTAACAATAAGATTAAATTAAATTTTTTATATTACTGCATTTGAAAAGTTTTTGCCTTCTTCATTTTTAAGCCATGCAGATTTTCATACAAGATTAAATTTTTATCAATAAAACATAATAAATGTGAGAAAATAGAACATGCTTCATTTTTTGTGTGATAAGATTTAAAATTTATTTGCAAATATATGAGTGGTCAATGGAGCATTTGAAGTTAGGGCACAATTCCTTTCACTTTAAGATAGACAGAATTTATCTTGATTTTTTCCAAACTTGAAATGTGGATAAAACATTTACACTTTACTATTAATTTGAATTTGGTTATATAAAAAATGAAGCATATTATATTTTAAAAAATATTCCAAAAAAAAACTATTAATAATCTGTATTGAATAGTTTGCAATTTTTAAATAAAAATTAATTCATTCTGTTTTTGTTCCTTTAAAAGGCATGAATATACTGTAAATTTAAGGAATCTTTATTGACATAGTAAAAGTAAAATCAAATCTTTACAACATTGGTGGTTAAAATTTCCAATTGTTATCCAATAATTTATAAAACAAAAAACTGACTGGATTTGATACATAAGGCAACAAGGAGGCCTTAACCATTTAAGCCACTGTAGGGGGCAAAAAATGTGAGCATTTTGCGGCGTTTTTTTTTATATTTTTTCTATTAAAATTTGGTGCAAAGTAAAATCAACAAATGAATTATAGTTTGATAAACTTTTGACAACTTCCTTGGCACAGATTTAATAAATATTAATTTGCCAAAATTATTGTTTCAAAACTTCCCTGATTTTTATTCTATATTAACTTTTCATCAATGTAATTTTACTAGTATAGAGATGTAAAAAATTGCACAAATAAACAAAAAAAAAATTTAATTAGTTCATTTAATAATGATGCAGCTCTAACGAATTTTTTTAATATGATATTGATATATGTACGCTATGGTAAAAATGAATTCATTTTTAATCATTTCAATTTTGGTGGTCCAACATTCATCTTTTTAATTATTATAAATAAAAATTAAAAGTGTATTTCTTTTGAATTTTTATTCCATTGACGAGTGAGAAAATATGATGATCTAGGCCAAGTCTTACGAATATTAGTTTTCCTCTGGGCTCAAGCGAGCGAGGGTGATGTCGCAAAGCTAATCTAGTCAAAATACAAATTTGACGAAAGCGACAGTGAAAATGTTTTCGCACGCTTCCGAAATCGCACTGCCTTCAAGTGGGTGACGCAGACTCGTAAATCCTATTTTCGTCCGTCGCCCTCGAGTCGTCGTGTCGGCCGGACTGCATAATCGTAAGTAAGTACAAATTGCAGTTTGTCGCCCCCACGAAAGCGAGAGATGGATGCACTTCTGCCAAAGAGGCGAGCGCGTGTGAATCAGAGCCGCGAGCAGAGACTGAAAATAAAATCTCTAAATGACATTCCGCAGCACCCCTTGCCTCCCGCCGTTGCGAAATAAAGAATGCGGCCGCTTTTTGTTTACCAAGAGGACAGCTTTGATCCAGAGCATCTCGCAGCAGGCGAAAAATTAACAGCGCGGCCTGTTTTTCGCTACGTGCTTCAATTTGTTATCATTTTCGACGTCAGCTGCTGCTTTCGCGTTGCCAATTTTGAGAAAAAGCACGTCTGGCTCAAAGTGTGCATTTTGTTTTTGCAAGTGGTTTCCCATCTCACATTACAGGTAAAAATTGTAAATTTTTTGAGAAGCTATCCTTCCTTTTTAACAGAAATAACTTTTTTAGTATCATTCAAATTTACAAACTATTAACAAATTTATGTTTGGTCAAGCTGGTTTCAGTGATTCCCGAAAACACTGGCAGTGAAATTTTAGGACCACTAACTTTTGACGTCAATTCCCTTCAAGTTGGTGCGTCTCGCGCATGTGTTGGTTGGTTGCACCCTAGGCGAGTCATTCAGTGATTTCCTCTCTTACTAAACGACACTGTCACTGTTGTTTGCGCCAATCCTTTTCTATCAATATTTGCATTCTGCGAATTCCACAAGTGCAACTTCCTTCCTTTCAACACCATTCTACCAGTCAAGGCATAAAATAATAATTTTAATCGTTTCGGTCTTCAGCTGATTTCATTCAGTTCAGCTGAAAGACAATAATTTCTTAATGACCTCTTATCATTTTTTGTAGCAATTTTCCTTAAAAACGAATCATACAAAATTAAGAGGAAAACAATCTAAGCCATTTATGGAATTCACACTTTTGAAGACGGCAAATTTTAACTTTTTATTAAAACTAGAATATTAAATTTATTCCCTTTTTACAATTTTAATTGTTCATTAACAAAACCGAACATGAAAAATCTGGGATTTTTTACTTTTTTATCTTCATTAAATGTCTCCAAATTTATTTCAAATTCAAAATTACACTCTGAACAAGCTTTTATGGTAAAGGAAAAAATATTTTTTCCCCAGCAATGATAAAAAAAAAACAAGATTTCGTTTTAAGGCTGAAACTGATATTTTCTAACATAATCTCTTAAAGTACAGTTCCGGACGGAAGTTTGCGGTCGCGGGGTTAAAAGTTTAAAAATTCCAGTGACGCTCGTTTTACTTTCTTATCTGCACCTGCAAAAAACCCAACCAGAAGTTGCTCCGGACAATGACTTTTCTCGCTTCGAGTGCGCTCATTACTTGACGTCTCAATTGAAATCTCCACATTGATTTGCACAATTTCTAAAGAAAGAGCGGCTGATTTCCCGAGAATACATTTTCGATTTCTCTTGAAGAGACGGCAAAGACGGAGCAGAAAGAAAAATAGCAGGCAGTGTGTCAGAAAATCGGAGCTAGAGCGAGCGAGATCGACGGACGGACGAGCAGAGCGCGAGCTTGTGAAGTCGCAGGATGACCTAATAGTTTTAATTTAGACTGTTAGCGCCGCAGACGTAAAAGTTGCCTCGGTTCATGCCCACTCGTTTGCACAACACACACAACTCTATGCTCATTCCGAATGCACTTATTTACTTGAATTAAAGCTCCTGTCTTGTTCACCGCCGCCGCGTGTCCCACCACCATGCTTGCTCTTTGATAAGGGCCATCCAGATTTATGGCGCTCGGCGGTACCGTCAAATTGCCTATATTTAGGCTCTCCGGCTGCACGCCAGGCGAAAGTTGGAAAATCAAAGCGGCTGGAAAATCGGCTTTTCATTCTATTCGGATTTCCTAATTGTTTTTTTGTGTTGTTTTTTTTTACGGCTTCCTTTCTTTCGCTGGCTGAGCTTGAGATTAACTTTGAGTATGGAAATTTACTCAATTTATGCACAAAAATAATTATGAGTCAAATCATTAATTATTATCCATCATTTTTATTCTCCATTTAAAATTCAACAAAATTCAATATAAACAATGTAAAAAAATTGTTGCTTGGTTATGGAATTGACTTTTTTTTTGCTGCTAGTGCTCATAGAACATACAAAGGCTCACTGATTATTATATTTATAAACCTGCATTTTAATTATATCATTATTTAATTTGAAAAAAATATTCACTCAGAATGACATTAGCTAAATTTTTATTCTGTTTTATCATAAATTCCCGCCTTAAAACATTGTGAGACAAAATTGCTTTTTAGAAAAATGTTAATTTTCATTCTCACACAATTTTAAACAAATAAATAGAATTAAAAATTGTTCAGAGAATTATTTAATAAAAATTCTTACTTAAATTATTTATTTTTTAAACAAATTATAATTGCAGGTTAGCATAATACTTGTGATTAAAATATTGTAATAATTATTTTTGGAAACAATAGGCAAGTTATATAACATCGAGGATAGTTAAATTCATTCATCTGCCGAATCTTTTGGCACAAACAAGGCGATTAAGTAAGACTGCGGTCCAGATAGAGGAGCTAAAGTCATTTGAAAACACAAATTTGTTTGGAAATAATTTTAAATTTGTTCCTGCATGAATGTTATTTTGGTAATTTTTGTTCTGGCCCCACTTTATTTTCACCGACTTCTCTGAATGTTTCGCAAAACACTTCTTCTTCACACTCTTACTCATCGCGACATTAGTTCTAATTAAAAACTATGAACCTCTCTCTCAGCGTGAGTCACACAAGGACTTGTTATAAATAATCCTTATCAAAGATCAAAAACGAGATCAAAGTAAACAAAACAATCAAAGCTGTCGACTGCAGTGATTTCTTCTTCTTGGAAATTTCATCACTTAGCTATTCAAAACTCGAGTTTAAAGAATAAAAAAAAATGTGTTTAGTCACAATTTATGGCAAATTTACGCACAGTTTCAGAGTTGAAAATAAAAATGAGAACAAAAAATGATTGACCGTAATTATTATGCATGCAGTTCATTCCTGTCGTTTTTAATACATGTAAAGTGAGACGAACGAAAGCGAAAAAAAATGACTAGAAACTGGTTTTTAAAATATAACTCTCGAGCACAATTTAAAGTTCGTTGTCATTGTACGTAGGACGCTGAAACCGCAAACGACCTTTGCGAGTTAATTATTATTTAGGACACCGCACAGTTATAAATTTTGAAAGCGAATTAGTCACTTCCGAATTACGTACACAATGAATTTATCGTTATTTTTAGAGCGCACCTAACAAAAACAACACAGTCGTTAATTTGATTAAAAATCTCTTTCGCCGGCTGCGGACGTTGAGGATTGATACATAATTTAATTGCGATTTAACGTTCTCGGAAGAAAGTGATTTAGGAGGCTTTTTGAAGGGGCCAAGGGGATGTTTCGTACCTTCTTCTGCTGCTTCTCCCAAGCGGGGTCGAGGAGGCCCTCACGCTCCCACTCTTCCTCCGGCTCCATGTAGCCATCGGCGTAGCCTCCATTCATCGTTTCTGCCATTTCGGCGGCCAGGAATTCCTTCTTGGACGGGTCGTCGGTTCGATCAGACGGCTAGCGAGCTAAACTTTGCTTTTAGCTGCTTCTTCTAAAAACACATACATACGAAGCACAGATGACGGAGGTGTGAGTTCGCAGCCTCACCGCCGAACACAAACCAGCCAGCATTTGCCAGACAGAAAACCAGAGTCTGTGGGATGGGCCAGCTAGAGGATGGGCGACGACCGGTCGCCACTCATTGGCCGCCGCCGCCACCCCAACATCGATGCGCGCCGCATAGATAATGAAATGCCACACGCCGCACCAAACGCTTTGCTCTAATTTCAATTATGTTCTTATTGACAAAATTATTTGTTTATTAGAATTGACCGACTGTTCAGCAAAAATAATACTTTTTGCTACAGCTTGATTAATTTGTGGGCTTAATATATTTCCTAAATAGAGATTAAAATCATTGAACTTTATTTCTCCAAATTTAATGGTGAAAGTTAATTTAAGACTCTTGTATTCATGTAAATATTTTCCAATCGTTCATGAAAGCAAAGAAGTAATGTAATTTTGGAAATAATTTCCATAATTTCTTTATCATGGTTAGATACAGTTTGTCGCACTCAACAATTGATGTACATTGTGCTTAGTCAAATATTCTGCGCAACAATTGATTCTCATCCTGTCAAATTCCAATGACATCGTTTATTATTTCTCAAACATAGTACATTGTAAAGTGATCTCTAACTCAGTATAATTATGATATTATTTTAACTCCCAATACCATGCAAAATGTACATTTGAATAGGTTATGTGTGGTAAATTTACGTATTGGGTTTTACGTAGAATGCACTCGACACATCCTGGGACGAACTTTTCACAAACAGTTCTTAGTTCAAACATAAACTTAGTCACTACGCTTAAAATAAAACCAGTTTTCCCAGGCTGTGTAAAAACAAAATTAAAAAAATGATTGGCATAATGAAAGTTACATTTTTTTCTGCGTCGATTAGTATTTCCTTAGAGAACCACCCATGGGCTGCTTGTATGCATCAAATCTTTCGCTAGACCCATACAAGGTGGTAGTTTGAGGGGCTCCTCCCATAGCTCCCAAACCTATTCCGAGGTTGGACACTGCAGGGTTGTAAATATTTCCACCACCACGACTGCCGACATTGTTGCTAGACCACCTACAAAACACACCTGATTTAATACACGAACGCTTGGGTTTGAAAAGGAAAACAAAATCTAACTGACACTGAGCTCCTTGAAATGAGGGTTTGAAGCATCACCACCTTTAAGTTTCTTTTCTTTACTATAATAATTTAATTCTTTAATGGACAGGAGAAAAATAAAAAGGATGATTGAAATTTCCAGTTATAAATTCCATGTTAAAAAAAACCAGGCCGTACCTGTCTGCAGAGGATGTATCAGTGCTCCTTGGCCAATCACTGGTGCTATTGTCACTTTTTCTGTCGAGCCAGGGCTCTCTTGCAGCACTAGAGCCAGCTATGCCTGAAAATTGAGACACAAATTCAGACAAAGTCCAGGAGGAAATCCACAATTATTAAAAAAAAAAAAAAAATGACAAAATAAACTAAAAACTCAATGCTTACGGCTCGTACCACGTCCCACTCCTTCACCATAGCGCTCCCTAGGACGAGAGGAAGATGAAGAGATGCTGGCGCTAGGTGGTGGACCCCTCATGTACATATTACCAGGTTCCCTTCCACTAAGCTGGCGATCATTGTTGCGGACCGTTGGCCTACTTGTGTCTCTATATCTATAAAAAAAATTGGTTAGAATTTTTTAGGCTACAACAAAACAATTGTACCTTTCATCTTTTCCTCTAGCCGTCGGTTCTACTTCGCGCCTGGAAGGTTCAACAACCCTGCCAGCACTGCTGCTCGAAGAGCTAGGAAAGAAGCCTTCCCTTCGTCCCGAAGAAGTTGTTGTGCGGTCATAACCAACAGAGCCACTAGTGACACTGGTTGAAGTTCTCTCGAAAGCACTGCTGCTATTGCGATTAGCAAAATTGTGATCTCTGCGGCTGTCAGCAGGTCTCTTCATTGATCTGATTATTTTGGAATTTCAGGTTTTAGGCGAAATTAAAATATTTATGAAAGCTTACGATGAAGACGTTGGTATGGAGCTGAATCTTGGTGGTGGAGGCACCGCTTGGGCACTGTCATAGTTCACCCGACGTTCATCCGAGCTAGAGGGCACAGGTCTTTTGGCAGCCCTTTCCTCGTAGTAGTCAGCACTGTGGTGGCTGCCCTGCCTTTTGGTCCCAGTCACGTTACTGGAACTACGACGAACGTCATCAAATCTCTGATCAGACTGGCCAACGGAAGAGTAAGAACTCCAGGGCCTAGAAGCTGACACGGAAGGGGTGTGCGAAGAGGTTAAGAGAGGAGGACGCTCTGCAAGCTCACGCAGCCTGGATTTGGAATAATTAAAATAAAAAAAAACATGTTAAGGAGAAGTTCTCACTTTTGCTGTTGCCTCTTGAGCTCTTCTCGTTCCCATTCCAACCTTTCCCGTTCGAGCTTGGCTTTTTCCCTCTCCAGCCGTAATATATCCTTACGAGCCTTTTCTATTCTCTCTCTTTCAAGTCGCAACTCCTCCTTCTCTCTGTATATACAATATTTTAGAAATAAACAAACATTCATGTTAAGAAAATACCTTTCGAGTTTCTGCTGCTCCTCCCGCTGCCTCCTCTCCAATCTGCGCACTTCCTCTTCTCGACGTCTGGCATGCTCCCTATCTTCGCGTTCTCTATCTCGAATTCGCTGCCTCTCACGGGCTTGCTGCATTGCCAAATGTGTTAAAATTGTTTCAACTAAGTCCAAATGTTTACCTTAATGCTGGCAAAGGTGAGCACGGCAGTGGTGCTGCGTCTGGTGTGCAGTCCTCCGCCTGGCGAGTGGTTCACTCTTCTTGGAGGTGCAGGTCGCTTAGGTGAGATGCTCCTTGGGATGCTCCTTGGCCGCTTCTTGCCTTGATCAGAGCGGCTGTCGCTTCTTGACACAGATCTCTCAGTGGATGGTCCAGGACTGGGTGCTGTGATACGTTGACGAACAGGCTTATTGCCCTTACTATCTCGGCTATCGCGCCTCTGATCTTTGCTTGACTCACTGTTTGACTTTGAAGAAGATTCCTTCTTCTCACTGTCCTTATCGTCAAACTTTCCTTCCTTCTTGGAAGGCGAAGGGGTTTTCACTCGTCCTGGACCAGTCGCTTCTCCCCGAGCCTACAATTTATTTAGTTAGCCAATGTATTACCAAAAACAAAGACAGTTTACCCTCTCAACAGAAATCATGCGACCATGCAACTCGGTCCTATCCAGATGCTGGATGCAACGCTGGGCATCCTCCTTTTTAGCCATAGTGACAAATCCGTAGCACCGAGCTCCAGGAGTTTTGGCATTTGTGACAACTTTGGCACCCAAAACTTTTCCATATTTAGAAAAAGTCTGAAGGTCAAAATAAAAAATTAGTAGAATTATTTACAATTTGAAATCTCTTACTTGTTTTAGATCAGTAGCTCTAGTGGAGGAAGAGAGGCCGCTCACCCACAAGTTACGGCCACTACTGTTGGAAGCAGATGGTGAAGAGTCACGCTTGTCGTCTACAATTTTATTTAATTATTCCACCCTTATAATTTATATTTTTAAAAGGGAAACTTACCACTGGTACTCTTGGATTTATCTTTAGGAGAACCGGAGCTGCAGGAAAAATAATAATAGTAAGTTGTTGAAAAGATAAGGTTTCTGCTTTAAAATTTCAGCAAATATCTTATTATTCTTAAGAGGGATTTTTGTTCATTCGACGCATTAATTGAAGTGGGAAATAAATAGCATCTTTGCTAATGGGAGACTTTTAAAGGGGAAGGGACACATTTTCAGCGCACAATATTTGACGTGAATTCGGTAATGAAGTGTGCAGAGGTATCTTTTCGAGACGAAACACATTTTTAAGGCATTCTTGAAGCATTCACGGTCGAGGACATCCAACTCAGCTAAATGTGTCTGGCTTGGCATATGGAAAAATTGTTGCCCAGTTTGCCCAGCATTGCAGAGAAAAATGGTACTTTAAACTATCTGCAATAATGTCAAACAGCAAAAAAATATACCATTCAGCACAATCCAAGACAATAATTAATCAAATCGGCAATGGAATTTTTAAAAATAAAATTTTTTAAATCGATCCCAAGGCATCTCCAGGTTAAGATTTGAAATCTACTGCCATTTTTTTTTAAATTGCACTCCAAATTTGATCTCATAAATTACAGGTTGAAAGATGTGGTCTGCCCGAGTCATCGCCTACCGCCCTTTGTTCCAGATATACAAATGAAGAGGCTCTCTATAATAAAGATGGTGGGTCACCAACCTCCGGGATTTGTCTCCATTTACTGCTTCTTTCTCAGATTGCTGTGGCTGGTTTGAATCAGACGAAGATTTTTCATCGAGAGTTTTGCTGCTCCTCTCGTTTGAGCCATCTTGCTTTGGACTGCTTGTTTTCTTCTCGCTTGTCTTGGAACTGGCGTCACCTCCACCGCCGCTGCTGTTGCTACTGCCTCCAGCTCCAGTGTGCGAGTCCTGGTGTCTCTCAGGTTTTTGAGGAGCCTCTTCTTTGGCCTCCGACGAAGACTGACTTTTTCTTCCTTTCTCCTGCTGATGTCTCTTCCTGTTTTGATTGCTGGCTGGTACATCTGTGGGTGGCATGTTTTGCTTTAACAGAATGACAAGTCATGTGCTGCAACAAATTGTAACAAAGAAATGTGTTGGATCTTCTTCTTTCAAGCAGCAGCCGATATCGCTCCATACTTACCATACCATGTAAAATTCTCCCCGTCTACCCCCCCAAAAAAATTAAAATTCATGAATCAATAAAAAAAATGATGATGGTTCTCTTCTTCTCAGTAAAATTCATCAATGCTGAGCGATGGACAAAAATTTTCTCCACTCCACTGGTCGGTTGTTTCTTCAGTCACGATGTTCTCATCAGATGATCTCTGTATAGGTCTTCTTCGACGAAGGCCGATTGCAGCTTGGCCAAGGTGACAGGTGTGTAAAACTTCACGATGACCCGGTGATAATTACAATTGACACATATCCCCTAATAACCCATTAAAAAAAAAACACGGCTTGCACAAACCTGACTCTGCGCCGAAACTGTTTACTTCCTGAAAACAGAAAGATTGCAAATTAAAATTTTGTTTCATAGAAGTAATTAATATCAAACCTCTTCTATCAGCATGTCTTCATTAAGTCCAAGGTCAATGGAATCGTCATGCTCCACGCAATTCTCCTGTTGCTCTTCTTTATCAGCATCAGCATCATCCTTAATATAAATGGTAAAAAATTACAATTAAATTAATAAAAAAGCACAATGGCAGCCTTACATCATCAAAAGCTTCTTCGTCCAAAACTTTGAAATCGTCAGCTTCAGCGCTTTTTGCAGAATACGGAGTATACTTCTCAGATGCTTTTCCCTGCTCGTCAGAATCATCTTTGGCATTGCTGTTGTCCAAATCTTCATTCTCTCCATAATCAAGAACCTCAGGACGATCGTCCAACTCGTTCATTATTTCGTCTTCATCTAAACAAATTTAAGAGGTGAAAAAGAAATTTAATATTTTTTTGTTAAATAAATTTTTCTACAATGAAGTATTCCCCACCCCATCGGCTAACAATTCCAAACTCCAAACACAGCAATAAATTAAATATGATGTGCTAAGCGGCTAAATATGGGGTGTGGCGTCCCTTGGCATTTATCTCAGTTGGGGGCCCTTGGATCGAAGGTGGTTGCCCTTGGATCTGGGCTGGCGGCCATCGTAGGGGGTTGGCGTTCATTGGATTTGGAATAGTTGTCCGATCGGCCATGGAGTAGTTTGTCTTGTACACAGATTATTTTTTAAAACATACATACCTTTCGATTTAGACGGTGTCACACTGCTCCGTTTGGTTTGCCTCTTAAAGCTGCCGTCGTGTGCAGATTCGACAACGTACTCGTCAATTTCAGAGCTGCTCAAACCATCTGACGCTAGAGACTGAAAATTTGAATGATTTTAATTTACACTAATATTCAATTCAGTATGATTCAAAATGAGAAAGCATGGCATTATAAGATCTTGAATTGCACAAAATTGTAGCAAGTTATGTACTTAAAACTTATGTTTAAGCTGCATGGTAATAATATTATGCTGAATTTTTTGCAAATTATAATTGCGGATATCTTTTTGACGAACTATGCCGGTGTGCATGTTCTGATAATTCAGGCCACGGACGCAAAAATGCAGCCTGAAAAAAGGGAAGTGTAGAGTGGTTAATTGGTGATAAACTTACAGCGACCAGGCGTTCAACAAGCACAGCCTTGACTCCGCTCTTATCGAGGCCACGTTTTTCCAACTCGGCACGCAAGTCGGCCACTCGCGCCTGAGACAATTTTCGCTTTTCGACATCCGACATGATGGCTATTCCCAGCTCGTTTGTCGAAAAAAAAACTTGCGAAGAAGGCCGATCTGGCCGAGGAGCTTTTCTAAATTCTAGGAGGTGACGGCTTTGGAAATCAACCAATCGCGACATATGACTTTGCGGCTGTTCACGACTACGATTGGCTAAGGTCATCGTGCGAATAGGGCTTACATTCCTCCTTGAAATTTTGCGTATTTCATGCGCGAAACAATTATTAAAACCAAGGATCGGTCTAAAAAAACAAAAAATGATACTTTTAAATTTCAAAAATGAATTTCCATTCCGATTATGGTCCTCAGTCCTTACACAACTTAGGCTAGGTAATTTTATGTTAAAAAAAAAAACAATATCAAAAGTAATGAAATAATTATTTCTGCAAAATAAAATAATATTTCGAATATTTCATCTAACAAATTTTTGCACGTTTATCCAATAAAAATAATTTTGGATGCAATTAATTTAAATAAAATTACCAAGAAAACTCCAATTATTTTAACACATTTATTAACTACCAGTTGCTTCAACGTGAATGATGTATTTAATAAATTTAATGCACAACATTTAAGTAATAAAGGAGATAAGTTTCATTAAATAACAAAAAAAATTATTAATAATTTATGTAAAACTTACTCCATCAAGATTTGCACAAGAATAAGGATGACAATTACGTCATTACGTGAACAAAATTGTTTGTTGCTTCCTTATTTATTTACATTTGATCGCCTTGCACTAGGACTTCTACTAGTAGAACTTGAGGTGGGGCTCCTATTAGGAGAACTTTTCTTTGAGCCTGAAGAGGACTTCGACGAATTTGAAGACGGGCTTCCGGGTCTAGTTCTTAGAGCTCCTGTGGCTCCCAAATTTTTCAGTTTGCTCCACGACGAAGACGGTGAAATTCTGAGAAAAAATATTTTACATGAATAAGAGACACTGTAAGTTTTGTTATGGGAAACTACAATTTTTTTTTCGTTGATAACATTTGCACAAATAAGAAACATACCCTTTTTTCCCTGGTGGTGCTGGTGGACGGTTTGGGGTAGGAGCGTGCTTCAGAATATCTGTCATTTGCTGTTCAACCTCATCACTTGCGCTTGCCTGGCTCACAGATTGGATACTGACTCTTTCATCTAAAACTGAATTGAGAGATGGCTAAATAAGATTGCTTTTCATGTAGCAAATAATTGAAAATAATGTCATTTTTTAAATAACAATAAATGATAGAAGAAACACGGTGCAGCAATTACGATTAAATAATACAAAAATTATTATAGAGCATAATATAATTCAAGGTGCAGAAAAAGTAAGCAACAGCTACACAAAGTAAAGAATCAATAAAATTTTTAAACACACAAGATAAAATTAGAACTAGAGTGAAGTAAAATTCTGCAGGCCACAAAAATACTCAGTGGAATCTATGCATCAAATTAATAAATAGTTTACAAAACATATTTTTTATAAGCACAGACAATTTTTTGGCAATGCCTAAGGCCTACGCCAAAATGGTGCACAAATATATAGAAAAACTGGTGCTATCTTTAAATTACTGTTCAACTTCTACTTTGTGCTACCTTCACGCTGAGAGGACGACTGTGAGAGTGAAGTTGAGTTTGCCTCGTGGATGGAATAATCAGGGGTCTGCTCGTAAGTGTAAGGCACCGGCTGGGGCTCAAGCTCCATTTCCCTGAATCCGTCCGCATTATATGGCACTGGCGAATTGAACTGTTGCTGCTGATACATCTGTGGCTCACTCTTCACTGCCGAACTTTCAGAGCTCTCTTCGTAGTTGCCGTACATGTGAGAATTTTGCTGATTGGACGTCACAGGCTCGTACATTTGAGCGCTGTTTTCATGGTACGGCTCTTGATACACATTTTGAGGCACTTCGTACTGAATAGGGACGGGTGGCTCGTACTGAACAGGAGGCTCCGCGGGGTAATGAACTTGCAGCTCATCTTCCGGAGTAAAATTGCTGGTCAAATTTGGTGCAGGAGTTTCGGAATAGTATTGCTCGGCAGGAATTATTTCTTCGGGTTGGTTATTTAAGTTTATTGCTTCATTTTCGTATTGAAGGTTACCTGTGTTAGTGACAGGAAAATGTTCAAATTTTTGTTCCGCTTCAATCGGCTTATAATTTTCAAAATTTTCGCGATTTTCCGACGCCTGCTCGTGCAGATCACTATTGATAAGGTACGGCGTTTTGTGTTCTACTTCTGACGGCAAGATTGTTTGCATTTCATTTTTCTTTGAATCGAGCGACTCGGCTTCCAACTCTGCGTGCGCTTCACCGACGCTCTCCACATAGTCCAATGGGGTTGGTGTCAGCGTGACGTCTTGCGTGACGGTGTCGGCGACGTCGCTCAATGCGGATGCCTCCTCGATTTGTTTGAAAACAGGGTCCTCTTTATTGAAAATCGATGTCGCAACGCGAATGTCCTCTTCTTCGACAAACACATCAGCAGTTTCTTCTACAATAATATTATTTTCAAGTTTCTCCTCGGCATAAGGAGAAAGGACGGGTTGTTTTATTGTACTCTCCACTTTGATGGTTTTTCTTTCCAAAAAGCCAAAATCGTCCGGCATTTTGTATTCAGGAACTTTTGGTTTTTCCGACAAATCCAGAACCTTGTCGAGGTTCAAACTGAGTTTTTCGAACTGCTCGTCGGGCTCGAGCCTGTCCGAGTATTCTCGGCTCCTGCTCAGAGGGTTGTACCTCCACAAAAGGTCGTCATCTTGAGATTGCGTGCTCGGTTGCTGATAAGCAGGGTCTGGGTAGCCCCGACTGCTGCTGGGGTAAAAGTTTGCGCTCGTTGCAAATGGGTCAGTGTATCGTGCCGCTGACGAATTTAATTGCGGTTTGAAGCTGGATTGCGTGTCACTTAATTTGTAGTTGCCTGCAAAGGGAGTGTGCCACTGCGGAGGCGGCGGAGGTCGGCTTTGGAAACGGCTGAAGTTTGGCGTGCTAAAGTTTTCCTTCGTGCTGCTGTGTTTTAGATTTACTTTTGGATGCAACTTGGTCATGTACGCATCGTACTGTCGCTATATAAAATTCAAAATGAATATTAAATTTTTTTAAAGAAAATTTTTATAAAATGATTCTTTAAAAATAAATATCAACAATATTTTATGATATTTTATTTAAAACAAGATATCGCATTTAAAAATTATTTCCTACAACAGAATAATTCTCTTAAATCAGAGTTCGTAAGAAAAAAAGCTCACCCTCATTTCTTTTAAATGCTCGGTTTTGGTATGAATTATGGCCGTGTGTTGATCAATATTTTCGAGAGATGCCATAATATTTTCTGTCCTCATTTTTCTCTGCCTATCATGTTCCAAAAATCGAGCATATTCCTCTTTCAGTTGCGTTATCATTTCTCCGTTCCTAAAAGGATTTGGAGATTCTCAGCAAAAATTCAAAATTTCTACAAAATGTTATCAGATAGAACTAGAGACATAGCAATCTGAATTTTTTATAGACGAAAAATTTAGTATTTCATATGAAATTTTGCAAAAATTAATCAAGCACTGGTAGTTGTGTGCCTATAAAATTTAACTGTACTGATAAATTTAAATTTCTGAAAAAAATGAAGCCATGCAAATGAACAGGAACCAATCTTACCTTTTTCGTCTGCTTTTCACCAACTTTGTGTATTTTTCTGCAATGAATGATCGCTCCTCCTCACTACAACAAAATCACAATTTTTTAAGGAAATAAAAAATTAAAATTCAAACTTGGTCAAAATAATTTATAGATTAATTGAATACATTCATAATTATCCATTTTTTACAAAATTTTACTTTACATTTTAACTAGATTAGTTATGTAGAAATTGAATTAGTGTAGGTGCCAATTTGAACAAATGCATGACAATTTTTTAGTGTGTATGATATGTACATATACATATAAAAATAAATAATTATCTCAAATTACAGGGAAACTAAAAATTGTTGTAAAAGTTCTTATTTAGGACCAATTTGAAATTATGTTCTCATAATATTTTCATGGAAATGAAATTATCATATGTATACGAATTATGGAAATTATTTTTGAAATCTCACCGTTCACACAAAGTATAAAAAGTAAAGTTCATACGCAATAAAATTGAAATTTACAAGCTATATTGTAATGTATAATAGCCTACCCATTTACGCGCAATGCATAGGCCTAATATTTAAAATTAAAGCCTCAAAACTCAAAATTATATTCTCCTCCGTCCTCTGTAGTACAATAAATTAATTTCACTTACAGCTGACGTAATCTTTCTTGAAGTTCAGCCATTTTTCGGTAGAAACTTAGAGGCTGGTCAAAATTTTCTTTGCTCATTTTTGCGTCTCAAGAGTTTCCTACTTTTGCCATAGTAAAACAAAACGTCTTTATCTGAAGATGATGAATGAATGAAACTGTTTTGTTTTGTTTACAAGACCGTTGCTATAGGGATTGTTTTCCCCGTGTGCCAAGCGGCGAAACCAAGAACTAAAACTTTTCATGGAAGTTTAGCGACGAAAGATGAGGAGCGAACAGATGGATGCTGCCCTCGCCGTGAACCCTGGAGGAGAAGCAGAAAGCTGAAAATCAAGCAAGGGAAACAAAGCCCAACCGGTCTCTGCAACAATTCATCAAAATTTCCGTTTACAGCCAAACCGAAACGCACCCTTATCGTTCCATAGGCAAGAAAGGCTCGTACATGATTCTGGAATTTTAAAGTTTTCGTTTTGGAAGGTCCAGCATTTGAAAATTCCACTAGCTTGTTTGCGCTCTCGTCCTTTTCTGTTTGTGCAATAGAAAAGCTCGAGTCAGCCAAAATTTGCCGTATTCACCTATTTTGATAATTATTCAAGGTAAATATTTGTCTCTGTAGTTGAGTCTGGATTGTTTTCGTCACTGAAATATTCTTTTTAGGATTTTTATGCATTTAAAGCGGCTGCCATAGGAAAAGTCTGAGGATGTCGTACCCTGGACGACCCCCGATGGTGCCAGGGATGCCAGTTCCACCTCCCGGAATTACACAACTGCCCTACATGGGCATGGGTGGTGTGTTTTCATTATAAAAATATTTATCCTAAATTTAACTATTTATGAAATACCTTAAATAAAATTTAAAAATTTTTATCAAGTGGTTTTTGAAGTCATGAAACTATAGGTCTATAGCCTTATGTGTTTGACATAAAAGTCTTAATTAAATCAAATATTCATTTCAGGACCCCCTCCTATGATGATGCCAACCCATGTAAGTTGAATTCAAATTGAACGTCTATGTATTATTTATTTATTTTTATTTGTCAGTTGATTCCTCCACCAATGCCTCAAAGTGCTCCACCAAACCCAGTGATAAGGGCTCCGTTTCGGCCAAACATGAGTAACCAAGCGCCTCGTCCTCTCATGGCCAAGAGGGTACCAGAGCCTTCCTCCATGCAAGCCGTTACAGTCTTTGTTGGCAATATAACCGAAAGAGCTCCAGATGCAATGATTAGACACATTCTCTCTGCATGTGGGACTGTCAACAGTTGGAAAAGAGTTCAAGGAACCACTGGTCGCGCTCCTGGTAAATAATTTTAAATCTAGCATTTAATTTAAGGTTAATTTCTGTCCGTTCTCAGCATTTGGGTTTTGCGAGTACGCTTCTCCAGACAGTGGTTTAAGAGCTGTCCGACTTATGCACGACTTTGAAATAGGCGGCAAGAAATTGGTTGTCAAAGTAGACACCAAGACCAAGGAAGTGCTGGACGAATACAAAAGTACTTTATTGGTGTACCTATCAATTTATCATTCTAAAAGTTAATAATTTTCAGATGAGAAAAGATTAAAACTGGGCCGAAACAACAGCGGCTCCTCTCCCTTGCAAGATGAAGCACCAACGGCAGTTGACGATGAAAGTAACGACTACATGGACGATGAAATGAAAGCTGTCGATGCAACTGCGTTGAGTCGCATCTCATCAATATTAAATGATTACAACAAGGATATAGAGAACTACACGCCACCAGGTAAAGTTTCTAGTTTTGATTTATTCTTAATTATTAATTATTCTTGAATTTTCTCAGTGAAACGCTCAGGAGGTAAAGATAAAAATTCTACAAAACCACAAGAAAACTTCCTTAAATTAGCTCAGGGATCAATGGCGTCTGGTCCTGGTCTTGATGGCGGACCTGTAAGTGGAAAAAAATTGTAATGAATGTAAGAATTTACTTATTCAAAATTTTTAGAACTTTGATGACGGAGAAATGGAGGAAGGCAAAAGGGACTTGATCACCCGAGAGATTGGAAAATTCCGTGAAATTATGAAGGTAAGCATAAGTCAGCGCAAAAGGCTGACCTGAGAAACCTCGATGCTTGTCAAGTAAACATTTAGTAGCTAAAATTCCAACCAAACCAAATGTGCCACTTAGCTTGACCACTTTAAACAAAAAGTTTTTTCAAATATACCAATCCCGCCCAAATACTATGAAAAATGTATCCCGTACAAACGTGGGGGTGACGGCTGGAATTCTTTATACATTAATAGGATAATGCTGATGGTTATTTGGGGTCGCCTGGCACAGCTAGTGAGAAACTCTCATCTACATGTTTGTGTATCGTCATTGGTGAGTATATACTGCTGACATCATTTTTAATTTGTTGCTTTACAATCTCAAGTTGCACTCGTTCTAAAAAGTTGAAAAAGTTAGCTGAAATAGTTTTAGAAAAAAAAACAATTTTAAATTTTAACCGTATTCCTATATCAAATTAATTTTTCATTTCTATTTGACACTTTTCTTCTCTGAATTGGAAAATTTGGCCTCGGCTATTCGAGGAATCAAACGAAAGTGTGGTGTAAAATGTTTCTCAATTATTTTCTAGTAAAACTTCCCCAAGCAGCAATCAAAATCACAATATATTGTCCTGTAAATGCAGACTGGTAAGTGACTTTGAATTAGATTTTTGGATATCTAATTATTTGTGGTGTCAATGATCAGTCTTTTGCACAGCTTAATTCTTTGGAAGATACCTCATGTTTAAGCCAGTTGGTGGCATCCAGATAAATTTATTTGCGATTTTGATGCCAGCAACTGTGCTTGTGACATGTCATCCCTAATGGCCACAGGAATTATTTTTGTCAACAAAGGAAATCAAAGACCTCTTCTTCTTAAAAAATTGGCTATATTAAGAAAAATTGTTAAGTTTGCTCTACTCTGAGACAGAACTCTTGAAAAATTTGTAGTCAATGCGTTTGCATGCAATATTATTGTCTCCAATGGAAGAATTAAAATTAAAATCAATTATGGGTGCATACATTTGCAATAGAACGCAATAGGGGGTTAGCGAAAGTCTTTATCTTTGACCGAGGCTAATAATTTTGTTAAAATTCAACTCTATAGGAAACCCATTTTTTTTATTAATTAAACAGAAATGCTCATCAGCTAATCAGTGTGGTTTAAATTTTTATTTCCAGAAGCAGGAGGAAGAAAAAGAAGCGGAACGAAGACGACGAGAGGCTCGAGATAAAGAGAGGCGTGATCGAGATGTCGGACCCAAATCTCCTCACTACAGAAGGGACAGAGCATCACCCTCTTCGCCACCCCGCAGCTCAAGGTCACCACCACCACTCCCGACCCGTTCTCGTCGGATCTCTGTTTCTCCTCCGCCTCCGCCAAGGTCATCTCGACCTCAACCACCTTCAAGAAGTCCATCTCCTGAAGGCTCTTTTTCAAACAAACTTAGATCTAAAGGCAGAGGCGAACGAGAATGGAGACGTTCTCGGTCTAGGTAAGTCTATGATTAAAATGCGTAAATAGCTCCAATTAAAAAAAAAAATCAATTAGGTCTCGAGAAAGAGAACGGGAGCGAGACAGAGAGCCTGATGTCAAACGAACAGAAAAAGACATTCAGAAGGAGAGAGAAATGGAGGAGGAGGCAAAGGACAAGAAAAAGGCAGAGCGAAAAGCAAGGGAGAAGGAGGCTGCTTACCAGGTTTGCTCAAAACAGCAAGCTGTTCCTCCAAGATATTAATCAATCTTGCTTTTTAGGAGAGATTAAGAAATTGGGAGGGCAGGGAAAAACGGAAAGCAAAGGAGTATAATAAGGAGAAGGATAAAGACAGAAAGCAGTCTGACGAAATGGCCAAGGAAGGTCGGCGGCTTAAAGAGTTTCTAGAAGACTATGATGACGAAAGAGATGACCCCAAGTTTTATAAGTAAGCAATATTAAAATCCAACCATAACTTACTGATAAAGCACATATATTTTTCAACAGGGGACGAGAGCTCGGTCGACGACTTGCCCTTCGCGAACAAGAAATTGAAGCAGATGCAAGAGACAGAGCTAAGGAGAGAGATGAGCTAGAGGAAATTAAAGCACAAATATTCTCGGATAAAGAATGTACAAATCCTCTGGCAGAATTCGAGAAGGTACTTAAAAATAATTCTAGCTTTGTAGCAATTTTTTTAACATTCATTCCTTTGTTAGATAAAACAAGACCATGATGCACTCTATCAACCTAAAATCCTGGTTAAAGTGGAAAGTAAACAGGCAGCACCAGTGCGGCCAAATTCCCCTAGCCTGGAAAACGAAGGATCCCTTTCCTCAATGCCATCTAAGAACGTTTCTCCTTGGAGACCACCCCAAGAAGACATTTCAACTTCAGCCATGATGTCTCCACCACAGCCCACCACATTCCGACAGCAAAATATTGGAGATCAGGAGGATAGCCAGCTCTCGGCAGTTTCTCAGGTAACTGTAAAAAACTTATACGGTCTCTAATATCTGATATCATCAATTTTAGACATCTATGGGAATGGATGTTTCCTCTCCAATGGGTGGTGGAGATTCCTCTTCCAGAGGCTTTTCAAACTGGAACAAGTCTCCTTCTGGCAGAGAAAGTGGCACAAAAGCTTCCTCGCCAAGTCACAGTAATGCTGCAGTACCCAGCAAAAAGCGAAAGTTGGAAATCAAGGAAGTCTTCAACACTGAGGATGATGATGACAGTAGTCTAGGCACTGGTGCTGGAAGGAAACGGAAACCTTTAGTTCCTCTAGGTACATATCTTTTGATTTTCCTCCCTCGGTGTATTTATCACGTGATTTTATTATAGACTACGGAGAAGAGAAGGTGCTGAAAAAGAAGGATGCAGAAGCTGGCAACTCTAAAGCCACACAGGAAGAGAAGAGGAAACACATCAAGTCATTGATCGACAAGATTCCAACTGATAAGGAAGCTTTGTTTGCTTTTTCAATTGATTGGGGTGCTGTAGATTCTGTGAGTTATTCATTATTAACAATTGCTGTTTGTAACTAATCTTCTTAAAATTAGAACTTGATGGAAAAGAGAATCAGGCCCTGGATCAACAAGAAAATTATAGAATACATTGGAGAACCAGAGCCCGCTCTTGTCGATTTTATTTGCTCCAAAGTTATTTTGGGCAGTGACCCCAAAGGCATCCTAGACGACGTCCAAATGGTAGGAACACAGCTCTAGAAGGTCATGCATTTCTTATATTGGTCTGTTTTTTCAGGTACTAGATGAGGAGGCCGAGGTTTTTGTTGTGAAAATGTGGAGACTACTGATTTATGAAATAGAATCCAAGAAACTTGGTCTCGTTAAGTGATAAGTGAGCACACCATTTTGTTCTAGTGGTATCGATCTTGCGGTATTGAGTTGAAGGATACTCGATTTTGATCCATCTGCTTCATTTTGAGCATCATTGTGTTATGTGTTTATGTAATTAAAATAAAAATTTCAAATTGTAAGATATTCAGAGAACATTTTTGTTTTTAATATTGTGGATTATTTTTTAGAATTTTTTTTTTTCTTATCAAACGTTTATAGAAATTAAGGAAGAAATTAATAACACGATAATGCATAAAGTTATGCTGTTTTTTTTTCAACCTTCATACTATCCGTATTGCTATTTGCTATTTACACAAATAATCCGCAGCAAGTTGAAAGCGCGCATGAACGTGCAAACAGGAAGTGGGAATGACTGTGATAACAACAAAGTTGTAGACCCGCAGATTGTCATTGACTGCTAACTTGAGAGAAAGTATACGCCGGTAATTTTTTTAAAGAAGTTAAATAATTAAAATGGTTTCTTGTCTACAGGTTAAAATGTTTCGGTCCGTGTGGAACTTCATATGCTATTGGTATTTTCGATACACGATGGTAACTGAGCTGTACATGGTTGAAAGATGGGAGCAAGTTGTTGTCCGTATCCTTTTTGAAAAATAATGAAAATTTTATTTCTCCTTCACATATCCAGTGCACAATAGTTTCCTTAACTCTGCTGCATCATCAGACTGCTTCTTCCTCATGCTGTTTTTAATTCTGGCATATTTTAACTACTCTGTCCTCTTGGGCACCGTCTCTTTCTTATTACCATTGGAGAAGAACGGTTCTAACCTTGGCAGTCCAGATGTCATTTCGACCATCATTTCCTCATGAAGTTATCTCACGCTATTGTGTACCCGTTCATCGAAATATTTCAAATTTAGTATAGTGATATTCAGAGACAAAGATGCTTGTGAAACATTTAAATTACATAATTAAATTATATTTAATGTAACTATGAAGAGTTTAAAATAAGTGTGCCTTTTGCACAAATATTATCTTTAAATATTTCTGATGCCATCAGGCTTATCGAATATCTGACAAAGAATTACCTCTTTTGATCTGAAATTTTTCTGTTCAGTCATATTTCAGTACAATAATACGAGTGTAACAAGTACAATTTTGAAAAACACGTATCGGGTGTCATGGTGAATCATTTCTTTATCTTAATTATTCCAGGCACCGTTTATCACAACACTGCCAGAATTATCTCTTACAATATAATCTTTCACTCTTGAAACGTTTGAGATTAAATGAAGATATTTGCATATTAGCCCAAGAAATGTCCTAGCAAAATTATGTAAAACGAGACTTTGCATCGACTTTCACTGACTTGTTAAGATGTGGAAATAAAATATAAGCAATTAAATACACAAATGCTTTTCTTTTCTATTATTATTTCATGTAGGTGTGTAGTTCTTTAAATTAAACATCAGGATATTTATTTGATGTGAATTTATTTGCATTTCAAAATAAATATTGTTCAATCATATTTGCAAAAGAGGCTTGAGCTGAAACTGCAGTAGCTGCTTGAATCAGTTGGCTTTAAATCAGGAATGTTTTGAATCAGATTGATTTCTAGCTACACAGAGAGGCCGGAGCCCAACTTTGATTTCTAAATGCAACAAAACTAATAATACTGCAAAGAGATTCAATCAACTTAAAATGACTGGAAAAACAAAATACGATGGTCCATTGCTTGTTTTTAAATACAACTGCTCAAGTGGGAGAGAAGTAGCAAGAAATTAATTAAGTAGTAAAATGTGATTAGTTTTCTTCAGCCTCAGGCTCCTCGTCAAACTCGGCATCCTCATCAGCGGTGGCCTCTTGGTACTGCTGGTATTCAGAGACGAGATCGTTCATGTTGCTCTCAGCCTCGGTGAATTCCATCTCGTCCATGCCCTCGCCAGTGTACCAATGCAAGAAAGCCTTGCGGCGGAACATAGCGGTGAACTGCTCGGAGATGCGCTTGAACAGCTCCTGGATAGCGGTGGAGTTGCCAATGAAAGTGGCTGACATCTTGAGGCCTCTGGGAGGAATGTCACAGACGGCGGTCTTGACGTTGTTAGGAATCCATTCAACGAAGTAGCTGCTGTTCTTATTTTGAATGTTGAGCATCTGCTCATCAACCTCCTTCATTGACATGCGGCCACGGAAGATGGCGGCAACAGTGAGGTAGCGTCCGTGACGTGGATCGCAAGCAGCCATCATGTTCTTAGCATCAAACATCTGTTGAGTCAGCTCAGGGACCGTGAGGGCGCGGTACTGCTGGCTGCCTCTTGAGGTCAGGGGAGCAAAGCCAGGCATGAAGAAATGCAGACGGGGGAATGGAACCATGTTGACAGCAAGTTTGCGCAAATCAGCATTCAGCTGGCCAGGGAAGCGGAGGCAAGTAGTCACACCAGACATAGTCAGGGACACAAGATGGTTCAAGTCGCCATAAGTAGGAGTGGAGAGCTTGAGCGTTCTGAAGCAAATGTCATACAGAGCTTCATTGTCAATGCAGTAAGTCTCGTCAGTGTTTTCAACCAGCTGGTGAACGGAGAGGGTGGCGTTGTACGGCTCGACGACGGTGTCAGACACCTATAAAGTTAAACAATTTAAATTAATAAAAAGAATTATTTTTTTAAACTTATCTTTCCAGTGAGTTCAGAAAAGTTTACATATTATGTTAAAATTTATTATTAGTTTACCTTGGGGCTAGGGACAACTGAGTATGTGTTCATGATTCTGTCAGGGTATTCCTCTCTGATTTTAGAGATGAGCAGAGTGCCCATTCCAGAGCCAGTGCCGCCACCAAGCGAGTGCGTCAATTGGAATCCTTGCAGGCAGTCGCAGCCCTCGGCCTCTTTCCTCACAACATCCAAAACCGAGTCGACCAACTCGGCGCCCTCTGTGTAGTGGCCCTTGGCCCAGTTGTTGCCGGCACCGCTCTGTCCAAACACGAAGTTGTCTGGCCGGAAGATCTGTCCAAAGGGACCTGACCTAACCGAGTCCATGGTGCCAGGCTCCAAGTCGACAAGGATGGCGCGAGGAACATACTTGCCGCCGGACGCCTCGTTGTAGTACACGTTGATGCGCTCCAACTGAAGCTCACTGTCGCCGTGGTAGGCGCCGGTGGGGTCAATACCATGCTCGTCTGAGATGATTTCCCAGAACTGTCGAGAAAAACAGAAAAATTGAGTTTTTAAAATCAAAATTTTTAATAATTCTAGCGAATTCTAGAAATAATTAAAAAGCCTCCAATTGTGAAAGAATGAATTTTAATTTTCCTTCTAGAAATTTCTTCGTGGCAAAAAATTGACGGTTGATAAAACAATGAAAGGATATTCGTAATTCCCCATTTGGGTCGATAAGGGCGTCTAGCTTTGTGTGCGGCAATCAACCGTTTATTGATCCACCAAGGGCAATAAAAATCCAAAACTTTAGGCCGTTAATCTTGTTTAAACGTTATAATTCTGTTAGGGGAAAATAATTCTTCAGGTTTAGTCATGCTTTAAAAGAGAAAAAGCAGTTTGATGTCCAAATTTGGCTCCGCACGAATGAGGCGACCATGTATGGATTCTTACGCCGACCGGATAAGCACCATGTTTTTGATGCATTGCGTCAAAACGAATTTTTTGCAACCGCATGCACGGCACTAGAAGGTTAATTAACCCCAAAATGCGGTCCTTCGTGAACGAATATTAGAGTTTCCAAGCTGTATATCGTTAAAATTTTGTGAAGTAGAGCGTTTGATGGTGGTTTATCGTTGCGATGGAGTCGGAATCACGAATTCGGGCGCATCACTAGCCGGCACGAAAATGGCAGCCGTGAAGAATTTTTCAAAATCCCCCAAAAAAGGCCAAATCGCGCAAAATTCCGCACTCACCTTAGCACCAATTTGGTTTCCGCACTGGCCGGCCTGAATATGAACGATTTCCCTCATTTTGACTTCAGAATATTGATTTTCAAAGCGAGCAAAGCTAATTTCCTGCCCAACGATGCCGAGAAGGAAGCGGTTCTAAGCAGAAATGCGCGCGATCAACGGCAACGGTCACTAACCGACAAAATTATTATATTGTTGAACAAGATCAGAACGGCCGCCATATTGAATCGTAAATTGCTTGCGTTGCATAGGTAATTCAAATATTGGCGCTTCAAAGCGAGTAAAACATGGCGTAGTTTTGACTTTTATACAAATTATTGGTTTTTGTTAGGGCGTTCCTTAAAGTGCGCATGCGTTATTCAATCGGCATTCCCATAATGTGGCACCATCTCAAGCCGATAGCTTCAACCTTCATTTTCACCGCTAAACCTCTGGCGCACAAAAGATTCTAAATATTTTTTTCTAATTCTAAATTGATATCTTAAAATAACAGGAGGTAAAAATTGAAAAATTCTTGCAGGATGATCGGGATCAGACAAGCACATTTTTAACAATTAAGTATTGGAAGATGCACTTTCATTTTTTCAACTAAAAATTGTATTTTAATTATTATAGAAAATATTTACAAAAGAAAATTAATTTTAATTTCATTAAATTTAAAGAAAATGATTACAACACCGCTTCATTTATTTCATATTCTTTCAATACACAAAAAATGTATGCTACATTGTTCAAATAACCGGTCAAAACATATAAAGAATTTAAAAACTAACTCTCTATAACGGAGTCAGGATCAGGATGAATCATGAGAGTTACTGATTGTGAATTTTCGGAAAAACTATCAATTTTTCTTGCCGCTTGGTTGCATAAATCGCAGCTCTTCAGAAACATGAAACCAGTTTTTTTACTTTACTTTCACAAAATATAGATCTTCACTGTGTTAATTGTCATTATTGAAAATTAAAAAAAACGAACTAATTTTTTGAATTTTTGTATATATTTTCAACTATGCAGATCCTTTTTTTGTTTTGGAGTTTTTGGCATGGAGGATATATTTAACTTGTTTAATATTACAAGAAAGAGGACAAAAAACCATATTTTATTTAGGCTGGATGGGGAAACGTGGAGAATGGAAACAACTTGCTAAAGCACAGCACACTCTCAGTAATTAATGGTAAACCAAAGGCCGCTGTAAATAGTCAATTTACGAATTGCTTAAAGAAAATAATTATACATATTGCAAATTGGAATCTGTGCCGCGGAGCAGTTTTTTAATGCATGTCCTTCCACAATATAGCGAGACGTGCGATGCAAAATATTAAAAAAAGTAAAAGCGTCAAGCGTCACACTAAAATGTTCTCGCGGGCGACCCATCGAATTACAATTAAATTGAATGAGTAAAATAGCCTGATTTTGATTTCAAGCGCATGGTTCACAATCAAAGAAAGCTTCAAGTTGAGAAAAATTAAATGGAAAAATTTTATAATTCTAAAAGGCATTATTTAAATATTCACCAACATCAATAGTGATGGATCTTAAGTTTTTGTACCAAGATAGTCACCAAATTTCATAAAAAATGCTTTCAAAAATAAATCCAATAATAGAATTAAGTATGCAAGCAAATAATCATCGCGAGTATTCTAATAATAAATTTAAGCGTTAATTTATTATTTATTCTACTCAAGTCATAAAAAAACTGAAATTGGAAAAATGAGCAGGAAGGGTATCACAACTTGAGGTCTGTTAAAACGCCCAACATCAAAAGCAATGCGGCCGCCGCGGAGATCCCACACTATATTAAGAAAAAATTTTGCTTTTAACTTTTATTTTAAAATATTCTGACATTTAAAAAATAATTTTGCAAAAATTCAAAAAAATTATACAAGGGGTTGTTTTCGTTTAATGATACAGCGGCGCTGCCAACAGGGAAAGCGGTGCCGGGAAAACACGAAGGACGTTTTGCGCGTGTGTCTTTTTCCTCTCGGCGCGTGCCCAAGGATGGCAATCAATAGTCGCGTGATTGCTACGTGTCGCGATCGTCGAGATATGATCCACCTGAGCCGACCCTCGGCCCCCGGCGGCGGTCCGCCTCCGAGGGAGCAGGAGGACCACGTGGTCCAGTTCCATGTCAATTCAGGCGTCACGGTCAGTCTGCAGGTCGGCGATTCAGTGCGCGTCGTCAAAGGTACGTCCGTCCAAGGCCCTTGCAGATTTTTCAGTACGCGCGGCTCCAGCGGCCACGTACTTGATAATAATTATTTTGCATCCGTCACGTGCGTGCGTGCTTCTGCCACGGCCAAATTCTCACGCTTCGCAGCTCCTCTTCATCCCGTTCAGTTAACACAAAAATTTTAATTATCGAATCTGATATATTATGTATTACGATTTTTTTTCCGCCACTTGCTATTCATTTTAAATTATTTATCCTTGAAAAAATTGAAATTTTTCATTGCGCCCGCTTTTGTGGTACTCGTTCATAACCATAAAATTGATGCGCGGCCGGCAGGTCGTTTCCTCAATTCACGTTTCCGTGTCTGCACATCAGGAGCAGCGTGCTTTATAAATTAGGTTAATATCTATTATTTTTTTCTGGAAAATTGTCCCAACTTCTATTACAAACCTGAAAAGAAAAATATATTTTCTTAATTAAATTGCTTATTTTGCAAAAAGGCTTAAATATTGTGGACTGGATTTTTATTTTCCAACAATGATCAAATTCCGAATTTTTTCTTTCCATTTTTTCCTTTTTGTATTATTGTGCATTCTTTAGAAATAAGCATCAAAAAACCTTTCCAGATATTATTTAAAAAAAAAGTGGAGAAATTGCAACGGAGGCCCACAGAGAGCTCTACGTTGAGAATTACTTCAATCAATTCACTTTATTTAATTTCTGCTGTTTGTGAAATAACCAACATAAAAAATGTCGATAAAATAGATCGTAAACATTTATATAAAAATATTAAGACAATACATGATTGTACAAAATTAATTTGGAAATCTTTTCAAATTCAAACGCATTGTAACACAACCAGAGGCTTAAATTTTTAATTTTATCTCAATTCTTTAGTTACATTATATAATACTCCTAAAAAACCAACAATTTATCAGTTTTAAATGTTCACCACCTTTGAATAATTTTTTTTTCTAACATTGAAAAAAAGGTGAACTTAACTTTATATTGATTGGTAGAACATTTTATCAAATTAATTGTATTTTCCTGAAAGCATCCGCTGCTACATTAACAGAACGCGAAATTTTAAGACGAACATGTTTTGTCAGTTTTGTGTTTTTTCGTTTTTATCATTATCACTTTTTAGCATAAACTGATCTCATTGTACCTTGATTAAAAAAGAAATTTTAACAGGCCCGCAGCACGCTCTTGTCTCCTCTTGTCTTATCGCGCAGTTCACATTCACCTGTCAAAATTAAATGAAAACAACGTGCAACGTGAATTTGGCGCAGTTTTTCGAGTAGGTACCGAAACACGTAACACGACTGGTGAATTCCACGATCTCTCTTTCTCTTTACTCTGGCGGACACACGAACAACCATACGGAAATTCCCCGGTGCTCGTTTTTCATTGGTCGAGGCGAAGTATATTAGTGTTGATCACGCGTCGGTCACGACTCCCTTCTCCACACCCCACTTTGTGTACTGCTTCGGCTGACACGCTGACAGAGTGAGAAAGAGGGACACGTCAGCGCGCGATGCCATGGCCAACGGAGACGAGGCGGATTTGATGGCCTCTTACGAGTTTTGCGGCCAGTGGCCGCAGCCACCCCTCGAGTTTTACTACCCTGGTAGGCTTGACTACCCCCGGGGGCGTGTCACCCCGCTAGACGCCCTCTGTGTCTTTCGCCGCCACTTGCGTAACGCTTTGTCTTTCGTGTCTTTGCAGGGCCGATGACTGTCCCGATGGTGCCGACCGCAGGACGGCCTTCGCAACCCCCGATTCCGATGCCCGTGCAGGTGCCCGTTGGTCACGTCGTACACCAGATAATGGATGAGTCGGGACAGCTTCGACACGTCATCCTCAGCCCCCAACGCGCCCCCGAACAACGACAGGTCTGACAAGTGTTTACTTTTCACACGGATGCCCCTCTCTTTGCCTTTGTTTTCCCAGTTTGAGCGTTTCCGCACTGCGAGGGTGTGGAAACAAGGGCAGTTTCTCATACACCTGCTTCCTAAGGGGTAGATACGTAAGGATTTTGTTCGGAGAAAGTCTGAGCGGAAGTGTTTTTGTGTCAGGATACGTAAAATTTGCAAAGCTTTCAGGGCGTAAATTTTTAATGAACTTTATTATTATTATTTTTTTGTCTACTTGGTTTGAGGTCGTTGAACCTGCCATTTGACCGGATTTGCATGTTATTTACATGCGCTTTGGGATTTTTTAACCCCAATGAACAATGTTTTGAGATTTCGAGACCTATCGCGCGACTGGTAAAAGGTGCATACTCCGCAGAAAAAAACTTTTTGAAAATTTCATATCTTATATCGGATTTATTTTTATTAAATAAAAATTTTTAAATAAACAATTATTGGAAATTATAATGAAATGAATTCTCAATAACAACTGCAGCTTAAAAAATCTTTTCTATATTACATTCATTGAACTTATCGAACTTATCTTGTTTTGCTTGTTAAAAATTTTATCAATGAATCTTTTTTATAAAGATTTAATAACGCATATGTTAGTTCTATCTCAATTTTGTGTACATTTTATCAGTCAAGTCAACCTTGAATATTATAATGAACTGTGAACAGCGATCTCATTCAGAATGTATAAACTCTCACTCAATGGGGCTACACAAGGAAAGTCGACCAATATGTATAATAATTAAGCGCCTCTTATTTTCTAGCATGTTCTCTCGGAACCTTTTTTTTTTGGGCTTCTTGAAAATTGATTCCTGTCAAACAGTGTGAAAATATGTGCATTATTTTTGTTATCAAATTTCAGCCCGCGCCTAATGAATATTACCACGCCTATTACACAATGGTTCCGCCTAATGTGTCGATCCCCCAACCACCCCCACCACGCGCTGCTGATGATCGGTACAGGGTGCAGCGGGACAAAATGAAAAGACGGCTTGAGCAAAGGCAAGGCTGTAGTTCGACCACTCCTGCAACGTCGCCGACAAAAAGTGAGTCATATCCCACAGATGCTTTGATAGTATTAAAAAAAAAAAAACTGACATATCTTATATCTATTTAAATTTATACGAAGTGTGAAAGTGTTTTTTTGCTGTTGAAATTTTTTATTTGGCCGTATCTTGTGTTTGTGTTTTTAAGAATAATTTCAACCTCGGGATTTATGTTTAAAGATCAAATTTTTTATGATTGTTTACTTTTGTTCTCTCACACAGCTTCAGATTTTTTTTTACTTATTAATCAATTGGTTTATTTCCAAAACAATATTTATGATGTATTTCTCCAACCACACTCAGAACTTAGGATCATCGCTGAACTAGGCGAGGTAGTGCAGATAAGAAAATATTTATTTATTTATTCTCCATTCAATTGATATTGATGATACAGTAATTTAAAGCAAAAATAGTAAAACATTGCATAAAGGGTTCAGAAACAAGAAATAAATTGGAAAATTTATTATTTAAAATAAAAAATAAATACTTTAAGTTTATAAATTGTAAAATACCTGCTGATTTTTTTTGCAGAAACTCTGCCGAGAAAAACAAAAGAAATGCCGTCGTCAACACCCCCGGCCTCTCCAGCCTCCCCTGGTTTGCAGTTGAGCATCTGTGATGTGGCTCAGACTTCTGCAAACCTCAGCTGGGCGGCTGCGGACACAGCTAGTGTGAGTGGCAGCGAAGACAGTGGAGTAGCAGAACCTCCACCCGAAACTTCCACAACCATGTACCAACTAAGCATTGGCAAAAAAGGCAAAGAGCACAAGATCCTCTACTTTGGCACTGACCTTGGCTTCCAGTAAGTTTAAAAGTTACTTAAAATAAGATATAATTAAAAATTCCTAACTGAAACTTCATCATTTTTATCGTTTTTTTTTTTATTTGAATTTTTTTCAGAAGTCATTTTGATTTAAATAAAGTTTTCAAACTACATATAATATATTTGCCCCACAGACTGGACAACCTACATCCTGGTACAGAGTATAGCATTCGATTAGCAGCAGTGTTGGCAGGAGAGGGTGGCTCAGCATCCTGCACAGAGTACTTGTCCTTCTCGACGCTGCCAGCACCACCCTCGACACCGTCTCAACCCCGTCTAGCCGGTCGAACCAAAACGTCTCTAACTCTTAAGTGGTCGAGCTGTGCGAACGGTGGCGCCCCTTTGACAGCATACATTCTAGAAATGTGCGACGTGGCTGACGGACAGTGGCAACCTATTTATAAAGGCCGGGAAAAGCAATTCACCATTTCCAAGCTGCAGGCCGGAGCTCCATACAGCTTCAGGCTGGCGGCAGCAAATGCTCTGGGCGAGAGCCCCTTCTGCGACCCACAGACCTTCAACACTCAGGAGCCTCTGCCTCCCACTCCGAATCCTCCACGCCTTGCAGCGCCCGCCCTTCCAGACAGGTTGTTGCTTGAGTGGGACCGCACGGAGGTGGCTGACATTTACAAATTGGAGCAGGCAGAAGAGCTAGTGCCCAGCGGCCCTGCGCCCTCGTTCTACTTGGTCTACCATGGCCCCGAGTGCCGCTTCGAAAGTCAAAGTCTGCAGCCTGCCTCCGCCTACCTCTACCGCTTGAAGGTTGAGGCCAACGGACAGTGCTCGCAGCCGTCACCTCCAGCGCGGCACATCACAGCGCCGGCGCCTCCTCTTCCTCCGGCACGGCCCCAGCTAAAGGGTCGTTCCCAACCATTTAGTCTTCGTCTCGTTTGGGTACCTCCTTTGCACACTGGTGGTGCCCCAATTCTTGCCTACAAACTCCAGATTGATCAAGGAAAAGGTGAGATTAATTATTTTATAAACATCAAAATGGAACTGTAGTAGAAAGTTAGAAACTATCAGGATAATTGAATATTATTGAAAAAAAAAATCGAAAAATCAAAATTCAATCGAGTTAATTATAAAACGTTGCAAAGTGTTAAATTATATAATTGAAAGCTCAACTGAGCATAACTTTTATCTTATAGATTAATGTAAGGAGATTCAGTTTTTTTTTTTTTAAGTTTGTGCGACAGATTTTCCAAAGTCTTTTCACTTATTTTATTGAAAAGCATAAAATTTTAGATCAAATTGCTAGAGATTAAATTTAATCAGTGAAAACTACAATACATTTGTAATTATCTTTTCAATGTTCTTATCGGGCAGGCTTCCAAGACGTTTGGAGTGGTCCAGGTTGTGAAGCGGTAATTAATGAGTTGGCCCCTGGCTACTTGTACCAAGTTCGTGTGGCTGCAATTAACGCAGCAGGAATCAGCAATTACTCCGAGGTGGCACATCTGACGACGGCAGCCGCTGCCCCCGAGCCCCCAATATGGTCACGCAAGCAGCAGCCACCTTCAACCCACGCAGTCACTCTGCATTGGGAACCCCCTGCCTTTGATGGAGGGGCCCCTGTGCACCAGTATGAAGTAGAAGTTGCTGACGAGCATTCCAGATGGCAAGCGTACAAAGGAACAGAACCCTTTTGCGTCGCTGCAGGTCTGCAGGCGGCCAACCTTTACCACTTTTACGTAAGAGCGGCCAATGCAGCAGGCCTTGGTCCTTGGTCAGTCGAGTTGCCCTTGCAGACGGCCGTGGCCCCTCCAGCAGTTCCTGAACCTCCTTCTGTGGAAGTATCCGAGGACAGAGCTGCAGAATTTTCCTGGCAGCCCCTGGCAACGGCCGCCACTTACGGCCTCCAACTTGCCCTTCTCGAAGAGCCATCATCGGAGCCTCAATACAAGGAGGAGTATTCGGGGCAAGAAAGCAGCTGCCAGGTCAGTTTCTAAAAACTTTGACAAACTATTTAATTTAGTTTCAACTGTAATTTATCACACAGGTTGTTAACCTGGCTCCAGGATCAACTTACTTAGCGAGACTGCAAGGTCTCAATTCGTCAGGAGCAGGCCCGTTTTCTACCCCAGTGGTATTTTGCACACCAGTGTCAATTCCTGGAGCAGTGGCTCATGCGCCACACTGCGCATCTCTCAAGTCAGACGGCTCTTCAGCCCAACTGGTTGTGACCTTTGAACAGCCTGTCCACTGGGGCGGTGATTCCCAAGGCCCTCACTCATTCCAGTTGGAGACAATCCCCTTCAATCCTGAACAAAACCCTATGAAAACAGAAGAGACAACCGTCAAGCTTGACTTGCAACTAGAAAGCACCTACAGGTAACAGCACATTGCCTCATTGACATAATTATGATTAATTTGTATTGGTCAGGTTGAAAGTCCGAGCTGTGAATTCCAAAGGTCCAGGTCCTTATTCTCCGGTACTCAAAATAACTACGCCTCCTCCTCCTCCTCCTGCCCCTTCTCTTACCCTTTTGGCTGCACAGCCAAGGGCACTGAGACTTGGTTGGGAGTTGGACAAAGACACCAGTATAATATTAGAGATGAGGCGTTCCGAATTGCACAAGTAATTTCATTATTTTCACAAAAAGGTTTAATTCCTTAAATTTTTTTGTAATTAGATTCCAGATTGTGTACGAAGGCTGCGAAAAAAGGCACAAAGTAACTCAGCTGAAAAAGAACACCGAGTACCAATTCCAAACAAAAGCTGTTGGGCCGGGAGGCGAAAGTGCGCCCAGTGAAATTTTCACTTTCCGAACTAAACCTGAGCCCATCTGCTTGCCTGCTAACCTCAAATTTGTGGAAACGTCAAGCAGCAGTGTCCTTGTGTCCTGGCAGGCGCCTCCTGAGCACAAAAGCAGACTCCAACTTGGCAACAGTCGACATGGCCCATTCACTATGGTAAGTTAAGTTGTGCAAACGTTTCCAACACATCAAATTTTAAAATGTTTTTTTTTCTTTTAATTTAAGTAAAAATATTTTATAATTAAATAAAAAAATTTAGTTTGAAATCTATCTGAATCATTAAAACAGAATTATTATTATTATAACTTAATTTTTTAACAGGTGTATGAAGGCATGGATTGTCAGTACGAGTTAACCAGCATGACGGTGAACACAGAGTACTGGGTTCGTGCCTCGCTGACACTTGGTAGCGAGGAGGGGGCATGGACAGCACCCGCAGTTTCATGCATTGCAGCCAAGGTTGCGGCAGAGCCGTTGACGCGACCGGCGCAGGCAGCTGCTGCTCCTGCTGTTGAGCGTCGGGCGCGCTCCCGGGCATTGAGTGAAGAGCAGAAGAAGGCTGCAATCTTGATTGCCTTCCTGTTGATGTCGGTGGTGCTGGCTGTTTTTCTGGCACGCACAGTGACCATGTGATTTTCTCCTGCTGCATTTATTACCAAAGCCGTCTGTGACGCGCCGCTCTACTTCCAGCGCGCGCAAGTTTCTCGATTTTTTTCTTTTAATTTCCATCGCATGATTGATAAATGAATAAATTAAAACTAATGAAGTTGATGTATTGATATATCGCCTAAGTGTCTTCCAAAAATTTTATCGCATCTAATCTAAACCATATATGGGAATGATGAGAAGCTAAATTGTACACAGCTAAAAATTTAAGAGCATATTATATGAAAATTATATAAAATATATATTATATATTTGAAATAAAAAATACTGAGGTTTTTTTGCATTTTACCAACTAAGATGAATTTTTTTTAAATTGTTTTATTTTACTACTATTTTTCTGACAAATAAGGTAGTCAAAGAAATTACCAGAACAACAATTTTAATCCTTAGGAGCAATGTAGCCTTTGTATTTTTTCTTATACTTCAGTCCAGTAACAATTGTAGAACTACCGGGAAAAGCAGAAACACCCCCAAACATTGTGTCGGTTTCTATAATGAATAAAAAACAATTACAAGAATTAATCATTTACTATTTAATGAACATTTACCTGGATGAAATCTGTGATATTCATATTGGACAGTTAAATTTTGAGGAAGATCCATTTCCTTCAAAGCGTCAAGTGGAGTGGTTGTTTTCACCTCAGTTTGGTAATAATCACAAATGTCCTCTAAAAAGTAAAGTTTTAGTAATAAATAGCTACTAGGCATCTTTGAGTAAGTGTACGGATTGTGTCCATGGGAGCCAGCATCGAATTTGGTACTTGGTGATCAAACTCTTTCCAGCAAAGAGAAAGAAACTTGTATTTATTGCCGACGTCTTCCAATTTGTCCTTCCAAGTAAAGTTTTTTGGGTAGACCGTCTCTGAAATTTTCTTTATCCTGTCTACAACATCTGGAGGTGGCACAAATGCCTTTTGTTTCCTGAGGAATCCTCTCGACTGCAAGGATGTTTTGAATGCATCAATCTGGTTGCGCGACTGGTCGTAGGAGACAAAATCCTTTGAAACAGGAGCGACTGACTTTTTCTCCCTGAGTTCAAGCTTTATTTTTTTTCCGTAATTCTGTGGAAAAATTTAACTTATATTATAAGTTCAATTTGAATTCTATTTTTTTGAAATCGTTTTATCCTGTATGATTGAAGATTAAAAAAGTTGTGTGTAAACAAACTTCTGTGAGATTTTAGTCTGTAAAAAAAAATAGATTCAGACATAACAAGACATACCCGTAAGGGATTGAGCGTTTGCGATGTGAATTTGGAAATAATTTGTCTTCTAAACATAAACGCTGCCATGCTTTTGCCTCTAATTTTGCCGATTTGAAATGCAATATGCAATGACAAAAATGCCCTGCCCACTTTTCACGTCTCATCCAATAGTGCTATTTACACAAGAGTGCCGTGCAAAGTTCTACTGTTCATTGATTGAAGGGGACAAGGGGGGGAAAGCGAGCGGGTTTTTATACATCTCCGATATTTTTAAATGATTACATACTATTTAACTATTTTTAAAAATCATTTACTTTGCTCATTAAAAACTTCATGTATTTTTAAAAAAATGTTTCGATGTAAAAATAATGAACCGTAATTCATGATTAATTGTGTAATACATATGAAAGGATCTTTTATTATATTTAATAATTAAGTGAAAACACAATTTTAGCAGAATTTTAGTATAATTATAACAGTACTTATAAAATAAATATGATAGTTATCATAGTAATCATTACAATAATTATGATTGTTTTTAATTTTTCTATTTTATAACCCAATTTTGTTGACGTTCAAATATGTATAAAAAAAAACAATGGAAAAATTGTTTCAAAGAAATTGTTGGCAAAAAAAAGACGCGCCCCTAGCAAGAATTTTGCTAAAACTTCAGAGATCAACGAAGATTCCATCCACAGCATAGCCTGAACATAGCTATATAATAAAACAAAATGCGTTATTAATTTTTGTTTCGCTTGTGAAATGAATAATTTTAATTCAATTTACATAAAGCAATTATGAATATTAGATATAAAAGTGCGAAAGAAAAAATCTTTATATATCGGCTATTGCATTTATATTAATTATTGTATGTTTCAGCATAACGCGCAGTTGTCTAAATTGCATCTATATTTTCGCTACTTCTTTACATTGAATGCGTTGTGGAATTTAATATAGTAATATTAATTTATGATTTTAATATTCAAACGTAAAATAATAATAGAAAATTATCAATTTAGCTTAATTTTTTCAAATGAACAGTAAAAAAATAGTAATGTTGTTTATAAAAATTAGTTAAGTGAAACCTGTAAAATTTCTCTTTTAACTCTACATCACTCTTATAAAAACAAAAACTATAAAAAAAATGCAATTTATTTTCTCAACCAGTTTAAAAACGTAATTTTAATTAAAATAAAACGTTCTAACTTTCATCAGGCACTTAAGGACCGAATCAGCCAGCGCTATGTTTTGCATTACATTCGGTAAAGCGCGATCGGCCCAGATCAGGTCGGCCGCTACCGCTATTGAAAGAGATGGGACCGTAGAGAAGAATAGGACCATGCCCCTCTCTCCACGCAAGCTTGCCCTTTCTCTGGGAGCATCGCTCGCTCGCGATCGTGTCGATTGCCTACGCTTGCGCGCTGATCTGTCATGCCCAACAATCGGCAAAGGGCCATTGTTCGGCGGCCAAATGACTCGGCCGACTTAAGGGTCGACTCTGAAGTACCCCTACGCGTCCGCAGGCTTGTCCCGAAAAAGGTGCCTGGAATAAAAACAACCTTTCCTATCCCAATTCGAAACTTTTGAAAGCTCGCAAGTTCGATAGGTCACGTGACCGGGGGCGGACCAATGGCAAGGCCCGATCCATCACCGCTTGTTGTTCCCAGCCGCCATTGGCCGCCATATTGCAGTCGCCATTGACTCAGTGAAACTCACGGCTAAATGTAAAGGGATTGCACTGTATTTTCGGGTGAATTCGGCACGTTTTTCGTGTGGATGTTGGATAAAAGTGTAGCAAGATGCCTGGTTTACAATGACGCATCCCAATCATCAAACAAACGGGGCCAGTTTGGAGGATTGTCACACGAATTTCTTCGCACTGGTGAGTGCATTCGCTCGCTCTCGGCCACCTAAATATGTCATACACACTTCTGGAAAAAGAACCTACCGCGGCCGTCGGGACCCTAGTTTTCACGCTTGGCCGCCTCCCGGCCGCCGACGGGATACGTTCAAAGCCGGCCCATGACCCGACGGCCGCCACTTGTCACTCTTCGGGCGGCAAAACAGGCCGAATGTTTGCACCGCTGTCAGTTTGGTGCGAGTGCCCTTGCCTCGAGAAACGCACCGATTTCGTTTCAGGGTGATGCCCTAGATCTCAACCGCGCCGAAATTTTGGCACATTACACCTCGCTGCCGAATCCCGCCGTGAGGGCATTGCCTACACGTGTTAAATCTGTCAAAATCGTCTGCTGTCCCGTCCGGGGAGCTCGATTGAGCTGCTGGTTTTGCATAGACGTGACGGTGTCACAATAATTCCGACACACACAAGAGATGCTCAAGATAGTATTGTTTGCACTTTTGCGCCTTAATCAACTCTCGGACAGTTGCATATTATTTTTGTCCTCTTGTGTGTGGTTTTGAAATTTTACTTAACCCGATTCCCCGTGATTCTCGGTTTTTATTTTCATTTGCCTCGGCATGTCTTTCTACGCAAGTACGAAAAATCGAAAGTTTGTTGTCGGAATCACAACACGACGCAATGCACTTGTCGGCTGCTTGTTGCGCCGATGATTCGAAGCGAGCTGGTCTTAGAATCGTGACTTCGGTTGCAGATTTTCGCAGTATTTGCAAAATGTAGCGGCCGAGCTTAAAATTCGTGTGTTTACTTGGCACCGCTCTCATCACGGCTGATGTAATTATTGCTAGGTCAAAGACCTTGATAGATTCAGTAAGCCAGTTACGTTTTCCGAGTTATTGCTGTGTAGTACAGACGAAATAAATAAAGCAATTTTTGCAACAATTGTTTGCTAAAAATGTTCACTATCACTAATTGAGGCTTAAAAGTAGTGATAAGCAGGTAAATTAAAAAAATTTCAATATTCAAGCCCAAGAAATTAATATTCTTCAGTTATCATTAAAATATATTTCTATGAATTTAAATTGATGCTAATATGAAATAAAGAATAAAAATTACGAAAGAAATGATGGATTTATTAGTACTACTTGGGATATTTTTTGTGAATAATAATTAATTAAATAATAATAAGTTTTTAAATAATTTTCAATCGTTTTTTAAAAAAAAAACGCGATTACAAATTATTAAATCATTGCTTTTTGTTGTATTATATATAACGAGAGTTTGCTTTCATGAAGAATTCCAGTTTATTCATATTATTTTTTTTTCGATGTAGGTCAGGCTCTCGCGGTGGGAGTGGGTTATTATTTTTTTAAGACAGTGCAACACCATCTTTGCCAAAATATCGCCAATTTTACCAAGCGTGGAATCGCCAGCTCAAAACCGTGATTGCTCTGCTGTTGATTTTGATACCTGTTGCCCACTTAGTAAGCGCACAATATGTGCCTTTTTCAGGCTATTTTCAAGGTCAACAAACACTACGACGTGTCCGCTGCACAATTATGCAACAGCGACGCCGTTTCCTCGTTGATAAAACGATTGGATATTTTTTTATACAGCCTTTTTGTAGAATTTGGATTTCAAGCAGGTCAGGTGTGGCCGTGGTTTCCGAATTTTTTTCTAGCTTTCAATTTTCAAGCTCTCTCAAATGCACTTTGCTCATAATACTGACGTTAGTGTCACGTAATAAAGACAGAGAAACAGCTATGCTTGCGCGACGTAAATCACTTCATGAGCCAGGAGGAACCGCTAGGCCATTCACCAAAACACAGACCGTCTAGATCTTGAGTCGCGATAAAATTTCAAGTCGAGCTGTGGCGCATAAAAAAAAATGCTGTGCAAGTCAGAAAAAGTTTGTTTATTTTATCTGGCATTAGAAATTCAAACAATGTTTCCTCCAAGGTAGATTTTGTCGTTGTTTTAGAAGATGATTTCCCCTTAAAGACTATGAATTCCGGAGTCTCCCCCACTCTTGGATTGCAGTGTAAAAGAGCATGAACTGAACATAAACATTTGGTGCAGTCAACAACCTTAACTGTGATAGGCCCACCTAAAAACACTGAAGTAGACATAAAACCCAGTAGAAGTGAAAGCAAAATTATATCAATAATGCAAGTGTTTTAGTGTTTTGGGAAACGCATTCTCAGTAATATATTAATTAATCTAAAAATTGTAATTTATTAAAATATTTTATTTTTCAAATATATTCATTCCAATTAAAGTCAGATTGGAATGTGATCAAGGCTCCAACAATAAAGTATGACATATTTAGGGATCAGGTCTATTTTATTCCGGCGCTTCGATAAATGAACTTTGTTTATTAATTTCAACTCACTCATTTCAGACCGATTTATGTGGCATCAAATGGCGTAAGCTGTTGTACACTGAGAGCACCCAGTATGCCTCGACGTCGTCGGACCCGCTGGAAGACCCAGTGCTCTCATCCTTCTCGAAATGCCTGGCCGCTGACATTCTCTGTGTGTGGCGGCGTGTGCAGATGCCGCAACCTCAGCCCTCAGCGTCTATGGCCTCCGCAAACAATCCCTTCATGATGGACCCAATGCAGGCGGTCGCCATGGGCGGGGGCTTTCATCAAATGCGGCAGCCGGTGGCGCCCATGATGCCTCAGACGGCAAATTCGCAGTCTGCCGACCCCAACACCACCCTTTCACTGCACTCGAGCAAAGAGCTCTGGATCTTTTGGTATGGTGAAGAGCCAGACCTTTCCAATCTGGTCGCCTTTGACAAACTTGTGTCAGGTGAGTCTTCAAAAATATTGAAATGCATATTATTTTTATTGCAATATTATACTGAATCAGCCTGTGTAAATTATAACCTTACATCCTATCAATTTTAATTTAGATAATGAGCAAGGATCGTGGGAAAGTGGTCTGTCTTACGAGTGTCGGTCACTGCTGTTTAAGGCTCTGCACAACCTAATTGAACGGTACTTGAGTTGCCATATTTCTTTATTTTGAAAAGTAGTTATTAAAAATAATATTTTGATTTAATTTTAGATGCTTGTTGTCTCATGATTTTGTCCGTCTGGGCAAGTGGTTTGTGCAGACATACCATGACAATGAAAAGATCAGCGATAAAAGGTAACTTTTAATTTATTTTAATGATAGCAAAACATTGAAATTTATTTATGAATCAGCGACCATCTCTCCATCTCCTTCCAATTCTTTGTTCATGGTGAGAGTACTGTCTGTGTGAGTGTCGATGTGCGCCAACACCCGCCTGTCAGATCCTTGACTAGGCAGCACATTTTGGCAGCCCAGGCATCAGCGACTGGTTCACAAGGTTTGTAATTGCATTCTTTTTAATTCAGTTTACATCTAGAGCAATTTCTTTGTTAATATTATTTAAATCCTCCAAAGTTTTAAATTTTCATTTATATAAATTTAATTTTATCAAATCCAAAAATTGAAATATCTCATTTTTAGAGGTTTTATAAATGAAAAAGCCATGAAGACACTAAACAAGTTCTCCTTGCAGTTATTCTAGCACCTTTTGGTATGTCTGGTATCCTCACGGGCCAGACGTTCAAAACAAGTGACAGCTACACGCGGAAGCTGATCGAAGAGTGGCGCCAGTTCTACCCTATCAACTCAAAGTACCTCAATAGAGAGCCTGGCGACAACTTGCCGCTTCCCCTAGCCGTCGAGGTTATTGTCAGTGGCGCCAAAATGCGCTACCCAACATGCTTTGTGTTAGCCACTGACATGGACGACCCCAACCTGAATGCTGCAGCCTCAGCACCGATACTGCAAGGCGTCCAGCTTTCGGCCGTGGGAGGAGCCATCATTCGCGGCGCAGCGCCTGGTAACATCCCCAAATCAGTGCAGCAGTCGGCTAAATGTCTCAAATCAGACACGCCCTGTTGCTCCGTAGGAGCTGCTGTTGCAGAGCCTCAGTCCCAGGAAGCGCCGCTCAAACCGGCCTCCCTGCACTCGAGCCCTGTTCTTCAGCTGCTGGCCGACCCGGCCATAGCTCTGACCAACCCTAACAAGCAACCGCTGAACTTGGCTGAGCGTGTCTGGCAGGATGACTCGCTCAACCACAGTCAGCAGTCGCCCTTCTCGAGCCAGCAACAGCCCTCTGACTCGGACAGCTTGATGGGAGGTGAGGAACCGGCTGGACATTGGGAATTTCAAGATCCATCCAAGAAAGTTTCTTGTTCCTGTTCAAAGTGAGTTATTTTCCTTTTATGCATTCTTTGTCTCCAATCTGTCACGGCTCGACATTATTCTTATTTACGTTGGTCTCTTGGTGCATGCAAAACAACTAAAATTGGACTTTATTTTTATTGCACAGATTGTAGTTACAAGTTTTTTTTTATTTATTACAAAATGCCTGGCATGTTTCCAAATTCAGTTAAACTTAGTATTTATTATTTATTTTTTAAAACACATCCCTTTTTTAAAATTATTTTTGGGGTTTTATTCTTTAATTAGATAACAGAAGAGGTGATTCAGTGGCATTAAGTTCAAATTGTATTATGAGTGAGATAATATTAAAATCTTCTTGTCTTACACTCCAAAATATATTGCCACACTATTAATTTCAATGCCAATATAGCTAATCAACATTACATCTTTTTAAAGCGCACCATTTCACTTCACAACTGCAACATTTCATTAATTATTGTGGCAAACCAGTATTTCTCTCTTGCAACATTTTTAAATTGCGCTTAAGAGCACTATGCATCAAATTTCCATTCATAATCTGTTGCATAACAATCAAATACCTGTGCTGCAAAAGCAGTTCAAATTAATTCTAATGGTTAAGTTTTCACTAACAAGGTATGGCCACTAGTCTTTTCTCTTTCTCGTGCCACAAATAAGTGTCTGCATACTTTTATTTGCCACTTTGCAGGTGTAAAAAAGTAAATCAATCAAACCTCCATAAAAGTGGTGGATTGAGCACTAGTAACTCAGGCTTGAAACTGAAGGGTGAGAAAAGCGAAAAAAACCGGGGGTGGAGAAGTGGGTGCTCAAGCATCACTCCATACCACCATCGAAACCCGAATTTTGGGGAAAATGACTGGCTGGCGGAGCTCGAACCAACGCCCGCTACCAGGTTTGTAGCCACCCATAGTTTTATTTTGCATTAATACTACTGCGACATTCTCATGATGTCGCCGTCATTCATTCATTGTAACTGAGGTGTTTTGTCACTTATTTGAACTTTTTTAATCGATTTTTTTTTTAGCTTCATGTTTGATTTGGAAAACGTAGTTCTCCTGCTTGCTGAATGCAATTCATTTGATTAGATAGACTTCTGTTCTTTGTCTGTATGCTTATTTAATATTAATCATTGTTCTAATTTTGATTTAATTAGAATTTATTAACTAAATTTTACGTAAATTGCAAGATAACCATTTAAAATTATTTATCATTTATGTTTGCATTAGCTGCATTCCATCATTTTTGCTGCATCAATATTTTTCAAATGATCGAAACATTTTCTTAACTCTTTAAATTGCCATTGCAGAGTATCTGAACCTACCACACCAGCTGGTGGACCTCCTTCTTACAGGGTAAACCAAGCAATGACTCCTGGCATGCAGCAAAGTGGTGGTGACTTGCCTGTTCCATCAGTTGGGTCACCACCATCAGCTGCCCCGTCACCTCTTCACAATCCTCATTCTCAGCCAGCATCTGTGACAGCTACGGGTATGTATATTTTTTCATTTCATACAAAAAAAAAATGTTTCTCACAAATAAGCATTTTATTTTTTAATCACAAAACTTATGCAGATCCCACCATGCCAACATTGAGCCCGCACCCACCTTCATCCAACCAGCCTAGTGGCGCTCAGCCAACAACCCCTCTGGAATCTCAAGACAAAGTTACCCCAGCTGCGACACCTTCAGATATTAATGGGCCCAAATCTGTGTCGTCCATATCAAACCAAGTATTCTCTCCGTATCCCACCAACTCTAGCGTGGAGCCATCGAAACCCGCCGATAGTATGGGACCAGCTAGTGCAAGCTCCGGCCATGTGCCCTCAATGCCCACGGCATCATCCACTCTCAGCTCCTTCCTCAAGAGACCAATCCTGGCTTCTAAAGATTACGAATCCATCATGCAGGACGAGGATCAACCGTCTGACTTGTTGTATGATTATTCCACCATGAATGCTTGGTAATACATCAATCTAATTTGTGTCAGTTCATACTAAGATTCGTTGTTAGGTTGAATCACCCTGTCAAGAGGTACAAGGCTGCTGAGAAGATGCAAGAGAAGACAGCACGTCCATTCCCTGAAAACTTAACACCTACAACTCAAGTAGGACCTGCAAATTTGGAAGTAGGCGTGTTACCAGTTGCTGTCAAACAAGAGCCAATTACTGGGGTAAATGATTTTTTTTCCATTTTTAATTTTCAATTTGTCTTGTAGCTACTAACATTCATTCATTTTTATTATTATTATTATAAATGTCTATCATCAAATTTTTTAGGATGATGATAAAAAAGGAGGAGTGGCGCCGTTCAATGACGACCCTGATAATACCAAAACCCCAAGTGATTTATTCACTAGTCGCGGTTTAGAGCCATCCTATAAAGATCTAGATCAAATTTTTGACAACTCTGACGACACCTCAAGCGATGAGACGGTATTTTTTCACTATAAATTTCAATAAAATGGCTAACTTAGATTACCCCTGAAGCCTCAAGTGCCAACGCCTCCCGGCTCAAACAAGGCGCCAGGAGATGAGCAAACCATCACCCTAGTAAAGCCACCACGAGGCAGCGGCGGAGGTACTGGAATTCTGAAGGTTGAGGAGCTGACAAAAATGTACCCAACCCCACCGAGTCTTGAACACAACCCAATTGCCTCACCTTGTGGTCAGCCTGATGTGTCAATGCTTGATGCTTCTGAATCTGCACATGTTCCAAGAATCAAGCAAGAGATTTATGCAAATTTAGGAAGTCCCACCGAGGAGAATATTGATGTAATTTTTAAATTTAAGACTTAGTGTATTTATGATCTAATTTTTTCTTTGCAGGACTGGTCATATGTTTACAAGCCAGTGGCTATGTACAAAATGGTTGGATCTTCTAAATATGCACCGCTTACCAATCTGCCGAGTCAGCAATTGTCTGCATTGATACCTACCCCCAAGTACAAACCTGCTTGGCAATACCCGCTTCAGATGCAAGAGAAGTCAAATCAACCTCAAAATCACATGCCTCCTGGACCAATGATACCTGGACCGATTGCTGCTCCTCACAGACCACCTTCACGGCCCATCTCTGGCATCTCGCCCATCTCTCCAGCTGCAGCCATGAGGTCTCCAATGGGTCCGTACGGCCGGATGGAAGCAAGTCCCATTGGAATGGCGCCAGGAGTGATGCATCCTCACCATCGTCCAGCTCTGCCTCCCCCTTACGAACTGGCCAGTCCAGCGTCGAACGCTCCGTACATGAACAAGAGCGTGAGCTCAGTAGAGCCTGGTCCTCTCTCGGCTGCTGTGATCGCAGCTAGAGCTCCAGAGGCTAATTCTCTTGTGGTCAACATTTTGCTGACAGACTCAAGCTTGCACGTATTCAGGGATCACAACTTTGATAGGTAAGCAAACAAAAATTACAGTACCTATGATTCTCCATGCAGATAAATTGAAAATTATGCATATTAAATCAAATTAATACATGAAAAAATTATTTAAAAAAATTTATTCCCAACGTTGAACAAATGTGTATGGCAAATTTCAATACATTATTTAATTTAAATGATTTTGATTTTCCCACAAACCGGAAATCTGAAGTATTTTTTCAGTCATGCTCTACCCATAAATAATTATCTATTGAATGTTATTATTTTACTATTCATAACAATTAAAATTTCTTAACATTTTTAATTACAGTTGCACAATGTGCGTCTGCAATGCTGGTCCTAAAGTTGTTGGCAACATTCGTGGCGCCGACTTATGTCTACCTGAGGCTGGAGGCGGCATTTCATCTGACGAAGACCAGATCCGCTGCAATTGTGGCTTCAGTGCTGTGGTTAATCGTAAACTGTCTCATAGAGCCGGCCTCTTCTATGAGGATGAGATAGAGATAACTGGTCCCTTGTTTGTGGATGAATGCATTGATCGCAAACGGCCCAGCCTTTCAGCAGTCAGCTCTGCTGGAAAGTGCAGAGGCAACGAGCTCGAAGCTCCATCTGCTTCTATGAATGCTGCTGCCAAGCAGATTCCCCCTCCTACCGAACCAAGCAATTCCATTTTGGAGATTGTACCTCAGTCAGTTCTTGAGCTGATAAGAGATCAGTGTGTCTTCGTTAAAAGCTCAGTTAATACCTTGGTCAGAACTGCGTTTAGGCATTGCAAAACTAGTGATAGCTTGTTGTGGACGTTAAACAAACTTGAGTTTAGTGACGGTAATGATGTGACTTTGATGGCCCTCGATCAAGGCAGGCAGTCTGCAGATGCCTTGCACTTGTGCAAACTTAACAGTGATGACATGAGAATTCGAGGAAACTCGCCTCTTCACAGGTGGCAGTTCCTCAGAGCTGGCGGTCCAAATTGTAATCAAGACATCATCAGGGTCATGCGTAATTTGCAACCTTTGCTGCAAGAGGCTGTTCAACAGAAATGCACAACTCGACTTTGGGACGCGCCTTACACTGTGTCTGGGCCACTCACATGGAGAAAATTCCACAGATTAGCTGGACGAGGTGAGAAATTGAGTTACTTCAAGGTTACAAAATTTGTTTCTATGAAATCACATTGTAAATTAACATGTTTGTACTGACCAATTCTTATATTCGCATTTATATGAATTCAGGCACAGAGGATAGGTGTGAACCGCAGCCGATACCTTCGGTATTAGTTGGCCGTGATAGTGATTGGGTCTCATTGTCCCCTTACGCTATTCAATACTGGGAAAATCTGCTACTGGAACCATACTCGTACACCAGAGATGTTGCCTACATTGTGGTGGCCCCAGACAACGAGCACGTTTTAGGCCATGTGCGATCTTTCTTCAAGGAGCTCAGTGCAATCTATGAGGTAGAAATAAAACTAGGTTTTGTATACATTTCTCTAATGTTTTAATTTTTAGTTGTGTCGTCTTGGAAGACATTGTCCAATCACCAAAGTTCTTCGTGATGGCATATTAAGGGTGGGGAAATCGTCAGATTCTAAAATTGCCAAGGAGCCCGTTGACGAATGGTTCTCGACCCTTTCAGAGAGCCAAACAAGCTGCCTGCTCAAACTATATGCTCAAGTAAGTTTTTCTTTTCAAAAGTGTCAAAATGGCTTTTTATCTTCTTGATGATTTGCTTAAGAATAAAGTAAGATCATTTTATCATCAATTAAACCAAATGTTTCTTTAGGTTTGCCGATATCATCTTACTCCACATTTGAATTCCATCCCCATGGACAAAACTCTATTTAACGATGCCTCCCAGCCCAAAACCAGCGTAGAAATGCCCACTCCCTCACCTATGCCTCCTCCGTCAACACCTGAAGGCGCAAGTCAAGGCTCTAGCTCTGACCGGCAGCCTTCAACGCCAAAGACTGATCATGGTACTACCGTAAAAACATCATTAGAACTGCCACTAATATTTTATCTTTCAAAGGAGATGGAGATGGCCACCATCGGGATAGCATTGGTGGGTTGCAGGACATTCACCCTGATGATGAGGAAAGAGAGCCTCCAGCCATCGTCATTTATTTTGTAGATCCCTTCAGTTTCGGCTCGGAAGAGGAAGACAAAGATCGCTTGGCTTGCTTAGGCTTGCTACGGTGCTACGTGGAAATACTCAACTCTGTACCAGAACATATTCGTGCCAACCTGAATGTCCAGATTGTGTCTCTAGAATCGATCCTGGAGTTGACCAAAGGGAAAAAAGAAAAGCACATTGACACTGTCAGAGCCCAGGCATTGTCAGTATACCTTCAGTGCCGCAGGCTTATGAGCCACATCTCAAATGTCAAGTCTCTCACCGGATTTGGTCCAGCAGCAAATTCGGATCTCTTCTTAAAGAGCAAAGATGTAAAGAAAAATTTGTGCTTGGAAATTATGTTATCATACAACTTGAAATTTGATTTGCAGGAAAAGAACAGAGCTCCTTACAGACTTTTCACACCTCCATACGTATTAGGCCAAACCAAGGATAAATCCGAGTCAAATAGTGATAGACAGCAGGAGAAAACTTCCGTGATGTACTGCAACTACTGCTTATCTGAAGACCAAAGGTTCCTAATGGCCGCTTGCACCGACGACAAAGGAGCAATTTTTGAGACTGTCTGCATCAACATAGAAATTCCACATAGGTTTGTTTTTTGCACTATGAAAATGGTCACAACTAATCCAGTGAATTTCAGGACTAGGAGAAAAAAGGCTTCTGCAAGAAGGGTAGGACTTCAAAAGCTGATGGACTTTATTCTAGGAATCATGTCCAGAACTGTCCAACCCTGGAGGCTGGTAGTAGGACGTGTGGGGAGGATAGGCCACGGAGAATTGAAAGGTAAATATTCTTTACTCCTGGAAATTAAAATTTTAAACCGAGTTTCTTCCTTAGGCTGGAGTTGGCTGCTAAGCAGAAAGTCTTTAGTGAAGGCTTCAAAACACCTGAAAGAGATTTGCAACCAGTGCTCATTGCAGTCACAAACTGACATCCCATGCATTCTCAGTGCCTGCTTGGTGTCGATGGAGCCAGACTCGTCTCTTCGCCTCATGCCTGATCAGTTCACCCCTGACGAGCGATTTAGCCAGGCTTCTGTCAAGTGCAGCCTTTCCACGCCGCAAGACGTCAGTGCTACTCACATCCTTGTTTTCCCCACATCAGCCACTACCCAGTCATCGCAATCTGCATTCCAAGAACAACACATCAACGATCCAGAACTGGGCGACGAAGAGCTGTTCAGCGCTCTGAACGATGACAATGTCATGGATGGAATTGATGGAGACTTTGGCGACATCTTCAGCGCTTGGCCTGAGCCAGGTCAAGGTGCACAAAGTCCAACTGGTAGTCCAAAAAGGGACTCAATGTCCCAGCCAGGCAGCCCAGGAGTGATGGGAGGCCCCGGACAGCAGAGCCCATACCCCTGCAACACCAACAGCATGGTAAGTTACCTAGAACAACCACTTTCAAACATATAAATTTTTATCTTTCCCTGTGCAGAGCTCTGGAGGCCTTGCCATGGAAGTGCAAGAAGAGGTTGGGACGTTGCTTCAGCAGCCACTTGCCCTTGGCTACTTTGTCTCAACAGCGAAAACAGGCAAAATGCCCCGATGGTTCTGGGCCTCATGTCCTCACCTGGAGGACGCAAATCCAACCTTCCTCAAGAACGCCCTCCACTTGCACAGTACCTCAATCCAGAATTCTGACGACCTGCTGCAACAGCAGGCACCAGTTTCCGAGCATCCCTTGGACTCGATCTACACTACTGATGTGTTGAGGTATTAATTTTAAATGCAATTTCGGTGGAAAGATTTTAATTATGTTTCTCCGTCAGATATGTAATGGAAGGCTACAATGCTCTCTCGTGGCTTGCACTAGACCACACCGCCAAGGACCGACTTTCATGCCTGCCTGTTCATGTGCAAGTGCTGATGCAGTTGTACCACATGTTTTCTGCTCTCGTCTGAAAATCGGGCGCGAGTGTTGTTTAACAACTCTTCGTATTAAGAACTTGTTACATAATTATTATTATTAAACTATATTATAGAGACTAAAAAGAAAAGATGCAGAAGCTATTTCTCAAATAGGAATCGAATATGAGAAGAGCTGCAGCAACCACTTTGCAAAAAGAGGTCAACAGTCAATACACAAACACATTCTCTCACACCTTTTAAACTTGAGATGTTGGGTGGTGCGCGCCTTTTCACTTAATTATGATTTTACTATCAGGCGTCTAGCTTGTGTCACACAAATTGAAATGTATGAATGTGCTGCACACTTTTTAATGGGCTAGTAAGCAATTTTTACTAAAAAAAAGTATATCGGATAAGATCAATTTTGTAGAAATCAAGGAAAAAAGATCCTCTGAAAAGAAGTAGCTCGGACCAATTGAGTATTCCTAAAGGTAACACATACAAGTGCTGGGACATTAAATCTAGATGTACAATGATTACTGTATATACCATTTGCATATTAAAAGCTATTATTGTTGATGAAGATGGTGATCAGCCTCATCAAATGAAGTGGAAAAGAGCAAGTCAAATCTATACAAGAGAAACACTCATCTTGCATTGTTAATTATAATTTTTTTTAATTGATTTGATGTAAATTTTGTACAGTCTCATTTTTTAATTTTCTCACTTGCATGGGGGCACTACCGAATTCCTCTAAAACCGATTTCAGCACCACACTTGGTTTCAGGTGGGCTGAAGCTTGGTTGCATACACCGCATTGGTACAAAAATTTATGAATTGTTAACTTTTAGTTATTTATACATAAATATAAACAATAGCAGTCGAGCTTTGCGCCCTTCGGCCAAAGTGTGTTTTCCAGAGGTGGTAGTCGTTACAGTGGTGGTGAGATTTGTTTGGCAGCTTTCGGTGGCGCTACCATGCTGCGGTTATCTTCCTTTAACTTGTTATAAATTATCATTTTCTATGAAAGTGAGTCCCTCCCCAATTGTAAGCGACAAAGTGAGTTTAAAACTGCTGTACTTTAGTTGCAGTGGAATTTTAACAAATTATTAGAAATAAACGACATTTAGTTGTAAAAATTTTAATTTCGTTCGTTAATTTTTGCTATGGGTCGGAACCTTGCCTTTTTCTCTCTCGCATGTGACTTAGCTGTGCTGTCCAGCACGAAAATTAAGTTTCCCTTTTGGTCTAGTAACTTAGAAAAAAGCTGATTGCAGGATTGCCTGGCAATCGCTGCGGCTTGGTTCTGATGGAGATTAAATAAACTCTTGATATAAATTTTAGGGCCTCTGGTTCTGTTCTGTCCAAAGAACTTGATAATTAGTGTTTTTAAATTGTAATTGTTTTGGTGTGGGAGGATGTTCAATTTATGTTATAATACACCATTATTTATGCTCACCGCCTCATTACACTAATTTTTAATTCATCTGAAAATCTGACATTATTGCTGCTGACAAGGGTTTATTTTCTCGGGGTCAAGACTTCACCAAATGGACTATTAGTAACTTATTTTAATAATTTACAGAAATCTTTTTCACTGTGTAGGCAAATTATATAATTGTCCCTCAAAATGGTTATTGTGTTAATTGTTATTTCTACCATGTAGCAATATAGCATTGACAAATCAAACTTTATGTGTTTCTGTATTTAACACTGCAAAACCAAATCCTATATCATAATTAATTAATACAATTTTTGATGCGTCGCCGGATTTCCTTTGTTTATAGAATAATAAATGTTTATGAATATTTTTTTTATTACGAAAGATATTTTGCAGTTTGCTTTTTTTGAGAATCAGCTAAATGGAATTAAGATCATCTGCTAAAAAATTATAATTTTTATAATCATTAAACATATTGTAAAAAAGTTTTTTATTATCTACTAGCATTTCTTTCATTAAAATATAGTTTGATGAAATCGGCCATAATTGGAGCAATGGGAGAACAACTTGTGATTGAACTATCTACACTAGAGACGGCAAGCAAAACGCATATGAATATAAAAAGGAAATGACGGAGCCCTTTAATAGAGGCAGCGAAGAGTCTTAGCCGCGTGGCACCTCTACTCTAATAAGCGGCCACACAAAGCATTGATGATGATATGCTTGCGAGATGCTAAAATGTCTCCTCTCGATACATAGAGATTGGGACCGCATCTCCTCATCATTATAATATATTTCATCCTCCCTCTCTCTCTCCTTCAGAAATTTTCTCTTTAATTTCGTTCGACTACGGTAGCAGCAGCAGTAAAATCGAACCCTATCGATACTAGTCGTCCTACTTGTCGTAAGGAATGCACGGCCGCGAATCGGGCGCGCAGGGTCCTATCGAAGCGAAAAAATTAAAAGAGTAAGTTGTCCTCTAGCGTGTGTGTGTGTGTATTTCTTTCGGTGGGAGAGGTGCGAGACCGGAAAGAGGGGAGTCGCTCTTTCGACTTCTCTTGTTGCCTCGCGCAGTTTGTTCGTCGTGGCTCGGTGTCCCGAAGAACTGCCCCATTTTGTCCCGGAGTCGCGTCTGTATCAAGGTAAGAAGTGAGTTTTCACGTGTCCGAAAACAGAACCACTCGGTTGCCTCTCGAGTCTCCGTCTTTGCCCAATCAGCAAGGACAATTTTTGAATATATTCCCAATTATGATTTGTTATTCGTGAAAATTGTTGCCATAAGCTACAACATTTTGGATGAATATTGCAAATATTCTGGAGGAATATTGTGGAATATTCAAAACATTAAATTTGCTGATGTTGGGTGGCGTCCGACCTAAAACGAGCTTAAAGTGGTCATCTCCATTCAAGCACGCTCCAGCGGGCTGCCCGAACAGCTGTGTACCACTTAATAATATGGCCCTTTAAATCGCTCCCAGCCACCCCTGAAGGACGGTGACACGCTGATCTTTCCGGAAAACTGCACCGAGTCGCGACGGAGAACACGCCACGAATCGCGTCTCTCAGCCATTTTTTTGCAAACGTTCTCCACACCGACCACTCGCTCTCGTCGTGTCCCATATTAGAAACGCGCGCCTCCACAACAATAGAACTGCATTTTCAACGCAGTCAATTACGGACAAAATGCATTTCAAAGCACGTAAATGATCGCTCAGGCTTGCTATTTAATTTTCCCTTAAAATTTGCCTATATATTTTCTATTTTTTATATAAAGTATAATAAATTGATTTATTAATATAAACTTCTTTCTCTTACAAAAGAGCGAATCAGCTGTACGCACCAGCACGACGCTCAACCATCTTCGTTTCTCGCTACGCCGACTGCCCCTCTATCTGTTTCTCCAAGTATATTTAATTAAGTTTGAGTCTTCCCCTGAGAATTTTCCGTAAGGACGCCGTTACAGGTATGTTCTTTTGTTGGTGCTCTGACCCTGCGAGCACCCCTGAGAAAGCGCCGGGGGCGTACCCGGCCGGATGCACTATATTATCCTGGTGTATCGTTCGGCGACGCATTGTAAAGTAGGCAACACGCGGCACTTCAAAGTTGCGCGTAACGCATAATTGCTTAAAAATGATTTTATTTTAATAAGTACCATATTTAGTAATAATTGATTAATTAATTTCACCTTTTCACCTTTTTGTTTATTTTTATCTGTGTTTTGACCAGTCAGAGATCGATATCAGATAAAATAAAAGATATTGAGAAGTATCTTCCCAGCAATTATAACACAATTATACAAATTATGAGTCTCACGGATAATTCAATTGTGAAAAAAAATCAGAATTATAGAGCGAGATTTCGTGTGCTTTGGTGATCTTAAGATAAATCGATTTTTTTATCGAAAAAACATAACAGACTGGAAGTTTTTTGAAAAAGTTAACGCAAACGATAATGCCGTCCAGATCTGGGTCGGGGGCGGCGATTCGAGTAGTAAAGCTCGGCAATCAGCGCCTAATTACTCGTGTCCGGTGCAAGTGCATAAAGAAGATGCGCCCTGCCAGCTGGCCGGGGTCATTAGTGACCGCAGGATGTAGATTTCTTCCTCTTTCCACTTCCTCCTAACTCGTTTTAATTTTTATTATAAAATTAAATAGTAAACTGGTCTTCTGTTTAAAATATTAAATGGAATTGTTTGGTTAATTCAATAATTCTGAATATAAATTTTGCTCACTACTTTTTGCCTTTCAATTTTGAATTTATTGAATAACTTTCATTCAAATTATTTCGCCGCGTCATTTCCTGACGTAAAAAGTCCGAATTAATACCTGCACGCCTCTGTCGAGCTAGGTCTTGCTCTCGGTGGCGTTGACGTAGCAATTATTAGTCTTTGTGATTTCCCAACATGCAAAATTTAATTTGCTCTGTTGGGCACAGAGGCCCTCGACCAATCCCGCCGCCTGCACACTCTAACAACGTCGGCGCGGCAGGGACAAAGATAAGGAGAGATATCAAGCAGAAGGTCTCTTCATCACGGCGACACCACGATCCCAAACACGAAATATTTCTGCTCTTCTGTCCACTTGATTAATTAACTTTTTCATATCATTTCATATCAAGCCCAAAATTCTTAAAATCATAAGTAACTAAATATTCTAATGTTTTCATTTATTTTTTAATATAATATTTATTTAACTTTTAGCTTAAAAGTCGTTATGCCCTTTGCGAATTTCAATGATCGAAATGTTTATTGGAGGTTAAATTTATTTGAATGGGAATCAGTGGGATTAGCGAGACGGGGCGAGCCAGGAGTGGCGAGGTGCGCAGAGCAGGTGGAACGCTCGGCGTCGGCCGCCGCCGCCCGTCGTTTTGGTATCCACAAAAGTAGCTTGCGACGCCAAAGCAAAGCAACCTCACAAACCACGTGCCTGCACTCGCACAACGCTATTTTCGGCACTCCATGAAAGGGTATAGGTAATCAACCCGCCACCGCAGCCACAATGCGCCCTCCTATGCACTCGGATGAAAACTCTGGCCGCCAGCTCGAGATCATCATCTCGGATCACTGGAAATTTTTTACAATTTTTACTGAAAAAAGTAAAAAAAAATGATGCTCTAAAGTAGAGTAAAGAATTTGCGTAGGGAGCCAAAAAAAGGAATGTCTAAATTGAGGTGGAAAAGAAAACAATGGGGCTAAAATAAGATCCACCGTCAGTATTTAAAAAAACTTTCAGGGCCTTTACGCATTCAATTTGAATTTCTTAATCAAAATTCTTTTAAATAATAAAGTCCTTGCACTTCAATTGAACTGATCAGATAAGACCGGATTTTGCTCGACCCGCGAGGTCAGAGCCCAGATCCTCTCAAGTGGTCAAAGTGAGCAAAAATGTTCTCTAAAATCTTCAAATCGTTAAGTTTTAACGAAAAAAAAATCAACATTTTCTTAGAATATTTTAATTGTTCTGATTTATTTCATGCAACCTTTTGATAAGTTGAATGTCGGGGAACGATCGGAAAATGGAGTCTGGCAACAAGGCGATCGGCTCGAGCACGCTGCCAATGACTAAACGCCGCACGACGCGTACCATTCCGAATTTTGGCCGCGAGCTGCTGACGCCTTGGGACCGAAGCGTCGCTCCGCGTGGTGCTGCTTACTTTGAGACGCACAGGCAGAGCGAGAGGGCGGCCTTGGTGCACCAGCTAATCAAATTAGACGTCTGCATCAAATTTGTTTTCGGCAAAATCCTCCAGTTTAATTTTTTGAGCCTTCACTTTCTATTGCGCCCCAAAATTGACTTTAATTTACCTCATTGAAAATAATTTAGTTTTTTTTTAACTTACATCAATCATCTTTTGAATTAACTTATTTAAGAGTAAATCTGAAACTTTTAAAATAATAAAATAAAAACTGAATTTGTTACAATAAAAATCAGGTAAAAATGAGAATAATTAATGTTTATAGCATCTGATTTAATTCGAATTTTTAAATGTTCAGCTAATTTCTTAAATAAGAACTAAACTTTGCCTTCCATTTGAGAGGTTCCATTTGGCGACCCTAATTTGGTCAAAGCCCACCAACTGTTTGCGCCTCTCTCGGTGCACTTTTCCTAGCGGGTCATTCGTTATTTCCACTTTCGTGCTCTCCGCCCGTCTTATCTCGCCGCGACGGATTGCTGCAAATAAATGCTGCTGGAAAAGTGTTTAAGTCCCTTACGTAGGACAAAAAGCAAGCGAGCGTCTGCCGGCGGGAGTGTTTGTTTAAATGGTTTCGCTGGTGCTGCGCCGCTGAGCCAGGCCGACACCGCGAGTGCTGCATGACCTACTTTTGGGGGATGCACGCACAGAGTATGCAACCCTCGCGGCTGGTCGATACAAATATGTATGTATGCCAGAGGGGGACCAACGACGGCGAACATGTGTTGTGCATTTGCTCGTAAAGGTGTGCACGGTCACGTGTGAAGTCACAAGCGCGGACCAGCCAGAGAAACGACGATTGAGCGCCCAAAATATTGCTGAAATTATTCAGGTCGGTAACAAAAACGCGACCGAGTGGGAAATTTGCACTCTTTTTTTTGTTTTCAGAGTTGCATAACTTACATGATATCGTTTTAATTTTTTGTATTTTAGAGTCGATTAGTTGAGCTCTAAATTTCAATTTTTAATGCTAAGCAACAAGTTTTTCAAAAAAGAAATTCGCATTAATAAATTTTTTTTATTTAAATGTTTCAACTTTTTTTACATATTATTATTGCTTATTTTTCCACGTTGTTTACATTTAATTGTTGAAAAAGAAGGGAAATATATGGACAAAACGAAAGCACCCTTAGTTAGAATTTTGCCAAAAAAAATCCATGATCGAAACCTGTCCGCAATTTCACTTGTAAGTTATAAAATTCCGTTTTATCTTTTAAAGAATTCCAACCTATTTATCGAAAGCTTCCACTTTTTTAACTTTTTTTTTTTTAAATATTACGTTCTAATTTACACTTTTCACATTAGACTCAAGGGATTATTAGCTCTAGTGCCATGTTCAACTTTCAAAGGTTCTTTCTTTGTTTGCAGATTGTCAAAGATTTTGATTTTGTCTTTTTTATCAAAGACTTTTTCTAATGTTTTCAGTATTTTGACAAAATTTTAACTCTTTTGTGAGCTCTTTAATTAAGCCTTTTTTTCTCGTAATCCGCGATTGCAAGTCCGCTGGGAAAGGAGTGAAAGGACCGCTTCCCCGATAATCTTCGTGCTCTCATTCCAATTTCGGCACCCCCGAGACGGATGAAAGGGCCTGGTGGGCCAATCAGGGCGCAAAAAGTTGTAGGGCCGCGAGATTTGGATCAGAGAAAGAGAGAGAACGGTGACGGTAGAATCTGCATCGGCGTTTTGGCCGTCGTCTTGGCAACTGCGAGAGCTGCGGTCGTCATGACGACCGTTCGGCCCATACACGCAGCCTCCATCGCCTAGCAACGGTTCTGCCATGCTGGACCTGGCCAATTTTTGAGTGTCATTCTGCCAGGCAGCCTGCGAAACATCCGTCACACAAGAGCTCCGCGCCCCTCGCAGGACACTCGTTAGCCGAGCAGGTGCGCTAATTGCCGCTGCAGTCTTACTCTGAGCCCAGGTACAACTTTTCCGATCAATTTCCGTGCAAATTTTTTCCTCGTCCACCACCCCCTGTCGCCCGAATCCAATTTTGCCCTCGGTCTCGTCCCTAGAGAGAGAAAGACGCATAGCTCTGAAGCGCCTTCTTTAATTGGGCTGGTTTGCGGCCGCTCCGTAGTAAACAAGCATGGACTGAATTTTAATCTGGATTCCATTAGGTGGGATTAAGTTCTGGAGTCGTCGTAGGGTTTCTTGAATAATGAAATTTCGCAAGGAAAAGCAGGGGGAGCACAAAGTTCATATAATGCTAGTTTGTTAACACCAGCTTTGGGAAGAGATTTTTTTATATTCACTTCAAAATATATTCGACAATATTTAAATTCTCGATATTTATTCAAAGAAATAAATGTGAAAGTTAAGTTAAAATAATGAAACTTTTGTGTTTTGTGGCTTCTTGCTCTATGGGACTGACAAAATTATATAAGCTGATCATTTTTTATTTTTAAATCTCAACCAATTTTTATATAACAGCTCTTCATTTCTCGAACTTTTCATTACATTTTAGATTGTATATAATTATATTTTTTTTGCCTCTCAGGTGATATAATTTAAATTTATCATGGTTTTGCACTCTGCTAAACGTAGGAGGGAAGTTTTATTGACGTCATAGGCTACCTGCACGACTCAGGTGCGCAGCGGGTTGCATACCACTTTAGAAATTGCCCATATAAAAACGAAACACTGAACGATGCAGATTTTTCATTTTTTTAGAAAAAAAATCAAGGAAAATTATTTAATTTTTAATTAATGGTTCGGTGGTAATATTTTACTCCAAAATAAATAGGCAATCTGAAAAATAGATTTTCTTTATGAATATTTGTCTAAAATAAGTCCAAAGCATCGATCGGTTCGTTTTCCAAAGGTCTCTCTGCTGGTGCTCATTGTTTCGCCATCCCAGAGAGTGGAGGAGACGAATTTCGCTTGAATTTTTTACGCTCCCCGTGCCGAGGGAGGGTGCAGGAGTCCCGGAGCGGATCACGTCGGGAAGTGTCCGATTGCCGAGTCGGGACGTCTCCCTGCTTTCACTCTCTGGTGACGCTGTCGGCGTCATGGGAGGACAGCGGTGGCAGACAACGGAGGAGCAGAGAGGCCAGTGACGTCACACTTTGCCTAGTATATTTATCGAGTCGGCCGGCGTCATGTGATGTGTTACAGCCACCAAGATGAGGAGCGCAGGTTGCTACGGCAACCGATCTGCACGGCAGACGTGGCCCGTATTGATGCCGCTGCTTTTCCAAAAGAAATATACATGCATATGCATTCGGTATATATTACAAACACCGTGTGTGTGCGTGTGCCCGATTGGCAATCGGAGAGAATTTTCACGCGCATTAGCATGATTGGAAATTGAAAGTCGCGCACTATCGAGTTTCACATCGCTTTTTTACGCGATTTTCTGGTGAATTTTCTTTGTCGACTAAAAAAATCCTTTGGTTGCAATGATGCTAGAAAGATTTCGCGCTGATCGCAACGAAACGAAAATGAATTTGATTTTCTTTGTCGTTTTGCAGAATAATATTAGGAAGTAAATTTACCAAGAATATTTTTTAATTTAAATTTTGCGCTTCATCAAAATTTATTGAAATAAAAATTACCTTAATTTGAAACAATGTTTTGGTTGCGGATTTTCTTCGTGCTAAAAAATTTGAATTGCGATTTATACAAATATTTTAAATTATTGCATTTTGCCCATTTTTTTCTTCTTCGCTAGACCATTTAGAAAATTTAACGGCAGTTTCAAAATCGCCTAATGGTATACGGTTCCCATATCCATTTGGTCCCGAAAGCAAAGAAACACAAACAAGATGCCACTCCAAACTTTTCGCCATCGCGGGACGACCTAACTTTGTGATTAGCGCGATCACGAGCCGTACCACTAATTGGGGTGCGTATTTTGTGTTGCAGGTAATGGCGCCTGAGCGGCCTGGTTCAGATGACGAGCGATGCACTGTTGGCACTGTCCACCTCAGAACACAGGCAGGGACCCCCAACGCAGACATCCTTAAGGTAAATATAGTGCATTTTCTGTCCAATAGTCCTAAAATAGAAATCATCAATTGATAAAGAAATTAGAATTTTGGTCTATTTGTCGATTTTTCTTAATTACTCCAGCATTGAATGCAGTTTAACATTAATTTTTTGTCTAATTTTATGATTAAATTCATGTTAAAATTTTTTTAATTAAACTGCACATCCAAAATTATATAATAAAATTTGACAAATGAACATAAATAATAATAATTGTCTTTACCAATATAGTGAGAATTATAAAATACAGGTTCTAAAAAAACAAAAACACATTTGATTAATTTTATAAATTGATATTGAATAAAAAATTATATAATGGGAATTGAAAAATTGTATCTGCAAAGCGGAGTGATTTGCATGATAATTTTATCAAGACGTCATTCAACAACAGTGCAGACCGCTGAATATTCAAATTATTCATAACAGGAAGGAGATGGTGCTGCTAAGGTGTTTGCGGATGTGCGGGTCGGTTCCGCGACGCAGGAGGACGACGACTTGACTCCTCTGTCATGGCTCCAAGATAAAAATTTGCTGAGAGGTACACAAAAATATAGAGATAATTTTTTTCAGTTCTTATCAATCGAACTACCCTTCGCTCGGAGACGAGCGATTGCAAAAATTTCATCCTTGAGAATGACTGAGCGTGAATTTTGGCAGATATTCCCTTATCAGGCGGGACAATTTGCACGGAAGGGTCTACCGAACCGGTGGAAGTACAAATCGAGATCCGCGAGGAGTCCGTGAGCAGTCGAGCCGACTCGCCAACCAGCGACTACGCAGAGGAGTCGAGCGAACATGCCGACTCCTCGTCCAACAGCGACGCGCCGCCCAGCCCGACCACCCTCCAACAGGCGATGCCCATCAGCCCCATTGAGCACTACGACCACGATGTGGTCCAGCCGCCGCCTGCAAACACCAACACCATGTCCTACGACCCCAGGGTACAATTTCCGCGCTCTTTTTATCGATTTCCGCCTTGTTAGCCGCCTGCTGCATGGCTCTCTTGTTAAATTTCCACTTCAAAGCACAACGAAAAATTGATGTGACCTCCCCATTGTGATGCAAAAATTCTCTCTTTTCAGGTGCACACAAATCTGAAACCGCCGTACTCGTTTTCGTGCTTGATCTTCATGGCCATCGAGGACAGCGCCACCCAGAAATTACCTGTCAAAGACATCTACGCTTGGATTGTGGACCACTTTCCCTACTTCCAAGGGGCGCCTACTGGCTGGAAAAACAGTGTGCGCCACAATCTGTCCCTCAACAAGTGTTTCAAGAAGGTCGACAAGAGTCCCGTGAGTTAATTATTAAGAAATTAATTTCTTTAAACTTAATTGTCAAAAATTTTCTACTTAAATGATTACCCTGGTTTTTTAGTGGGGTACTATTAAAATTGTAATAAAGACCTAAAATTATTTTTAAAATTAATTAATAAAAAAATTTAATCCATTCATTTACTCTCCAGATGTGACAACTAAATTGCTCTCTTCCCTAAAATTTCAGAGCGTCGGCAAAGGTTCACTTTGGATGGTTGACCATTGCTACAGGCCCAATTTGCTGCAGGCCCTGAGAAAAGTCCCGTACCATCCCTACATGCAGCTGGAAAGGTTCAACGCTCTAAACAACAACAATAATAATACTATTCCCAGTGGCCAAAGGTTCATTAGAAGTTTTTTTTTGTATGATTTCAAAAAAAATTAAACTTTACTATTTTTAGTTGTCGATTAAGCAATAAGGAGATTGAGGCGCCTCTGGTGACATCAGTGGGTCGCAACAATTTGCCCAACCCCACACTGTTCCCGTTCCTGAGTCGACGCCTGGCGGCGGCAGGACTTCAGGTTCCATGCGCCTACCCCAGTCAGCAGCAGCCACCGGTGCACATCGAGTCGCAGGAGGATGTGAACGCGGCCACTGCAATGCTTGCACTCAAGCACGGACCTCGGATCCTCAGCGTCAGAGGTGGGCACCACTTTTGGGCAGCAGGGTTTCTTTATACTGATGTTTTCTCGGAGTTTAGGCTTGCCTGATCGAGGAGACCATGCCCACCGGCCAATCTACCGCACACATCATGAGGTCAGTAAATTTTAATATTTAATCTTTAATATTGTTCTTAAGCCTATAGTACTATGTATATTTTTACCTATATTATGGTCCTGGCTATCAATTTTTTTAAATCAATTTTCAGATCTTTTTTTTGTATTTTTAAAATACGGTAAAAATCTTTTGTGTTTAATATTTGCAAAAATAAAAAGAATTTTTTTAAACAAAAACATTTTTTATTTTTAAATAAATTTTTAAATTAACCCTGTAATTGTTATTCCCAGGCTCCCCAAAATCTGATCATCACAACCTCTCCAAGCGCAGACCACACCTACAGCGCTGGTCCCCGTTCTCGCTCCACCCTTTCCCCGGATGAGGCATATGGCGAGGGTTCATCGACTTCATCTAACGAAAGGTTGGAAACCCATGTGGTCTTCCGACAAGTTGCTCTCAATGCTCTGTTTTTCTGTGTGTAGCTCACACGAAATGTCTGGCAACGACTCGGAGGACGAGGCTGAGGAGCAGCGCAAAATCGCAGAGGGCGCCGACGCGCTGCTCAACTTGGCCGGCATCTGCACCTCGCATAACCCACTCAAGCGCTCCTCGAGCCACCCGACGGATTATTCAGTCAAGAGGGGACGGGGGTTGCTGCCCATGACTCTACCCAGGCGCAGGGCCCCTCTGCAAGAGCAGCACCGGCGCAGGGAGCAGCGTTTCCACAATCGGTAGAAATCAACTCGGCTAATAATTAGTAAACAAACACAACCTCTAGTGCCCCCAGAGTGATACAAATAGATTTATATTATATATTATATTCATATTTAAAACGCGCTGAGAACTTTGAGAGCAATATTTGAAACATATTATGGATTGCTTGATTTTGTGCAGTGGGAAGTGCAGAATTTTGCTCGATCGTGGCTAGGCACCGTGCTCTGCCGTGAATCGGAAAAAAATTAGGCTTCCTATAATAATAAATAGTCCCAGAGTTCACTGCGGACGACGTCTTCCTGACACACACCCTTGCCTGTGAATGCTTCACTGTCCACAAAATTGCCTGACTTTTCACTTCCTTTTTACAAAAAGCTGTTGATGTTAACATGTCACACTCCGTTCTGAGCTTTTCCACGTCGTAGCTCTCACTTCTGAAGTAAAATCTTGTTTTGGAAACACACACACACACACATGCATACAAAGAAGGGGCTTCTCTTAAGCCGATTTCTCTAAATATTGCGGCGTTTAGAAAGAAGTAAGTGTAAAACAATCCACTCTGATATTAATCTACTGAAGGTCTTGTTGAGTTTTTGGAAAATCAAAAAGTTGCATGCGCAGAGCCAATTTCAGGATGTATCGCGTTTGCAAAACACAAAAATCTACTTTAAAATAATCAGAGAGGCCAAAACTCAAGAAAGTGCTCATTAATTTCAACAGCACACAATAAAACGATAATCAAACAACTAGCGAACTCTCCATTATTAAGTGAGTAGATATGCTGTGTTATATGTTGAATGCATATATTTGTATCCTCGACTCTTTAATTTTTAATATGCTGCTAGAATAACGGTGGCCAAAAGAGTTTCTGAGTTGCGCACCAACAACCAAAATGTGACAGAAAGAAAGTAACACTACTTCCAAGATGCCTTTTTCAAAGCTAAAATGAATTATTCGTTGTTGTCATTTTACTTCTTTCAAGCTCATTCAGTTGAGTTAAAACAGCTGAAAAACAAACACTTCATTGAAGGGTCGCACACAACTGCTGCAAAATCTAATTAAACACTTACAATATAGCCCAAAGTGGAGAATAATTAGCCTTTTATCAATGTATGTTCACTACAAACTGAGGAAGGGATAAATAATAAAAAAGGAATCGTTTGCACTTTCCATGGAGTGCCAACATCAATTTTAGACAAGAATAGATCCAGAATATTTTACTTTGAGAACAATTTAGGGCATATTTAAACAAGAAGAGCAATATTTGGCCACAATAAGTAAGAAATTCAAATAGTGAGTCTGTAAAAATGTCCAAGTAGATCATAGATAATATAATGCCATAAAAACTTTACCTAAAGATAATATAAACAGAAAAGTTGCAAATGTAAGAAGTAATTTTGGTAAATTCGTTCCGTTTGAGTTTTGTTGTTTTTTGGCCAAACTGTGTTTCTATCACTAATAATGTTGCACAATCATTTCTGGTGCCTATTTCATTGCCATGAATTATTCTGTATTTTTTTTTAATATTTTCACGAGAATGCATTTAACTATTCATCATTTTAAATTTTTATTTTATTTTTGGGATTTTAATTTTCACATTATTTTTCAACGTCACCTTCAATTGTATAATTTTATTCACAAATTTAAGCATTTTTTTTTTAACCAAACCAAAATTCAATTGGGCTTAAACGGAACTTTTGCAATCATTCAAAAATCAAACGCCCTACCACTGCAAAAAAAGTGTTTTGTTTAGACACGCGCTAGAAATGCGAGCAGTTTGTTCCGCTCTCAAAATCAGTTGTATGTGTAAATTTGGCGAGAGTCTAGATATTGTGTGCCGATTTCCAGTCGCCCTCGTTTCATTTTAGAGCAAAAGTTATAAGTTGTTGAATTTGCGAGTTAGTATTGAATGTCGTTAAATAATAATCGGATAGTTTATTTGTTAATATAGTAAGAAAAGTAGCACGTGAGACCAAAAATATCAACCCGATTGGTTCGAAGGGAAAGGTCATATACATATTTCCCTTATGAGGGTAGAGCTAAGTTTCCCACCAGGGCCATTAAGAAAAAGAAAATCGTACTGCTTTTCTTTGGATAATTGGCTAAAAGTCTTTGTTTGTTGCACAGTTGAACCCACTGCTTAATGTGACCAAAAGAAAAACCTACGAAGATAGCAATAAATACAATTATATTGATCATATTTGCATGTGCGAGTCATAATGAAACATCGCTCGGTTTTCTTTAATATTTAAATGTGTTGAATGCATTGAATTTGTTTTAAAATTTACGTGTGGTTAACCGGGTGCATATTAAAAGGTTAAATACTTTTAGCAACATGCAACAAAAGAGAGTATAAAAGCTTCGAAAACAAAACCGTTTTAAGACAGGTTGTGCCAAAATACAAAATAAAAATGCTGCGTAACGCAGAGAGAAAAGCTACTATTGATGCTACTGTAACATGTTTTAATCTAGAACCCAATCTATTTTGTCGCGATCCATGGTGGAAGGGTTAATAAATAGGAAGGCAAAATTTTTGCAAAGTCATATACCATATAAATAACTATTGGTCCCGAAAGAGAAAATATTATATCATTTTAACACTCTTTTACTTCTAAATTATGAATTAAGTCGTTGAAATTTAATATGGTGGATATTTGCTGGAGCGGAGCAAAATTTTGTCAACCTCTACAATTCAGATGATTGATTTAATGCGCCTTCCTTCATTTAATACGCCTGCGTGTGATTGATTGACTTTTTCAACTTGACGAAATGCAAATCCGTCGTAGGTTGGAAAAAGACATTCTAATCAGGTACCAAAGATTAAATTGTAGAATTCAACAATAAACAAAGTTGAATAACGCGTGGCTTTAGAAAACAAGAAAATTGATGTGCATTGACGCGCCACGCAGAAACAAAAGAAACAACTCTTTGGGTGTATTTGTTAATTTTAACCTTATTTTAGTGAGGTTTATTGATTTGTTGATGAGTTGAGCTAAAATGCATCAGCGATGAAGCCGATTTTATTGTTGATTTTGATTTGTATAGAGCAATTTTGCAGTGTTATGTAACGAAGCAAGAACCCTACAAGTAAAATATATTATATATTGTTGAACGTTTGAATAATTTATTATATTATATCGACACATGCGACGAGAGTTGTAAATAATAATGACAAGTTATAATGGCCCACTGTGTATGAAAGAGAGAAAAAAACACCAACTGTGAAAACGCAGGAAGAATACTTAAAAAAACCCATTTTTTACTCAAGATATAGTCTATGACCTATGTACTGTCTGTGCGCGTGTACGAAAGAGTTATTACATTGACGAAAATAACGTGAAAGCCCACATAGTGTCTTCCTAGTGCGAGGTTCAACCATCTGGCTCAACAGACTACTGCAGATGAAACTACTCTTAGTTGTTACACAATTATACACACCCTTCTTTTCCACAGTTTTGAATGACTGCCTTTCGCTCTTGAATGAAATAAATTAAACCTTGGGAGGAAATTAGGATAGACGAATAAATCGAATTTTATTTTAACACCCCTAAATATTATTCAAGGTTTTATTTCACACAATAAAAAAAGTGTTTCCGGATTTAAAATTAAATATTTTATTAAGGTACTGCTCACTTAACGATGCACACAAATTTGCATCAATGGCATTCCATCAATTTACATAAAAATTCATTTATAAGCTGCCCATATAATACTCATTTCATTTTATGACTTCTTTTTAATTACAGTAGAGTTTAGAGTGCCCTAAGCTATGTTGTATAATATATGTAATAGTCAGACAAATAGTCTACAAAAAAACGACTACTGAGAGTAACACATCGAAGAAAACCATTCCTTGCTATAATTTTATACATCGCGGGGAATGTTCTGATTAAGAGGTCTCATGGTCCGCCGCCTAACACTTTTCTGCGGCCGTCGGACGCGCTGACTTAGGATTTCTCAGCTGCAGTCAGTCGTCGTCTAACAATAAAAATAAAAGTTCCGAAAATTTAAAAGTTGGACATGTCCTTTGGTTCAACGTGGGACTTCTTCATAATTAGCCTTGGGGCCAACGACCTAGCTCGGGGTCGCCTCAGACTCGGAGGCGCCCTTTTTCAAATTGGTGACATCAAGAGTTTTCAAATTTATTTATACACATGACACACTTTCTGATTTGGAGTTTGCTGAGTAAATGAGTGAAGTGCATGCTGGAAAGAAAAACGAAGATCACACGCGTGGTGCTTGATAAAAAGAGAAAAGGAAAGGTGAAAAAAGCAACAGCCATCACGCTAGAACGCTGGCTAGTAGAAAAATACAAGGCGTTCTTGGGCGCTGCGTGAAAGAAGACTCCACTCTCGCTTAATGTGCAGGTACTGGATTATGGCACGGGCGCAGATCAAAAGCCCTGAAATTATCAATTTGGAATTCGTTACAAAATTCTTATTTCAATGATTGGCCTAGCTGACCAATTTGGAGCAGGTGGATCTCCAATTAAGAAAAGAAATTACAAAATGAATAACTTGTTAAGTATTTTGAGAGTTAAGTAATTTGAAAAATTCTCTATTAAATTTTTTTATCAAGTGAGAAGTTATAAAAATTTATAAAAACAAAACACATTAAATGAAAACATTCTAATTTTTAACTTCGTTATTTTTTCTTGGTTACTAAACTCACCAAATGCCATTATGAGCCACCACAACCAGATATTTTCCCTGGAGGCAAGATCTGTTGAGTGCTTCACGATCAAGGTCCACTTGGCCAGCGAGAGACCAAAGCCAGACAGGGCGCCATATCGGGCGGCAATTGTGTGGCAGAAGCACATCAGCAGCAAAAATCCAATCCAATTGAACAGAAATGCCACTAGAAGCAATTTCAAATTATAATTGAATTCCATCAAAATTCTTAACTTTTTTTTACCTAGAAAAGCACTAAAGAATGTGAAATCACTGCCTAAAAGGCTGGTTTCTGTGCTGCAGTCAGATAAGTCGCTGTCGATGGTCAAAAATGTCAGCGGCGGGGCATTATTTGGATGGTGGCCAGTGGAATTCTCCTGGAAAATTTAATTAAAATTATATAACTTTTTCAAAAAAATCCGATAATTTTAAAATGAAATATTTTATCTGATCCGTTTTATTTTGACCTAATTGTGGCTTTTACTAAAAAATTTCAAGAGAAGCACATATTAATATAATAAATTTTGAAAAATTTAAAAGAAATGTTATATTATGTGAACAATTTAAAAGCAATCCAATTAAAAATAAAAGCTTTTCCAAATTACTGGAAAAAGTCGCACCCCGTACTGCTCCTGCATCTTCTGCTGTTGGGCCTCTTCATAGGAGGGTAGTTTGGTGGCAAGTTCGTAGGGTGGAGGCGCAGAAAAATCAGCCTTTGGCGGCGGAATGTCGTCGACCATGCCCTGGGAAAATAATTTATTTTTATAAATCATCAAAATTGGGGCAAATAAATAATGAAATGAAAACTGACCATCGGCAGGCTCATGGCTGCTGCCTGCTCCAGGTCTGGAGGAAGTGCTACTGCCAGGTGAGAGGTGGTCGGTGCCTGAGCAGCACCACTGCGACGCTCATCCTCAAAGTCTTGGCTAGCAACCTGGCAAAATACAAAACAAATTTAAAATTAAGTAGGGCAGTGACATAACTGAAATCAAACTTTTAATTTTCCTCAAAATATCAATTCAAAATAATAAATTAAATTTTGCTTGTTTTTGTACAAGACATTTTATTAAAATTATTAGATAAAATTATTTGGACATTTCCTATTTTTATTGGGCAATCATGTTTATTACAGTGATTCATTCATTGAGTTTTGCCACAATGCATACAAACTCAGTACCAAAGGAAAAGCAAAAAATTTTGATATTTTTTGTGGCTAATTTTATTAATTAATTTTAGTCTCCAGCCCTTCAAATATTAAGCGTCCTGAAATGCAGGCTAAAAAATTATTAGAATGTCCTTCGTCGAGAATGTTAAAACAAAAAAGCTGTTTGCAAAAGAAGTGGAACGTCCAACGATTGGACTTTTTGCAGCGACGCAAGGTTGTTGGTGCTCGGCGAGGGCCGATTTTGCTCGGCTGCGAGTGCGGTTTGCGGCTCACCATTTCGTATCGGATGTTCCTATCCATTTCGGCAGGATATTCGACGCAAATTAAACCACTGTTTTGCACTCTCTCTTCATCAGAGAGTGCGACTCAAAGTTTCAGTAGAAAGAAGAAAATCAATCTGAGCCGCAGAGGTCTCGGTCACTCTCATATGGCAAGAGGAGGGGAGTCTCGCTCCCGGCAGCGACCGACCTAGCGCCACACTGGGTGCACGACTCGAGAGGGGAAGTGAACTCGTCTGTCGTAATTGCGAAAGTAGAGTCTTTTGTTCTTCTCTCTGTCTCTCTCTCGTCCTCTTATCCCTGCAATTCATTCACATTTTACGAGGTATGAGTGGTGTTACGCGTATTTTGCAATCTGCATCACAAGAGGAGGCGCCGGCGTGTAATCTTCTGGGTTTACACTCGCGGATTTTACGACCCACAGAGCCCCGGCAGTTTTCCTTTAAATTAGACAACACGCGCAAATGCCCGGGTTGTGTCTCGCTGTTTTTTTCAATTTTCTCCTCCGCTGCGCAACATTCAGTTATCAAATTTATCCGAAGCGCACACGACGCTGGCAGTGCCAATCTCAATTCTATAAAAATAAAATAAATTAAGTATGAAGATAAGAGTTTAAGAGGAATTTTATATTAATAAAAAAAGTAGTAAAAGTTGTAATATGAGATGTGTTAAATCTGGAATATATTTTTATGTTGAAAACTATTCAATTCTGTTTTTCAAGCTTGTATTTTCACTACTAAATTTTTATTAGGATTTTTAATATTTTTATATTATGGAAATTTTAAATTACATTTAAACGCAAATTTAACCGTTTTCCGCATTTCTTTATTTTTAAACAATATATTTCTATCATATCAAAGTTTTGTTGACCTTCTCAATTTTCTGGAGCAAGAGATGAAAGCACATGAAGCCTAATCTGACAGAGGATTTTGCGTGCCAATCGCGGCGGCATTTTCATTTTTTTTTTCATTTTTAAAATTTGTGTGTTCAGCTCACATAATGGTGCGCTTTATCATACTGGATACACCTTTGTCATGACATATCATATAAAATATTGATATAACAATGCGTCGTCGTTTCAAATAAAGCATGTGTATCTCGAAATCCTCCTTCCGTATATTCCATCATTTTTTTTTGTCGATATACAAAAGAGCAGTAATCAAAACGCATTAAAAAATATTTCAGCTATTTTAATATACCACGTGCCAAGTTTCCATTTGAGTTTTATTTAAAACACTCTCCTGCTGCGTTAAGTTATATCGTTTAAAATCAGTAAAAACGTGGTATAAAAATGAATATCGTGTCGCAGAGAGAGGTCTCCTGCTTCTTAATCGTTTATAGAATATGCAAAAAATTCAACACAGGCAATGTTCCTCTCTCCCATGGAAGGGCCTCGATCAGAATCAGCAGTCTCTAGCATTATCCCAAAATTTCGCTTCCAATAAAGAAAATTCGCGCATTTCACAACAAATATAATAAATTATGCAAGGAGGAAAAAATTGTTTTAAGCTATGGGAAATTATCATAATTTGTTCAAAGGAGAACTTTTTGAGTCATATATTTGCATATTTACTGTACATAATATTTATATAGAAAAGTGTGGAAATCGAAGGATAAGACCTTATAGTTTTACAAGAGGGAAGTCCGATTCGCATTTTTCTTTCTTTTTTTATCAGTTACGTTGAATTGAGACATGCGTTCGTCCTAAATTGCTAAACTCGCATGCACACTTCATCTTTTGGTATACACCACGATATTAACAATCCGCTCCGAGTAAATATTCAGAGCCACCCGCAATCAATTTCGTGTTTTAGGCCCACACAACGAAACACCGCACATATTTTTTTCGCAGTCAAACAACAATCAGTCGGTCTTCGAAAGTATGAATGAATTTTTTTCACACGGTCGATTCGAACTCAGCCAGCTATTGTCAACACAGATCGTCCTTGCCGTAGATGGTGCCGACCCCTCGGTTTGAGCGCAGGGTGCCGTTCTTGTGGCGCAGGGTGGCGGTCATCGGAGGTGGTCCGAGGCCGGTGGCGGCGCCGCCGTTCTGGCACCACGAGTGCGTTCGGTCGCGGACGGCCGCTCGTCTTTTCAGCCGCACCGTTGTGACGATGACGCAGGTGACGAGCGAGACGGCGATCAGCAGGGCGGCCGCCCCTGCCGCCAGGTACACCACGAACATGGACCCGCCGAACATGTCCAGGATGGGGCTGTGCGCCTGCGCCTGGCAGTTGGTGTCCAGCTCGTCAAACCCAGACGGACAGTGCGCTGCTCCGTCGCACCACAAGTCGGGCGAAATGCACGCGTCCAGTTCGGGACACCGCCACGGACAGTCGCGGACAGGGTCTGGCTGGCTCTGCAAACCGGCCGAGAGAAGGGCCTCGCCCCGCACCTTGCCATCCCTCGGAGGGTGCACGGTTGCTGAAGGTCGGTGGAAGATTTCGAGCCAGTTGAGGGCGTACGGCCCGCCAGGTTCCCTTTCGAGGAATTCAACCACCAGACTGCGTTCGTGTCTGCCCGGAGGAGGTCGGGACGTTATGGGCAGGACGCTCTTCCAGCCAGGACTGAAAATCCCAACCGAGGCGCCGCCGTTTTCATCCGGACAGATGACGGTCGGCTCGATCAGGGTGTTCACCCTGTGGACGACCACCCTGTTACGAGTACGACACTCGTCTCCACCCCTGCCGTTGGTGATCTCGAGCCCCCTGACCCTGACGTAGAGGTAGTTGAAAGGTTCTTGCAGCTCGATCAGCCACGGGTGGTTACGGCACTCGTCCCCGTAACCTCCCCTTAGGGCTTGGGTAGCGGGAATTTGGCCAGCGTTGGAGTCAACGTTGGAAGGACTCCTCAGGGTCAGATCTCCGCTGATACCCTGGAGCCGCTGATCGTCCACGTCTCCGAAAGAACAAGGGCCGATGGAGTTTATCATCGAGGTTTTGTCCGGCAGACTGAATTTGTAATCCGCCTCGAAGAGGAAGTCGCTGGCGTCCTGCGTCACGTTCATCCCCACCACAGTGAAATTGACCACCAGAGAGGCACCAGGAGCGCTCTCAACCACCACGCTGTTGGCCGCGGTGACCTTGTCGCAAACGCAGTCGCGCGCCACCATCACATTCGGCCACGGCGCTTCGAAAAACCGCAGCTGCGCCGTCGGGACGTTTTTGCCGCGAAACTCGCACCTCCTCCGTCCGGTGTCCGGATCAAACCGGGTCACGCAGCGGCGTTCGCCGAATTTTGCCCTGTTCACCGTCAACCGGACACTCTGCTGCTGTTCCCTGGCCACTAAGAACCAGTACATGCACGTAAGGTTGGCGTTTCCACCGCGGCCGTAGAAGAAAACAGCTTTGGGCGAGCGGAAGGTGCCCGAGTCGCCGCCACTCAACTTGCGGAAATCGTGTTTGAACTCGCGGTCGCAGGTCCACGGTCCGGGAGAGGTTGCCGGCAGGCTAAAAGGTGGTGCCGTGGTGGTCACAGGCGCCCCACCCTGAGACACGTCGACGAATTCGTAGCGCAGGACGAAGCTGACAGGGTGCAGAGCGGTGCCGTAGCGCAGAAAATGCTCCAGGGTGAACTTAGGACCTGTGGAGAGGTAGCTCTCGTCGGCGGTGCAGGGGCGGGGGAAGCGAGTGCTGTTGCTCAAGAGGCTGTGGTCGCAGAGGCGCGGAGACTCGTCGCGACAGAACTCGCCCAGCAGCTTCGTCGAGTTCTCCTGGGAACAGAGCCAACATTTAGATTGATATCAAACATAAATATACCATACATGTTTGACCAGCTGCTTTAAAATTAACTTTTCACTCTATTTTTCATCTTGCAAAGCGCTACATGCACATAAAGCAAGACGCGGAATGAACAAAAGCTCTAGAGCACTGCAATAAAATTGTATTATGCTGTACTATAAATTAATGAAATAAAAAAAAAAATCAATAATATTCTGTTTTCATTCTTTTATAAAGATTGATTGATTGATTTAGCTCTTCATACAATTTAAAATTCTTTCCATTGTATTAAATTTTTTTCTTCAAACAATACATTTGTTACCTTCACCATAATATAGATGAAAACTTTTTAAAAATACAATTTCAGCTTAACTAAATATTTTGATTTAAATCATAATTATTGTTAGGGGCCTAATGCTAATTTTTTTATTAATCGCCAATTTATTAAATTAAAATAATAAATAAAAATATTAAATCAAATAATTCGTTTAAAATATTTATCACACATTTTACTATAAAAATTAAGATTTTCCCCTCTTTTTGATTATTTTTGATAAAATAAACATTTTACCTGTTGGATGTGCGGTAAAGTTGAAGGGGCTCCGTCCCAGATTCTGAGCCGAGCTGGACAATCATTGTCCTCTTCCTCCTTGGCCTCGTCAGCCTTCTTTGAGTCTTCCGTCCCTGGAACGCTTTCGGGCAGAGGCACCCGCGCCGAGCCTAAACTAGGAACGCCCTTGCTCTGCACCCTTTCAGCGACGTGATACTTGAGGAAGGCGATCCAGACCCTCTCGTTGGGCCGTCCGGCAAACTCGTATCTGCAGGTTGTGTTGGCCGGCAGCGAGTGCAGCGGTGGGCCCAGCTGGCCCTGTCTAGACTCGAAGCTAGACACGGTGAAGACGCATTTGCCCTGCTGGGCGTAGGAACGTGGTTGCACGGCCGGAACCATTTTCACCTGTAACATTATCACGAATGTATATAATTTGCTTAATGGAAAACGCGAACACTTCTCAGTAGATAACATAGTAAAGTTTAATATGCTTCGAAAAATGGCCTTTTATTCCCAGAAGCGCTGTAATGCGCCTCAGAAAAGTAAAAAGCAAAAACTAGCGATGCCATAAATGGCTTGTGTATTTCTTTAGAAAAACTGTTGGGCGCAGGTTAAAGTACATTAAAGCATTATACTTCAATTAAGCGGGGTTTCTTCTTGCGGGTGCAAGTATTTTGCATTAGTGCTAATATCCAAGCCGCTTTTTGCTTCCGAGGAAAGTTTATGAAATTGATGATGCAAAAAAGGACGAGAGCAGAGGTGAAGAAAAAGTTTAAAGAAACTTACCTCAATATCTAATTCGAAGCCAGGAAGGTAGCTAACTGGCGCGGGGTGAAAGGGGTTGTCGAAAGGCGAAGTGGAAAACTCGACAAGCATCCGGGGACCGGAGCTGACTATGTCAGGAACCGCGTCACCGCCGCAGAGACGCGCTATTACGGCACCTCTGCTGCTCACCTCCAGAGTTCCGCTGCAACAGCAAGAAGCAAAATTGCAAATCACCCTCGTCAGAAAATTCATATCACAGCTCTAAATTACATCTAAAGTGATTGCAAATGCAATTTCCAATCAAGATTAAAGGGCAAAAATATTTTAGCTAATACTTTACATTGTGGGTTAAAAATTTTTATATTTTATTGATTTAATTAATAAAGTGTAAATATTTTTAGTTTTTGGCTGGCTGAGAATCATTATCTGAAATAATCTCAAATTAAAAAAAAAATATGTATATAAACACGAACTTGAAAAGATTTAGTCCTTATTGAAACGTGTTGATTTTTTAATAGAGAAATTAAAAAATTGAAAAAGAATTTTCATTTCAAGGTTTTCAAGATCTTTTGATTTTCTGCATGTTATCTCTAATTATAACAAATAAGACAAAAAAATTTACAAGAATTTTATCACTTTCAAATAAAAAGATTGCAATTTAATTTTCTAGGGTAACTATGAAAAGCTTGAATTTACTACGGAAACAAAGCTAATTGTAAGATTTGCCACTAACAAATTTGATACAAAAGTCCAAATTTAGAATTAATTAATTTAGACTTCCATTTTATTACTTTTTTATTACCTCCAAACATAAAAAAAGAAGATGAAACTTACTTTGCGAGTGCGTCTATTTTTCGCCGAATGCTGGTGGCCCGGCGGTTGCGTGTCGGCTGGGAAAACAATTCAATCAACGTCTCGGTGCGTTTCGAGTCCGACGTGAATCCGTCGTACACGGTGAGGTGGTCGCGGATGACGTTGCACTGGTCGCCGACGCGCAACACCCGTTGACTCCGTTCGTACTGCACGATCCTGTCCTTGACGTGCATCCTCCGGCTGTCCGGCTGGCGGACGGTGATGGTGGCGTGCGAACCGTCCGGCACCCTCAGCTGGACGATGGCGTAGCGACACGTGACGTTCCTCGGGTAAATTCCGGGGAAGTTGGGCGACTGCAGTCTGCACTTGCGGGTGTCGCAGCGGGTGAAGATGCGGTCGCAGTACGTGCCGGGCACCAACATGCCGCGGTCCACCTCGTCCGAGACGCCGAAACGCAGCGCCGCCTCGGACCGCAGCAGAAAGCGGTAGTTGAGCTTAAAATCAAAAGTGTAGCCGATTCCCTGGAAAGGACATTATTTTAATTATACACACGTTTATTTTGTTTTGACTCGTAAAAAGGAGGAGGACATTTCTCAACGGCGTTGACAGGCCGAGCATTTTCCGGACATTTTCATATTAAAAGTCACATCGCGTGCGCAACCCTTCTTAAATTCAGACATGATTCCGCTTGGAAGAGGGATGTTCACGAAGCGTAGCGAAATGTTTTCGGCTAATAACCGTAAATGGACTTTTAAATGTTCACCCCGTCCTCTTGGAACGCTTTGAATGTGTTTTCAAGTGGAGGTAATTTGAAAGTTGGGCAATTACTCGGCATTAGCGTTGCTCCCGGTTGCATAACTTTCGACCCGATCGTGTTTTTACTTTCTTATGAGACTAGCTAACAACTACGTTAAGAAGATTTTTGCCCTCAAAGAAATAATTATATTAAAATATCCAAGTTTAATTACTTTAGGGATTTTAGTATCTACTTAGCTAATTAATTCTTGTGATATTACTTTATTTTAAGTGAAATTGTTTGAAGACCCAGTGAAAAACATAATTACGGAATAAAATTCAATGGCATTGAATAAAATAGTCCTGATTTGGATAATATTTAAAATATTTCGTGTTCTTGGACGTGGAAAATGTTTATTTCCATCCCTTTCCTCACAAAAGTTTTTGTTGGAAAAGGTGAAAATAAATTAGTAAAATTAACACAATGTCTCATAACTTTTAAAATACACAGACTAGATGAAATTTTTTTTGTACAATGCAGATCTGACTCATAAAAATGGAAAATTTGGAGAGAGAAAAATCTAATTAATTTACATTCTTAGTTTTTTCTTTAAGCGTTGCAACAAAAAGATGAAAAAATTCAGCTTTAAATCTGACTAACATTAGAAACATGAATCCAAACTTATTTTTCCTAGCAAAAAAAACTGCAATAAAGGTGCAAAAATTGGAGTGGAGATAAATCAATATATAAAAATTATAACCTTGTGAAAACACGTTCTCATTTTATTAATTTTTTTTTAAGTTTGTATAAATAATTTGAACTCCTCTACTCATTCCATCTTAAGTTCTAAATAAAACAACCCGTCGTGAACAAACCCCCCCGGTGGCACCAATCATATTTCCCTGACAATACGATAGTTGAGTTTTGACATGCCAATTGTCATCAACGACATTAACCCAAAACTTCTCCGAGCCATGGCAAATAAAACATTTTAAACCTATTAATAAGGCGCAATTAATGAATCTGAAAGTTTAAATAGGGGAAAAACTAAATTCATTTATATTTCCAAACTTTTCTTACCTGCTCTGACAGCCTCAAAAGCGCGAGGGTGACGTTGACGGAGTTGACCTCACTGAAATAAACGGTGTAGCCCCAGGCACTGCCACACCACTGTCCACCGGTGTCCGGCAGTCCGAGCTCCGTGATGGACATGTGGCCGTGTGGACAGCCGTCCTTAGCGAAGGACATGAATTTGCCAACGGTGAACGAGTCAAACGTTAGCTGGAAGCACAGCGAGCGGAAATGAAGGTTAAATTTACATCGATATTATATGCAACTCTTGAACAATAATGGCCGTTATTAGAGGCGGAGAGCTATAATGATAAGAGCGAAACGTGCTTTATTCGAGTCGCTCTCTGATCGCCCAATGCGAGCGAACCACGGCGAAATCGGTTCAACTTTAGCGCTCTTTATGTTACACATTACATTACACGTATAAGAGAAAAACGAACCATGCCCTATCACCATTTGCGTGTTTTCCAATCTGAATGTTTGTTTCAATGTGAGCAGATATTTTCAGAAATTCACTAGTAAAAGTTATAAATTTTGCGAGTCCTTAAATTTTTCAGAATTTGAGGAATCAAAAAGGTGTTGTATAAACGTTTCTTTTTAAATGCAAGAAATGGAAATTTATTAAACAAAATAATTGCAGATCTATCAATTAAAATGTGAATTTGGATTCAATATTAAATGCGCACCAAAATTGATCATTTCAAACATTTGACTACGGGACTGGAAAGTCTGCAATTACTTTTGATTAAAAAGTTTTGAAATAAATCAACTCGGTAAATTTATCTAATTTGAGTGTCAGAGAAGTTTTTCGAAGTCTTACCTGGACTAGATCTCCCCACTGTCCACCTGCGGCCGTAAAGTTGAGGTGGCAAGCGAAGGGCAGTTGGTCTTCGTGCGGGCGTCGGATCTCGATCTCGTAAGTGCGCCCCACTTCGCCGAAGTACGTTCTGTTACATGCTGGCGAGAACAAAAAAGACGTCTCTCATTAGTAACTTTAGACCGGCTCTCGAGAGCGAGCGAATGACCCTCTCGATCCCTCTCGCAACTTCGCCAATGAATATTATTTTCTCCAACAAACGGCAAAGTCGATAGAATGCTTGGCAAAAGTTGAAAGGGTGATTTGTCAACTCACGTGTGCAGAATCGCGGCTCGTCAGAGTTGTCGCCGCAGTCGTCGACTCCGTCGCAGAAGCGGTCGAGCGAGACGCACCGCGCCGTCGACGCGTGGCAGGTGAACTGGGAGAGTTTGCATTTGGGCGGCCGCGGCGGGGCCGACGATGACCAGGAGGAGGTCGTGTGCGTCGCCCCGAGCACGCTAGCGAACCACGCCGCAGCCCACAGAACACACCACATGTCACTCTGCAACAAATCGGCATTATCTAATTAATTAACTTGTGGTTCCCGGCGAGGTCCGGCCTGCCTTTTCGCGGGAAATAGAGACTGAGCACTTCTGGCGGCCGGATTCATCAAAATTCTATCACGACCGGTACCTAGGGGCACGAGTGCAATCAACTAAATCAACTGTTTTTCTCGGCGGGCTTGATCGTCGAGGCTGCATGAAATATTCATGGAACATTTAAATTTCAAGCACTGTATACAAAGCCATGCTGAAACTGACTCTTATTTACGAAAAGCAAATTTAATATATCGACCAGACTATGAAAATTGAATGTTTGTTAAAATTATTTCAGACTAATAAAGTTATTTGAAAATTTTGACTATTGAAAAGGAAAATAATAAATATATACGAACTGACTAAACAAAGCTTGGTTTGGGGGCAAATAGGTGATTTTTAAGGGTGAAAATAGGCACTATGATTAAGGTGATTTTAAGTGAAAAAGTAAAAAAAAAAAAAAAATGGAAAATAATCGGCAAATATTTTTAACATTTAAATTAGGTTTTTTAAGGTGTATTTAGCTGAACTATTTGATATTAGGCTATTTTTGTTGAAGTAGATGATATTAGGTGGAAAATCTCAAAATAAGTGATTTAAGGTGAAATAATAGATTCAGCCAAATGTAGAACTATTTTTCAACATGAGCCGAATGTAGAACTATTTTTCAACATCAGCCAAATGTAGAACTATTTTTCAACATGAGCCGAATGTAGAACTATTTTTCAACATCAGCCAAATGTAGAATTATTTTTCAACATGAGCCGAATGTAGAACTATTTTTCAACATAAACCGAATGTAGAATTATTTTTCAACATCACCCGCATGTAAAATAATTTTCAACATAAGCCGAATGTAAAACTAATTTTTATAGATAGAAAAATACTATCATTTAGCGCTGTAATCTGCTGTTTGTTTGATTTTTTTTTTCTTCCTTTTTGTTATGTATATAATTTTGTTTGCGTTTCATTTTATTCCAGGTTTATAATTCAGGTGATCCGGTCAACCGGTGGAGTGCCTGCGGATTTGCGGTTCATTATTGCCATCACGAGTTCTGCGGAAACGGCTCGTTTTGTTTGCGGGGTGAGAACAGCCCACGCGTTCACTCGCTGTAGAGTTTCGCGACGCTTTTCCCAGAACAACGATTTATCCCGGAGACGTTCTCGTGTCGCGCGTCATTTATCATTTCTGCTTATACGCGCGGTTTTCTTAATCGGATTTGCACGGAAAAGTTCGGGGGTGCGCGTTGCTCGAGAAACCGATTCCTGCAGCAGCAGAAGTGCCGACCCAAGGCACGAACAGAGGCCCTGCTTCTTCTCGTATGGAAAAACGCTGGTGCGTCTTGGGTGCCTCTTCTCTCGCCATCGGAGCGCTCTTATGTACCCCGAGAGCAAACTAACTGAACATTGTTTTGCTCCCCGTGATTATTGATTGCTATTTGCGCTGCTGTAGGCTGTGTGTTTGAAGTTGTACTCCTCACTCACTCACTCACTCTCCTGCTCTTCACGGCACAGGGATGGGGGCTAATGCGTTTATGCAAACATGTGATTTAATCAAACTTAAGTTCGGATGCAGGATTAACGTTCGGGGGCTCCTGCAAGCAAGCTATATTCTCCAAGCGCCCCAACTGCCAGCTTGTTTAACGAAAGTTGAAGAGGGCGGTTTAGCCGATCCGACATGTGCATCACATACACACACACACAAGCGATATCTGTTCCGGCTTTAGCAAACTATTTTGCCACGGACGTGCTCCGTGTGCAAATCTGCAAACCGCATTATCCGATGTTAACCTGGCGGTGCATTTCAGTATAGAAGTGTCTCTGCGTTTCGTTTAATTAAGCATTGTGCTCGAATTGTCCTGCGCGGAGAAACGAAAACGGAGCGAAATTTTGGGCAGAAATTTTCCCGTTGAAAGAACGTTTAGAATTTAGATGTTGTGGTTGAAAAAGCTAATCAGGTGTTATGAATTAAATATTTAATTAAATTATTCCACAACTCGGCGGCATTTCAAAATTTTTCCAAATTTATTAAAATTAGTAGCATTATCAGCAATATATATTGGTGAGAAAACTAAGTGAAAAGTTTTTTATTTTAATTAATAGCCACAGACAACATTAATATGTGTTTTTTTTTTTTTTGCTCTATTATCTAGCTACTGTAATATGTTTCAAAATAGAAAATGAAAAATTATTATGAGAATAAAAAAAACGTCTCACCATCTCATTTTTTTTACATTACAAAAACTTTTTTACTTGTTAAATCTGCGGTGTTTAGAATCTACCAGAATCTCTAGGCAGAGCGGCACTTTTCTGCGCCCGAGCATCGATTTTCACTCCACTGCAATGCAAATTGGACGTTCTCGCCGAAATTGTCTCACCAAATTTAAAGCCTCTGCACTTTGAAAGTAAAATGTCGATGCAACCAGTGCGGCAGTTGGTAGCCGAAAACGAGATGCGCTGCCCAAGTTCGAAATCCCCTCGTAAAAACAAATGGCACAGCAGGTAGGGTGTCTGTCCTTCTCTATTTGAGTTAGCACGAAATTTCCCAAACTTTTTCAAGGAGCCCGCATGACGGTGTGCAAGTTGCATACCAAAGGGGGCACTCACAGCTTTTATCGATTGCATCCAGCCAGCAGCTTCCAACGCCGGGCATGCCGGATATTTTTCCTTTTGTCGCAAATTGTTACGCAGCGCTGAAAGGCTCTTTTCAGGCAAATAAGCCATTGCGTCGCACCTTAGAGGAGAGAAAGCATGCATATTCAAAAGCTGGCACTGCAGGTTTTCTGTTCGATTCTGATCTTGCAAATGGGATCCGGCGGCGAGCAGAGCAGTTTCGGCCGCTACTGCAATCATCCTGCTGCGTGACTTTAATAGGATTTCTGCTACGCTCAGCAGGTTCAATGGCAAAAAGGGTCCGGCTCGGAACCCCTCACAATCAGCTCTAAAGGGAGCTTCTGGGATGTGGGCAGAATGATAGAGTGCGAAAAGCATAGGGGAGGAGAGAGAGAGAGCGAGAGCACTCGTCGCATTCAGTTTATCAACAAAATCCAAATATTTCTCCTGCCGCCGCAGATGAGCAGTTAATTTCCAAGGGGTGAGAGGGATTATTCGTTTTGACACGCAGAATTGCCCGGCCGTTTAATTATTGCACTTTAATGCTCATACTTTCCCAACTATCTCCTCTCCCCTGCCTGCTTTTCCGCGCTTTTGCAATAGATTAGGATGATGGCGGGATAAAAATGACAAGGCAGAAGTTCCCTCTTCCGCTCGGCTTTTTCACTTATGCCGCATTTTTTCCTCGTGATTACTTTTTGAGGAGGAGAATCGGAAATTCCTCCAAAGAAGTTGTAGCGCTCAAATAAACTTTTTTTGTCAAAGCCGAAAAAGGGACGAGAGGAGCGGCGCGATTTACTTCTCCGGCGAGCAACTTTCGCGGGCAAAACAGCTAAAAAACAGACCCCAGATTTATGAGTATGCTGCAAAGTTGTTTGGGAAAGCAGAGGAAATCGGTCGTGATTCAGCGTAGCTCCAATTAAAGGGATTAAATCTGAAGGGAAATAAAAACATTTTATTAATCTGTCAATACTTTCTCTCCGGCGGACGCGCTTTGAATTTGTTCATCCATGCAAATTAGATTTTTTTGTGAAGCTGCCCAGCGCTCTTTCGTCCTTTTTTATTATGACTTGGTAAATGCTCTCATTCAACGCATTTGCATGTTATTTGTTTTGCAAAAACTTTGGCTTTTAAACACGACTAAAGAATTTTATTATTCCTGACCAAATTTAAATAAACTTTGACAATATTAATTTGAATTTGTATGCTGAAGGTGATAAATTAAATTATAAAATTAGTTAATGAAAACTAATTAATTTTTAAAATTATTATTTCTTCAATCAGATATCAGCAAAAATAAAACTTGTCTAGACAATTTAAAAATGACAGATTAATTTAATAATAAATTTTGGTCGTTTTTATTATATTTATCTGATTCAAATCAAACGAGATGTAGGGGCAGCGTTTTCGCACCTCGTCCTTGCTTGCGGATGCAGCGGCCGGGGTACGCATTTTAGCGCCGATAGCAATTACACGGGCAGACCCTTAAAACGCGCGGTAACACGCCATAAAGCTAAAATTTCGGCCGCATACACTACACACTTGATTGTTGGCAGTATAATTTCCAACCGAGCGCCGACCATAATCGAGTGAGTCTCCGCTTCCCCTGCCTGCTGCCTACCCGCTCACATTTATACGCAGAGGGACGATTCCGCCAGCGAAAACAAAAGCGGAATTATTTGCATCTGCATATTATACCTGTGGACGCTGGGCTGGTCGAACGGATGCTCATGTACAGGGTGTCTCGTCAGGGGCCGCCTGCGAGAGGCAGTTAGCGGCAATTCATGGTCGGCGTGCGGATTCGCGACTCCTTCGCCAGCGGAAAGCTCCTCCGGACTGAGCTGCTGCTGCTACAGCCTCCGAGACTGCAGGTCGGCGGGGTGGCAGGGGTGGTGCGCGCCTCGCCTCATCGATCCGGTGCCGCCACTGCTGCCACAAGTGCTGCGACTCGATACATACACACTTCGTTACGGCGAGTCTCACTGCCCCGTTTCCTCCGTAAAAGGGGCTAATCGTCCCGACAGGAAATTTCAGGGTTCTTCGCCGCCCCGAGGGGATGCGAATAAGCGAGCCGCGCCTCGCTCCCGATTGAAAAGTTGCAAAATAACGCGCCACTACTTTCTTCTCGGCGAAATTTTTGCTCAATTTATAGCGCTGCAGGCCGATTTACCTGCGCTCGCTACAGCGAGATCTTTATTTTCGCGCTTTGTTAAAGTTTCTAGTTGTTCGGAAGAGTAGTTTCGCCTTTTTATTATTATACACGTTGTTCCCAGGCCGTAGACGTGTGCGGCCCTTTAGCGAAACTTACTGCCGCGCGAGTTGCCTCTTTTATATATTTTTTTTTCTGTTCACCTAGCAATTTTTATTTTTATTTCGGTCGTGAATTCGCGCACGACAGGAAGATTAAACTGCGTTTTGAAAAATTGGCTCGTTTAAGTATGTAGTTCAAGAAGAGTTTTTTCCTTGTTCTCTTTTTCGACTAAAAGCATTTGTTTCTCACTAATTGTGAGTTTTGTCTGCTTGGTTCACGGCACTGGAAACACGAAACTCGCGTCTAATTGATAGAGACGTGCCCCTGCTAATGGAAGAGGTTAAAATTAACTCAGGTCTTCCTTCTTGGCTGATGAACTTTTTCTCTCCGGCTGTATCCCCATTCTCGCCAATTAGGTTGTGGTGTCCTGATTCAATTTTTCACGCAATAAAAAAAGAAAAAACAGCAAAAGGAATAACGTTCCTAATTGGCCCAGGGGTTGCAAAAGTTCTAAATTTGTGTCTGCCGAGGAAAAAGAAAGTTCCAAAATCAATAACTCAAACTTCGTAATTACTTGAGCTTTCACGTTTAAATTATAATAAATGCGAAAAGACTGCTTTTGTGATTTTCCTCTCCTGCGCCTCTGGTTCATTTTCATTCAATTTCGCTGCAAATTTATTCCGCTTAGTTAAATTGATAAAGCTCGCGTCTCTGCAGCCAAAGCTCTTTTGAATGCATGTACACGAAACAAGAATACGCGCACCCCTGCCTGTGTCACAGTAATTTTCCACTCGCGTCTCATTAAGATCACACAAATTCCCGAGCGGCGCGCTTACGCTCCACAGACACCGTCGGCTATGTGCCCTCGTAAAAAAGAGCGCACCTCGTTTTGCGCCAAATTCGGTGAGGCCGCGTTTTTGATAAGCCTTTTGACGCCAATTGGTGCCGTTTCGTTGATTCGCGACGAAGTTTTTATTTTTTATTTAGAACAGCGTCGCTCAGTCTCACAGCCATTCGCTGAAAAGTATCAAATCAAACCCTCCAGTGATCAAAAGTCAGCCATATGTACGAACTCGCGCGCTGCAATTCCCTCTCTGTGCAGTTGCTGCTTTTTATCCGCATGGGAACGAATGTTTTTGCCATTTCAATATTTTACCCTCCAGTGGTTGGCAAGCATCAATGAGTTTGGACGAGATTCAGCATGACGAAACCGTGCCTTGATGAAGCTGGCGGAGCGCTGACAAAATTTACTCTCTTTGTATCGCGGTCATTTGCCGACTTGGCAGGTGGAAAATTTCCAGATTTGACCATTTCAATGGAGAGAGCAAACGCCAAAAGCAAATAAATTGACGTGGAATGGAAACACAAAAAAATTTATAAATCGGCGCTTGCGGCGCACTGATCACCGCAACTGAGGTTTTTCAGCGCGCGAAACGGAGTTTTATTTGGCGAATGGCCAGGATGAGTGATATTTTGATACGCTCTGCTTGTTTGTTTTGAGAATTTTTCATTTCGACATCATCACAACGAGTTTATAAATAAGAGTGTAATTCCAATTACAACACAACTTCTCCTTCTTCGAAACAAGTACATAACTTGACTGTACGTACACTCGATCATAATAAAAAATTAAAGCCTTTACACACATTTACAAATATTATTTATGGACATCACTTTATACACAGATTGTTTTGTAATATACAATTATATAATATATTCGTGCACAGCGCGGTTTATTATTCAAAGTTTTATTTTTTAAGTAATCACGGCATTTTGGCCACCAACCAGGGGAGCCTGCCAGAGGTCTTGAATGACCAGTAGTCGTAAGCCAGCTTGCCCAACACCAACAAAATGCACAGGGCCAGCGAGACGTTGAGAATGTCCAGTCCGGAGAGTCCGCCCTTCGGCTCCTGGCACAGCAGACTTCGGGACAGGTGCCTTATCTGAAAAATTTTTTGAAGTGAAAATCAATAAAAAAAAAAAGCTCCACGACGTCTCATTAAAAGATGTTTTGAAAGTTTGCGAGCGCACGGAGAGAGAAAGAGATCTAATAAGTGCTGATTCAAACGAAAATTATTCTACCGAGCGCTTTCAAATGATTCAAGTAAATTGGTACTGACATTGACAAAAGGTCTTTCTCGAAGCTTCATCAATAATCTTTGAGGGAGCAAAACTTTTCCCTCCTGCTTGTCAAAAGAAGGTGTCTCAGCAAAACCTCGGCAAAAAACAAAGTGTACTTACTGGTTGGAAGGAATTCTCGTCTGCTTCTCTGAGCGCGCACCTAATATCATTGGCATCTTTTATGACCGACTGATACTTCGCGAGCAGGTCCTAGAAAAAGAATAAATATAAATCTCATTGCCTGAAAATTTTCGTTCATTTCTCCGAGTGGTCTTTTAGTTTTTTCTCAGAGAAAAACTGCTCCAGGGAGTGTGCGTGCTAGCGAGAGCGGGAACTTATTTCGTCGACACGGAAAAACCCTCTGCTTTCGGGAGCAAAAGTTTGCGAGAGAGACTTTGTCGTTTCCGCTTATTAACAGCGAAATTAAATTTGTGGGAGGAAACATCATCTCTTCCCTAGCACTGGGAAACTTGCAAGGGTCTCAGTCAGTGTGTTTGTTTCCATCAGGGATAAAGACGGCACACGCAAAGGGCATGTCGTGCGGGGAATATCAAAGCCACAAACCGGCTGGGCCGTGTGGATTAGGACGAATCCATCGGAAGAATGGCTACTAGAATGTTATGGAAACAATAGAAAGAATTACTAAGTGCCTTTTGCATCGCGCAAGAGATTCAGATGCGGCCGCCAGACAGACCGTTCCGCAAGTAAATATGGCGATTGTTGGAAAGTGGTCTCATAAAAGCTAACTGCTTCCCTGTAGTGTGTCGAAAATGGAAATTTTGAGCTTTTCCGGTCCCGTTGTGAGTGCGTAAAGACTACGAGTTGGGAATAAACTTCTATAACACGGTGCTGGGGATTGGGATGATAAAGAGAAAGGAGCTTGCAGGCCCAAAGAGGGAAAACTTTGAAATAACTATTTTCTATCTATGTATTTTTTTAAGCAACTTTCTTGTTCTCACAGAACGTTGCGGGCAAAAAGTTCGGTGTATGGAATGAAAAATTTAAAATTATTAAAAATAATTTCACTCACCTGAAACCCTGGAGTAAACATGCAGTCGCACACCCATGGATTGTTGCCGAGATAGAGTTGCGCAAGGTTTTTATTTTTCCCCAGACCATTGTCAATCGCATAAACAGGAATCTGTTTAAAATAATAGCAAAAAATTATTATTATCAAAATATTAAAAAGGAACAAATTTTTTATTACCGTTAGATTATTAAAATTAAATTTGATTAACAGGCAAATCATTTATAAATTAGCCACAATTTATTTATAAAAATATTTTAAATCATTTAGATTAGGCAAGAAATTATATTGAACTGAAAATAAATTTACCTGAGAAAGGTAATTATTTCGCAGGCTGAAGACTCGGCAGGTGGTGAGCCACTCAGCGCCCTCGAGGGTGGCTATGCTGCGGATTTGATTGTTGTCGAGGAAAATGTCTTTCACCTGCCGGTAATGAGGGTTCATGGCCAGTGGCCGCACGTCCGAGATCTGCAAGCAAAAACAAGACGACCCCGCTGCAATATATTCTGGGAAACAATCAAGGTTGATCTGAACTGGTCGTAAGGATAACAATTGAATTAAATGAGCGCAGACTACTCGGAACAACCAGAAATTAATCTTTTCAATGTTGCTGCATAAACTTAAGGCCGCATCTTTGAATGAAAAGCTTTGATGTCTAAAAAAATCATTCTCGGTATAATAAAAAAAAAACACAACTTTAAACGTTACGAGGCCGTTAAATTCAAAGAATAATAAACGACGCTAACTTCAAAGAAAAAATATAGTTTTGAAAAACTGACCATATTCTTTGAGAGGATGAGCGTGGTGGTGTTGACGGGGAGGTACGGCGGCGCCCTGTACAGACCCCTGGCGGTGCAGTTGACGGTGATGACTGGAATGAGGAAGCCAGGGTCGACCCCACTCATGCCGGGAACCACGTTGGTGAGGATGCATGAGCAGTTGTAGGGTGGCCTGCTGGGGCACTGCGACAGCAGGGTGCGCTGCATCTGCAGCACGGGCAGGACCGACTTGCCCTGATACGCAGGGCCGCACTCCCACGACGCCAGGTCCAGCAGGCGCGACGTCAGAGATGCATTCAGTAACCATGAAAGTTCAGCGCCACATTTCCACGGATTACCTATTTAATGTAAAATAAAAGTAAAAATTATTATTTTATTTATTAAAATTTACTTTTTGAATTTGTGAAAATATTATTATCAGACATTATAGATTATTGGAAATTTAATTATAAATTATGTATCCCGTTAAGGACAGCAATTGCCTTCATGATAGATCAATAAACACAATTTGCAAATAATTATTTTATGGGTTAATTTTCTTTGAGTGGTTAAATTTTGCAAAAAGATGTTGATATTGAATGGAGAATGATAAAAAAAAATAGCTATTGATGTTGGTTGTTACTTTTCTGATGAAACCAACAGTTAAAATTTGCAAATCTACCATTTAAATCCGACAACTGAAATTTCTTTAAAAGAATACAAATTACTATATTTTTTTAGCGATATCAGGAAAATTAAGAACAAAAATATAAGAAATAAGTTAATAATTTAAACAATAATTCCAAATTTTAAAGACACTAATCTAAATTTCCAAGATCTTCAGAGTATCTAATAAAATTAATTTCAGAAGAATATTTAATTTTTGAGCAAATATTTAGAAAAATGAATGGAATTTTTCAATCAAATTTAAAATCCATCATAAGATTCTATGCATCCATAAATAAATTCTTAAATTAATATGACAGTTCACACGAAGTTTCAATTAACTGCATTGACTTGCGATAAAAATATTCAATATATCCGTTTTGCATAATAATTGCTAGCGATAAAAATTGCACTTTCCAATGGTCTGATTACACATTTGCCTAGTTTAACGCTCATTTCGCGAGAGAGCCGAGTGGGTAATGCAATAAACCGGCGTAAATATAATTATGCTCACCTTCAAAGTACGCCGCCTTCAGGTAGGTCAACTGTGACAGGGTGGCGGCGGCGAGTTGGTGGAGCTGGTTGTGCGACGCGTCCAGCACGACGAGGGTGTTCGCCAGGTTGTCAAACAGGCCCGGCGGCTCCAGAGCGACCAGACCGAGACGTGAAATATTCAACACCTGCAGCCCGAGGCCCGCGGGGAACGCGTGGGTGAAGCGGCGCACTGCATCAAAAGGGCTCGATTCAGACAGGCTCGTCAAACAGAATGGCGAACCGCCGTGATTCGGCGACACAGTCACGCTCCGACTTGTGCACACACAACTCTCTCGCCATAGTACACCATTTATAACTAACTACTAAGTAAGGTGGCCCGGGGCGCTTTCGGGCGCGCACCGCAGATCGTCTCGTCGAGGCCGCCCGTTCACGCCGTGGGCGTTTGCGTTTAATTAAAATATAACAACGTGATTTAAAGTTCACATGCATGCGCGAGCTAGGAGCCCCTAAACCTTGACCGGACACGCGTGTTGCAAGCGCAAAATCGTGCTTTAATTTTTAATTGCATTCTTCCACGTTGTCCAATTGCAGAAAGTCTTGTCCAACATTTTTTATCTGCTTCAAAGGTCAAATTAAATATATTGCGAGTATTGGAGAGAAAAAAATGCCAGCAAAAACGAAACAAAAGGAAGTCGGCGTCGCGTGCTGATGAGATAATTGCCTCTTGCAAGGTAACTTTCGATTTAATTGGGCCCTAGGTCGATCAATATAGGTCAAAAAAGATTTCATTAAGCAAATTTTACAAGTAACCGGATGAAACCGAATTTCTACAATTTGCAACTTTTGTGCTCGAATTTCTTTTGGTGGCTGTAGAAATTTTTTAAATTTTAAAACCGAAATGATTTTATTTAAAAAAAATTTAAAATTCAATACAATTGAATTGCAATGAGATAATTTATAATTTGAGCTGTTAATAATTTAAAGATTCTTTGCTGCTTTTTTTATTTAAAAGAGGAAAATGTTTATTATATTTTAGATATTTTATGTGGATCAAATTTATTAAAATAGAATGATGAAGTAGATACGAATGCTAAGAATAATTATTTTAATTAGAATGCAATTTTTATCAGTCAATTGTAAAAAAATTAAACATCTCAAACTTTTCAAGTCTTCTTCATCAAGTTCATTAGGTTATAATTAATAAAATTGGAGCATTTAAAAAAATAAAAAATTTCCGTATAACGTGAATATTCAAATGATTAAATTAAATACTAAATATATTTAAAATTTTTATCGAGCTAAAAAAACTTAAAATTTTTATAATAATAAAAAAATTTGGCCTGAAAAATTTACATATTTTTTAATAATTAATTACTTGTGTTTGGATCGCCTTGGATCGTGAGGTTCTTGACATTCTTGTATGTTTGTGTCAACGACCTCGGATCGAAGATGATCTCTGGCCAGTCGTTGACCCGCACGTCGAGCACCTCATTGTTGGGGGCGGCAGGCAAAAGTCCATTACAAGTGAGCCGGGGGCCGTCCTGAACGCAATGTTGCTCCTCTTCAGCCACCTCCGCCAACCTGCTGCTCGACGCCTGGAGCGCCAACAACCTGCAACACAACATTCCGTGTCTCTCATAATACACATATTATTATTTATTATTACATAAAATTTATACTCCGATAACAAACAATGGGAGACGTTAAGGAAATTTGATAAATAAACAGGGAGAAAAACATCCGGCATTGTTGAACGGGCTGGCAAAAGCTGGAAAACGAAATTTGAAAAGAAACTGACAGCGCAGCGTGATGCCTCGGTTTGCACTTGACGCGTGTCACGTGCGCCTCGCAGTCGTTGTTTTTGCAATTAGCGGGGGAGAAGCTCAAACAATTCGTACGTCACAATCCGCCTTATTACTTGCGAGACGAGCTAATGAGATTCGTTAATGAAAACTTTCTATAGCGAGGAAGATGAAATGTATTCATCGCAAACAAAGTGTGCGCTTCTCGCTGTGGCGGATCATTTCGCAAAAGGAATGTTTGTTTGTCAACCTTGAAGGAGGTTTACAACTAAACAAGCGCCACTCCGTGAGTTATGTGCGTTCAGAGGCCAGGCAAAATTTCTTTGCAAACTCTCTCCCCGCCGGGCTGAAACTCTCTTTCAGGAAAAACGTCCAAAAAAGGAAACGGATCTTCTTTAGAATTGGAGCCGAAAACAAATTTGAGTGAAATAAACTTATTGGGCTTCAATTTTCTGCTCATTCAAGGGGTTAACATTTTAAACTGAATTATAAAAAAATAGCTCTGAAATGTGTTATTTTTTTTAAAACGAATCTCAATAAGACATAAATATAAATTAAAATGTATTTCCAGTATTTATTGAACACTACTATGTGTACACTATACTAGGGTGTCTACAGTTCATTTTTACTTTAAATTTGGAGCTCATTTCAAAAATTCTTAATACATTATTCTTAAATATGAAATCTATCAGATTTTGTAGCCTCTCTTACGGTGAATTTTCTCACGTCATATTTCAAGGTATCATATTGTGAGCGCTTTAAAATTTAAACGTTTATTCCACTTTTTTGGAGGTAATTTATTTAAAAATCTTTTTTGAAGCAATTTAATCCATGGTTTTAGAGTTTACAATGAAAAGGAGTCCATTTAAGAATTGTTGTAATCTTTTACATATGGATTTTTTGGTTTAAAAACTTACCCATTGTCTCAAAATGGAAAACCACATTCCTTTTCTCTTGTCCGAGATTTACTCCAGCAGCTTTTTGTCTTTATTTAACTTGTTTTTTGTTATGCCCAGCACAAGTAGTGCATAGGCCAATTAGGTACTTGAGAGGTTTTTGCATATATTTGCAGTTAAATAATTCTAGAATGTAAAACTCGCTCTAATATGTAAACATCTGTTTTTGCTCAATAACACACATAAATTAGAAATCTTGAAGGTTTTGAGTGCGAAGTTTACATGACTATTTTAAGCTGAAGGATTACGAAGAGCTTAGCAAAAATTTTAATTGTTTAGTAAAACTAGCAAAGTACTTAACGACTTTGTCCCCGAGTGAAGTTTAGCTTTTAGCAAATTTGAATTTCATGGCCGCGTCTGTTTAATGGGAAAGAGGCGAAATTTGCGTTACGCAGCGAAACTGTAATTAATAATCTGAATTACGATCGTGGCAACACATTAAAGATTTGCACTAGCAACAACAAGTTGTGAGTCATACACATGCAAAACAGGCTCGCCCGTGTTCGTATAACCTCTATCCGCAGCGTAATTGTGCAGATTTTCGCTGGATTGCGGCATTTTATTGAGTTGTCTGCGACGAGCGCGAGCGCGCGCGGGCTGTGCACACAAAGATTAAAAGTGCTCGTTAATTGCTGTTTATGAATAATTCAACGAGGGTTTTAATGCGCGAAATTGGCACCGCGCGAGCCCCTTTTATTACTCGCATGAGTGTGTGTATTTGAAAGTGAAAGATTTGGCGCAATTAATATGAAATCGACTCGACCGTAAAAGGATATAAAATTCGAGGTGCGAAAAAGCAGGCGGCTTTGATTGATCGCCGATCTGCGGAGATTTAAGTGCGCAGGCCGAGAAAAATTGACATCATTAAGACGGATCGGCGCGCGTACATAAAAAAAAATACAAGCGGCGACACGAAATTTAAAGCAATTTGTTTACGCCTGAAAAGCGCGAGCCGAACAATGAAAGGTTTTTGCTGTAAAATCCATTTATTTTCTACGCTGGAAACCTGCTGTTGCCCTCGCGGACTGAGCTTTTCCATTTAAAGTGGTGCAACAACTGATCCTGTAGATACACAAGGACGGTCACAATGCAGCAGCGTGTTTTTGCGCAGGTGGCATAGAAGCTGCTGCCGCTGCTTGTAATGATAGAGAGGTATATATGATTTTTTTCACATGCACACGCCCGTGTGGATTTTCCCTCATCGAGAGACGGTATATTACATTATTATTATTTCTTTTTTTGCATAAATCGCCGACGGCTGCAGCGAGTGAGCAATTTTCTCTCCGAAAACGCTCTGTTCATCCTCCACATAATTGGGTCACGGAGGCAGGGGAATAAATCAAATTACACACGGCTCCGTTGAATATTCATGCGCGTGACCTCCGAGGCTGAAATTCCAATTTCGGCGCGTTAATGCGGGTGTGGAAAAATTGTATAATAACTCCAGAAGGGACCGAGCACACACAGTGGGAGTCGAAACGGCGCTTATATGCTTCATAATGACGTCAGTTGCGCAGATAATTTTGTGTTTGTCTTTTAAGTGCACTCCGCATATAATTAGCGTCGCGAGCCTTCGCACGCCAAGTAATAAAATTGCGATAATTTATTCATTCGCAAAGTATATGTTATGTGCATGTGTAGGTGTGTGCACGCGCCAATGCGGGAGGAAATTAAATTTCACGGCCCGCGAGCTGAATAACTCTTTATCTGTCACACTGATTCCGGCGTAAATTGGCTCGACGTGGGTGCAGCTCCGTATTTGACTTTCAATTTGATTATCTCTCAAGTGTATGAATAAATATTCATGTATGTAACTTTTGTTTGTTTGTCTGCACACACACGCTGTTTCATCATGAAGAAAGATGACCTTAATTTTAATCGTCACCAAATATGAAGAGCAGTGCAAGGGTACTCATTGTTTGCTTTCGTTGAGAGCGCAACGCATTTGACGGTGAGTTAAATTAAATAAAATGAGGTTGATTTTATTAAAGAATTTAAACGTTATATAATATTTCACGATTCTTTTTATAATTTTGCTTCAAGAACCCTGGAATTGAATAACGGCAAAGGCCAACCCGAAAATAAAGAAAACTAACCAAGATCGGGGTCTCTATTGTTTTTCGCCCCTGCACCGAGGTCGCTTACAAAAAAGATCGTCACTTGTTGCTTGATACGAATGCCGCCGGCTAAAAGTCGAATCCATTCATTTATTTCTATTCACTCTTCTTATCAGAGTCTATTGTTCTCCGGTTCCTCCCTCCGGGTCAACGCCACATTTCACCATTTACTCTTGAAAAAAAAAACAGAGAGATCGAAAAGAAGGATTGGAATCGAAAGTGGCGCGAGCGAGTAAATCACGACGGGGGTGAATGATGCATGTGCAGAGCTCTTTTGTGCGGGAAAAGTCCAAGTGACAAACTCGGGCGATTTAAGTTGATGCACGACCGGCGTCCATAAATAGCCTTCCTTATAACACGAGTTTTATACTCACAGGGCGAAGAAGAAAAGTTGTGCGTTTTGGCGCCAGAGGGGTGCCGTCTGCTGGACCATTTTCCTCGAGGGGGTGGGGGTGGTTTTCAGGGGCGGCTCGGCTCGACGGGGCCCGCCGGGGGCCGGTTTGGCGACGTCATCACTTTGGTGGCTGGACTGTCTGCGGCTCAGCCGTCGACGGCTGCGTTGCTTTCTTGAGCGCGCAACACACAAAGGCGGCTCTTTTCGTTCGGTCCCTCTCTGTCTCTCTGTGTGTTGTGCCCTCGCTCACGCGCCGCCGCGAACGCCCCACTCGAACTAAAATGTCCGCAAGAAGACTGTTCGCAATATATCAGATCGCTCAACAGCCTAGTTAATCTCGGCGCCGGGAGAGAGGAGTACTGCACGCGAGCACAATCAAAAAGATCCGAATCGAGCCTAATTGGGCTCTCCGATCGCACCCCAAAAATTTACCCTGCCCACGGTTCGTGTGACCATTCATGAATTTTGAGCCAATCTGGAATATCATTCTGACCAGTTGCTAATGCGAATAATAATAAAGAGATCATAAATCACTGCATTTGCCCTTGAGAGAAATTAAGAAACAATAAATTACTATTTTTATATTGTTACATAATTGGATTCTTCTACGTCATATCAACTGAACTAGGACCGAAATCGATGAATCTGAGAATTGCCGCTAAAATACTTGGTGCGACTCTGGTGGCACGAAAATGTACTGACCAAGCACCAAGAACATTAAAAAATTTCCTCCAAATTCAATTGATCAGAATATTTCTGCATTATTTAAGGAAAGAGTAGTTAATTTTATGCCTCTTAAAAAGTTATAAAAACCGTATTAGGTTGTTAACCAAATTCAACTTTCCGGTGGGTGAATAGGATGTTCACAACAAATTTCTATGTCCTAATCCAGTTTATCACAACCAGGTTAATACAATGCTTGCATTCATTTAACTAAAATAGTAAACATAATTCAATCACAGCATGTTTAAAATTTTCCAAATTTCATTTCCTAAACTTTACCTTTAAAAATAAAAACGTCAATTTTTTTATAATTATGGGAATTTTAAGGTAATAGAAATTTTTTTTATTTAATTTTTAAGACTGTCAAATTTTTAATTCTTATAATATTTTTTATCCAAATCTGTGACTAAATAAAACTTTTCTTCGGGTTGTCGTCCCACTCCTGCATGAAGATATCACTACCAGTTTTCCTTGCCCTCTGGAAAGCCTCTTCTGAAGTAAGTTTTTCCTCCGGACTGGGTTCCAGGGGCTGGCCGTCTTCAGTCAGCTTGCCCTCTTTGAAGTCTTGAACAATTTTCTTCGAATACACAGCGTCGAACAAATCCTGAGAAGTGAACTCTGTCTGGATCACATCTGGGACACGGTACGAGACGTACGGTTTCAACTGAGGAGCATAAAAATTCAAATAATTTTTAAGAATTTAGTTTCTAAAAATCTGTCTGTAAATTTTTTGAATTTAATAAGAATAATTAAAAATTTCAGGATTAAATTTTTTAGTTACCGTGAAGCCTTCTAAGTCAGGAACAACCAGCTCCGACATCATTTCAGGCACTTGGACGAATTTGTCTCCAATTTTGTATCCAATGGGCCGAACCTTAGCTGAGATAAAAAGTCCACATTAATTTTACATTAATTCCAATATTTAATTTGTTATTGGCTTACTTTCAATCGGAATGTCTGGATATTCTCCGGCGTTTCGTTTCAGCCGGAATTCCTTGGACCCTCTCTTATTTTGCAATTCAAACTTTCTGAAATTTCTTTTTCCATCACGGACCGCAGAGGTGAAAATGGACCGGCAACTTTTGCAAGTTACTGACGTCCGTGACCGCAAACCGGCTAACAGCGACAAAGACATTGCGAAATCGTTTACAAACTTTTCTCTGTCAGCGAATATTTTTTTTCAGCAATGATTCGTGATTAGATCTTAAAAAATATAATAAACTCGTTGAGCAAAACGTGATGTTTTGGTTTTTCAAGAAGAGAACACGAGAGGCGGAGTGGGGAAGAGAGAAGGGAATCGAAATCCTCCTTGGTGGAATTGTGTGCGCACACAGCGACAGCACCTTCAAGTGAAGTGGAATAGAAGGGGAGGGGGGAAGTGGTGGGGATCGCTCTACCTATGACCTTTATGAGGCTGTTTTCTGCATGGTAGCACGCACGGCAATGAAATAATCGAAAATAATTATAATTATCATCAAAATAATAAATTTCGCTATGAAATAAAACAAGAATAATGATGGCCAGAACTGCGTGCAACATTTAACGACTAAAAACTTTAAAATTTGATAAACTAGAAAAAATATATTTGACTTAATTTATGATCCCAATAAAAAGAATATTTTTTAACCATACAGAACCATTACAATGGGCATGATTTAAATTGAAAATGAAAATATATTTTTATGATTTTTAAAATTGGTTTAATTTCTCCTTTCTAAAATAAATTTTACGTGTTGAAGCATGATAAATTCTTCAAAAAATTGAACTTATATTAATTATTTATCTTTAAATCACTTGAAATGTTTGATTCAAATAAATAGGCTATTCTCATCCAGTTAAATTTGTATCCTGATAAAATATAAATAAAAAGCGAATAAAAATATTAGATGAACATGTTATTAATTTGTTAAACTTTATTTTTAAATAAAATATCTATTATTTAAATGTAATAAAAATAAAAACTTATAGAGGTCACGTCAAGAATTATATCATGATATATAAAAAGATAAAATTGGTTAATTCCGTAACAAATAAGAAATTTTAAGCGGCGGAGTTCATTAAAAATTTCAAACTTTTCAAAACTCTCAAACGCATTAATTAAATTGTCAGTTAATGGTAAAAATATGAACCTAAACACTATTTTGATCACAGTTGCAATTTGATATTTGATTCCTAGAAGTAAAAGGGAAATGAAATTTCAATTTTCATGCTACAATCTTGAACGAACGCTTCATCTCCTTCATTGGGCCGAGTATGCAGCACACACGACACTCAAGTCACGCGGGTTGCATACCCAAGCCCCTGAGAGTGAAATTTCCCTTTTTCAACTACCTGCAGGAACTTTGAATGAAATCGTAAGGTCAGTTTCGCGCGCAGCCTCTTCATACGCGAATCGCGCCTCTGACGGAAGCAGGGGTGTACGTCGGGGGTGAGGCGGGGGTAGTCGGCGGATCGATGGTCTTGCGAGGAGGATATCGATCGGCACTTTGTCAAGTCGGCCATTGCTCTAGCCGCGCGTAATACGAACTAAAAACGGGACCCCGCCAGCCAACCATCGATTATATCGTGCGCAGGGGGTGGAAACCACCCTCGTTCAAAGCTCGGCGAGATCGAAAGAGTCGATGCGGGCCGAGTATCGTCCCAGTTCTCTGCGAGCCAGTCACCTCTGGCAGTAACCTACAATCCAGATTTCATCCCGATGGCCCTCGAGTGAGTAATGCAACTGGCCGATGGCCCCTCACAGTGAGTATTGGCCGCAACCGGGCTCTCAAATGCCGCAAAATTCGCCCAAAATCCACTTTTAGCCGAAAAAATTCTCGAGAAGCTCCCTTTCCGAAATCGGGGCAGGAGGGTCTCGGCGCGGGGGCCTGTACTCATAATTTTTTTTTAATGCCTGTCAAATTTCGTACGCTTAGATTTTGGTTTCGCGGGGAAATATTTCAAGGTTGAAAATATTACTTTTTTTTGCATCCACGCCCGCATCGTAATTGATTTTTGCGCAGAAACGCCTAGAAGGGAAAAATACAAAAGCATACCAAATAATTTAAAAATTGAGTGATTTGTTTAGAATATTAATTTGGCAATTATGTTTTGAAGTGCATGAAACACTTTGTAATCTTTTAAGAAATAATATGCAGAAAGTTTAGTGTAGCGTTTCATTGGTTTTCCCGTGCCGAGTGGCTGGCCGAATGCAAATGACGATGGCAAAGGGCAAGTTTTAATATTTGATGCTCCTCTTGACACGGCCATTGATTTTCAACCTTGAAATTATTTTCCTCTCTGGAGTCGATTAAGAATTTAGCAGTGGCTTGCTTTCTTTTGAAATTGAAAGAATGATGCATTTGCGTTAAAAAAATTAATATTGTATGAAATGTGCACTTGGTTTTGAGGCTTCTTTTTCAACTTATAGAAATTAAGAAACTTGAGGATAGACTCACCCTTTATCAATATAAAACATTTTATTGGTTATGGTAGAGTAGTTTGCTGATTTGGTGTTAAATTATAGATATTTTTTTTTTTATTAATTTCTTATGTAATCTTTCTTATTTGCGAAAAACAATTATCACTACAGGGAAATTATGCTGATGAGCACAAGTATTTAAATCTAACTGAAATACGCATGAGATATAAATATTTTAAGATGCATAGAAAATATTTAAATTTGATATTATTGTTTCGATTAGAAAAACAAAATGAATTTAGTTGAATGCAAGCAGATGAATAGAAGCATAATTTATGTTTTACTATTCTTAAGTTTTGGGATTTCGACAGCAAAAGTATTCTAGAATCACTCATAATTAGGGCAAATTTTTACGAGATATTCTTTGATTTCTTTTAAGGAAGCGGCATTTTAGTATCTTCCACACGAATTCTAAAGAAAAAAATCTGCCGCATAACACTTGTTCGGTTTCTTGCTTCAAATCACCAAATGAGCTATAATGGAACGTAAAGGGAAGGGAAAGTTATACAAATATTTAGTATCGGCCTCATACTAACAAGGTTTGACTCGTAATGCGCTAAGTTTAGTTAAAATATATATTATTGCTTTTGCGATTAGCAGATTTTGACAATGTTGCTAGGTTTGAAAGATAAATGCTCAAAAAAGGACACATGTTTATAAGACTAAATATTTAATAATGATAAAAAAAACTAATATTATTTCACTATAGTAGCCACAGGAAGAAGATTTTGTGTGTCGTTGAGAAATTCCTTAATAAAGAAATTCATATTATACAAAATTAATTTTTGGAACCTTAAACTTCACACAACTATTGGTATCACCAAATAATTCAAAGTTAACAGAAGTCTCAAACAATCTGAAATTTAATTGATTGCACTGCTGCTTATAATTATTGTTGTTAGTTTCCCAATTCAATTGCTGCCATGCAAAATATATTTCTGTAGGGTTTAAAATTTGGGCGGTGGTTGTTGCAGATTTTTAGAGCTGGCGGAATATGCTCAAAATAAACAAGAAATTGAAAAAGAAGAAGCATAAGAAAGGTAAGGATCAGGAACTCTTCACCCAGGAAGAACTAGAACAGTACAAGAAAAAGCTTGCGGACAAGGCCCGGCTTGAGGAGGCTGTTGCCCAAGGTACCAGCGCTGGCGACGACGCCGAGGAAATTCCTGACGACGTTTTTGACCCAAGAGCCGTCGAAGACAAGCCAGAAGCAGAAAAGCACGAGAACAAAGATGAATGGGAGAAGTTTAAGGCACTTACAGCTGGAGTAGATGACATCCTATCTGCGTCTAAGGGAAAATTAGAAGAAATAAAAAAGGAAAGTTTCTACCAACGCAAGCCACCTGGGCCTTCAGAGCCAGACAAGAAAAGGCCGCCACCACGACCAGAGGCACCTAAACGACCACCTCGCCCAGCTCTTCCTGAGCAACCTGAACCAGAGGTACTTCAAATACCGGAGCTTGAAGAATCTCCTGAAGAAGAGGAGGAGGAAGAGGATGACATTTTTGATACTGCATACATTGATGCAGTAACAAGTGGAGAAATCAAACTAGCATACATCCCTGACAGTCCACCTCCTGAGCCTGAGGACGATCCATTTGACACTTCCATCGTTGATCAAGTAATCAAGCCGAAGGAAATAATAACAAAAGACGGCAAGAAGAAAACTCTTGTGAGTCTTGGTTGCGCAGTTGATGTTCTGACTGGAATTCTTGATAAGAGCGTTACAAAAGGTGTTGTGCAGACCGGGAGCATTAAAAAAAGGCGCGTCCAGCCAAGAGACTTGCTTTTAGAAGGCGAGGGATTTGTTCCAACTGACGATTTAGTTGTTGAGTCGCCAACAAAGTGTGCTCTAATCGACGACGAGGCACCTGAGGATCTTCCAGCGAGTCCTATTCCAATTGCGATAGCACCAGTCTCACCAGCTAAAAAGCCAGAACCTGAGAAAGAGCAAAAAGAGGACAAAAGCGAGCTTTTGAATTTAGTAGCAGAGTTTGACGTTATTGGAAATTCTTCTGCAGAGGAACAGGCTTTTGAAGAAGAAGACGAGGACGACGAATTTGCAGCACTAGCTGCAGAATCGTTGATCAAAAACGCCGATCCATTTGACACGAGCGTTGCTACAAAGGCACTAGGAGAAGAAAAGAAACCTCCTTTATCTCCAGACGTTGACGTTATTTTGAGTGCTGGTCCTGAGGATCCATTTGATACATCTCATGCTGAAAATTTGGCTCCTGGAAAACTTGAACTGCAAATAATCGAAAGTGAAATATTAGGTGAGGTTTCTGCTCAGCTTGAGGAAATCGATGACGACGATTTTGACCCAAGAGCTGACGAGAAACAAAGTACAGTAACAATATCAATTTCTGAACCAACTGACACATCTACCGACGCAAGTTTCCAATTGCGCCAAGAGCATAGAGATCTACTTGGTGGAAGTAGCACCGATCTTGCAAATTTGGTGCACGACCCAATCGAACCAAAGACTGGAGAAGAGGATTTAGAAGTTGACCCTTTTGATACCTCTACCGTTGCTGATCTTGTTCCGGGAAAGCTTGAGCTTCACATTCTTGAGCAAGAATTGCTAGACAACGACGAAGACAAAGAATTTGACCCCAGAGCCGAAACAGAGGGAACTAATCTAATTGTTGAGGAAAACTTGGAGGTAGATCTTGGTGTGATTGCCAAACCTCTGACACCTCAACCAGAGCAAGAGGTTCCTTTTGAAGATCCGTTCGACACAAGCATTGCAGAAAACTTGGGCCCAGGACAAGCTGAACTTAAATACATTGAAAGTGAACTTGCTAATGCTGAGTTCACACCCCAAGTAGTTCCATCAATACAAAGAGAGAAGCCACGGCCAATTGACATTTTGGACGTTGCTAAAGACGAAGACCAAGCCCCTCACAAACCGCTCACCCCAGCCCTAGAAACAGCTGCACGACCATTTGCTTTGACTGACGATCCCTTTGACACAACTCAGGTAGGAAGTTTGTGTTTTACAGAATTATTTTAAGTACATTAAATTTGGCAGCAATATTTTATGCACATTAAAAATACAAGATATGCAACTTGTTATAATTTCGATGAACGATAAAGTCCTAATAGAATATAATTATATGCCATCAATATATCACTGGCATATTTAAGCCCTATAGAGTTAACATTAATAGATGCGCAGGTACAATATAAAAAAATATTTTTTTACAAGCATTGAAGTAAATACACGATAAGTGCTTCTTAAATCCTTGATTTATGTCAAATTGAACTGATGGATCTGATTAAGCTGAAAATTTTGAGCACTTAATTTCAAACCTAGCGTTCAACGTATTTCATAAATATACTTTTCAAATAGCATAAATCTAACTTTTGTTTCAGGCAACAACGGTTCTTGTGCCTGGGCCTGCAGAACTGCGACAACTTGAGAGTGAACTGAAATTAGACGAACCACTCCCAGTGGTTACAAGCAGCTATTTGGACGCTGATTTCAATCCACGAGAGGCTGAAGTGCCAGAAGTACCCGAGGAACTCGTAGCACCAATTGAGCAAGAAAAGCCAGACTTTTTAACAAGTGAAGCAGAACTTGAAGCTCCACACAGACCACTAAGTCCTCAAGAGGCATCGGCAGCGATAGAAAAGGAGATTGATCCATTTGACACCTCTTTCGCCAGTACGCTTTTACCGGGAAAAACTGAATTAAAATTACTTGAGGAAGAAATAATCGGACAGTAAAAATGGACTTTGCTCAAGGGGGTAACCCCTTCCTTATGACCGATGAGGACTACGCCATGCCTGCAGACAATTCAATGGCCTCAAATCCTTTCTTAGCGGGTGATTTCTCAATGCCCGCCGCTGATCCAGCGTTGAATCCCTTCCTCATGGGTGGCGATTTTCAGCCAGCAGAGGCAAATGCTGCCACAAACCCCTTTGCTATGTTTGGAATTGAGGAAGACCCACCTCAACCGCAAGCAGCAGTCACTGCACCTGACGCTGATTTCTTCGGGGGTGAACTTCCGCAGCAGACAAATTATTATGCAACTCAGCCACCAGCTGCTATGCAAGAAAATTTGTTCAGTGCAGAAATTCCCCCACCAAGACCATCTCCTCCTGCTGTGGTGCCTAATTCGTTGAATCTAAATGGTGCTGCGATTGAATACCAACCAGAACCTTTTTCACAGCCACCTCAAGAAGAGGCATCAGTTCCAAGCAGGCCTCCTCCGCCGCGTCTTGTGCCTCCGTCAAACGAAACAGTTCAGCTTATACAAAAAGTAACAGGAGCCATGGAAGCAAATTCAAGTGACTTACTCGACAGACTCTCAGCAACAAGAACTCCTAGTCCAACACCAATTCGAGAACTTCATGCTCTAAGTCCAACTTCTGATATGCTCATTGAAGAACCAGACTTTCTGATGGACACAAGTCCTGCAGCACCACCTCCAAGTGCTACTAGTATTGAACAGCCCCAGACTGCTTCAAACTTCATGGACATCTTTGGTGGTGGCAGCGACTCAGTTGCTGCTGAAGAAGCACCACAGCATGTGGAATCTGCGCAGCAAATGGAAGCTATGAAACAAATGGAAGCTATGCAGCAAATGGAAGTTATGAAACAAATGGAAGCTATGAAACAAATGGAAGCTATGAAACAAATGGAAGCTATGAAACAAGTGGAAGCTATGCAGCAAATGGAAGCTATGCAGCAAATGGAAGCTATGCAGCAAGAGTCGGTTCACACAATTCAAACCGTTGAGCCAGTTGTACCAAGAGCGGATGTGTTTGGTCTATTTGGCGAGGCTCCAGCTGAACATCATGCACCTCCACCAAGGCCAGTGCCTCCTGCGGTTGTCATGCAGCTGACACCTCCTGAAGACGCAAATCTCATTGGTGATCTCTCATCTCCAGGAAACTCAACACACATTCAGTCCTCTGAGCCCCCAGTGGCCTTTGCCGCAGAGCCAAGGAGACCGCCCCCACCCAAAGTTCCACCACGTCCCATCAGTCCGGCTGCTCCTCAACCACCATCAGCTTTCCCGCAACCCATGATCTCGCCGTCCATTGAGGTCGCACCACCGCAACCACCGGTCACAATACCGGCACCTTTTTCACCACCACGACCAGAACCTGTCGCTCAAGAGGTTCTGCCGGCTCCAGCTGCTGAACCAGACGAATTCGATTCATTTAACGATGCATTCTCGGCAAAGTTCGAGAGTGCTGGAAGCGAGAACAAGTCAAGTGACGCGTTCTACAATGCTTTTGGAGCGTCAGTAGTCAAAGATGATGGCGTGGACACGGCCTGGGGAAACGACACCTGGGACGGAGGAGCTGGTGAAATGGGATTCGGAGCAGAAGACGAACAATTTGACTCTTTCTTGGCTATGAGTGCTCCTCCGGTGCCACAGCCTCCTCCGACTAGACCTAGGCGTCAAGATTCCGGCGATTCTGATGACGCCCCTCACGATTTTTCTGTCGTCATAAGGTTAGTTCAAGAAAAAAATAGCAGTTTAACGTAGAATTTTAGGATTTTTTTTTTAATTCATTCATGAAATGAAAGCAGTTAATAAAATTTTATTTTATTTTAAAAAAGAAAATGCAGACTCTACAAATGAAAAATATGAATATTTAATTTCCAGAGGACAAGACAATATGTCCCTGCAATATGGTGGCGCTGTGCCGACCTTAGCACCTCCACCAAAGAGTCCCGTGCAGGCAGCTTACTCGGACAATACCATGCGAATAAATCCATTTGATAACCAGGAAATGTCAGTTGGAGCAGTAAGCGATGCTGTTCCTCAAGCGCGGGAGCGTAAGTACAGATGCAATAAATTATGGAATATAATTAACTTTCTAAAGTAATTCAAATAAATCTTTATCCTCATGCAATTAAAAAATATTTCGAGAAAATTAAATTAAATATACGAGCGATTGGCCTGCTGTTTTTTAATCTGTTAAATGTGCAAAATTTAAATTAATTACTAAGTTTTTGTAAAAGGTTTTTGCGTGTACTAATAATTTGATTTTAGCACCACAAGATATTCCGATATCAACATCTTATCAACGGACTGATTCCCAAGAAACGCCACCTACGCCATTGTTTGACGAGGATATGTCGCAGCCCCTGGAGGAATTTCCCCGAGTGCACTACGTTGGCGAAGGCTGGGAAATGCATCTGCGACAGCCAAACAAGAAAAAAATCACAGGACAAAGGTATCTACTTCAGTCAATAAAACTAATCAGTTCTTTTAATAAATAAAAATTTTAAAAATAATGTTTTTCAATTATATTTTTTTATTTATAATTTTTGAGAACCAAGTAATAAAATAAATTTTTGCCATTGAATGTGCTCCTTTCAATTTCAACTAGTGGCAGGTAACATTTATGCGATTTGATTGCAATAATTTATACTTCAATTGTACGCAATTGTATGTGCTAGCTGCGCTGAAAATGAACGAACTTCCTTGACTTGCTTTCTTGCCAAATATTTCTGCAAATTTTTAAATATAAAGTGCACTTTACTGTCGCTACTCGGGAATAAAAACATCTCACTGTTTTAAACTTCCTTTACATTGCTAAAAAAGCTATTTTTGTGTTTGAATATTTATGTGCTTACTTCCCTTAATTAATACACTTCCTTAAGGTAAATGTTATTGATAACACTTAAAATTATATCCTGCCAGATGATTGTTTTATTTTATTCTAAATGAAAAAGCTGCTTGCTAAAAGGCAATAGTAAAATAGTCTGGGCCGTACACAATATGGCTTTAAAAATTAATCATTTAATTAAGATTGTTAATAATAATATTTATCTTTCAGATTTTGGAAAAAAGTCTTTGTCAGGTTGGTGTATCAAGGCGACAATCCTGTTGTTCAACTGTACAATACAAAAGACGACAAAGATCCGTTCCAGGAACTACCACTGCAGGCCTCATACTCTATTTCTGACATAGGTAAATTTTGCGCCTAATTGTGAATTTTTTCCAATCCGATTTTGAGAATTCGAATAATTTTTAACCGATTTTCAGGAGCTCAGCAATTTGATCAATACGGAAAGATTTTCACAGTCAAGCTGCAATTCGTGTTTTACAAAGAGCGGCCTGGTGTGCGCCCCGGTCAAGTGAAAAAAGCTGAGCGGATAACAGACAGGCTGACGAAATTTGCGGCTTATGCGATACAAGGGGATTATGAGGGTGTGAAAGAATTTGGAAGCGATCTGCGAAAACTGGGTCTTCCCGTTGAACATGCACCCCAGGTAAGCCTACCAATAATTAAATACATGTTTCCCTTGTAAAGATTTGAAATTACTTGCAGATTTCCCAATTGTTCAAAATCGGCTCGCAAGATTACGAAACAATGAAGCAGTTTACAGTAACGATGGAGGAGGCATTTTTCAAAATGCCTGCGCACCGAGACAGAGCACTTACTTATAAAATGGAAGAGGTGCAGATCACGGCAGTTGATGAATTGTACCTCGAGCAGGACAAAAATGGTCGGGTTGGTCGTCAAATCGCAAGAGTTCGCATTTTCTTCCTCGGCTTTATTAATGGTACCAAAAAAATCGCATTAAGTTAATTTATTATTAAAAAATAAAATATTCTACAGGCATGCCGGATCTTGAATTGGGAGTGAATGATATAAATAGGCAGGGTAAAGAGGTTGTTGGTCGGCATGACATTATTCCGGTCAAAACCGAGGAGTGGATTCGATTGGAAGCACTCGAATTTCACAGTTGTGTCCTTAACAGTGACTACGAGGGAGAAAAAGTCATCAAGTAAGCATGACAAATAATTTTGGTTTTGTTAATTTTCAATAAATTTAAACAGATTCAAGCCACCAGACGCGAGTTATATTGAATTGCTGAGATTTAGAGTGCGGCCCCCAAAGACAAGGGAGTTACCGCTTCAAACAAAATGTACAATTTGTATCAACGGCAACAGGGTAACTAAAAGTTCACCAATAGCTATAACACAATTTTAAATTTAATGAAATATTAGGTGGAAATAAAATGTGACATTCTTGTACCTGGCTTCTCAAGTCGAAAGCACGGCCAAATACCTTGTGAGGATATAATGCTACGAATCCCCATTCCCGAGAGTTGGATTTATTTGTTCAGGATTGAAAAGCATTTCCGATACGGCTCAGTAAAATCTGCGCACAGACGGTTCGTTCCCATAAAATAAATTCTGATTAGTTCATTATTAGTTTATTCTTCACAAATGAATGATGGAGAAAATATTTAAAAAAAAAAATCAATGGATTTTTACAGTACTGGAAAAGTGAAAGGCCTGGAGCGTATTTTGGGAGCTGTGGACACTCTAGAAACGTCTTTGATAGAGGTCACTTCTGGCAGTGCAAAATACGAGCACCAGCATCATGCCATTGTGTGGAGGATCTCGAGACTGCCCAAAGAAGGCCAAGGTCAGTCAGAAATAACAGAAAATATAAATTATATAAAATTATTATTTGCCAGCAATGATAAATAAATCTTCAATTGATTTCATGTTTGTAAAAAAAACTTTAAATCAAAAGCCAGTCAGACCAACAATCAAATATTAGAATAAATTTTATTTTAAATTTTCATTTGGAATTTATTATTATTTATTTTTCAAGATTAATATTTTTTTAATAAAAACAGTCGACGCAACTTTGAACTTAGAAAATTAAGCTTGAAACTTGAAATTCACAAATTATTTTTGTATTTATCTTCCCTATTTTTATCTTTTTTTTTCTAGGGGCTTACACAAACCATGAACTCGTCTGCAAGTTCACGTTAACTTCGGTCGACCAGATTCCCGAGGAACTGGCCAAGCACTGTTTCATGGAGTTCACAATGCCATCAACGCACGCCTCGCACACGACAGTGCGTTCGCTGTCGGTGCTTGGCGACCGCGACGAGGACCCGCCGGAGAAGTGCGTGCGTCACTTGGCGCGCTGCGAGTACCGCATCGAAATCGAACAAGTGCAGCCGGCCGGTGTCAACGAGTACTTGGCTGTCACCAAAGTGAAGCCGAAAGAGGAACCCGTCGCCGAAGTCCCCGAGAAAGAATCGGACAGCGACAGTAGTAGTTAAGGAGATGTTAACCCTCGCGGGTTAACTTTGCCCTTGAAGGCAGCTAAGTGTAGAAAAGGGTGATCATTATCATAGTCTCTTGTCAGAGCCATATATACTGAATCACGTTATATTTAAAATAAAAAAAGCACCAAAGTGTAACATGTTAGTTCTGTAGGTTCCCGTAATAAGCAAATTATTGTAACTCGGCCAAAGTTCATGATTGTTGACTTTGAGAGAAGGATACGTTTGGTGATAAATGGAGTGTTCTGAACCGCATCAATGCTCTGATATGCAGTCATTAAAAATTATACAAATATTTAATCGCTCATTACCTGCCTAGGTGCGTTAATTTTATAATTAAGAGAGTAAATTGTAGCTCACGATATAATTTATATTGTTATTGTGTCTAGTTAATAACCGATTAATAATGAAATAAGATGTCAAGGTGAGATGTACGTCTGGTTCAGTGGACAGTGAAGATTAAGAGAAAATATTATATAAGTCAATGAATTGCAGACAGGTGGCCAGCGCAATTGAATAGTATGCGGGACTGGTCGTCTTGTCTGTAATTTACTGACTGCGATTGTAGATTGTGTTGACATTGACTCGACTTTGTTTGTAAATGTAGCGATTGATTTTTTTTAACTTGTACATTTAAATATTTCTTTCAATTAATCCCCTAACAAGTTATTGTCATCGAATTAAATAGCGACCATTTAGACTTGTTAACTAATCGAAATACATCAGCACAATTTTTGAAATGCAAGCTTAGTGTGCTTGTCAGGGGTTGAATGGCTATTATAAATTTGTTCACACTTTCCCAATTATGTGTGGTTCACAACTATACGAACTGTTTTCAGGACCAGAATCAATACTGTTACTGTTATCGATGTAAGGCTGATTTAATATATAATATGAAAAATATGGTTCACACTCTTTTTGCGGCGTACCGAGTGTGGGATATAATGTTACAGTGGAGTTTGAAAGAAGTTCGAAACCAGTGTGCGACAATACAAAGTTCTGTGTAATATTTTTAGCTGCGCACAGAGTGTAATGTGGGCATTGTTTCTCAGGCAAGCCAATAATTAGCTCCACGCAGGATAAAAAGTGAGTTTTTAGTAATAGGTTTCCTAGGCTTTCAGTTTCAATGTCAACAAAATAATCCATCAGAAGAAGTAAATCCGATTTATTTAATGAGGCTCTCTGAGGTAGTTGCACGAAATTTTGAGTTGAATTCAAGTCTCGGTTAAAAATTTTACAATGGAATACAACTCGACTGCTTGTTTGAATGGCCACTGCGGAAACGAAAAAATGTTTAGAGATATTTATTCAAAATCAATAATCGAAGAAATTAAAATTTAGATTATTAAAATTGTAGGAATAAAAAAATTCATGTTGGACAGTAGCAACATTTAAGGGAAAAAATTAAATTCTTGAGAGCATAGGATTAAAGTTCCTGGATGTCCCCAATGCCCGAACAGGAACCACTATTTCTCCTGTTTCTGCACCACCAGCAGCACTCTCGAGGGATCCTAGTAAAAATCTTATTTGGCGACGCAAAAGTTGTTTATATCCATAAATAAATTGAGCTTTGTAAATTGCTGAGGAATAACGTATGTTAGCCCCGCATCACTTGTAGAGCCTCATAATACATATGTGTGGGATTGCGTACAACCTCCATGCCACATCTGCAGTTACTTGAAATATTGATCAAGAAAAGAGCCACTGACTTAACTGAGTGAAGCCCCCTTAGGATTAATAGTAAAACTATATTAACAGAGTCTATATATATTAAAATAATTGCAATTTATGTTGGAATACTTGAAGTGATGGGTAATAATTACTAATTGTAAGTATTATTATTACTTTTTATTTCAAATTCTCATTCGCAATGGTCTCGCACCTTGCGAAGGTCAGCAATATACCAAAGATATAAAAATTAATGTAAAAAGTCCTAATCTTAAGTGAGGTGAGCGAGAAATGTTGAGAGTGTGCTATTAATTTCCGATTTAAACTTTTCTGTTACGAATTCTATCCTTGCAAGAGAGCTCCGGCATCTCCAAGGAATTGAGTCCGATCTAGTCACATCAAATGCTATCAACGTGTATAACTAATTTATAAGAGGCTTAGTTATAAGGATTGTTGCTGATTGTTGAGTGAAAATGTATGAATAATGTTTGACTCATTGATTTAAAGACCAAATTGGTTTGGCTTTTGAAGCTTTAATTTTCCCTACTTCATATAAAAGTATGAAAGATTATATAATTTGCCCTTTTTTACATGATTTGCAAGATCGGTGTTTAAATTTTTCGCGTGGTAACTTTTAGCACAACAGAAATTAGAAAAGTTTCACTTATATCCCTGTTAAATGTTTAAATTACTCATTTCAGTGCCTTTGTATATTTTTACCGGTCATGCATTCACTTTCCTCTGTTCAATATTATGTAACAAGTGCACCTGTTGTGTAGTCGAGATATGAATATAAGCGACTCTTTGCCGTTAAAGGAAAAAAATCATCATTGATGTAAATTTGCATATCCATAAGCATGATTTTCAGTAAACGGTGGGCAGGCATTACCATGGTTATGTGAGGGGTAGTTGAGAATATTACGAGAGCTGCACGATATTATAAAAGGTGGCACAATAACGAGAGCTCAATTACTTTGAAGAAAGTATTTGAGAATGGGAAAAAACTACAATAGTTGTTGTCATTTAATCCATTTAGTCACACTTACAAAGTTCACCCACATGTATTACATACTTCTCTGAAACAGTTGTTTTGGAAGTTGATGTGAATTGTTTCCATTTAAAATAAGTCGTACTTAACTTGAAAAAAAAAATACCATTGTAACCTTTAAAAAGAAAATTACGCTGAAAATCCAATTTAACTGTGCTAGTGATCAGTGTTAAAGTATCATGTACTATGTACTACGGAGACGATATAAATATATAAAGCATGGGCAAAGTAAGAATCCATACGAGCAGTGTTTTTAATTTACAAAATCGCCTGTTAAAAAATTATGAAATTTTGTATGAAAAAAGGATTGAAAGTTTCTAATTATCAAAAATTTAATTAAATTAATAATTTCTTAAGATTGAGGAGTTTTTATTTTTAAAGAAGTTATTTTATAACACTTAGTCATTTTTATGGAGCACCTCTGCATTATTTTTCACTAGTTTGGTTTTCGAAAAAGTTTTTCATGTTAATCACGGCCAGCGCACGGTGCGAAATTTGATTTTTGTTTTCTTTCGGCATTTCAGCAAAAGTCTGCTCATATCCCTTGGGCTGAAAACAAGGGTCCCATCCAAAGAGCCTTGGGCCCCTAGGGGACACAATGTCACCATCCACGATGCCTTGGAAAAGTTGCACCTGAGCAAAAAGGTTAAATTTCAGAGCTCGCAATTGGAAATAGCTTTAAAAAAATAAAAACGACAGACGAAGTGACAATTGAGGTGAGGTGCAGTGAGGTGTTGTAGCAAAAGTAAACAAAAACCAAAGAATAATGATAATATTAATTTAACCAAATAAAAATGTAAAAGAAAAATAGCTAATAATAAAAAGCACATTTCGAAAAAAAAAAAAAAAAAAAAAAAACAGTTAAGAATGTAAAGGAAAATTCTTCCTACCTGAGAAGTGGTTGCAGACGGTCCATTGCAGTAGGCCATTGTGCAGATGGCTTTTGCAGATTTGTCCTCCCAGCCGGCCAACATCCGATGCAGACCTTCAGGTCCAAGTTTGTCCAAAAACCACTTTATGTATGGCCCTTCAAAACAAAATAATTATTTTCATTAGTCTACATATCTATTGAAAAATATGTATTTACCTGGCAAGCCTCCTAAGGAATTAAAGCACAGGCTTGTGTCCTCAACCACAACAGGGCCTTGCACCAACCTTGCTGCCTCCAAACATTTGGCTTTGCAAATATCATCAATTTCTCCCTGATATTCTGGCAAATCCAACTTCTTGCTGGTGAACTGAAATTACACAATAATTCATTTTCAACGGATCATTTATTGAAAAATTTTATAATAATATCAGCGTTAAAAATTGGTGTTTAATTTGTAACTTTTATTATTTGTTTACCTCGTGGGGAAAATTCCGGCCGAGGATGGCCACAACTTCTTCCAGCTTTTTGGCGTTGCCGGTGACAAAGACAATGGTTGATTTAGACATATTTCTGTTGCTTAGGAGCCAATTTTGAGTTTCTGAAGTACTTGTCAGTACAAAGTGGCCTGTCAAACACGTAAATCCAGCAAAAATCGTTCACTTTACACAAAATTAAACACGCTCTTAGAAAAAATCCACTTGTTATTTTCTCACTGCCGGTGCAAGGGTGGGGGTCAGAGCAGCCATTGGCGGCAACTAGTGGGCAATTTCCGTACTAAATTCTATATAATCATTTTATCAAATTTTATTATGAGATTCATGCAAGTTTAAAAAATATGGTTTAATCATATATATATAATGTATTCCAAAATAAAAGTAAATAATAATCATAATAATTGATGCAAACTCTAACGGAATTCTTATGAAAATTGGCTACCATGTATTCAATGAATTTTCTAAGCGATCTCAAATTTTCTCCCTTAAATTAGTAACCTTATACGAGTGAACTGTTTTAGTGTTTACCTATTTAAAGTACAATTTAAATTCCATGAGCATTGTGGTTAGTTTCAATCAATAAGAGAAACCCACGTCTTTTTTGTTTTATCATTATTTTATTACAATTAAAAATTTATTCCTGGTTGGCATCCACATTCTCTGTCTGCAGTCCCTTGAAACCGGCAACAGCGACGTAGGTGACAAGGGTGTACAATTTGTGTGGGGAATCCTCGTCGTCGTTTCTTCTCCTCGACAGACGAACTCTGACGCGGAATGGAACGTTCCTGGAGAAGTTATTTTTCATTAGCTGGATTGCAAGGTTGTTAAGGATGAGAAATTACCTAATGCCTTTCGACCAGATCTGCTTGTTCAGCCTGGTGTCGACGCGAACATCAGGGGTTCCCATCTGTTTTTCCGCAAACTTCCTGATCTCCTTCACAGCACGAGGGGCGCGTTTCTTGAAGCCGACTCCGTGCAACCTTTTGTGCAGGTTGATTGTGTATTCACGGGTCACCACATCATTCATCGCGCTCTTCTTGCGGTCTCCCTTTTGTTTCGCCATGGCGCTGCTAAAATAATAATTTTCTTTTGTTAATTAAATATCATAATTGAAAAAAATTTATTAAAATTTTGATTTTATACAAATCAATATAAAATCAATGAAAAAAATTGTTTTATCATTATTGCCTCATTTAAAAATTAAAAAAAAAAATAATAATAATTAAAAAGAACGCTGGAATGTTAATTTCTTTTCCACTATTAAGAAGTTTCAAAACTGCACCATTAACAGAAAAAAATATAGATTCTAGCTTCATGAAAACACATTTTGCAGCGGACGTTTGTTTACAAACTTTTGATCCGAGGGAAATCAAATTGAGAAAACATTTAAAAATATATTTAGAATGCGCCTCCGATCTTTTCAAGCCACTTAAATTAGGCAATAATTGATAAGTTTACTTAAAATTTTGAAGAAAAAAATTAACAACAAGCCGCTGCTTTGACACGTAAAGGTAGGCAGACGGTCATGCTGGAATCGTCACAACTTCGGTCACCAAATTCGAGTCGAGATTCAGCGACCGTCGAATAATTACAAGCGAATTACGGTTTATAGCTTGTTTGAGAAGCGAATGGAGATTTAATCTTTAAGATTTCGGCAAAGATGATTGAGGATTTTGCCGATTAAATTTTCATGCTTACCACAAAAAGTTCGATGCAGACGGGCAACAACAATTAAGAAACAGATGGCGGGGAGGGGGAAATTGAGGAGCGAATTTCGCCTGAAAACCTCTTTGAAAAGGAACGCGCGAAGTCTAACAATTATGTATGAATTTTTGTTTAATAATAATTATTTATTTAATTTGATTGATCTAAAATTTGTTAAACCTTAAAAAACTATCAATATTTCAAGTATTTTCAAAAGTAAAATTTAGCGTCGTAACTTATTAATAATCTTTTCGCTAATTTTTTTTATTCAAATAATAATGACCTTCCTTTGCACAGTTGAATTCTCTCCCATGTTTGTTTCATAGGATAGTAAATTCAACATTTTTTTATTGCTTTTAATTTTTAAAATTATAATATTTCAATGGATTGATTTCATTTTTTTTTTGCTCTTATTTAATTTTTAAGATTAACATAAATTGCATACAAAATTATCAGTTGAAATTCTAAGTAGAAATTAACGCTTCTTTGAAATTCTGTAATTTGTTTGAGAAAAATAGTTTTCGATCTTTGAGGGGATTTATGAATTATGTTAATTTTCGTCAATTTTTTTTGTCTCCACAATGTATATAGGCGTGGTCGTATACTTTATTGTTTGGACTTTTTAAACTAGATGGCGCCACGTGCAGTGTTTTCCTCGAGATCAACTCGAGATTTCTTGTGAGATTCGACGAGGCGGCCGAGGTGATGGAGACGTGCGGCGGCGATGTTGAACGAGAATCTATAATGGTAATAACATAAATAACTGGAAAATAAACTTACTATGCGATTTAATTGTTCGGGAATGATGAAATTTGGGAAAGATTGAAATCGGTCGTCAATCGTCACGGCGGAAAAAATGCATGTCAGTCAGCAACTCGACATGTGCGCCGCACGTAATAAATGTGCCACAACAAAAGTATGCAATAATCCAATAATACACAAATATACCTAAAAAAATACTCTCATCTTTTGCTCAAAAGTTCACGAAAAAACTTTGCATAATTATATATAAAATGCGAAATTATTTATATATTTGTTTTATTTTTTAAATACATAAATTATTTTGGGGTAGTTTGTTATTGTCTAACTTTTTCATTGAAAATTAAGATATGATTGGTCACTTGAAGGAATCACTTAATTTTGTAACAGATCGTTTGTTTTAATCAAAACCGAAACAATGCCGCGCGGGCCACTTGCCTAATGGGGCGCACGCATTCTCGTGGACAAGTAGTAGGGGTTGAAAAATGAAAGAGATAATCGGGATGAAAAATGCCGTGATTTGCACCGATTCACGTGATACTCCCCCGCTTGATTAAGTGCTTGGCCGGCTGATGGAGAAATAATAAATTATGCAAGCAGAAATAATTCTTCCCATATTTTTCGGAAGAAAAAGTGCGCGGTGGGAACACAGGGGTGTCGTGTGTGCGTTGCGTGCGTGTGCGGGCGGGCAGGGGGCGAGTTGCCAATTGTCTCGGCTTTTAGGGGTAGATCAGTGCGACGATACTGGGCATGCAACCGCCTGATTTTTGCGTCACTCACGGCCGAATGGAATATTGAATTTAATGTGTATCGCATGAGCCGACTCGTTATTTTCCATCAAAAAATTTACCCAGAACTGAAAATGACTTTTTGTGAAACACCTTCGCATTTTTTCGGTTCAGTGAACTGCAGATCAATTTGAGAATGTTATTATTTTGTCACTCTGTCCTTTTAAATTTATTTAACGGAATGACCGCGTATTTGAGCACATTTCAGGATGTCAAATTTTTCATCAAGATATTGTATGAAACGCCTAAAATATTAGACTAAAATATGTAAAATATATACCAATTCTTGACAAAATCATCCTTAAAAACAATTTGGCCATCTCAAATGCGATAAAAAACGGTCTTTGACATTTTTTTTATTATAATGTGATTAGTTTAAGGCCAAAACTTTATCTGCATCCAAATCACGTCAGGTTTCAGATTTTCCAAATTGCTAAATAAAATAAATGCAATTCTTGCTGACCCAAAGTGTTCATGGAATAGTGAAATTTAAAATTACACTAAGTATTTAATATTTATCTTGTTATACGATACGGTTTAAATGAGCGTAATTATAATACTTAAGGGTCTAAATACGGTTAAAATGAGCCTAATTGTAATACTTAAGGGTCTAAATATTTTAATTCTGTTCTTAAAATGTGAATTCGAGTTTTAGCACTTTTTTTTTAATTAATTCTATTCATACATTAATTCATTGAGAAACAAAATATATGATTTTTTTTTTAAATTTTGACCCAATTTTGCTATTTTGAGGAGCCTTTAAAATGTCATTTATTTTTAATGTACCGGAAGTAACCATTTTTCGCTCAAAATATTCTATTGCAATAAATGTTTATACTTTCGCTCATTGAGCCTTATTGGAGCAAAATTTGCTAATAATAATTCCCATTTAAATCAACTTAGGTGCGATTTGATATTTAATTAAATACCGCACACATGACAATAATCACAACACAATTAATTGACGCCTATAAGATGCATCTCCATGGACAAATTTCACAAAATAATAATATTTATACATTTATGGTGATTCTAACCATAAAACTGAATCTGTTTATAAAGCTATAAAACTGGTCTATAACGGCCTAAATTTTATTAATATGAATTAGCTCAGTAAAAATATCAGGACAATTAAAACTCTATTATACAAGTAAATACATATACAACCTTGCTTTATTCAAAAGAAATCAAAGTTTTCGTGCTGGAACTGTTTGAAATTCGCAAGAGTTTTCGTGCACGATATTATACTTTTCTTATAATAAACACCATATCTGCGTCAATTGCAGCGCGCAGAGAAAGAGAGAAAAATAATTATATCAGCCAAAAATCGCCAATTCGGGCTATTGCAGATAAGCATCAATGTCTGCCGCACAGAGGCATTAAAAGCGAGGGAAATCTGTCCTTAAAATCGCACATGCGGCGCCTTTTTTGCGCATTTACACGGATCACGCCAACTTTTTGTGTTTCAAATCACACACATGCATTATTATTTTCCAACGAGCGCAGATGGCGAGATAAATCGCAGTTGATACAGGTTTGTTTCATTTATTTTCACCGAATGCTTCCCCGCAATGCTAAAAGCATTTTCAAAACAAGTGAAAACACAATTTAGCGTTTCCATGGAGCATACACAAAAAATGCGTATAATTACTATCGCGGTGCGCTGTTTCCAGAGCAAAAGTGCCAGCTTTTAGTGCACTATCGCGGCCGCGAACTTTTGGCCATTATGTTAATTATGCGGTGGTTTTAGCTCATTTTAATCTATGATCGGACTTTTCGGGGGAAACGACGTAGTTTTCCATCGATTTTGCACATATTGTGTGTGTTTTGACATTTTATACTCGGGCGACCGCACATTATCACACGAGACCTTGCGTATAAACTGGAAATTTTGTAACAAAGCTCTGCAAGGCAAATAAATATTTTTGTTTCCTTATACTTTGCGATAACAAAGTCTTTTTATTATTTGACAACAAATTTCGCAGATAAGGTTTCAAGATCTTAAAATACAAAAAGATGCAAAAGAAAATGCGCATTAGTTCAGATTTTGCAGAAGTTTTTAAATTTTCTCTATCAAAATGAAAATAATTATACAAAATGTTTGATTTCAAATAGAAATCCCAGCATATTAATGAAAAGGATAAAAAAAGTGCTTCAGTAAAAAAAAAAAAAATAAAAACAGAAAGGTTGGAAAATTTAAATGCAAAGAAATGATCTGATCGCTAAAAGAAGAAATTTCAAAAATTGCAGTCTCATTCAAAGAAACAAGACTCCATTTTTTTTTCTAGTAAAAAATCGTAAAAATTTTATGACTTTTCGTCCCCAGCATGCGCTTTTTCTTGAGAGGATTCACGCGATATCATCTTTTGAAGGTTTGATTTCGGGGGGATGTTCTGCACTTTTTCATAAGCCTATCATTAATTTCCTACCTCCCGCTTAGAAAATCGTACATCAAGTTCGGATCTTTTTCCCGCGCCGCCCCAAAAAAGTGCGCACGGATTGCAGGCGGTCGCTCCCGCTGACAGGAAGGGTTGCTGATGCCTTTTACAGTTAGGCCTTTACGAAGGGTTGAAATTTCGCTGAGAAATTAATGCCCATCATTGATTGCCATCAGCCAGATTTCCCGAGTGCAAGGTGCATTATATGCCTAACGGGACCGCGCCGAAAGCTGAAAGGCAACTTTTTTTCAGGAGATGGCGAGACATCGATGCGCAACACAGGTGGGGGTTTCAAAAGGTGCAATGGGTTGAGCTCTGACATGCTTACAGTAATTATTTATCTAGCAAAAGGTTAGGGGAGGCTTTTCTCACACACACATACGCACAAAGGCGAATAAAATATGATGCACCTGACGCATTGTGAGCGGGGAGATTGTCAACGTGGCATTTTTCGGTGCAGACGAATCAGATAAATTGGGGTCTGTAGGCGATTCAACGTCCTTTGACTCGGATAAATTCCGACCGCCACTCAAGATGCGTCTAGCTTTTGCAAATCATCCCCCCTTAGAAATTTACCTTGAAATGCCTCAACGTTTTGTTATATTTGAATTAAATCTTAATTTTATCGAGTCAATTTTGAGTCGGCATTCTTTACTTAAACTGAAAAATATTGAGGTTCAATTAAGCACAATGATTATCAAAATGTAGTAAGAAATAAAATGCAATCAATTAAAATATATTAGTGGCAAAAATAAAATAAAAAGTTAAAAAGAAATTAAGAAATTAAGTACTTATATTTAATTTGTAAAAAAAATTATATTATAATAATTATTATGAATTTGTCCTATAAATATTCTATTTCTCGTTTTGAACATATTTATTATTTTATAACTTCATAGCAGCATGTAGTGGAAATAATTGTATAATTTGTGTACATCATTCAGAGAGATAGAAAAAATGCATTATCACACGGAAATGCGTCAAACCTCTTAAAACACGCCACTTTTCCTGCGTTTGTTTTTCCTGATAGCAATTTTGCTTTGCCGGACGGCAACGTGGAAAATTTTAAATGTTTTTGATAGCAACTTATCGTACAATGGGCAGTGAG